GCAAGGCTGGACCCCTCTGGCGTGTTGCATGTGCCCAACCCTACGCCAAGGGGGTGGGTTCCCGCCTTGCCTCGTCTGCCAGCTCTGTCGGGTACACGCAACACGACCAGAGGGCCCAGCCTTTGCCACCTTTGCCAGGTCTGTAGGGTACACGCAAGAAGCGGGAAGAGGTCAGAAGTGGGCGCTTTGAGGCCTTCCCGCCCGGCAGCCCCTCGACAGGCCTGGCCAATAAGGTGGCAAGGCTGGACCCCTCTGGCGGGGTCCACCCCAGATCCATCCACAGGGGGGGGCCTCCCTCCCTGGTACATATATTATTTAAATATAAGTGCTGACTGTTTCTGTTCTATACGCTGAAAAGTGCCTCCTCAGAATCCTCGTATGCGCGAACCTTCGCAAGCCGAATGTCAGTGCTCTTGTTCCTCATTGTCAGTGCAAAATCAACGACGAGTACGACATCGATGCTGCTTTCCTCCTCGTTATGGTTTTCGCAACTTTTTCCGATAACGATCCTTACCCGAGTCTTCACAAGGAGTCGCGTAACTGTTTGTCAACCGCTAAATATTATTATATGTCTCTCATTCGTAGCGTCATGTAGTTTTTCATTCATTTCAAACATGTGCTTCGTGTACGACATGATCCGCTTTTGAGAAGTCTTCATGTGTTACTGTCAATGGTCGAAAACAAGTAAGGTAGAAGATGAGATTCCGACTCCTCCGTCCACGCTTATAGAGCGTATCCGTCTAGTCAGGCGGCCACATGGAGAGAGCAAGGCTTTGGAATCATCTCCTCGACCCCCTCTCGTCCGATCGCCATTCCTACTGCGATGACTACCGCTTCCGCTACCTGCTTTTGTTTCCATCTTCTAGTAAGTACTTAACTATCAAGTTTATTAATTTAGGAAGGAGGTATCAACGAGTTTATTTGTCCTTGATAAGTATTGTAAAAAGAAGATGGAAATCGTTTTGCAGTACAGCTAATTTTGAGCTTTACAATCGTAGAGCTTGTTTTTGCAGCTCGACAAACGGACATATATGCTCGAGAAATTTATGAACCTAGCAGCTACAACCGGTGAGCCGAGGCATTCTTATGAAAAACTCTGACAAAACTTCACTAGATGTACCCTTGGATATCCGCAACTGCACTATCAAATCCAAGAATTAATCGCAACTTCAATGTAGAACAATCCACCCTCATCTATCTCACTGCCGCCGTCATTTCGAGAGATGATATTTCGGCAGACGAGATCACCGTAATCAGACACTTTTGAGACGAATTAAGCTTTTGCGCTGTTTAGCTAGCAGTTAGAAATTGATCTAGTTAGTGGAGAGACAACCGTACGAGACAAACATAAACATAATTGATTGATTTAGGTATAGGTTTCAACTTCAACTTCAAGAGTACTAGTAAGTAGTCTTTTTACTATGTTAATTTGGTTGTTGCTAATAAAAACCGCCGTCGCGGCACTTGTAATCATGATGACTTCCTCGTTACGCCTCTGTCGCTTATCACGATCGCGCCGCCCGGAGTATTGTTCCGCTTCACTTGTTTACTCATCTTTTTTGAGTTCACGGGCGCGCAGTTCGTTTTCAACAGTGCCCATTGTCGTGTCCAGCGAATCACGCGCGGCGTCGATAAATCGTTTCGACTCAAGCGTAATCCTGAATGAGGTTAAAGTGCTAAATTCTTGCAACAAAGTACGTCGTGCCTGTAAAAAAAAACCTCAGCCTCTTCATCATCAGTAGAAGTCATTGTCATGATACTGATTGTGGTTCTTTCACCTAGATCTACTTCTAGGTTGCTCGAAGCAACTCTCTCTTAGGACTCGTTGCCACAGCATTAAAAAATATCGGGAATACCTCCTCTGGATGATTTCTCGCTGCGCATGCGGGACAATGAAGGAGCCAACGAGCTCACGCACGCAAGCCTCGGGCTCTTTGTCTAGCGAATCTACAACATCGTTGATCTTGGCTGCTTGGGCCTTTGCTTCGGCCATGGCGTTCTCGCGTGCTGTTGTCTCCACAGCGTTGGTCAAGATATCCTCCAGATACGAGTCTACAGTGCCCTGGTGCACATCTTTCATCACCTGTTTTAGAGCGACCCCCATCGGGTTCAACATTGTATCTTCCCTCTCTTTGGAAGCATCTTCAAGATTCTTGCGGATATCATTCTATACTGGAGAACCAAAATAAGATGAAGCTAGGATTTGAGTGAATCCCTTGGGTCTGATACAAACCAACGGCTATGTGGAAGCAGCCTTAACTGTCGGAATATCTCGTCCTCGCGCGCACGCAGTCGCTCCTCCGCTTGCCGTCGACCTCCTTCGGAGGCCTGGCGCATACGCCTTTCCCGCTCCGCTAGCTTCATCATAGCGTCGATGCGACGCAGCTCTTGGACTCTGATGTTCGTTGTGTTCATTGAGTGTAAGAAAAAGAAACTCTACTTCTTGATTATTAATCTTGTTCAGTTTCAAACATTTGTTCGCCATCTTCAGCAAGGACAAGGTTAAAGTTCTTAAGCAGTTGTAGTTATACCTCATTTACATTCTTCTAAATAGAAAGAACAAGAAGGAAAATTGTAGTTGTCGTAGTAACAGTAAGTACCTCTCGAGCTCCTTTGAAAGATCGTCTAATGCTTTGGACACAACGGATCCAATTATTTGATCCTCCGCGTCTTCCTCCATGATCTTTGCCTGCAGCGCTTCTTTGGCTTCTTTGTCCTCCGGTCTCTCTGAGGCCATCATCATTTCCGCTGCTCGCAGCTCCTCTATTAAGTCTAGACGCTTCTCCTTGCCTTCAAACATCCTATTCTGGATGGCCCGACCCCGAAGGATGCGTTGCAGCAGTAGCAGCGCTTGCATCTTCTCTTCGTCCTCTGGTGCCTGTTCCTCAAGACCTGCGCTTTCTTTGTTTTTCCTCTTAGGACTGGACTCGTGATGCGGGCTTTTGAATGCTGCAGCTGCAGGGGTGAGGGTGAAAATTGTGGTGAAGCTATTTAACTATTCATTCTTTCATCTGCTTAGCATCATGATGTTCCTCATTGGACGAGGCCGTCCATCTACTTACTCAAGGATCTTCATCAAGCTAAACAAAACATCAGAGGTTCCTGGGTGGACTTGGGTCTGAAGCGTAGGTTCTTGATCAGTGCGAAACCATAATGCGAAAGGACTAGACTCTTGCGGTTACTTATTAAGGACAAGCAGGACTAGCCTTGCCAGTAGAAAAATATTAAGAGCAATAAAACTTTGCAAACACTTCCCTTCGGAAACCTCAATTCATCACCCAAACCCAAAACCTCCAACACCCGAACCCAAAACCTCCGACACAAAAACAAACAAACCCCAAACCCATGAACCCACGAAACCAGGAAACCATGAAACCACACCACGAAACCACGAAACCGCGAAACCAGGAAACCAACCCCGAAACCATGAAACCACGAAGCAATGGAATTGAATTCCGGAGGAAAGGGCTTAAAATCAAAAATTTCGGGGGAAAGGGCTTAAAATCAAAAATTTTAGGATCTTAGCGCTTCAAACTCACGAGACTCAATCTCAAAACGACGACAAAACGTGGAAAATTTTCGAAATTTGAGAACGCGAATCCAAGGAATTAAATTTCAGGGAAAGGGCTTAAAATCAAAAACTTTGGGATCTTAGCCTTTCAAAGTCAAAAGATTCACTCTCAAAATGACGAAAAAGGTGGAAAACTTTCGAAATTTGAAAAACGCGGAGCCAAGCGGCTGAATCTCAGGGAAGGGGCTTAAAATCAAAAATTTTGGGATCTCAACGCTTCAAACTCACGAGACTCAACCCCAAAACAGCGACAAAATGTGGAAAATTTTCGAAATTTGAAAAACGCGAAGCCAAGGCATTAAATTCCAGAGAGAGAGGGCTTAAAATCAAAAATTTTGGGATCTTAGCTCTTCAAACTCACGGGATTCACTCCCAAAACGACGAAAAACGTGGAAAATTGTCGAAATTGGAAAAACGCGAAGCCAAAGGATTGAATCCCAGGGAAAGGGCTTAAAATCGAAAATTTTGGGACTTTAGCACTTCAAACGCACAGAATTCAACCCCAAAACGCCGACAAAATGTGGAAAATTTTCGAAGTTTGAAAATGCAAATCCAAGAGACTGAATCTCCGGGAAAGGGCTGAAAGTCAAAAATTTTGGGACTTTAGCGCTTCAAACGCACAAAATTCAATCCCAACACGCCAACAAAACGTGGAGAATTTTCGAAATTTGAAGAATGCAAATCCAAGAAGTTGAATTTCAGCGGAAGGGCTTAAAGTCAAAAAGTTAGCTGCGGGATCTTAGCCCTTGACTTCAAACGCACGAGATTCAATCCTCAAACGATGGCAAAACGTGGAAAATTTTCGAAATTTGAAAACGCATATCGCTTACATCTTTGCCTTGCTTAGTTTCTTACTTTGGGGAGGAGGGGGATCCTAGTGGGAGGGATGTTATCGGACGCTCCAAGCTAGTAGTAATACTGTCTCCCATTGGTTGCATATCTCCCATCCTTCTCCTTTCCGACTCGGCGTTCATGCCTTGCATAGCCTCGTTCAAGGCATTTACTATTGGCACATCTTGCCTCTTGATTTCAGGAATTAGCGTTTCCTGCCGTATCTCTCCCGGTAAGAAAACGCTTGCTGGAAGGGTGCGCTCAAGCTGCAGAAGCTTTGAATACGACTTCAGATCCGCCGGTTGAATCTTGACAAGGATGTGGATTAAAAGAGATCGCGTCACTTGTCGTGGTCGTGTGGTATTCGGATGTTCGACAATCAGAAAATAAACCTAGGTAGTCTTCTCCATCAACAAATAGAAGATCCATGCATCGCTACCTCTAGAATTTTTTGAACTTGAACTTGTAGAATGTGTAAAAAATTGGAAGTAGATCGTAGTACCTCTATATTTCCTGTATGCGTGTCCGGTATACTGCCGTACCGAGTCAGAGGAGCGTAAACTGATGACGCTCTGTCTTGATATTTCGCAACAGTTTGTCCATGCGCTTCGGGTCTTGTATTCCGAGACAGGGCAGTCACTCGCGCAGAAAACATCTTCCTAAGAAGTTTGATCTTTTTGTACTGTGTTGAGGCGAAAAGCCTGTCTTTTTCCTCTGCCTTCTTCACCCGCAGCCGGTCAATCTTTGCGTCGTTCGTCACCTGGTGCAGAGTGGGATGAATGAAAGGAGATTCCTCCAGCATGTAGTATGTTGAAGCTACAATGAGAGATGGGCAATGACATGCGAATCAGATGAATATCGCTTAATTAAATATAGCCGGCATATTGACCATCTACATGATACATTGTGTACAGCACCCACGTAATATGGAAAAAGCCTCTTCTTACTTTTCTATTCATTTCCCTCTCGGCAATGAGCTCCTTAACCATCGCTAGACGCCTTTCCTGCAAAGAAACTATCTGCCGCTCTCTTTCTGCCCACTCCTTGAATTCTTGTTGCTCCAGTAGCTGCGCACGAACCTGGGTGGAAACAGGAATGAAATGAGTAAGTGCAACTCAAACCGACACGCAAGGGTGGCAAGTCAGTTCTATCCCGGCTCTAGCACCACAAAGTACACGGAGTAGGAATACAAAAAGAGAAAATATATCGTTGTCGATCCTTAGTTATGCTTCCACAAAACAGTAAAAAAAAGAAGTACTGCGAGCGAGAATTCATCCGTTGTTGGTGGAAGCATCTGCTCGAATATTCGTTTTTGCCTTGTTCGCTCTATGATCTTCACTTCGAAAAGGGTGGCTGGCAAGCCATTATCGAAGGTCAAGTTTTGTAAGGTCAGAATTTCCGGCGCAGGTGTTGTCGCAACAAAATCTGGAGTGTACGGCACGGTTTGCGCCTCGCTCTCTCGATACATCGACTGTGTCCCTACTGTTCGCGTTGGACTGTCATTAGAGGAGCTGGGGAGTCTACGATTATGGTTACGCGAAGCCAATATACAAGAAAGTTTTTGACGCGAGGGGAAAGTCGCACAGAACACACGAGCAGTCATCAAAGTGTCTATCAAATAAACCGTCGAAGTTCTTGTTATCAGAAGTATTGTAGATTATAAACTACTTGGGGTAAGCTAAGGATTAATGTGGGAATAAAAGCTTTCAGAGAATTATCATTGGAAACAGAGCAGCCATAACATCTGATATCAACACCTGCTGGGTCGGCCGCCTGTACTCAGTCTGCCCGGTCCGCTGCATATCATACCTGTCAATGTTCTTACACCGCTCGACCAAGTTGTTGATGAAATTCAGGGATTTATAAATTCGATATCTTTGGTGAGAACAAAAATTAATGCGAAAGATAGTCATGAGCAATGTCATGGAAGCTGAGGAAGAAACGCAAGAAACAGATTCCGAGAATCTAATGCGAAATAAAAACAGAACTAATTTTGGAATGAGCGCGAAGTACATGACAAGCTGCGGTCCGGGGCCCGAAGCAAAAGCTCCCATCTTTACTAGTGGCCGTCTATCATACTTAAACCTATCTGCGCCATGAACCATGGTCGCAGCGGAATCGGCCTCCGTGTTCGGATGCTGGGTCGTGGTGAATGAACAGGAAAAAATCTACTTCAAACAATGAGTCAGTGATTGGGGTTTTCTGTCATCAATGTCATCATAGAGTCGCATCAGTAAATATCCACAATGAATGCGAAAGACAAAAATTAGAATATGTCAGAAGAAGTTTGAGATGAATCCGATCGAAGATGTATTAAAGGAGTACCCATGATGGATCAACATATTTCGGTATGAAGTTGTCCTTTCCTTTCGCAGGCCGCAATGTTGCCCGAGGATAGTTTTTCAGCTCTGAGAAATAATTTGCAGCTTCTGGTACCTTGAGGTGGAATTAAAAAATAGGGGAGTTACTTTGCAGTTGGTGAACAATGAGTAATTGTTTTGCCGTTGCACTCGAGGAAAGGCTTCCAGTCAAGAAGTACTGATATACCTCCTTACGTCACACCTCAAATTGTCGTGTTCGTGTAGTACCCGCTCATAGTTTGTGGACAGGGCCTTCATCGTAAGCTTATTGTGATCGACAGGAGCTGCGCTCACAAATGTCGGGTCGTACATGTGGTCCAAGGACCGTGTCTCTCTTACCACTGTACGCGACATCTTGCTCCTATTCTTGTCGGGGGGTTACTCCTCCAGTAGATGATGACGTTGACGTATTCTTGTTATTGTTGACCACGAACAAGAAGTGGCTCTTCTAGTAGTTCTTGGTCTTCTTTTAGTTCTAAGGAGTGATTTTCGAAAGTGTACTTTTTCTAAACCGGGTCGAGTTCACAATTAAATTCGAATCAGTTGTATTTCCTGGTCGCGTGTACAAGTGCTTCGATCTTGTGCGTGACGACCTGGGCTTCTTCGCATATCTTCCCTGTTCCTGCCAGGAGGTACGCTTTTAATGGATTTTCGAAGGCGAATCAGAGGGGTGTAGATTCGGTTCGAAATCGAATTCCGCTCTGAGGAAACGAAGGAACCTTTCTTGTGCGTTGCGAAATGGGGTGTATCGTCGGCAAGAGCTGTGACAGCCCTAGGCGGACCACCACTACTAGTACTTAGTAGAGCAGCAACTATTACTCCTATAAGTACTATTTTTCTCCCTCGATTGAAGAATCACGCGGTTGATGGGAGAAAGCGTCGCCGAGGGGATGATGTCGACTATGCGGGTATAACGGATTGAAGCGCTTTCCACAAGTTTCGCTTTATTTGCTACGGCTGTTTTCGGTGTTGGTGACCGTAATCCCAATGCGTAACGGCTACGTTCAGGCACACACGACGCCGACTGAGCCTTGCAGTAGTGCTTGAGGAACGTTTTTCCGATTCTCGTCTACTCACGTGTATTCACGTGTGCTCTACAATGTTGGCCGTTCCCAGAACTAGGGTGCGTACGAGCCATGTGGCGCCAAAGCGCATTCAGAACCGGCAAAGGGTCCTCCGACGAGGCCCCCGCGGCATATAGCGGGGAAACTACGATATCCCTGGCATGATTTCCGTATCATGATAGTTTGTGATCTTCTGCTAAAGCTAAAAGTAGATTTTATTGTACACCTTCATTGAACCAAGTTTGGCCAGATATCGAGGAGCCAGGAGGTTGCTTGTTCTGTCCTTATATTCTGCTGCGAAAAGAACCTTCTAGATGTAGCATCCACCTCCAAATGCCCAGTAAGAATCGAAAACCAATATTTTTTCTGCTTTATTTCTGTATCACTGATGCACAAGTAGCAGGGGTTTTTCTAATTCATTCGAGGAGGCCACTACAACTCTGTCAACATCGAGTCAACCCGGGCCTCTAAGTACTACACAATACACTTCTTGTTCTCATCCGGGTGCGCAAGACCACGAACCTCGAATGATAACAACATCTGTAAAACTTTCTCTCTTCTAGTCAGCAAGTGCAAGTGCGAGAAATTTCAGTTTTCGAAGAAAGAACTACCGAGTCTTGACGACCGAAATAAACGGACACTATTTCCATCTAAGCTGTCGTCTCTTTCTCCAGCATAATGATGTGACCACGAAATCCGAACGATACAACAGAGACGATATCAAAGTTTACCAGAACCTCCATCTTCCCGACACAACTGTTGATCCTAACAGATAAGGCCGAAAAGGTGATGCAGAAGAGTAATCTCACACTCAACCGCAGAAACTCGAGAGAAGAGCTCCTACCCGTCGACGTCTTGCGCAAGTGTCGTTAAATCAAAGAAGCTTACTTCTTACATGCTCTGTTTATTGATCATTGGCATCAATGACAAAGCAAGATCCAGGACGTTTGTTTGAACCAGTGCCCGTCAGTTCTGCACATTATTCGGAGAAATGTTGAGACATGCACATCCACATGTCGCAGGAGAAAACGATATTAGACAGCTAAGTTAGTATGTGTCATATAATCTGCATCACGACAAGGCAACTATTGTAGTTGTCTGGTGAAGACGCCCGTTGATAGTATAAAGAATGTTTATTGCATTTATCCAGAGTTAACGTGCTCGTGCCACTGTCTCCCTGGCGTTCCATAGTGCTGCTGGTGTCTTGCCTCGAGTGTGGTGCTTGTATGTACATTCGCCCAGTGAGTCGCATCGCGCTGCCCACTGAAGACCAACGAAATCGATGTTGCCGTCGAGACGCGCTCTGCTTTGCCTTATTCCTGGAGCGAACTGCAGGCACACCGTCCTCTATTTTGCTAGCATGTAGTACTTGCTTCGCCAAAAAACAAGTGCCATTGCTGGTGGTGGTGGCGTCTTTCCTCCGTTTCTACTTCTAGCAGCATGATCACACCTACTCTTTTCGAAGGTGATGAATGCCTTGCCGTTGCCCTGTCGTCCGCGTTCTAGCAGTAGCCTGTCGTGTGCCAGCCCGAGATGTATGTTGCGGGCATAGGAGGACAACACCAAAAAATTTTCTATCAGTCATCATCTTTGCTGTTTTTTCGGTCGTTCCACCTTTTTAGTTCTCGGACAAGCATGCCTGCAAGCCACCCAGCACTCTGCGCAATTCGATTGTCGTTTTGTTGTGGGACGATCTCGATTGGAATGTAATACCGATCGTAGTTGTAACCACTGTAAAAACCCCAACCAAAGCACGCGATGAGCCCGCCAGCGTACGTTACATTATCCCAGTTCACTTGGGCCCACCTGGGGTATAAAAAGTCAGAGTCATGCGTAATTGATCAAGTAAACAAGAAGCCGATCTATAATATGTTCCACAACTAAGATACTCTTGATCGTGTAGTATCGTTTTGAAAAATTATCTCAGTTCTCGATCTTCGTCCTTCTCATTGAAGCAGTAAAATGATGATCATCATGACCATGTTATCGGGAAACCTGAAATATTACCCTTCTTTGATTGATTCGTCGAGGTTTGCGTATATCGACTGGAAGAAGCCTCTTTCTTCTTCGGTCAATGTGCTTGTTCCGGACTGGTTGTGGAGAAATTCGTTCAGGTTTCGGGCGTTAAACTCCACGCTGTTGCGACAAATAGGACAGGTAGGCCGCATTCTCTGCGCTCTCGCGGTTTGAATCCAACTTTGGAGACAATGCGCATGGAAAAAGTGTGCTTTTGGTCGTGTTTTGCATCGCATCACTGCCTCAGCGGGATCGATCGCCTCGAAGCAAATCGGACAGTCATCCGCGATGCCATCCTCCGGATCACCGGGGGGAGGACCAGTAAAAGTAGCAGAGGAGTGGCCATCTACTGCGCCAGGTGGAGATGAAGCAGGGCTGGGTGGATAGGCATGAAAGCCCGCACTACCGCCTCCGTGGATTGTTGTTGCACCAGTGCCGACTCCGTGGTGAGAGCATGTCGATACACCGGTGTGAGCGCAACTATATTGGGACGACTTGTGACTGCAATCGGATGCGGAAGCCTTGAGGCTGCTGGTATCATGGGTGGCGCCCTCGCTGCCTGACGAGAAGGAAGAGCTGGTGTATTTCCCCAAGCTGCTGGAGGATGAACCCCCGAAAAGACTCGCAAAAAATGAAGGCCTTTCCTCAGACCCTGTGGAGTTCGTTTGACCAGTGCTGTTTGTCTGGTTCGTTTTCGACGAGGGCTCGATATTTCTATTTGTCGTTGGCTTTTTTTGCGCATCATACGCCCCGCTTCCTCTTTCTCCAACGCTCTGAGGGGCGGATCTACTAGAAGAAGAAGACGAGGAGGAGGACCCGAAAGACGAGGACGAAGATGACGCCTGCTCAGTGCCATATTTGCCACCCTTGTTTGCTGTGTTCGTATGATCGATTCGATTTGATGTCGTGGTCCCTGTTGTAGTGTTCCGAAACACACTTGCTTCCCCTGGACCAAAGGGACCACCCTCCTCTTGCTCCTGCGTCCAACTCCAGGCCGTATCTCCCGTTTCATCGGACAAGACGCCATGAGCGGTTCCATCCAGGCCTTGCGAAGACGACGCTGCAGGAGCTGCAAACAAGAAATCGTAATGCTCTGGGTTTTGCTGTTGCTGAGAAGCATCTGGAGGAGTGCCTTCAACATCGCCACTTCTTGATGCATCGTCTGCCGAGTCTACTTGCGTACGACCGGCCCCAGCCGTAGATGAACGCTCACGCTCACCACTGTTGCTACCGCTGCTCATTTTCAGTCGCTATCTCAACAGTGTTCGTCCCACGGTTGTCAATGGATTTCTATCGATTTTGCGCTACTTAAGATAGATCACACCGAATACGAACTATTCATCGTCGTGATTATATCGCCCAGAGCGACTCACGAAACGAAAATGATCATACACGAACGATGTTGAAAAGCGAGGACACATTCATCATCAGCCGTGGATAATGTAAATCAAAGCAAAGGGGGTGCAAAACGTATTAACAGGGAAGATCCACGGTGCTTTGCTGCATAAAAGGATGGTAGAAGAGGGCTTAAAAAATCGAAATTTCGCTAGATGCATGCTGTATACTGTACCTAGAAGCGTATGCGTCTTCTTCGCTATACCTTCTCGAAAAGAAAACAAGGTTTTTACATCCTAGAACAAAAAACATCATGCACTATCTTCATCTTGAAAATAAAATCGTTTTGCTGATGCACTCACAATTTTCAATTCCGTGTTTTGCGGTTTACTTCTCGCCGTGGAATATATTTTTTGTTTTTGAGATCTCTCGTCTTCAACATTGTTGAACACGTTATTTCCAAAAAGACTAACACACATGTCGTATGATAGTCAATATCAATGGCCATAAGGCTCCCGTGTGGTTCGGATTCAGGCGATAACAAAATCCACTCGTTTCTCAGAGTCAGACAGCAGCCTAATAAATATAATAACTCTCACTCTTAGGTTACATTTTCATTTTATGAAGAGGATAGTGCTGATATCCACTATGACATAAGTACTTTCAAACCGTTGTCGATAGAATCAACAAACGTCAAGTCATGAAGATAGTGAAATAAGAAAAATAGGTGGATGCATTTTTGATCATCAATGGCCGCGGGATTATGAGTTACTTACAACCGGCAAACAGCGCCGCTATTCGCCCTGGAATTCCGCCTCCACAAGTCTCGGCGCTGCAAGTGGCGCTCAATCCGGTAGCGCTTGCAGATGGCCAGAGTCTCAAAACTTAATTCATTATAGATTTTATGCTCGCGTGGATCTTCGAGAAGATAACGCGTTCTATGCGAGGACTCAACCTGTCCATCATAGTTTATTTTAGTCAGGTTGATACAATCGGTGTCACCAGCTTCAAGTACCACATATCTTGGAAGCAACTGAGGTAAAACCGGCGAAAATTTCCTTTCACTTTCTAGTGCGCCATTTGCTAACAAAGGAAGTCCACCTCGTGGGGCCCCAAGTTTACGCCAGTAGGCCGCGTAGTTGATGTCCTCACTCGGGAACTCCTCGGGCTGAAGGTCAATTCCAAGAGCACCCACGTCGAGGCCTGCGAGACGTCTCAATTTCTTGTTGCGTGACTTAGACGCGATTTCCAAGCAACTGCTTTCCACCATATCAAGATCCATTATCAATCCTGAGAGTGCAAGGCTCTCCCAATAAATAAAGGAAGAGCCGTCGTCCTCGTCCCCGACATTCGTAACGTCTGACGATTTGAGTGTGTTTTCCAAGAGAGGTGCAACTTGATTTCGCAGAGGCCCAGCTTCAGAGGGTGGCAGTGAGCGTATGCCTTTTGCCACATGACAAAGCTCTGCCACACGTGAAAGAGAAACGCCTACTCCAGCATCTCTTGGTCTTACCTCTTCACTATCGGCTGCTTCGTGTTCAATACTGATTGCCTCCTCAGGTCTTGCATCTTCTCCCGAAGAAACGCCTGATGCAAAATTTTGCGTCGACCATTTCGAAAGCATATCTTCAGCCAACATGAGAAGAGGGCGAAGTTGCTGCATGTCTCGGTGTCCGTTCATCGCCCACAGGCCTACGATACGAATCAAATGGGGAGCATAGTGCGGAGCAAATACCGTCACATGAAAGGAATTACTCCCCGCCTTTTTCTTCAAGTTCGCCCACGATATAAGCATGTCTTCCTGCGGAAACGAAACAACACCGGTACTACTTAAAGAGTCAAGATTTCCGCGTCCCGAGGAGCACGTTCTTGGCCCGTCCGACGCCTCCGCCAAGGCAACCAGAAAGCGCCAGAGAAGATCTGGCGATAGTGCTCGAAGTGGTACCCTTGAGCGGCTCTCTTGTGCTACCGTCGAGAAAACAGCGAGATCCAGCTCGTGCGTTGAAACAACAAACTCTGCCAACTGTCTCGCAGCTGAGGTAGACGAGGACGTCGTGTCATACGAGCCTGGAGGTAGTCTTTCATGTCCATCTCCTGTGTCATCCGCAGCCGCCAGAGTTTCTAAGCTTTTAGACGCTGTTTGCAGACACCTTTCAGATTCAGCCGGATCCTCAACGACGAGAGAGAAGTCGTCATCTTCTCCCCCCTTCCAAGTGGATGACTCGTCGAACGCATCATGATGATGATTGTCATTCTTGTGCTGGTCTTGCTTTTTCCCTATGCGCGTTAGCTTTGGAAAGGAGGTCACAACTCGTCTCCAATTTTCCGTTAGAACATTGCGGACACGGGGCACGGCAATTCTGAAACGAGCGTACACATTAGCGAGCTGCAACAGCTCGGGTACTGACACGAATGCGGAGGGTGAGATGAGATTGTTGTTATTACCGATGTTGAGGAGAAGCGCCTCGTGACGCAATCCTAAGTCGGCCAGCGCGGAGAGCAGGTCGAGCATCTGCTTGCGAGAAAAGAAGGAGGACGTCAACATCGCAACGTGGGCAAGTCGGGCCATGGCGCTTGCATCGGGGATGCGCGCCGCTCGGAACCCTTCCACGGCGTTTACTATGTCACCGGGCTTTGCGTCAAGTGCTCGCATGGATAGGGCCACGCCCAGTGACGCCATCAAAGGGATCTTGTTATTGGCTCTTTCGTCGTGCTGGAATAAGAGCCTGCCTGAGGACGCCTGCTGCTCGAAACGAGCGCCCATTGTGGAACGCCCCACAACGAGACAGAGTTCAGCAAGCTCAGAAACGGAGAGGTCACTGACGCGCGACCGCAATTGGCGAGCGAGTTTTTTACTAAGTTCGGCGTCGAGGCGTTCAGCAAGTGCGAAAGCTGTGATTACCCGAGCGACGTCTTTGCCATCCATTCTTAGAACTGTAGTGCTAGTGTGCCGATGGGGAAATTCTATAGTCTTGGTTATTGCCCTAGCTGATCGATGAGTTTTGAATTTGTCCTTGCTTAACATTTCATGTAGATAGACTTCAAGCTGTAATCGCGCAAGCGCCCACGGATCTTCGTCTCTTGTGTCAAGCCTGGCGGTGCTGATTGAAAGCTCCGTTGCGAGAGGAGTTGCTCCAGAGCCTCGTGAAAGTATGTCGTCGGCGCCGGAACTTGTTGATAAGGAATTATCAGAACAAGGTACAGGAGGGGGACGGCTTTCGCGTGCCGTTGAGTCGAGTGGTCGCGCAAACGAGCCGCAGGCTCGCGAGTTCAAAGCATCATGGTCGCGATCTACAAAATGAGAATGGTCTAGCATCTGCTCGCTTTCATGGTGCGCAGTACTAGATGACCATACTGGAGGTGAATCTGGAAAAAGTGAGCTGCTGCTTTCGAGGAGCCGGCCAAGGCGCTTACCGTTGTCAACCTGCTGCAACAGGCGCAGGACCGGCAGCACTGTGCGACGCTGCATCGCGTCTGATTAGAAAGAGTTTTTCATTCCTCTGCCTTCCTCGGCGAACGAAGATTCCTTGCGCACTGCTCCAAGTCCTCCTTGGGGAGCCGCGGGGATCAGCCGTCCGCGAAAGAAACTTCCTTCGCCTCTATCCGAGAGGATGAAAAACTGGCCTTAATGCGAAGAGCTCAAACTCGAGGCTGACATGTTGGTTTACTCACGTGCATCTCTCGGCTACGACTCCAAGTCGAGGATCACATGTCCTTGGCTCATGGATTTATCTACCCTCATCTTGCTCGTTACAGATCTTGTAGTTTCTCTTCCCCTTCCTCATCCATCATTGATCCAATGAGCTGAGCAAGGTGTTTCGACTAGGACTATGAATGAATACGAAGAAGACCGCCTAAAAGGCTACACGACTATCGTTTCTTCTTCTATGATTGTTGAATCAACGATGAAAACAGCTTTCAGAGGGTGGAGAACAAGAGCAATATAACAGCGACAGGGCTGGTTTTCCTACTTCCTAGAATAGAACACTTGCTCGTGAATGACATGGCGAGGGTGAGACGCCACGAATGTTGCGTTGAGCGATCTGAACGTCCACGCGTCCCATCCTCCTTTGATTGATGAGAGCATGAAGAACTACTGACAACATGGGGAACAACATGAAGATCATGATGTGCGTAGCAAAGACATTGAGGTGCGAGTGTCTTCGGACTGGCCGTAGCCGCTGTTGCTCATGTCAGCACAAAATAACAAGAGTGCTGTACTCTTGCTGATGCTGGGAACTATGAACTAAACAAGAGCGGGGAGGTCCAGTTCATCAAGATGAACCCCTTCCACTACAATCAGAACGAGAGTATCTCTTGAAATGAAGTCTCTGCTGATCGACGTCGACACCTGGATTTGATGACATATATGAAAAACACAAAACTGGTTACAACTATGCAGCGAGAACTACTCGTACTCATGTACATGGACGGAATTGCTAAAAGCCCCACGCAACTTTGAATATGCACCAAAAGAAAAAATGATTCATCAGAATCTCATTGCGGCTCATGCTTGCATCTTCATCATGTTCTTAGCTACGCATACTCCCATTGAATGTTCCAAGAGTGGTCTTAGGGTTAAGACCAGACATGCTGCTCAATTCCTTCCCCTTCGCCGTCAGGTACTCGTGGCACCTTAATGCGGTCAGGGAAAAGAACCTCCAGGATACGCATGCGAATCAGTCTGCTCTCGCGCCCCAGGATGTTCTGATCCTGAAGAATTGCCACCGTCGCCGCCGCGTCGCAAGAAACGCGAAAAGAGATACTCCAATCCACTTTCGATCTTCCCCATGAGCGCAGTGCTATTAGAGCTAAAACTCTCTTCGTCGCATCAACATTCATGGCATAAATCAAGTTAAGCATCGACAAACCTCCTGGCCTTAAACGTGTCATCGCCACCAGAAAAATCGTCTCCGCGATCCGGCGGTAACTCGTACTTGTAGCCCTCTTGTTGCCCACCAGCACGACAGCTGTATCCGTCGTACATCTATGTATGGTAGTACAGTGATTGACTGATGTGAACCCGCGGTCAAACAGTGGATACTCGTAAGTAAGTAGTGGAGTTGTGTTCTATGACCGGAATCTAGTATTTGTAACTGTAACAATAAAAAAATGAAGTGTAATTAGTGGATGAAAAATATGAAGATTTACTTGCAGCTGGAGACAACAAGAATACAGGTAATACATCTGCGAAAGCCGCCGGTTCGAAAGACGCGTGCACACCTGTTGTTCCCATACCTACATGGCAGTTTCCACTTCCACGCTTAGAGATCTTCCAAATTTCTTTTCCTAGTCGCATTTTGATAAATATTCATCATGTGCTGCGCGCATCGTTCACGAGTACATCTACATCTACTGTTTCACAATCATATGAAATGCGGTGCTGGAGTATATCTATATCTTATAACCTATACATAGGAAGATTTACTGACAGTGACATTCTACTCTACTACAGGTAAAGTAGAGAGCCTTAACACGAGCCCCGTCGTTACTGGTCCATAAGTTCCACTTGTCCGCGAGGGCTTCCACAACCTGGTGCGTTGGTTCATCTTCATGGAAGTAGATGACATAAAAGTTGTAAAACAATTTTTACTAGAAAGATAAAAATAACGACGCTACATCTACATTCAGATACAACGAGAACGACGACAACAGATTTTTTTTCATGGAGAAAGGTCTAGCATGTTAGATCAACTGCGTACCTGGCCTTTTATTTCTTGTGCTTTGCGCACCCACCGCTGGATTTTGTCTTGATCCTCCTCAGAATAGGTCCGATCTCTCGGCGCCCGAACCAATTCTTCGATCCCCTGCATCATGTCCCGATCCGAGAGGAGCATCAGGTCAGGTTCCGCTGGAGCAGGGCGCGCAGTTCTCGACTGATTGTAGATCGCTGGCACTCTACTGAAGGAGTGGCCGGGGGGTCCCGCAGGCGGAAAGCCGTAGCCCGAGTTTCCCGGATGCTGGCACAAGGGTGGGCCTGGTCCTCCAGAAAAGGCAGGAGCAGAGGCAGCGAGGTGTAACTGGTGTGGCGAAGGGTAGATACTTTGGCGAGCTTGCGTTGCTGATTGAGCGACCTGCGACAGGGGGATTCGTTGAGCCGGGACTGGAGCCGCTGCGGGCGGTCTCACCGCGGATGACGAGGAGGGACGCTGATTCATAGCCTGGTGGGAAGATGGAGGGTAATGATAGGCGTAGCCGGCCGCGTGGGCTTAGAGACAGAAGTGTTGCCTTTTCATGAAGATTGTTCTGACTTCATCGAAGCGGGTTGTAATGTATTCAATGATCTGGAGTACTTGAATTGAAACTAAAAAATACTCTCAAAGCACTGCTACCCGCGACACAGTATACAACTTCAGTCTCAACACTTATCACGTCCAGGATAATAAAGTAAAACTAGCCGTAATTATTGTCCCCCGAGCAGTGTTGACTGCCGCCGCTGCCAATATAATTCTGCTCAATCTGAAAGGAGGTTGGGTACTGATGGCCATAAGGTGGTAGTGGAGTTGTGTTGTGTGGTGTATTTCGCGCGTTATAGGGAGGAGCGGGTGCTGTTGACTGGTGGGTCTGCTGTGCCGGAACCGGATGAGTGTACCCGTAAGGGTCGTTATGTTGATCACTAGCAACCGCCGATAACGTAGATGAACCTCGATCTATATCTTCTGCTGCGGCACTTTTTATGTACGGATCATGCGGGTTGGAGGCGCGGTAGGGGCTATGGTCATGACTAGTCGGCGGGCCTGGATGTTCTCCTCCGAAAATTGTCTGGCCATACGGGTCATGTACTGCTTGTGCTTGTTGCGCCATTGGGTCCTGTCCCAACGGCTCGCTATATCCTTGCCGAGCAGCTAAATTATACGGATTAGAATACGGGTCGGGCTGTCCGGTGTTGTACGGAGCCGAAATTACACCCGATGCCCCTGACGCCATGTTATATTCCCCAGATGTTACCTGGCCGCTAGAAGGAATCGCTCCGTAATACTGGCGGGCGGTACTGCTACTGCTCGAGCTCGGAGTACTATCAGCTTGATTTTGTCCTCGTAAAGCCGCCCCAGTCCATGTGCCGCTCACGCTTACGACTGAATTGTAGATATTAACGAATTGTTGCTGTTGCGCGCCATAGGCATAGCCGTTCGAGAGTCGCGGGGAAGGCACCACTCGAGGACTTCGGGAGGGGATGTCGGCTGCCGTTGGAACAGGCTGTTGCGGTAACTGCAGCTGCGGAGCTAGCTGTGATGTGACCACTGGTCCGCTGGTCGCGTAGTTTCGACTAATACCGCCGCGAGGTGTTGACGGCCGCCCGCGGGGAGTTGATGGCTGTGCAATTGCTGATGTCGATGATGACGACGCGCGTAGTGTCCCCGGCTCTGTGGTCTTATTTGGCACATACCCACCGTCTGCTTCTGGCGTTAGATTGGAGTCGTCGCTGGCAGCCGTGCGTAGTGCTGGACCAGACACGCACGAGCTAGTCACTTTGCTCGCAGCAGTTGACAAAGAAGCAAGAACTCTTCCCGCTTTATTAGGATACTCTCCGTCAGCACCCTGATGAAGGTTCTCGTCCTCACCCGTCTTTATATGTGGCGTTCCAACATGGTAGGGACCTGCGGTCCTCTGTTCGAGTGCAGCGCGGGGCGTGCCGCCTCCTCCAGCTTTGGGGCTCGTTCGAGGGGTGCCAACAGGTGTTCCGTCACCTCCGGAGACAAGAGGAGTGCTCATAGTTTGTCCCAGCAACTTTGCAGAGGCGGCTCTAGGAGTGTTCTCCCCCTCGTCGGCAGCTCTCGCAGGATGTATCCTCCTGGGCGTCCCGAACCCATCCCCGCGTGGCGTTCCTACTGTTTTTCGAGGTGTCGTAACTCGTGGTATCATCGCCGAAGTCACAGGCGCTCAGTATGGAGGTACTCTCTTACATCCGGCTGGACCATCCCGCTTTTTGCTCCCCATCATCTTGTATCTTGTATTTGTAAAATCTTCTAATCCATAACTACGACTAAGTATCTACAACAACGCATCTGCTAAAAAGCAGGGCGGTCCCGGAATGGTCATACCTACGGATGAAAAAATGAGAACGCATACAACTATTGTCGCTCCCGAAATGCGAGCTCCTCCAAGAACCGCGCCACTTTGGTCTACTTCACCAGGGGCGAAACCTCCAGCCACGTTAGGCGCATAGTTTGACGCAAGCGCCTCGGGTGGCGTGTAGAGATACGGATCGACCTGCTGCCGCGGGCTGCGTTGCGGGAGCAAAAGCGGATTCTGCTGAAGCAGCAGCTGCTGTTGGAAACGGAACTCCTCTTCCGGGGCATACTCGCCGCCCGCGGCTGCCGGCCGCATCTTGCGATCCGCCAACAGCTCATTCTTGTTCTTATTGAACCAGTCGAGTCTTGTCGAGCTTGATCGTGCGCTGAAAATGCGAGGCGTCCCACCTCCTCGCGGAGTCGTTGATCTTGACGCTGACCTAAATGAAGTTTATTTTACCTAAGATTATTCTCCAGACAAGAATCTCGGCGATTTCGTGGAGTACTAGAAGTTCAAGCTCTTTATCATAAAATTACCATCATCTCCAAGAATTAGTAGAGGCTCATACACTATCATTAAGAAGAAGAAGATACTAGCTGGAGCTATAGATTCAAGTAGTCATCGATCCAACCTATTGATACTGATCAAGCGGCCTTGTGTTGCCCTGGGCATCGATCCAGTACTGTTGCTGAGACACATTATCGTAGGACAAAGACCAGGCTTCGCCAGGCTTAGTCCATGACACGGCTCCTGTCTCGCTGTTGTAGTAGTACGGACGACCGTTCGATGGATCGTACTCGACTCGCCAGTGGGAAGGTAACTCTAAATCGACAGTCGCTGTACTCATGTCGTTTTTCCGTTTGATTAAATGCTCCAACGTCTAGCTACACAAAAAAATCAATCAAGTGTTCTCGTCAGGAATTATAGGATCTTGATCTTCAACATTTACACTTACTCAAAAGTGATCTGCCCGAATCGGCACAAGTAGGCGGACTTTCATTTTTGAAGCTCCTACATCAATATCGTCGAGAGCCACCGACCTGAATTAGTTGTACCGTTGAAGTTCTAAACTTTCACTTTTTTATTGGTTCCTTCTTTTAGGTCGCTTTTTTCCTGTTTAGGTTTCTCTCAACAAACATGGTCATCTAGCAGTCGATGCTCTTCACAATATTAATATGCTCCTCAAGGAAATTTCGAAACTCTGCATCTCTATGCTCACCTTTTAGCTTTACCAGCGTCTTATTCTCACTTTCTGCTCGCTGCCATAACTGACGGCCTATGTTCACCTAGATATACGTTGCGTCACATCTTTGTGGTCTGCAGTAACGCAGAGAGACAGGCTTTCCGACGCGGCTACATTTTCTTCATGAAGATCAGGCGCGCCTTCGGTCTGAGAGTGCTGGAGGGGTGGTAAAGGTGTCAGTGCATACGACACCGCGCAGGGTCATTAATTCTTCTCACAACTGGATAGTGCGATGGCTCGAGGTAACCATTACTTTTTCAGGCTCAAATTTTGTTGCCAAGAACGTGTCTGAGAAAAACTATGAAAATAACTACTTACTCACAAGAAACATGATTCGATCAGTATTAACCTTTCGACGAGCCTTCTCAATTACTAAAAGCACATTAGATAAAAATTTGAGAAGGAACTGCCACAAATATGATGATCGATAAACATATTTCATAAACGAGAGTAAGGGCCAAGGATATTGTCGCGATGGGGGGACCTCCTCAGGAAAATAATAAAGGTAAACAAACAGAAGAACTCACTGCGACGGGACTCAGCTTTCACTTGATTTCGTTCTGCTCAAATCCTTTATCAATCATTAAAGTAGTTATCAAAATCATGATAATCACAATGTAATTCTAAAGATACAAATAGCAGGTAGTGTATACTCGTTGGCACCTCTAGTACATTTGTGTTGTAGCGTCAGGCCGGTTACTTTCACACTCGTGGTGCCCCATGAATTCGCCTTGGTTGTAGAAGAACACTAACACAGTAAATATGTTGTAAGAATTCTCGTCGTCTGACACTTACTTTCGATCCTACAAGGAACTGCGTAAAAACAAGAAACAGTCACATTCACTACGTCATCTATAGCAAGTTGATTTCATATATTGTAAATCCCTGAGTCGTTCGCACACTGCGGGCAGAGTTCTCGTATTTAGAGGTAGACTTTCAGCACCATGCTCACTCACGTGGTATCTAGAGAATTACAATTAAGCTAGCCCTTCTCCTTGAGAAGCTGAGCAGGAGGAACTATTTCTAGCAATAAAACAAACCTCCTACTTGTTACTAGAGAATCTGCAAATGCCAACATGTTGCTACTGAAAGAGAAAACTGCTACTCTTCTTAATGTCCTCTTCCTCTGGGTCGTTGAGCAGCGTGTGGAGGTACGGCGCCTCTTCGTCGCTGTCTTCTTCTTTGGTTTGCTCCAATACCCGTCCGGAAGAAAGTTCCCTATCTTCAAGAGAAGGTGCTGCCCCTGCTTCCCTATTTTCAGTGCTACTGACGGGTTGCTTGATGGTTCGGTCGCGCAGAAGAATTTCCGCTTCTTCACACGTAGCCAAGAATGTAGCATGTGCCACTTTGCTGTAAGCTGGCTGGTGCCCGTAAAGCACACGAGCCCCCGCAGATCTGTGTGCTTTGAGTACCCACGGTAGCGCCTTAGCTCCCACTATTTGCCATGCAAGCTCTGTTCCGATCACAAGATCATATTCCGTCGGTCTTCTGGTAGCACGAGTTGTTTTCTCAGAGTCACACGAGTCGAAGGACGGCATAAAATCTTGCCAATCACATGCCGCAAATTAGAGCGTTGTAGTTTTTCTGCCAGGAAATAGAGAAGGAATCTTAAAGGCTCAACGAAATGGTGAGTCTCTATGATCTACTTCATGTATTCCCGCTCTAATTTGCAAGCATAATCACAGGAAACATTTGAGAGCTTCGACTCGCGGACGTTCGCTCGGAGGGCAGGGAGGGCGTGCAAGAGGTCTGTCAGTGTTACGTGCACTCGATTGGGGCCCAGGTTTGCCGCCAGTGTAAGTCCCATCCAGCCTGTACCCGCGCCTAACTCAAGAACGCGCCAGATGTGAGCATCATAGTCGTGTTCTTGTCCCGGATTGTCTGATGCTTCGAAATCTGGTAGAGCTTTATCTCTTGGGGACGCTTCTTCCAAGGCATCGTTGCAAGAAGCATCCTTACGCCTAGCTGATCTTGTGGCAGTACACGCTGTCCTCGACGTTGAAGACGTTCGCGGCGTTTGCAACACTCGGGGACAATCCGAATCTTCTTCTAGGAGAATTTGTCCAGGAGACTGCGTAAAGACTTTGTCTTTTTGCATCCAGTCTAAGAGATACCGTGAGCCCGGCCACACACGCAGGTGCGTCGTTCGGCCTTGTTTCCGCTCTTCCAAATCGCCAATGGATGAAAACTGTGGAAAAATCTCATAATGCCAAGAACCATCGTTGTTGGTGGGTACATTTTGGGCAGCATTTACTGGCGTCGAGGATGACGTCATTTTCAACGCGCACCACGATGGGCGGAGGAGATGAGGCAGCTTCTGGGTCGATGTTCCTTGTTAAAAAACAACTGACGGTCCAGTTGAGTTGTTCGGAATGAAAAATGCTATTCGTTTAATGAGCCGATTCTATTTCAATTCTGTAGTCCTCAAATATTATCGGAAAACTATGCAAGAGGAGTTGCACAATCTATCACGCGTGGGTCTCTGAATGCATCAGCTTGTCGAGCAGAAACCTTCGCATTGAAATTAATTTGTTTGAAAACAAGTCAAACTCAAAACCCAAAGACTAAAAACTGTTGATCTTCACACACGAAAAGGTAGGAACTACCATCTAGATCTAGTGCCTTGTTCTATCATATTCGTATTCCCACGGACGCTTTGTCTAGTTTCAAGGTTTTTTCCAGAAGAACTACACATTTTGGTTCTGTCATTGGCCCCCGTTAAGAGCGTTCGATCCAAGGAACGCACTGACTGTGACACACATCCTGAATGAATCATGTCAGCTCAACAGAGACAGCATGCATATCAACTATAGAACTAGTACTTTCTTTCATGCATCGGGCTTCAAGATTATACAAGACCTGGTCTAGACGTAGAAAAAACATGCACATAATCCCAAAATGACTAAGCACTTACCGGAAAACTACATCAAGAATTGTGACTAGTCATAGATAATGTGACAATCACAGCATTCATTGCATTAAACTTACTGTACATGCTAGAGGGCTATACGAGAGATACTACTTCCAGCGTTTGCACTACTGCGTTGCTCGGTTGGTGACTCCTATGGTTTTCTTTGCACATTAGATCCATAATATAAATATATATGCTCCAAGGCTCAGGGCGGGAGGCTCCCCCCCGATCTAACTTCTTGAGGGGGGGGCCTCCCCGCCCCAGCCCCTCTTTTCGAGGGGCTGCCGGGCGGGAAGGCCTCAAAGCGCCCACTTCTGACCCCTTCCCGCTTCTTGCATGTAAGTACCCTACAGACCTGGCAAAGGTGGCAAAGGCGGGGCCCTCTTGTCGTGTTGCGTGTACCCGACAGAGCTGGCACTGGCAGACGAGGCAAGGCGGGAACCCAACCCCTTGGCGTAGGGTTGGACCCATGCAACGCGCCAGAGGGGTCCACCCTTGCCACCTTTGCCAGGTCTGTAGTGTTGGGCTGCCACCTTTCTTTGCCAGGTCTGTCGGGTACATGCAGCACGCCAAGGGGGTGGGTCCCACCTTGCCTCCTCTGCCAGCTCTGTCGGGCACACGCAACACGACAAGAGGGCCCAGCCTTTGCCACCTTTGCCAGGTCTGTCGGGTACATGCAAGAAGCGGAAAGGGGTCAGAAGTGGGCGCTTTGAGGCCTTCCCGCCCGGCAGCCCCCCGACAGACCTGGCAAAGGTGGCAAGGCTCGACCCCTCTGGCGTGGTCCACCCCAGATCCATCCACAGGGGGAGGGGCCGTAAGGTCGAGAAAGGGGCCCCGTGGGCTTTACGGGATTTCTAGTCATGTAGGCAATTTCATGACTTGGCGGACGAGGGGCAGCAGAGTTCCCCTGGCTGTGAGTCTCGGCCTCAGTCTTAACCACAAGAGGGACGCGGAAAATGTTCACAAGACGGCGAGGGGGAAAAGTTTGGCAGAAATTCACAGAGCTCGGCAGAAAATGCGGCAGAGAGTCCAAGAGGAAGGGGGGGCAAGAATGTTCTTAGTGGCAGAAAATGCGGCAGAAAGTCCAAGAGGGGGGCGGAAAGTGTTCCCGGGTGGCAGAAAATGCGGCAGATAGTCCAAGAGGGGGGCAGAAAGTGTTCTCGGGTGGCAGAAAATCAACCAGGGGAGTGGAAAGCGTTCCCAGGTAGGCAGAAAATGCGGCAGAAAATCCAAGAGGGCAGGAGGCGGAATATGTTGTGTTCCCGGTTGACAGAAAACGCAGCAGAAAGTCCAAGAGGGGGGTGGAAACGGAAAGTGTTCCCGGGCGGGTGGCAGAAAGTCACGGAGGGGGGTGGAAAATGTTCCCGGGTAGGCAGAAAACGCGGCAAGAATCAATGTCACAGAGGGCGGGAGGCAGAAAGTGTTCCCGGGTGGCAGAAAGTCACAGACGGGGGCGGAAAGTGTTCCCAGGTGGCAGAAAGTGCAGCAGATAGTCCAAGAGGGGGGCGGGAAGTGTTCTCAGGTGTCAGAAAATGCGGCAGAAAGTCACAGAGGGCGGGAGGCGGAATATATTCCCGGTTGACAGAAAATGCGGCAGAAAGTCAACCAATAGGGTGGGAAAATGTTCCCCAGGCAGCTAACCTGGCAGAAAGTCAACCAAGGGGATGGAAAATGTTCCCGAGGCGGCACTCCTGGCAGGAAATCACTCAGGGGGGTGGAAAATGTTCCCGAGGCAGCAAACCTGGCAGGAATTCACTCAGGGGGGTGGAAAATGTTCCCGAGGCAGCAAACCTGGCAGGAATTCACTCAGGGGGGTGGAAAATGTTCCCGAGGCAGCAAACCTGGCAGGAATACACTCAGGGCAGTAGAAAATGTTCCCGAGGCAGCAAAACCTGGCAGAAAATCAACAAAGGGGGGCGGAAAATGTTCCCGAGGCAGCAAACCCGGCAGAAAATCAACAAAGGGGCGCGGAAAACTTTCCCCCAGGCAGAAACTGAAGCAGAAAAAGGCGACGAGGGTGGAAACTTTCCCCCGGGCAGAAATTGAAGCAGAAAAAGGAGCCGGGGGCGGAAACTTTCCCACGGGCAGAAATTGAAGCAGAAGGAACCACAGGAACCACCGGAACCACAGGAGGCCCCAGCAGGAGGCCCCAGCAGGAGCAGGACCCGCCTGGCGATCGCTTGGCCCCAGATCATATCCGCACTAGGAATCCCGTAAAGCCCAGGGGGTCCCATTCTCGACCTTAAGGGGGGGCCTCCCTCCCTGGTACATATATAACATCAAGGAGTTTCAAAAGTATTCCCATAATGCGCTAGATAATTTTTCTTGACCATTAACGAGCAGCATCTATTCTCATGCTCGGTCGCTTGCATGTGTATCCGACTAATTTGTATACCAGAGAGCGCTTCATTTTTCAACATATCAACCTATCACTGTCTACTAACTAGTACGTAGTACATACTATGCATTCAATAGAGGTAAAGTTACAATTGATTTAGCGGGAATCTTCCATCTCAACATATGCACACGCAGCATGTATGATCATTGAAACGGCCTCGTCTCCACTAACTATGGCTAACTGATAAATAAAGACATCTGATAGATAAATATATAAATATGTTTATAAGGATAGTCGACTATACAAAAAGAACTACAATTAGTACTACAGTTTTGTGCACATCCACATCCACCACGACTGGGACGATCTACTAGTACAGTTACTTATTGGCTTTCGCTGCTGCCGCGGAAGAAATTGTGTGAACGCTCATTCGCGAAATTTTTTCGACGAGAATTTTGGTTTCCGTGACGATTCGTTCCGACACCGCGTCTGACTGTCCCTTCATATCGCTTCCGACGTCGACTACTGCGTTATACTGCAAACAATTGTTAGAAATGGTGATACGTTGCACATTTAGTACTCAAGCGGCCGCATATACACCAGATACTTTCTCTGGTAGGTTCAATCGAGGAAGAGGAAGATAAATGCTGTACTACCTATCAGCATCAAAATCGGAGTGAGTTGCACAACGTCAATTGTTGGAAGGGCTAAGTCTCTAGAGGTAAAAACGAACCGGTTGTTTTATTGCGAACCTCGGTGAGTTGTACAACATCAATAAATCACTCATTAGCCGTAACGCTAGTAGTTGTTGGCTCCTGTCCTGATTCATCCACTCCAGATTGTCCTTTGCTTGATTGCTGTCGTGAACCGGAAGAGCTTGGTGCATTTGAAGAAGGTGCTCCACTAGTCGCACTACAAACAGCGGTATTTGACGTTCCAGCACCTCCGCTATTATTAGAATGACTAGAAATTGTGATAGTCGGTGCGCCACCTGCAGCGCTTCCCGTTGTTCTCGTGCTTCCCGCTGGACCTCCGCTTCCTAGACCGCTGGCTCCGGGAAGCAACTCATCGTTACTGTTCGAACGACTTGCAATGCGTGAGCCCTGCTTCGAGACATTTTCTGACATGCGACTAGTACGTTTATTCAACTTTGACAGGGACCCTTGCCGCGACATTATCCGAGAATTGCACTGCGAAGGCATCGCAGATATCGATCGCCTCGTTGCCAGGTCGCCCGAAAGCAACTCTTGTCGCAGATAGTCGCACACTCTGGCATCTCGTGCGGCGTCCCCAGATTCCGCTGCTGGCGCTCCATTCACGTGCACAGCCAAGGCAGCAGCTGATGTTGTTAATCACAAGGACAAAAAGGTTCATTTTCGTCTGATTTGGATCGCTGTGAAAACACGTCTTATGAAGTTGAATTACTGAAGCTGGGTGCGTGAAACCAACCTTGTATCCACTCTTACATCAACTTTCCTCATGAGTAATCAGTCGTGACACTTTGTAGTACCAAGAGCCGATGAAGACGATGAGTTTCGATCATTGCTTTGCTGCTTGTGGTCCGCACCTCCACCTAGGAGCTCGTTTTTCACCCAGTCTAGCACTCCCTGAACTTTCTTGAATTTAAGAAGCTGCGTTTGTAGATGTTGCACCTGCTGCTTCAGCCTTGCTTCGCGATCGTCTGCCTTCTTCTGTTGCTCCGTTAGTTCGTTTCGCATTTTCTCAACTTGGACTCGAGTTTGCTGCGTTGCCTTCATTTTCCCTTTCAGCACCTCAACCTCACTCTTCAGTCGAATTATCTCATGATCCTTCTCCACCCCGTGCTTCCGGACACCCGCGATCTCCCGCTCCAGCTTGCGAACGCGATCTATTAGAAAACAAGAAACAGGATCGATAGGAGTACTAGTAGAGTTCTTTCACGTTGAATCAATCTGCTGCATGTTGCAGTTGCACCGTCTTTTCATGTCCAATCTGTTGCGGAAGAGCAAAATTTTAAATCCGGCTTATTTACATATTGAATACCTCCATCAGCTGTTGCCCCTGCTGCTGCCGCCTTGGGTGTTTTTCGCTTCGCATTGCCATTCGCTATGTTAGAGCCTCTACGAGAATCTTCTTTTTTCGTCTTCTGCATCTTTGCGGGATCCAACCTGCATTGTGATCTTTCATGGAAGAAATTCGTGTTCTTGACGATGATGATTTCAAATTTACGAGTAGTACCCCCCAGAAGTTGTTACTGTTAGAAACTAACCCCAATAAAATGCACTTCATAAAATTTACAAGCACAAGATCGATATGAACTACTAGATTGCTATATCTATATAAGTGCTAGTACGTAGATTCAAGAAATCGCTTACCTGGAGAGTACTTGTGAGTCTTTCTCATTGCCATCCGTGTTGGTGCGCACTATTGTGAAAGCGTTGGCATCGTTGCTTCCGTCAGAATCCGAGGATGAAGATGAAGTGTCGGAATAAGGATTCAGTCCGAGCTTCTGCTTACGTAGTTCTTCTTCCAGTTTCTGAATCTGCATCTTGCGAACTGTGGAAGTGATAGGCAGGTAAATGCAGAAAGATGTAACGAGTTCTTGTGCTTGACGTTTTTGAATTTTCTGGAGTCGATGAGGGTGAAGCTGAACTTTCGTTGGCTTTTCCGAGAAGAAAAAAGTTAAAGAGCCAAATTAAAAAAGAACAACGACCCCCCCAAACTCTCCCGCTTCCGAACCCGAAACCCTCAGAGGCTCTCAGACTCCCAAACTTCCCAAACCTCCGAAACTCCGGAAACTTCCGAAACCTCCCAAACTTCCCTAACGCCCCGAGCTTCCCAAACTCCCCGAGCTTCCCGCACTCCCCGAACTTCCTGAGCTTAAGCCTATGAGCCCCTGAAGTTATGAATTTAAGAACAGATGGCCTTGCTTGAGGCTTCAAACCTTCAGCCTGAAGCCTACAAGGCGCCACCCTGGCGCTTGTTCGATTTAGTCTGTTGCTTGGCGATAAAGTTCAAAACTTTGGGTCTTTGAAAAGCTTTAATGCTAAAGTCTCAAATTTGAAAGCGCGAAAAAAGCAAAGACTTTGACTTTATCGAAAGTGGATAAATTTCAAAAAAATTAGCGCCAGCGCTTTCACTGCCTTGGGGCTTCAAGTCTTCAGCCTGAAGCCCACAACGCGCCACCCTGGCGCTTAAGTATATTTTGAATCTTCAAAATTTTTGGTGATAAAGCTGAAGCTCAAAGCTTTAAGATTTTGAAGAATTTTAAGTCGATGCACCAAATCTCCAAGCACGAAAGTAGCAAAGCTTCCGACTTTATCGAAGACGCCTAAACTTTAAAAAAAAAACTGGACGTAAAGTTTCTCACTCCCTTGCGGCTTCAAGTCTTCAGCTTGAAACCTACAACGAACCACCCGGGCGCTTGAGTTCGCTCTTTGTGCGATGAAGCTAAAAACTAAAGCCCCAAACTTGAAAGCGCGAAAATGGCAAAGTTTTGATTTTATCGAGGAAAAATCAAAATGAATTTAAAAAAAAAATGGACGCAAAGTTTTTCAGTTTCTTCGAGGTGCGCGAATTTTATAAAACTAAAAGCTTGAAAGTCAAACGCTTCAGCCTTCCGCCAAGATGTCAAACCTAACAGAACAAAACCAGCAAGCTACCGGGTCTACCATTTCCAGGCATGCCTTTCCAATAGCCGCAGGCCGCCAAGAGCCTGATTCCTGTGCCGTTCCACCGGCAAACATCATAGGTAAGGGGCCGGGCAAGCGGGGCCACGCAATGGCGGGGGAAGTGCGTGCAGAGGGTGGAGGATTCTAGTGGGATGAGTGCTGCCGGGCGCTTAAGTCTACTCTAGTAGAAAAAATAAATAAAACTTCTCTATCAACAACATCTCACAGCCCGGCTACGTCTTTCTCATTTTCTCAATATATATGATAACAAGCCAAGATAATTTTGGGCAAACTCTAGCTGGAGAATTTCATGAGTGGACAAGTCACAGACCCCGCTTTCAGATTCGCCTTTATCAGTCGACACTTGCGATGGCGCTCCTGCAGTTGCAGGGACGCCTCACATTCGTCACAATTTGATCACTGTGGTACGGTCATCATGCGGGGTCCAGCATACTTCTACTAGCATTATTTATGATTGACAATGCCTGGATCCTGTTGGAACAAAAAGATGCGACTTGTCAACCGAGGTGAACTCGTCACGACCATCAAAAAAGCAACCCACGACGATAAATATTGAAGTAACTAATGGTACTAAGTAAATTTAACATGAGCCTAAAATCGTGAACTTGAGGTTCAAAAATCTGATGAGGATGAAGCTTCATCATGTTGTACTTTTTTCCTCCAATTGCAGCCTTTCAACTTCCGCCTCTGCTGAATCAGCACGAAAACTGTCCCGCCTCGATGTAGTTTCTAACTCGTGAATGCGTAACGTTTGTGTCTTTATCGTCGTTTTCAGTTCTGTCTAAACCTTAGAAATTTTTGTGCAGCACTTCCTATCAAAAGCGAATCAAGGAGCAGGCTAACTAATATTGATCATGCCGCTCTCGACAACATCTTTTGTTGTAGTTACATCATCATGAACATGTAGTTCATCTGGACACACAAGCAAGCTAAGTGATCAATGAATTGAAGTTTGTGGAAAATGAGTGCTTCATAACTACGGTTTTAGCCTCTGTCGCCGACAGGTTCATCGAAGACCGTCCATTAGAATGCGCCTCCGCTAATATCCATCGAACTCGACCCAGCATCCATAACCACGTCGGCGCCTTCCATGAGAGAAAGGCATGATCGGTGAAATGATGCTCGGCGAAGAGATGGAACGCAGCTTTTGAACATAAGTTTAGACATGCCTGTAATACTGCGTCGCTTCTCGTCTTCCATCCGGAACGCTTCATGCTGCTTCTCCTCGTCTTCTTCGCTTTCTGAAGACGACATAAGTGCACCAGAACTCGAACTTCGAGATGACGTCCTGGTTTTTGGGTAACTAATGATGAAATATCATCCTAAGAAAGACAAACAGAAACAAGTCGTGGAAGACCGCGATTACTGTTGTGATAAACCATTTTAGGGCCTAGGTCTTCTAGCTACGGCTCCAAGCATCTTCAGAATTAACCACAATGAGCAAATTCTTGATGATCATTACGGGGCAACAATGTTGATATTAAAGACATCGCCAGTGTCAGACGCTTGATAGCTTTTCGCTGCCGCGTCAGCGGGTTCGTCGTTCACCAGCAGCGTCGGTCCAGCGACTGCGCCATCCGGCGAGAAGTTCCGAACTGTTGAGTCGGAGAGACGAGGAAAATTTCCCGCCGAGCGAGACATGTTTATTATCGTTTGCTTTCCAGTATCCTGGTCATTACTATAGTTCCCGGGTGAGTTCAGTGCGAGCGACTTGGTGGCGCTCATACCCGCATTCCCGGCCGTGGACGCAGTGCTGGTTGACCCGCGACCAGGCAGATTACCGTGCGATAATTGTCGCTTTTTGTTCGCGGCCTTGCCTGCGCCTGTAGGTCCACCTCTGTCACCACCTCCAGCCTGTGCTTGTTCGAGCTTTTTCATCGCGAGCTTGTTCTTCATTGACATCACTTCATTCAGACCCATACTTGGACTGGGACTTGGACAAACACCAGCAACGCCAGAGCTGGCCGCCCCGCCTCCCCCGACGTTAGAACTAACAATTTCTGTATTGGAAATGGAATGGAGGACATCGGACACTACCTCCTTCTACCTATGGTGCGACTCGCATTGCAGTGGTTTTCATAAATCAGGGAGCTGATGCTGATGCCGCAAGAATTACAATTCATGTCACCACAGGCATTGGTCGATATACAACATAGTACAGTTGAGTACTTATGTCCTATGTATAATAACTATTCTTGGTAGTCTTAACTACTCCTGGTAGAGGCATCGCACCTGAAGTACTGCCCCTTCCGGCCATGCGGTGATTGCTACTTCCGCCAGCATGCGGAATGACATTTCGGAGCATCTGCTGAGTCTCGGCAATGCTTTGTCGCCTACTGTTGCCGCCAGCGTTGCTGCAAAAACTGCTGGATCTCGACATTTGCTGTGGAGGTGGGCCTGTAGAGCCTCCACCTGCTGGTCCGGCAAGGCCACTGCCGCTTCCTGCAAGGCCTCCAGCGCCGGAACTACCACTTGCGCCCCCAGTTTGCGCCACTGACAAACCCGTCGCTGACCCTGAGGACTGTGGCGTAAGAAACGCACTCCTGACTCCGCTCTCTGACGGCCGATTCTGCACCGGATTTTTTACCAGTGGAATCGAGAACGTAGGCGCACCTCCGGCAAGCGGTATAGATTCCGTTCCCTGGTTTTGTGCTTTGCTTGCAGAAGAAGACGCGCCACCAGTCGATTCACTCGGCCCAGGAACCACTGGAGACATAGGAGCTCCTGGCGATGGGTGCACCTTCGCTGGCGACTGAGGGGATCCTCCGAACTTCGAGAAAAGCTTCTTCATTGTCCTCTTGCAGGGGTTAGAGTTACTTCTAATCAAATTATATTCATAAGTAGTAGCAACTACTATTATTTGTAGAAGTCGTCTTTGTGTCGACCACGACTATTCGTATTTAGGCGATATCTACCCATAGGACATTTCGTTCTCCACTCCACGCTCTGGCTTATCTCCACTTCCAAGAGCGCGGTTAGAATTAGAATTAGAAGATTTCTGGCTTGATTTCAGAGGCCATGGTTCCAGAAGATCTGCGCTTGGGAGACAGCAGTGCAATTCGCAGACATCAGAAAAAAAAGAAAGGGGGGGAGGAAACCACAGACAAACAACTCTGGAACCTGAAAAAGGGATACTGATAGGAGCCGCTACCTAGAGATGGAAAACTACAAAACTTCCGCGTGACGTATTATCTCAACATTGGCATTATTCTAAAAATACCAGTCCAACATAGCCTGCTAAAAATTTTGTAGAGATTGTCGCTGTAGCTCCGTAGTGGTGACACTCTCAACCGCATTTAGAGACTTTTGTCGTCACTTCCGGAGTCTGATTATGCGCATGCGCAAACCGATCTATGTTGAAGTGGAGTCCATGGATGTTTGCGATGTAAAGGATGCATCGCACAGGAGGAACGAGCATTATTATAGGTCTTTTTCATTCGTCTTGCTGTGCAGGTCGTTCAACTTCAACATCACGTTTTCTTGATGGTGGGATTAACAATGGCAGGGTAGCTGTAGAGTGGTGGAAAGGAAATAAAGGGGAGGACACCAGATCAAGAAGAATCAATGATAGATTGATAAATGTTTTTCATTAAAATTGCTCATTTGGGTGTAGTATTGTTGATTAAATAATTGACCAGAAGCGAGGAGTTACCCCTGTATGCCTGTGTCTGGACGGCCAGGCACATAATGCACGACATAAAATCTAGGCCTAAGATTGAGTCAGATAACGAAATGAAAACCTTTACTGTGTCTGTGCGGTGATGAAGTCATGCGTCATATGTCGTGAAGATGTGGCTCATGTAGTTTTTCGCCGTTGCATGCATATCCCCGTGTTCCGTTGACAGGTCAGTGCTTATGCTAGTCTCAAATCTAAAAAATCTTCATCCTCAAAGAAATCGATGCTTGCATATTACCTAAAACTATAATCATGATGGTCATTGTTCCTAAAACTTCTTCTTAGGTCCACTATGCATAATGCATTGCGTCATCGACGTGGTCTAGTGAATACATTAAAAGTTACCATTGCAATCATAATTTTTTTAGAAGATGCGAATCTTATCAAGTAGGAAACTTTTTCAGTGTTGAGTCCATAGGTAAGAATTAACTTGTTCGCGACTAATGACTAAAAAGCAATACTGTGTGTGGAAGTTGTCGAAAACAGGCGAAAGCATAACTTCAGATCATCTTCGACAATGACACCGTGTTTCTCCTGCTGACGCTGAGTCTTCCCGAGTTTAGGAGCTCGAGGTCGCAGATCCAAAAAAGTCAAAAAAATTTAGAATATCAACATAATTGTTGATAAAAATAGAGGATAATCATGTTGGGCCGTTGGCCGGGACCTGCTCATACATTAAATTATCATGGGTTAAGAGTAACGCGCTGTAGAAGTTGGTCCTACTGCTATTTCTACGTCGATTATGATTGATGCGTCATATGCTACGTAGATCATTTCTATTGTGCAATCATTCTCCTCACGTGAGAGAGGAGCAATGTCGACCTACTGCTCCGGAAAGAAAAAAAAACCCGTAACCTGATGGTAATACAACTGGCACAGAGCTTTCGATCATGTAAATGTCGAATAAGCTGGCTCAATCATAAAAAAGATTATAGGAAGATGGTAGCCTTTCTTCTGGTGGTCCATAACCGACAATTATGACGCCGCTTCGCATGATGTGCTTGTGTTACATTTTGACAAGTAACATGAAAAGCAGGACACTTCTAACCAACATAGCGAAAAATAGAAGTACCAGGCTACTTTGTTGATCATATGGATCTAATTTATTAGATTCGACTTCGAGCAATATAATTACAATAGGTACACTGATGTTTTCAACGTGTTTCCTCAACTATCAATCAACACCTAGTATTGTTTGTAAGCGGAATACAGGAATGCGAATGTTTATGTTACTACAGGAACATAGACATAGACATGGAAGAAACAAATTCTAGAGGAATGGAGAGAAATGGAAGAGAGAGATCGATACCTACTGAAAATAGGAAGCTAATACCGTCGTCCTTAAGATGATGATTATATATAATAAAATATTACTCGAAAAACTGAAATAAGCGAGTAGCCAAATAAATAAAGAAGCGGACCCGCGCCGCGCAGCCGATCTCCAGCCTCCCAGGATGTTGGAATCCGGCTGCGCGCCGCCGCGCAGCCGGATTCTACCTTCCTGGAGACCACAAGCCACGAATAAAAATTTCCGCGCGCGCTGCGCGCGGCCACAAACCGACTAGAGGGAAGGCTGAGCTTTGGGTCGTATGAAGGGCTCTCTGAGTACCAGATGGGCCCTTTCCTTTAAGAACGATCCCGGGAACCCAAAGTGCCGCGGCGGCCCCCCCTGGAACCCTGCTGCGCGGCGGCGCGCAGCAGGAACCCAACTAATGAAACGAAGAGGAAACAAAGGCTAGATGGCGATTCGTTTGTTGGGTTCCTGCTGCGCGGCGGCGCGCAGCCGGGTTCCAGGGGGGGTCGCCGCTGCGCTTTGGGTTCCGGGAATCCTTCTGAACGGAAAGGGCCTAGCTGAGAGCCCCACTCCAGAGCCACAAAGCACTGCTTGCGTGCTCTGTCTGGCCCAGAAGGTGCTACTCCTTGCTCAGAGGGTCTGGAGATCGGCTGCGCGGCGCCGCGCGCCCGATCTCCAGCGCCACGCGCAGATACAAAAACTTTCGCGCGCTGCGTTCGCGACTGCCATTACGATCGACGGATCTCCCGGGTCCCTTTCTTTGTTTTTTCATCAACTCGCTTATTTCAAGTTTACGAGTATTCTGTGGACTTGCTTCTACTCTTGTGGGAATTTACATTTAGCAATGCAACAATGGTAATAAAATAAATATTGAATATTTGTGATTTCTCAAAAAACTCTTCATCCAATTCACTACATCAACCCATAATTGAAGACTGAAATCTCTACAAAATCTTCTGCTGCTTCACATTAGAACTTGCTCGAGTGCGTCACTCTCGCAGTCGGATTGCCGGTGTAAAGATATTTGTTGGAGGAGCACGTATTACGCGGCAAGTCGTCTGAATAGTGGCTGGCGCTGTCTGCTTAGCGGCCAACGCAGCTCCACCTCCATCTTTTGCCTGCATGAAGATTGTCGCCCCGGGCAACCCAGAAAAGTGCGCGCTCGGCTTCAAGTGGATGGATGGCGCTGCGACCCCAACATTGACGACTGTCGAGAGAAAGGGATTGCTAAACTTCCGTGATGAGATTCGGGCTGGTTCGGTTGGCCCTTTTTCGTCGTGCGTCGCAGGAGCGAGTGAGGTGCTGGACGACGTCATTAGAGTTCGACCGGGAGCGCTAGCGGATACTGTGCTACTCGACGCAGCTGAGGCTGCGACGGATGTTACGACTCTGCCCTGTGATGAGGCGATTCCCATTGCATTTCCTGGAAAGAAGCGGCTCAGACCTGGCACGCGCGTTGAAGCTAGACTGAAGGCCCGTGGCGCCGCGGCGACAGCCACTGGGGCCCCTCGTCGAGTTCGCAGTCCGCTCAAAGCGCGCGGCGCCTGGAGCCGTTGTACTATCACACTTGGAGCTGTGTAATTTTGAACGTTCATCGCAGCCGACGAGCAGCTCGCATTTGATACCGACGTAGCCGCCTTCATGTCGCCCGAAGTAGAGGAGGACTCGGCACAAGATGATTCTTCTTGATGCGCCGATGAAGCACAGCCTACGCCGGCGACGCCTGTCTGTGCCTGCTGGGGACGAGGAGGCTCTACATCTAGTAGCACTTGTTCAACCGGCACGACAGTCACGTTATCAGGATGCTGATGCTCAGCCTTAGCCGTGACATCCGTGACAATGATGTTTGCCTCCTCTGTGGTCTCTTCTTTAATGTCCTCCAGAGAAACTCGACCAGCGCCTTTCACACCACCTGCACCCACTTCCGCAATCCCTGAACCTGAAGCAGGTTGCTTCGACGAGGAGGCGGAGAGTGTCTGTAATGAAACAGGTACAGAAGCTGTTGCGCCGCTTGTGACTACTGGTGCTGCATTCTGTGCAAGGGGTGCTTGAAACTTGAAAGAAATGACTGTTGGAGCCACAGCTGAAGTACAAGTAGTTCCCTTGGCCTGTTCCTGCAGTCCTCTGAGCGCTGTATTGCACGACCCAGGAGCTATTTTGTTCTCGCCTTCTTTCGCGCCAGCATCAGAGGCCGCAGCTTCCAAAACGCTAGCTCCTGGCCGACCACGCAGTTGCGGCTTCGGTGTTCGATCGAGGATGCCCCGCGCCCCAATTAGGGGCGTAAATGGCGCCATTCGAGGAAAAACGATTGAGCTCCGGGAAGCATGCGCAGTGCGCGCCGCCGTTGCGAGGAAATTCCCGATTCGTCGAGAGGAGCTTTGTCCTGGCTGCGCCGCACTACTAAAATCACTCGAACCCGAGGAGCTGCTTTCTTCTGCACTATTTTCTTGTGATTTCTTCTGCGCTACAATGGAAGCCTGGTGTTCAGCCGAGGTCGTGGTAGTCGCGTCGCCCCTGACTACAACTGCCGAACCCGTGGCTGTTTCTGCACTAAAAGAAGAAACATCTGCCGATGACACTACGCTAGGCTTCAGTGCAAACCGTTTTCCTCCAGCAGAAGCAGACGCGTCTTGTTCCGAAGAAGGGGTTGTTACAGAACTGGGAGCAATAGAACGCGTCATGGTCGCCCCAAGTCGTAACGCAAAGGTTTTGTTGATCGCGTTCGGGCTCAGGCCCACTGGACTCTTGCTACGATGCAGTACAGGCGAATGGCGTCGAGAACCCCCCACGAGCAATGGCGATTGCTTTCGCGATCCTCCCGTCATCGGCACAAGCGTGTCTCCATCGGAGCCGCGCACGAGCAAAGGGGACGGAATCCGAGATCCCGCTCCTGCGCGCTTGAGAAGCGGTGAAGCCGCCGCAGTCGCATTCTTTCGCATCTCAGTGAACCTGTGCATCATTTCCGGCGACAAAACGCTCACTGGACTCGGCGAACGCCGAATCGTGGGAGGTACGAAGTGCGTTCGCGTGGAAGGAGCGCGATCTTTGCTCGCCCCGGTGGCCGCTCCGCTCCGCACAGGCTTTGCGGTGCTATTTTGGAAAGGGTTGTTACTATTTGAGCGCTCCGAGTTTCGGGATGCCCAAGACGGCGTGGCTTGTTCCCATGCCCTTGACCTGCCAACTTCGCGTTTCTGCTCTGAGACTGAACCGGGGGCCGCAAGCTTGGCCCTGTCGTCATTTGCACCACTCGCTGCAGTGCGTGGAGCAAGATGGCGAGACTGTGATGCCGAAGCCACACGAGTGTGCGAGACAAACTTTGGCCGTCCTCCGCCCAGCAGCCCTAGCCGCTGTGACGCTCCAGCTGGTTTCGCAGGCGCAGGGACGGCTTTCGCCGTCGCATTGAAGCGGGTAGAAGTAGACGCAGATGCATTGGAACTAGGAGTCTTGTTCGACGCAACGGTAGTGGTGAATGCTGTAGCACTTATTCCGGTTTTTCGCGTTGCACCGATTCGCGCGCCGCTTTTGCTCCGATGCAACAGAATGCGAGAGGATGCCGACACTGCTCCAGAGTGCAAAGATGTCGCGGATGCCGTAGCTGCGCCCGACATATTTCTATTTAGGAAAACACTCCCACTCGACGCAGTCCGGTTCTTACTGCGAGCAGAGGTGCTATTTTTCGCGCTGGATAGGACATTCGATGACGCCGATGATGTACCTACGCCCTCTTGTACTTGTAGTTGCTGGGGGTGCGCAACCCTTACGTTAGAAGCGCTTCGTTGACCAATTGTTGTAATGAAGGCCGACACGCAAGACTTGTTTTCCTCCCGCCCCAGCTCGCTTAGTATGTACCCCAATCGATCTCCAGATGTTGAGGGCTCGTCGGTCGGAATCGCTGGTGCAGGCGCAGAAAATTCAGCTACAACTGCCCCGCTTCCGGAGAACATCGACACCGGTTCATGAGTGATAATAGATTCCCGTTTCCAAGCGGATGCTTTTCCAGTCGATGCCTCCGCGCTAGGCGTTTCGCCGTAATCCAAGACCTTTCTCGATGCGTCGACATCGGTCGATCTTTTGCTACTAATACGCGCAAGAATGCCGTGATCTCCCATACCAGACATGGCGTCGCTGCTCCTCGCGCAGTCTCCTGCGTCGTCCGAATATGTTTTCTCCAGCGGTTCTTGAGTTGGGACTTTGACACGGCTATTGTAACACACGTTGTCAACGTCGCTGTAAACGGTGGCCGCTCGTGGTCCTGCTGCTTTATTTACATTTTCCTCAGCGCCACTCGCTCCTGAGGTACTGATTCGTGGACATGAAGGACTGGCCACGGGAGGCGGTGATTGCTGTGTCGCTAATGGTGCTTTCGTCTCTGAGTCAGAAGAAGTATGCTCTCCTCTAGAAAAAGTCGCCGCAGTTGTACCTTCATGAAGGAAAGTGAAGAGACTAAACTTCTAGAAGATACGCACTGCTCTCATAACCATAAGTACATTCCTACAAACATCGGAGCGATTTCCCTGTTAGTTCTAGCCAATTTTCTTGCATTATTCATTGTACCCGATGAGTTAAAGCGAATACTCGAAGATGTTGTTTGCATCACGGCGTTCAGAATTTGTTGCGTCGATGTCGTATTTGGCCGCTTTTCCACTTGCGCAGCTGCGCCGTAAGTCGTCTCGAAAACTCTCGCACCCGCAAGCGGGGTCTCAGGAAGAGTGACACCTGAGTGCAACTTCGGGCTAGAAGACTGGGATATATCTTTACCTCAATCTCAAACAGTTGTAAAGCGAGTTAAATACCAAAGTTGATACTTATTCTTGAGGGTAGAGGAACCATTGACCACAGTAAGAATCTTTGATAAGTACCCCGGGTACTCTTGAGCATGTCGTTGTCGGTTGCTGGTAGTGCTCCCACTTGCTGTAGCCACGGGTGACCATTCAGGTTACTAAGCGCGGGACGGTTCAAAGGCTTCAGAATGAGCATGCGTTTAATGAGGTCTTTTGCGGATTCCGATACTCGCATGTTCCCGTTTTGCCACTGGATTTGCAGCAGTAGCACCCTCGTGATCAAAACTGCGTGATTTATACTGTTGAAAGGCGGCCTCCGTTTCTTAGAGCTTATTGTTAAATGAAGAACTTCCACGTCCATCAGAACTTGTTTTCTTCACCCATATCGCTCTATGTGATCGCAATCGCTGTGGTAGAGTTTGTAACTCATTTTTTGCAGCTACCATAACCTTGACCATTTCGAAGAGGAGCACCCCAGCCATCCATACATCAAGCTTTTCGTCGTGTCCTACCCCCTCGATCATTTCCGGCGCAAGGTAGTCGAGTGTCCCACAGAAGGTCTTCTTTCGCAAACGGGTCTGCCGCTAAATGAAACCTCTCATTATCATGCGATAAATAGAAAAGCCATCTGATATACCCATGCGGCAGTGATAATGACCTTCGTTGGCATGGACCTGGCCGGTACGCGCCACAAAATTACGAATGGCTTCAATCAATCAACACGTCTTATCACCTAGCCATACTCTGTTTGCCCGTGACGGTGTCTGTGTCGGTCCGCACAAAATAGGCGCACCAACCGAAATCGCAGATCTTGACTACGTCATCATGACTGACTAGTAAATTCTCCGGCTTCAAGTCGCGATGCATAATACCCGCTGCATGCAAGTGCTGCAGACCCGCCGAAACATGTCGGAAATACCGACATGCCCGAGGTTCGTCAAAGAAATTCGCGCTCTTCAAAATTTGATACCTATGATCGTGCAGAATGTGGTGCCGATGCGTCGTGGGAACAAAATCTAAAGGAAAGGATATCCATCGGATATTTCTTGAATTATAGGGAGTAGAGCAGAACCACACGTGTAAAACCAAATAATAAATAGCACCACGACTTTGTTACAGTTCTCCCCTGGGGCAGTATTCGAGGACCATGTTGATCGAGGATTCATCCTGGAAGTAAGCATGTAATCTCAACAAGTTCTCGTGGAGCATCGTTCGTTGTACTTCGATCTCGCGCTCCACATGGGAAGCCATTCGTCCCTCTTGCACGTCCTTAATCTTCATTGTTTTCAGTGCGTAGATACCTTTTGTCAGCCGATGCTGCACCTTCACCACCGTGCCGAAGCTACCTTGTCCGAGCACGTTGCTCTTGCCTTCCGACGACTCTCCCCCTTGACGCGCGCTCGATGAGACCGACTCTTTACTGGCCGTCGTACTAGTTGCCCTGCCACCGGGCGCTTCTGACTCAGACGAAGAATTTGCAGCAGTACTGAGTTCTCCCGTCGAGGATGCGCTGCTTGCTTTCCCCTTGTACATCCAACCGGTCTGCTGGACTGTCTGCTTCATTTGTTGAGTTAGAGAGACGACAGAAGAGCTACAGCAAGCAACAAGAAAACAACAAGCCGTCATCTAGTACTTCTAATTGTAATTGTATTCGTATGTTTCAATACTCCTCATTGCTAGGAGATTCGAAACAAACGTCGAAAGATGAATTTCTATTACGACATGTTATAAATGAGGTTGACCGTCATAACAAGGGGGTAGCGCCCGCCTCTTGCGGCTGCTGCAATCGATACGCGGCTTCCTCCTTCCCCACCATAATAGGTTCGAAATCAGCCGCGCAAATGCTGGCCGACTCGAACTGAGGTGATGGCGCCACCATCTTACCAACCTTCGTTCTTCCAAGTGTTTGATTTTCTTTAAAGGCTCCCTTCCATTATCCTTGAAAGGGACCTGTGGTCCCGCATATTCTAAGAAGCACTGTACTTATGAAGATTCACCACACGAATCGTACCTTGTTATTTTTTACCAGTGGTCATCTGCTAGTCTTATTCACCTCATATTTGATGTTTTGTTCGTCGCCACCGCCAGATTATCCAGTAAGCTCTAAAACGTTCTACTAGTGACAGAATTGCACAACGCTTTTGGTATAGATACTAAAACTTTTCCTGATTAAGTACCCTCTTCAATAGATTCTTTCTCCTCAGAACGAAGACCACCGAATGCCGCAGACTTGCTCAATTTCCATAGATACCTATTCCTGTACCGAAAAGTCTCGTTTTCATGAAGCACAGCAGGGGGACAAAGAGACTGCAGCGGGGGCGCAACTAAAATATACCCTATTCCAAACCCATAGTGAGGCGACACTGAACTTTGGGGAGAAGAGCTTGAAGTTCTCATTTCTTGAAGCGGTTTCTACACTTACAACCAGAAGATTCTTGAACTTGATGTTGATACCCCTGATCACAATACAGGTAGGATGGAACAGAACCACAGACAATTTAAGGATAAAAACTGATAAACACGCAGCAGTCTCGGAATTTAAGAATCGCACTGTTGTAGAAAACAGGGTGTAAACCATTCTGAGAAATGCGTCGGCAGTTCTGAGGAGGGGAGATTCAGGATATGGTTTTCCGAGATGTCCCTGTTCCCAGCAGAAAGAGTTCAGGTCCGAGCAGACGCTTCTGCTCTACTTTTGGAAAATAGGGAAAAGAGAATGGCAACTGTATTTGCGTCTGCATCTTGACATCAGCTGCGTAGTGACGAGTTTGTTAAGTTATAGTGCTGTGAGATCATTGAGTTCATCTTCAAATATGTCAAATGATGTTCTTATTTTCACAGTTGGGTACAACATCAAGTTGATGATACTATACATTACTGGTGATGGTATGATATCATCATTCCCGCTGAGAAACGCGAGCCCAAAATAGTCAAAAACATGCTCCCGTCAACGGAAATCGAAACACATGAACAAGTGAACGGAATGTATGTGTATCTGCTCATCTCGTGGTCATCTACTATCTTCAGCGCCTAGTCCTCGTGTACTAGGTGATACTCGTCTATGGCGCATTCGCCTTTCGACCAGCTCTTTTGGTTTGCGATGGTGTAGTTCCTCCGCCGTCGTCTGTTTTCTCCTTCGTTATGGTTTGGACAAGCGCTTGCTCGAGACGCGTCCTCGCCTGATTGCCATCGAGCGAATCCGAATCGGCAGCGGCAACATCCTGGAACATGCGGCCGACGCGCTGCAAGGCTGCTGCCCGCCGAAATCGGATGATCCATGGCACACTCACGTCGTACAGAAAGAGCTTGCACACCATGCCGACTGTGGTCTCGATATCTGAAGCCGAAAGCTCCCAGATGATTTCTAGGAATAGAGGGAGCGTGTTCTCCATTTCCTTCACGGCTGCTTCGCGTCGCTTTTTCTTCTCTTCCTGCTTCTTGGCTTGCTCTTCCGGTGTTAGTTTTTTCTTGTCACCACCCTTCTCTCCTAGCTGCACATTGCTGAAAGCCTCATCGGGTACCGATGTCTTCTGATCTGCTTTATCAGTCGAGCTGCCTGGAACCGTTGTGGCTGTCGTAGCGTCTATTCCGGCACCTGATAACGCCGCCGAGGGGGTTGCTGGCGAAGCGGTGCTACCTCCATCTGAAGAGGTTGCTCCAGCGGACTTTTTTGTGTCACCGCTGGATTTCTTCTGTTCTCCGTTGCCTGCGCCTTTTGTTCCCTTCCCTTCTTCGTTGTCGGAATCTAGGTCCTGTGCCTGTGCGTGTATTCGCTTCAGCGCAAGGCCAGCCTGTGTCAAATTCGATGCGATCTTCCAATTCCTCTGTGTCTTGGCACCTGTTTCTTTCCACCCACTCGAGGAAAAGAAGGACCATTCGCCTCCTTGTTCGCTAAGAAACTTGTCGGCTTTGTTTTCATAGATGAAACCAATGGCTTGCAACATCCGCTCTCCGAAGGACGCTTTTTTCAGTTCTTCAGCCTCCACAGCGATCTCGCTCATAAAATTCTTCTCATCGCGGCCCATCACCCAAGGCGCAAGCTTCGCCCGCAGATTGCTGTTATTTCATTGTCGTTTTGAATCTTCAATACAGTGACTTCTTGAAGAAACCACCGCTTACATCGTCAATGGCTTGCGCTTAAGCTTATATATTTGAATTATTGATAGATTGATAAACATACTGGAAATAGGTGCGTGGCAAGAATTGTCAACAGAGAGTAAGATCTGGGCTAGAAAAAGTGTGCGTATTATTCAATACAGTGCCAGCTTGATTTCTCTTCGCATTTGATTCCGTGTTTCGCGCTTCGCTGCGGCTTTATTTCGTTTGAGAATCGTGTCGCTAACGGCTTTACCGGATTTGATGTCCCCTTGAAGCTCTTCGCGACTGTCCCGTTTTTGCAGTGTTTGCATCAAAGTTTCAGCCTGGCTCGCGATGTAGAGCTTCCCAGTGTAGGAGTCGAACCGCTCGGATCCAAAAAGAACGGAGAAAAACATAGCAGCATCGATATCCGGCATCTCTTGCTGGTTTACACCACTCTTTCCGCATCGGTCGTACGTTTCTCGCAGCTTTTCGTCCGACAAAATCTGGTACGCCTGACTCAGCTCTTGGAATTTCTTATGGGCCTCTGGGTCATTAGGATTCTTGTCCGGATGGACCACGAGAGCCTTCTTGTAGTAAGCCTTCTTGATTTCGCCTGGCGTCGCGGTAGGAGCAACGCCCAACAGGTCGTAGTACTCCGTTTCTAAAACGTTTCCGCCGAACTTTTCTTTCATTGCTTCAGTTTCTTCATCTTCGCTCTCGCTCTCTTCCAGCTTCCCTGCCTCCAGCTCGCGCAGGTTCACCGTGTCGTCGACCCATTTTCCCAGAGAGCTGTCCCACTTCATGTTCGGGCCTTGCTGAAGCGCTTCGGGTGTATTCGCCACACCGCGTGCGATCTGTGTAGCTGCGGCGGCGACTCCGCCAACCGTGCACACAACGGCACCCGCGATGCCCTTGCCCAGACCAGAGAAGAAGCCGCCCACACCACCTTCGTTCGCCCCTGCGATGGGCGCGGCAACGAGCATGCCCACACCAGCTACAAGTCCCGTTCCGGTTGCGAGTAGACCCTGACCTAGCCCGTCCCAAGCGTCCTTCGGTCTCGTTTGGTTGAGGGTCTCACTTAGTGCGTCCTCCTCGGATCCGGACTCCTGCTTTCGCAGCATCAGCTGATAGTTATTTTCAACCGGTGCGTCACCGTCTTGCTCACTAGATTCAGCGGCGCCGTCTTGTCCCTGATTGTCATCCGCATTAGATATTCTTACGCTTTTCTTTTTACTTGGTGAAGAGGTAGCCCCACCATCTGAGGAATCTTGCGTTCCGACACTAGTTTGTGCTGCTGCTGCCGCTGATGGTCCGTCCGCTGTTTTCGAAGAACGGGTCGCAGTGTCGCCTACAGTCTTCACCGGTGAAGCGGGTGAAACTCCAGTTGGTACCTCAGCCTCGCCAGTGAATTCCGCTACTGTTGACGCGCGGACCTCTGTGCTGCTTCGCCTGACTCTTGGTTTTGGTAGGGGGTAGAGACTCCAGTCTATCCGACTGATCTTCTCATGTATGATGAGGCGGACACAGTGTAGTGACGAACTCGTGTCTACCACTTGCCACGAAACGCCCTGCTCTAAGCGGGAATGCAACGCGTCACCCATTGCTGAAAGGATTTGAACATCAAGTAGACCAGAGGTATCTATGTACAACATCGCGATTCGTTTTCAACTTATGAAAAAGAGACACTTCGTGGGGCCGCCAAAGAGTTGACACACAAAGAAATAAAAAGCTTCAAATTGATCTCAACACATCTAGTACGTAGCAGTACAAGTACAAAAGTTTCACTAATAAAAAAGCCACGGGTATAGGTAGTACATGCAAGCGTCGCCGTGCTTTCTGAGAGGACCTGCTTCAAATCATGCGGAGGGTGGCCGGCACTAGCAAAGAAGATTCCTTCGCCCATGACCGGGTTCGAAAAACAGAGGCACAAATATTTTTGCATGGTTCGCGCGTTCACAAACCATGTCAAACCTTGAATGCCGGAAAGCATCGAGTCGGAACGAAATTCTAGTGTCGTGAGACTGGATTGGGAAGATGCACGCTTACTTGGCTTCCCTCTATTTTGCTTCTGCTCAGCGTTGCTCGCATCACTTCCTTGTGCAGCGTCTTGCTGGCTACTGCGCGCTAGGGGTGCAAAAGTGGCCGAACCACCTGTGCCAAGTGCTGGTTGTAGGTGCTGCTCCCCCCCTGCGACTCCGCCGCCATTTATCACACCAGAAGTTGCGCCTCCACCCAACGATGCTGCGGCTCGTATCCTCGGTTTCTTAGAGGACCACTGTCCACCTGAGAAGAAGTCTCCATCCCAGAGCCAATCTTCAGCGCTGCGGTTCTCGATGATTATGCGAAATCTCCGTTCACTAGAAGAACTCTCCTCCTCGGTCGGTGGCCCCCCTTGTCGCGCTGAAGAGTTGCCGGGAGAAACACCGCCACGGGCAACGTCAACCTCATCTAACACGCAGTAACTCGGACAGAGTGGTGCTTGCGCGACCATCTGATACACACTGTCCGTGCTCAGGTCAGCAACTGTCAAGTCCGGAATTAACACTCGGACGCTGTGGTTTCAGAATTAAAAGTATGTGGACTAATCTCGACGAGGTGGAATAAGTGTATCTGCATATAATTTTTACGTCTGTCTCCGACTATCGCAAATTGAATGACATTATCATTATTGCATCTCTAATTGCTGCAATTCCTCTAAATTGATCATTTGCAAGAAACCATGACCATCAACGAAATCGAAGGTACAAAAGTACCGAAGTCCCGCACTCGATTCCTCCATTGTTAACCAGCTAAGGTTGTTTCGCTTCGTTCGCACTCGATGTCCAGCAGCGACGATATCAGGCGCATTCTCGTAGAGCGCCTGTCATAGTTGTGACGGTAGATAGATTTGACCAACGCAGAAATCTTGATGAAAATCAAAATGAATTCGAACTTAGTAGCATCATGAGTTCGAACTTACGCTCTAGAATGCGCATGCGCAACCACAAGAAGTATAATTTTCGTTACCTTAGCATTCCCAGTGAAGGTCGCATGCCTCCTTGCGGTGAATTTGTTTGGCCCGACCAGGGGTGACGAAAACGCCACTTCGATACAACTTTGATCCGCACCGGTGAAATAAACGTAGCCGCCAACGCCCGCTACCCAACTGGTGTTCACAAAACGTGTGGTAAGCCTGCCTGCGCCCCCTCCGTCCTCCTCTGGTGCGCGTGCACTTGAAGAGCTCGCAGGTGAGTTCCCAGCGACCACTCCGGCCGTCGCGGTGCTCGGCATTTTCTGTGGCGACGCATCCTTTGGTACTTTTGTTGGCGATGAGCCTGGCGTGGTGGTCGAAATCGAGTCGCGCTTTGCCGGGATGACGCAAGCATTAGAACAAGGAACGACAAAACAAATGCACCCCAGTCAGGCAGTAGAACAGCGTGAACTCTCGTTGGTGGTGGAGCTTACTCTACCTAGTAGTGGTACAAGTTTAGCCATGACAAGTCTCTCTTTTTATGGCGATGCATTTGTTGCTACAACGGAAGCCATAAATTTCTCTTTGGATTTGCTCCCTGGCTTCCAGTTCCCGAAGTCCAGGAATTCACCACCGAAGCGGTATTCTACACCACTGTAATTCCAGAATTCGATTTTCACCTCGCGATCCATTTTCTTTGTTCTCCCGTTCAAATCATACTTACTTCTTTTCAGGAAAAATAGGAATGAGATCGTGGCTGCAGTGTGACTAAGTCGGTAGTTTCTCAAAATTCAATCATGAGTATGACCTCATAAACAAGTTGAAATCAAATATAAAACAACAATTACCCAAAACAAAATGGACTTATCGTGATGATGCGCGTAAAAACATGCTTCTGCCCTCGTCCTGTGTATATCAACTCAACGGAAATCTTGGCCTACTCATGTCAACACTCCATAGCAATCTAGCTCGACGGTGATCCTCGTTCAGCTGCTGATGCTTGTCAGGTTGTACCTAGAGTAGAGGTGCAGAATGAGTAATATGAACATGTCGGCACATCATAATCTATCCGTATTTCTATTCGACGAATCTAGTTCTAATTCAGTGGAAGCATCTGATCTCTCGATATTGATCCCAGGCCCAGCATAGTAAACCACCGCAGAAGCTGCTAGCGTCTCTCAAAGATCAGGAATTTTCAACATACCTGCGCGCTTTGTGTGATCTTGGACGGCTCGCTGTCAATTATTTTGCAGAATTTCTATTTTCTATGATGAATGCTTACCGTGAAGCAAATTCTTATCTCCTTTGTGATTACATCATCAACTCCATGATGTCATTTCTGTCTGACAAAAAAGATCATGCTAGAGAAAGAGAATGAGAAATGGGTGTCTATGATATCAATTTACCATGGGCAGGATATAAAGCAATCATTTCCTACCTAGTATCGGGAAGGGGTGTTGGAGTTGGGACAACAAACAGATACGTGTAAAAATAAGTTGTAAGCCTGACCACTTCGTCACTGTTGCCGTGAAATAAAAGCGGAATGGCTCTTTGATCATCTGACTCGCCTCTTCTCATCAGGGTTTTTTTTGTTGCCTACATACTTGCCTACAAGTCCACCAAAAATTTACTCACGTGGCTTAAATCGGGGTCGTGGCCCGGACTTACGAATTCAAAGAGAAGACAGAGGCGTGACCTGCCTTGTAGAAAAGCTAGCGCGGGCTCGCGGAGCCACCTATCTATGCGCACTTGTTAAACCGTGATGGATCAAGGACGAGAACATTTACAAAACATTTAACTAAATATGACAACGAAATCATGCTAAATTCATTGGACAAGACTAAATGAATAAATAACACCCATAGAAATATCGCGTATGGATCTTTCTGCGGGGAGACGTGATGATCCCAACAGCCAAAAGTGTATAACCGTGATTGGAGAAACTCCTGCCGTTCGTGAAAACTGAGAATAAGCAAATAAATGTAGGATAAGCCTCCGATTAAGAAACAAAAAAAAAAGTCGATAAGGTGTGGTACCTCTACCTCGTAAATGTATAGATACGAATAAGCTAGCTGGCTGCTTTTTATCATTTTATAAAGGTCTAGCGTTAGTCTGGTTGGTGTTTGATTTAAGTTCGCTCCTTCTTGTTTTTACCTTCTGGCTTCTCCATTTTACTGCCCGGCCGTTGCCTGTCCTCCTATAGTTGCATGCCCATGTCTGGGAAGTCCGCCGGTAAGTCTCTTGGCGGCTTGGTCTGATGACTCTTATCGGGTACTCAGTCGCGCCCCCCCTGCCTGCGACGTCATCGATACGGGCCCGGAGTTCATCTTCCGCAATGGCTGGCGCAGCTGATGGGTCAGAAGGTTGAAGCGCTAGCTCCTTGGCGGTTGAAAGTTGAAAGCTCTCCGGCGTTTTTTCGTTGACGACGCAAACCGATTTTCTCGCTGGGACTTCCTAAATGCTTCCCAGAAAGCCGGACCAGCTGGCGCTGTTTTTATGAGACGCAGACCACTCATGCCCCGAATTACGGCGAAGACGCACCAGCTAGGTAGGCCGGCTGACTCATCGCCGAGCGTTTACAGCCGCACTGATGCGCGTCGCGTTTGCTTGCTGGCATAGAAGGCGCGCCATTGCGAAAGAATACCGCTCGGCGTCGTTTTTGCGTTCTGCGGTAGCGATGCCGCAGCACGGCACGGCCTGCCTTGCCCGGCACAGTTTTGCTTTTGGCGATGACTCGGCGGCGGGCTGCATCATACAAAGCGGCGCCTAGCGGGATCTATCGGGTGCCAGGTGTAGCGCCATGCTTGACGTGGCGCAGCTCAAGAATGCGGCGCCACAAGCTTGCAGATAGTTCGCGCTGACGTCACAACAGTGGAGCGGCTTGGTAGTTAAGTGCGGGGGCTCGATCGAACTGCAACTGTTCGCCATCCGTGATCTTCATAAGGGGCGCGTCATTCAAGAATGGCCGCGGCAAGTTTCTGACGTAAGTCAATTATTGCCCCCAGTCTCCAACTCGGCAAAGAGGTCGCGGCCCTTCTCGCTTAGAAAGTTAGTTTTCAAAGTATTTGGCCGAGCCATCATCAGAAAGACCAAACACCTACGAAAGCGCTGGACCTTGTTATTTCTAAGCTGTGGAAGTTGTGGCGAGTTGCGTCCGAGTTGTGGGAATTGTGGCAGTTACTGCGACTAGCCTCACACCTGCTGCGACTAGTCCCGGCCTTACAACTGTGACTAGTCGCAAAATTGCTGTGACTACTCGCAAAATTACTCTTACTGCGACTAGTCGCAAAATTAAGTAACAATAAGTTTGAGACTGGTCACAGCAACTCTGCGACTAGTCACAGAAATTTTGCGACTAGTCACAGTAAGGCCGAGACTAGTCCCAGCAATTTGGAGACTAGTCGCCGCCAGTTTGAGACTAGTCACACTAAGGGCCACAGCTTCCACAGCTTTCCAATTTAGGAAGCAACCGAGTGACAAAGCCCGCGGCGATTTCATAGATGGACGGTCTTCGTAACATCAGGCGCGACAATAAGTTACTTAGTAGAACCGGACGCGGCTGCCCACTTGGCTGCTGAGACGCGAGCACATTTGAGCCCTGCGAGATAAGGCGCGACAACTGCTAAAAAAGCGGCGGGGCACAGGATGGGGCGGGCGCCGATTTGATTCTTGTGCATATTGTTAAAGCGCCGAAGGTGCTCTAGACATTCTGGCTGAAGGTGTAGACAGTCAGCTACCGGGTGAGTGGGCTCTTTGTGGAATTTGTCCCACCTTGATTAGCCCGGCGCCGTGATTGCCGAGCCGCAGTGGCTACGTCTATGATAGGAGAAATATAAGCCCAGAGAGTCAATGTATGTTCGGACTTCTGCGCCTGTGGCTAGCCCATCTCGACTGTCCAAAATCCAAACGAATCTGGCTTGCGCATATCGTAGGCGTGTGCAGGCCATTTGCCAAATCATTTCAGCAAGGGACTTGTACTGTCGCGGCTGATCTGGTATCCGAGCATAGTAAGCGCCGCAGGAGTGGCTAGGCGGATACCAAAGGCGTTAGATATGTTTGGCGAGTAGGCTGCTCATCTCTTCTATTGCCGTCACATCAATAGTTTCGCACACTGGCCGTTGTTTGTTTGATGATAGCCTCGAACTTGCTAGCTGCAATAAGTCGCCTTGTGGATATATCTATAGAGGTGCTTGATCAAGGACTCGCCGCAGGTTTTTGTTTTATTTCCTTGGCAGTTGGGCGCAGTCTAAAGGTGACGCCCTGGCCGTCCACAGAAGCTATGACTGATGTCTTATTCTGAAATAGTAAGTAGACTCTGTTCCTGTTGCCGACGAAAGAAGACGAAGGGGACACGTCGTCCTCTGGTGGTGGAAGCGGACCTATAAACACGTGGCCAGCTGGACGCTGGATGGCATGCCTGCTTTGTTTGTCGCTGACGTCGTTGAGGAGTCGCCTGTCAATGAAGACGCAACAGCCGCGCCAGCTGTCCGGCTCGTCGAAGTCATGGCACTGGATAGGCCTCGTGGCCCAAGACGCCGTGGAATTAATTGCGTCAGCACAAAGGAGCCCAGTGGTGGAGTCGTAGCATCATGCTAAAAGACCCTGAGTCAGCTCCACCTCCAACGAATCCGACACTAGCGCCATACCAGCAAGCATCAAGACCAACTTGCTTCCGTTGCGTAGAAAAAGTGACTTGCTGGCGTTTGCGTGATAGAAGAACGTCAGCCCCGTAAAATGCGCTTTGCATTTCCGGAACTGCTTCAAAGTGTCCCACAGTAACAAACTACTAAAGTAATTCGTTTGATCCGTCGAGATTAACGCCCAGAATTCCCCCGGTGTCAGGCGTAGCATTTCTGCAGCCCATACGAGCCACGCTATGAGTCTAGAGATGCGCAGTCGGCCTCCAGGCGTGGCATCGCGCAGTCGGATAGCTGCTTGCGCCTCGGACATGCACGCGAGACCCAAAACGCCAGCTTCTGCGCGAAGGGTAGCTGAGCCCCGAATGATGGCACGGGTTTTTTTTATGTTGGTGATGTTCGGCCCCTTGCGTAGCAGCCCTATGATTTGCCTGGTTAGACGGCGTTCGAGGACGTCCCCGCAGCGCTTGATGTCGGCGGGTTCTAGTTTGTTCAGGTCGTTGCTCAGACACTGGAGGAAATCCGCGCGCACCTTTTCTGACATTGCCTGCAGCATTTTCATCCGCAAACCGGGCGCACCCCTAACTTGCGAATTTGCACGCGCAAAAAAGTTATAGCTAACTAGTTGAGGGTCGGTGACTACCAGTGGCCTGCACTCCTGTTAAGCGTCACGAGCTTGGCGGGGTGCGCGATGCTTGGTGTCCGTATCAGGGGCGACAGGGAGCCCGATTGACTCCCGCACTTTACAGCTCTCTGGCACACTCAGGGATTCCATGCACTAGCTGGCACCCATTTTCGATTGATGTAATTTCACCGGCTGGCCCCCCGCGATTGGGACCCACGAGAAAGTGCGCTACTCTTTGGGAGGCTTTGCTACTTACGTATTTCCATTTCGCTCGTCTCAGATTGCAACCTAATCTGAACACATAAAATGAGAAATGTCTAGCGCATTCAGCCACAGTACAGCTATCCCAGTTGAGTGATATTGGTTTTGATACTGCTGTGTCAGTGTCAAAACGGACAAAATTTTACTCATTCATCGGATGGGCGCGTCAGCTGGAGAGATACGGCACGCGTCGCCGTATAGTCTGATATCTCAATAATTACAACCACAACCAAAGTCCAGTCAATATAGTAACAAATTTGATTCATCTCTCTGCTTTTTCTTGACGGATTCTTTAAAAGTTTTACGTCTTCTTTCCATCAAATAATACCATGTCTTCTGAGAATGGAAATTACCACGTCACTTTGCATGTATCAAATTGATTGTAACTAGGTGAAAAAAATGGAACATAGGACTCACTGTAACTATAACAAACTTAACTATATGTATATCAAGACTCTTGCAACTAAGAAGGTTCAGTTTATAAACAGTCAGATGTTGTGCCATATTCAATTTCATAAACATCTGCTCCGTTTCTAGGAAAACGAGCCAATCATGTTCGGTAAAACAGACGTTGAAGTCGATAGAGTAGTTGATACCAATTCAAAATCTAATTCGTGAGAAATCCTATGGTATGCGTCCATTGTAGCCCCATTCACAGCATATCGGGTCGAAAAGTGACCACCACGAAAAGTATTGGCACTGCAGGTATGTTTCTCCGATCCATTCACGGGTTTTGTATATATCAGCGGGCTGGTACCCAACCTGATCTACACCGCACTTTGGAGTCCCTAATTTTTGAGTTTGTTGTAGTGCATTTTCTCAAAGGATAATTGTGAGAATGATTTGAAACCGAAGAAGACCAAAATCTTTATTACTTACACTTTCTCAAAGGACTGTGAGAATGAATCAATAGATTATGAAGCAAGTGGGTACTCTATCTCACGATGAAAAATACTAGACAAGAAAGTTGGCATTATACTTTCTTCATCCATCCAACAGTAAAAATTGTTGAAATCGGTAAGTATGGATCTATCGATTCGTTACCTCGTCCTCTGTGACTTTTTTGTCGAGCTGAACCTCGGCTGCTTCAGCTCTCGTGGCAGTTTTTTTCTTCTTGATAGCGGGAAGTTTTTTCTTTTTGCGAAGCAGGTCGGCATCAGCCTCAGCGGTAGAAGCAACAGATTAGATCAGAACGATGAATCACATTGAAAACGACTGAGTCCAAACTCTACCCGCTCAGCCTAAAAAACCAACCCACACCTTACATTTACTTATCGAGAGAGCAAAAAGCGAAGCTTCCGCAGTGAAAGAAATACAAAATGAAAGTTTGTTCGCAGATGAAGTATCTAAAAAATAAATATATACATAGATGCGAGTTCTACTTAGATACTAAACTACTAAAACCTTCATCTTCCTGATGATATTGTATGGTCCGTGGCGCCTTAAGAGCCACCAGGCACGACTTCTGAGAGATGTTGCGCCTCGACTTCGCCGTCGTGATGTCCGGACAGCATACAATGATGCGCGCTGCCACTGCGTGTGTGACTACCGCTACGTGGTGACGGCGGCGGAGTTATTACACCACGACTCGATGCTAGTGAGACGTGACGGGCTCTTGCAGCCTCGGGACTATGCTCTTCTTGCTGCGCAAAGGTCACCGAGGATGCTGCGGGAGATGCGGATGCATTAGCGCGGGCTTTTCTAAGGCCGTACCCTAAAAATCCTAAGCTATAAACCACCACGCTGACGTGGTTATCGATGAGATTGAAATTGCAACTGACAATTCCTTCATGCTGCACCTTGTTCAACAAGGCTTGCTTTCGTCGTTCGCTTTGTTGTAACACAATGTAGCACAATCCGTTTGTTTCAGCAAGCAGAACGAAGCGGCATCAAACTTGTCATAAAAATACTCAGTTTTGTTCCTGAGATTGTAAGCTTCGTGTGATGCATGCTGGCAGCCCGCGATCTACGCGATTTGGAAGGTTTTAGAGTCTGACTTTGGGGGTAAGGGTAACCTGGCTATGATAATCATCGGGGCAATGAGTGCGAATCTTAATATCTCTATTTCATGAGGATGAACAAGATGAAACTGTAACTGCTTTAGAAATGATGCTGCCTTAACAACTTGTTTACAACATCCAGTATACGAGAGGTTTTTTCGAACCGCATTGCCTTCGTGATTCTTCTCGACATTGCCACGCGCGCTGTGACTGACTTACGGCTGCTCTCCTCCACTCTCGTCATGCGGGTCTTTCGCACGAGGACTACATGAACAACGACTATAAAAAGCCAAGATGATGGTGCACGGACGAGCCACAAGGTTTGATGTACGTGTAGACTGAATAAAAACAGCGATAAGCTGCACGCAGCTCTACACAGAGCTTCTTCTTATCATCATCATGTTCCTCATCTGTGACTTTGGGTGTGGTGTCGACAATTTTTTATTCAGAAAATATAATCAAATTGTTCCAACCAGTGGTCTTCAGATAGATCATCTGCTGAAGGAAATTTGAACAAGACTCAAATCTATTGGTTATGCGTTGCGAATTATAGGGACTGATCTCATCGGATCCATCGAAGGAAACTTACTATACATGGCAACAAACAATTAGGTCAATTATCAACAACAGGCTGCAAAAACATAATGACCAGCCGTGTATCGAGTGACTCGGTTATTGTCCAAAAGAGTGAGTGGCACCCATGTTTTCGTATCAAACTCCTCATGCAGCTGGGATTCTTCGGCTCTTTCCGCTCGGTAGACACGTAGGCTCAAATAAAGCGTCAATAACGAATCCAGCTTAGAAGACGCTAATAGCAAGTAGTAATTGCGCGGCTCATCAAGATGCCACTTTCCAGATCATGATCATCCATTGTCCACCAGAAAAGTACACGATCCTTCGTTTTCATATTTTTCATATTCTAGTATTAATAGTAAGCAGGTACTACAGTTTATTGATCTACTACACCTATAAGGAAAAATATACCCCAAGAACCAACGTCAGTGCTTTTAATGCTGATGATTCATAATTGCAATCATGGCCCCAACCGCGATCCATTTGGTACGATTTTCTCGCTCCTCCGCCGTCAGAGATTCAAGGCTTCGCCGATCTCCTTCACCCTCATGTTCATTTACAGTTCCTAACAGTTTACTCGCCAAGTCGAGGATTTGATCCGATTCGTCGTGCTTTCGAATGCGAGATGAGAGCGCCGCGTTGGCCCCGTGGTCGTTCGCCGACTGTACCTCTGTGCCAAAAGAATGACGAAAAGTAGTGGCTGATGTTGGAGTTAGATGCAAATGTGGCCCAAGATCATTGGTGCCTTAAAACACTGGTTAAAAAAGAGATAATGTGAGATATTTGAAGATAGATTAACATTCAATACTTAGAAGAAGTATATATATTTATACATAGTGTAGCATATCCTGACTCAACAACAACACTACAGACTGGTCACGTCGCAGAAACAGTGATGCATGCTGAGCATCATCATCACCAGTGGAGAGGTACGAGAGGTGCACGACACTCATAAGGGCCTTAAAAAAGCCAGAATCCGCACTGTGCTTCGCCTTAGCACTGGCGTTCTTGACGGAGATTCTGGTGTGCAACGCGTGCTTCTTCGAGCCTCATCAGCGATGCACGTTCTTGTTCCCTTCCATGACGCCATTTTTTGCTTCTAATGTTGAGAAAGTTTCCTTCTTGAGTACAATCTAGTGCGCCCAAGGGCTGCATAGATTGTCGTAATTTGCGGATGCGTTCATCTGTACTTCCAACTAGCTACTTCCAGATCCGGCTACTAAAACTTTTGTCAGTCCTGTGGATTCTTGTTCGAGTTTACCGACAAGATAATTTTGATTGCTATTCCTTAAAACTACCCTTCCTCATCAACATACGAAAGAGTTCTAGTTTTCTCAATTGAGTCTTTTTCTTGATCTCTAACCATTTTGCTTGTTTTTCATTTTGCTGTAGGTTGCGGCCATGTTTTCTGCTGAGGGAAAGAAAACTCGATCATCCGGCGGGTTGTTGCACCTCCACATTCATGATTCATCTGCTCTATTAATATGCCATTCAGAAGTGCACATGATACGTGCATCTCTTTCGGGTAGACGCACGTAAGTACAAGTCGTTGTTGTTTTTTATCTCTCCGCTGGCCGTCACAAAACATTGTCGACGTCCATCCTGGAAAGATGAAGGCATGCTCCTGTCTTCGAGTCCCACAGCTTTACCCGTGGTCTTAAATGATATAGAAGTATCCTTCAATAGTGGGGGTTCTGCTGCGAACCGTCATGATGATCATGATGATGATGATGCTATGAAAATCCGATTTCTGCTCGTTTGGTGGATAGTGTAAAACCAACAGGGCAATCACACCAGCACGGATAACAGATCTTGTTCTTGTTAGACTTGATGCAAAGACATACAGAAGAGAAGATAGAAATGGCTGCATCTTCGACAAAAATAATAGTCATGTCGGTGAATTCTACTCTACTAACTACTTGATGTCAAGATAGCTCAACAGGCACATCTGGCACTGCTCGCTTACTATTTCGTACTTGAATACTGCGAGAAAGTCTTGTCCTGAGTTTTATATCAAGGGAAGGACTTCTTCTATCAAGACGAACACTTCCTACCATTGTTTTTTGAATTTCAATGCCAGCACATGATCATATGAAAGACCGGTTTATCTCAATATGACATACAGGTAGCCCTCAATGGTTAACTTGCAACATGCAAAACTCCTGGAGCAAAAAATTCTTACTGCTAGTACTAGCAGTACATACTATGCACACTGAGACTGATTAATGCAATATGCTTGAGTAAGTACTAACCACTCTTTAGTACGTAGAAATCAAAGGGCCAAAAGTATGATTATACAAAGCTACCTGGTGTGGCAGTATTAGAAAAAGAGAAATGATCATGTCATCAACCTACAGCAAACAAATGTCTCCATGGGGAATCATGGCTATCTTATTGTAAGGATAACCATTAAGGGGGTACATTTGTCTTGTCTGCGTTGTTTTTCAACGTCGTAACCTTTGCAACCGGAACGATCTTCTCCACTTTTTCTGTAATGTGCTGTACAATACGCCCACACATTTTTTGCACGTGCTGATCCAGACTTTGATCACCTACCATTTTTTGACCGTTCTCAGCTGTCGTTACTGCTAGGAGCTTCGTGTAGTGCGGCAACACCTCTTCTTCCACTGCCTCTTGCACCTTGTGGATGGGAAACTGCGAACTGACATTCACGGCCGATTTCCCACCGAACTGCACGCTCACAGTAGGCGCTGAAACCAGGATCCGCAAATTCTCCACGAAAGTCTGCTCAGCTTTTTCCTGCAACAGATCAGAAGTACAATTAAAAGCGACGTAGGAACTACCACATGGACATGGGAGGGAAGTCGGTAACACTAAATATTATCATCACTCTTGTATTTACTTCTAACAAGAACCTCGTCTTTTTCTATCCGGTTTAATCAACTAAACAAGGTCGAACACGCAATCAGTAATCACAAGTGCTTACCCTTTCCAGTGCGGCGATTCTGGCTTCCAGTCTGGACTTTTCCATGATTCGAAGATTGCGCTCGAGCTTGAACTTTTCGAAGAGATCGTCGTATTTCTTCTCCAGGCCCTGCTCAGTTGGCGCCGTTGTTTGACATCCTACGTCCCAGACGTGGGCCTTCGTAGTTTGCGTGATTTCATTCTTCATTTGGACCGTATCGGTTTGCACTCCCATTGAATCCTCGAAAAACCATCGGTCCTCCACCAAGGTAGAGACGTCTTTAGTGGCTACTGGCGGCGGTGGGGCTGGCGCAGCAGAAACTTAGAGAATGACTCGATCAACAAACTAACTAAGTAACCTCTCTTAAAAGAAGAAGAACTACTACAAGCACGAGCTGCAGCTCGTTTCATAACGATAAACAACAAGTTGTACCAGCAATTATCAGCCATAAAAGAATGCTTGCGTGCCGACAGTGCAGGTCTTCTTCTTCACATTTTGGCTCATTTCAGCGCGAAGACGCTCTTCTAGTTGGTCTGTGTAGTCCACAGAAATGATACCACATTGCACACTGCGATTGACCACTCGGATTGCCGCTGGTCCCCTTGATCTTGCCGCAGTGATCTCTCGATCGAAGAGCGTGCGAATCATCATAGGCTCCTCGTCGGTCTGCTCCTTCGACTCCTGAAGGTCAGAAGCCGATTTCTTGAATTAGGATTGAAGAAAGAAAGGAGGCGAAAATCGGAGCTGATACTCTAATTCATTGTTTCTGCTATCACCCTTGTCCACAAGAAAAACTCTTCAAAAATTCCATACGAAAAGCTGGCGAGCTGAAAAATACCGGTCTTTTCAACGCCATATTCGTATAATTCGAGACAAAAACGTCGTCGCGCATGTTGAGCAGAAGTGCAGTAGGACTGTTTTCCATGCCTGGCTCCGCCGAAGCATCCCGTCACTTATTAGAGCAGTGACTGTCTCATGAAGCTAGACAAATGACTGATGATTCAATTTGTCAGTCGACGCATCATTACTACAACAAACCTAAAAACTCTTAAGAACAGTGTTAACAAGAAGTCCGTCATTCAAAAATACTTCTACAACAAGCCTTATTGCTTTGCCCGGACACTGGTCTCCAGTCTGGTGGCTTGTGGGTTTTTGTTGACTTGAAGGAGGAAATTGTCTTCCCCGAGGCGCCGATCCGCTGCTCTGAATTCTTACGAAAAAACCGCGTTCCCGTACTTGACATGCTCAACGCTTCCCGAGCTTTTCGCAATTGCTCCGCCTCATCAGCGGCGTTCCTATCCACCTGTGCTGGATGATTCGCGCCTCCCTTCCAGAAGCTAACGCCAGTGCTCACAGCCGGTGAGGGGTGCCCGCGCGGCACCGCGGGCGTGCGAGTCGAGGCCGCAGAGCCACCAGGCAATACCGTTCCAGACCCGGAACAAATTGCCGCGTTGGATGTCGCATTGCTCATAGCAGTTGTTGGCTTGCTTGACGCAGAAGAAGAGGCGGAGCCTCCTATAGACCCAGCTGAGGTCCAGTGCTGTGCTGATCGTGATAGCGCAATACCTGTTGAGTTTGCCGCGACGACGGTCGACGCAGAAGCCGGAATAGCAGCAGACTCACAGAGTGTGGACGACGCTGCTGATCCGGCTCTTGACGGTGCAGTAGACACTGTCGATGGAGTTGCTGTGCCGCTGGCTCTGGTTTTAGACGGTTTCGACGGAGTTCTACTCGAAAAATTCGAACTATCTAAAGAAGATGTGCGCCCCTCTCGCACTGGCACAGGTCCTGCGCTTGAATTTTTCGAGGAGCCCGCAGATTTTCGCATCGGTGTCGTTGCGGCAGCAAGAGAGGATAAATCACCGATAACAAGGGCCGCCGAAGGAAGCGTCGGTGTTTCTGAAAATGCGTGATTTTCTCCTACGCTGCCCGACGATGACGAGGATAAGCGCTCGTCTTCGTGGCGGGCGGCAATGGTGGACGAACTGTAGGCCATGCCGGAGGACTGTGAGCTGACAAGCGATGGCTTTTTCACCGTAGCGCACGAGGGTGCGGCATCGGGTCCGATGACACTTGCGCTACTGCTTGCCTCGTAAAGGGGTTTCTGATTCGCAGAATCATCTTTCACGGCAGCTCCCCTCGTGGTACTTTTGTTTTCTCCTTGGTCATTCTGGACACCTGTTATAGTTGTACTACCCTGCTCTAGTGGTTCAACTTTTTCATGCTGGGGATTCCTCTTCTCAGCGTCACCTGCTGCCGCACTTCCTGTTGCATTGGAATCTACAGACAACGTGCTCTCCCCGCAGGTCAGAGCACCTTCATTGCCACTCGTCTCACCGCTGATCTGCTTCGGGCGAACCAAAGTTCGAGAACTAATCTTTTCGGACTCCTTCATTAGATGATTCAGAGCTTTATTCAAACCGGTCTTACTGCATTTGCTGGACGACCCTTGTTCCTTGGCAGGAAACATGTTGCTCGTTACCGTTGTCGTGCCACCGCTTGACAACTTCGGGTTTGGAGGTCGTAGCAAATGGGAGGAAGTTGTACCAACGACCGTTGCTGTATTTTGTGTCGTCGTCGAGGACGTAGATGAGGAACCTGAAGGAAAAAACTCAGTCCCTGTGGAGCTCATGAGCTGCTTCTTATCTGCTGTCTCTCGTTGTGCGAGAACGGTCTCCACGGAATTCGCCTTCACAGGCGATCGGCGCTGTGGAATCTTGAACTCTCCCGCAGACACGAGAGCCGGATGCTGCATCGCAACATTCTGTCCAGAAAATGCGGAAGACATCCCGGCTCCCCCGACGACCATGCTACCTCCGACACTTACTCCGGATCCGGAAGTCGCTAATGAGCATGAGCCTCCGGTTGTTCCCGCAACGACACCAGTTGTACTTCCTCCGACGAGCAAACCAGAAGCTGCACGCTCGCGCTGCGCTGACTTTGTCAGCATATGCAAGTCGGAGATACTCCGTGTTCGCTGCTCGCGTGCGACGCGGACGCCTTGTTTAGGTGCTTGCGTTCGCCAGCCTTTCTTCGTCACACCCGCCAACGAGGAATTCTTCGCCAAATTCAAGCCCCCTTGCTGCGGCTGATAATCCTCGTGACAGCTCGCGCTACCCTCACTACCCGATGAGGAGCATCCAGCATCGCCAACGTCATTCGAGGCCAAAAATCCAGCATGCGTTTGCCTCTGCTGCTCAACCGCAGCACCCCCTCTCATGTTCACCACCCCTGCTCCCGCATTTCCACCTCCGCTAGTGTGGATACTGCTACTCAGCCCAGATATTGAGAAGTCTTCAGGTTCCGCACGACCACCCCCGGTGGCCCAAGAAGCCCCACCATTAGACGTGCTCCACGTACGAGCATAGGGATTGTTGTGTTTTGCGGGACCGATGCCCCACTGTTTGTGCGTCGCTGTATTGTGGACGAACTTCCGAGTCCACGCGGGTCGACCCGAAGAATGCACTGTTGCCATGACGCTGTTTGTTTTCCGATGATGGTGCAAAGAAATGACTAGTGGAGAGAACTCAATCCTGATGTGCCTATTGAATATACATACTCTTCTATACTATTGTGAGGGTTCTCATTAGCAGGGCCTCAACATTCGACTGTGTGAAAAGAGTAAGAGAGCAGCTATAGATCAAATCATATCAGCATACTTGTTGTTGACAACATTCGTTGGGCGGCAAGGAATACGCGTGAGCGTGAGCCCAACATCTTGTGATGTTGCATAGCTTTAGCAACCCACCGATATAACACTCCATAAAGAATGGAACGACAGACCCGAATTCTCATCGCGTTCAACGTTACAGAATCAGCTTGATCGCATGAGAACCGATGAATTTCGCAACTACAGTGCTGTATGAACGCCCTATTGACAGACAGAGATATCAAAAATGTAAAGTACCGAAGAATATCTTTCTGTAGAACTTTGTCCTGTCCGCGGGTCTTACACCAGCAACGACACGCGAAGCGTGTGGAACAAAACGTTGCAGCGGGCCCACAGGTACATCGCCTGATCGTGATGACCAGTGCTCAATCTTAAACTTAATCGAAAATGGATCATTTTCCCTGTGCAAAAATAGCGTCGTTGCAGATTCCGAAAAGTCTGACGCTGTTAAGACTACATCTATGTTGATTTCCCTGTGCATCACGTGATTCCCTTGATCATTTCCTTTTGAATTTGATGTGTATGTGAATATTTTATGCGACAATTAGTATTCCCGTATTCATGCCTGCCAGTGCAATTCCCACCGATATCCGATGGATAGAGACTACACAACCACAGGAGGGTATAAATATGCGTCTCCTCGTCATAAATGCGATGACACTGCTTCTCTTTTTTCCAGCACATCCTGCTTGAAAGAAAGTGCCAATGGGATCATCGATTGAGAGAAAAGTGCCAATCGAATAATTGCAACGCAAAAGCACAACCGGGATTGGATTTGTCATCAATCTTACCTGATGAAACTGTAAGTGCCCAAAAAGTTACTTACCTACCACATTGATTCTGCTAACCAGGAGCAGATTCCTACTGGTCACCAGAATCACACGATCATACCATGCCCCTCGTCATTCATGCGTATCTATGTCGAACAACAACAAGTCAGTGTCTCGCAAGCAAAAAACCAAAATCCAAACATAGAACGGTGTCACTTCAACTAAGTTAGAAATCACGATGTTGTTGGCCTATCCGATCGACGAGTCGCGGAGAAATAAACGAAGAAGAAACGTTGCATTCATTGTAAGAAACTACAAGATCAGTATCGAAACTGTGAACGCTTTCCATAAATCATGTAGAAGAAATTTACTACCAACGACGGTGAAAACATCAAAAAGTTTTATACACAAGAAACCACGAAACAACCTCCAAGTCATAGAGATCCATCGCCTATCAGTATCATGTTCATGTCAATTCCCATATGAAAAATGTGTAATGACAAGTGGCAAGAAATCTTTGAAGCCATCTTGATTTGACCGAAATCGCTTGTAGACATTTTGCCTACACGACCTTATGCTGTTTTATTAATCTAATCCTATCCGATTCTCCTATGACAAGATCAAGAAGTAGATACTTCTACACAAAATAGTGTAGAAGTCAGTACATTATGTATAGATCTTTTTATCCCCCTGTGGTGCAGTGCCGAGTGTTAGCATTCGTCGACTCTTGTTGAATACCCCAATTCTCCTCTACTCTTTACGTCGCCTGCTACCTGCATTATTCCACTGTCGTTAAAGTGCGTCATTAGGATCGCATTTGATAAGAAAAATTTATTAAATCACTTTTCCACGTCTACTACCACAGTTTCAACGCTATCGGTGTGCGCGATTTCACTCTTAGGGGAAACGTCTGTGACACCCGGAACGTGTGGGCGGTAGTAGAGTCCAATACCCGTGAGCCATCGGTTATGCGGCAACTTGACGGCACCCCACTGTGGGACCTCAAGACCAACGGGACTTCCCAGAGTCGATTGCGTCAAGAAGCTCCTCGAAAGAGTACTGATGACAAGAATAAAGGAAGAGTTGAGAAGAAATCGATTTTTGTTGTAGCACTAACGTGATCTATCTGCATGATAGTATTCATCATCGAAGAAAGTTCAAGTTGAAAGTTTGAATCATTTATCGACGACGGAGATGCACAGTAGTACCTGCTGAGCGGATCAAAGCCCGAGTTGGCAATGAAGAGCGGGGACGTCGAGACTAAGGAGAGAGTCGGCTCCATGATTGCGGTTATGTTGGGCTTCCACCGGTGACCAGTCTCTCCTGGAACAAGTGGTATCGCAAAATTTAACCGAAAAATTGAATCAAAAGTGAAACGGCAAGTTTTTATCTACAGCTAGTGCTGGTTTTTTCGAAGATGGAAATAGATTAGATTCTTAGTAGGAAGGACAACCGCGTTCCAGAACGAAGCCACCAAGCAAGAACGAAAAATCTTTGCCGAGACGGAAAAAGCGGAAAGGCAAAGGGCTAGGGTAACACTTAACAGCTGATAACAACAAGTGATGCTAACTGCTCCTGTTTTTTTTTCCGGACGATTTCAAAAAACTTGGAGTTGGGTCTCCATGCATGATACAGGTCGGCAAGGAGTTTGAAGATTTCCGACAAACATGATTGTGCGAGGTTGCTTGGTATAGCAAGCACACTAATAGGAACAAAAAATAAAGATGAAAGCTGTATTTCTATGCAAAAAAAAATGCACATGAAAATCTGACCTCAAAAAATAGGCAAAAAAAATCTATGACAAACAGAAGCGTCGGACAAAAAGCCATGTAGGAGCACAAACACAACCACGCAGAGCCATAACAAAAGATAATACCGATGCTCAGCAGCTCTTGCTTACTTGCCAGATGAAGCAGCCAATCTATTTCTGAATCCGATCTACATTATAACGTCCAGCTCTAAGATTGCAGAGCAAATGACATACCGAAGACCGAGACACACGAACAAGAGCAGTTTTTTCAGCAGTCACAGATGATTTTTTTCTCTCTCTCGCAGTTTATTTCTCTCTCTCGCCTCGCAAGACACTGAGCCTTCTTTCTATCACTTAGAGGACAGAACCGGAGGTGCATGAATTAATATTGTATCAAAAAAAAGATTTGATCTTCGACAACCAGGTCAATCTTCTTCTCGCAACGCCTATTGTAATTTTGAACACGATGGATGACTACAAGTGCGCAGGAATATTTTCAGGGCTTGCGGCTGCAGACTTCTGCACCACAGTTGATTCATCATTCAAGCAACATGCTGCTGTGTGGGACGAGGAAGAACTCGTTATTTACAGAACGCGGAGGCGCCACGTTTTTCTAAAACAATGTCTCTGCTATGGGCGTGTCGTGTGTAATCCATGCACATGACGTTCCCTGATCAAACGAGAAGATTCGGGGAGAGAGGGTACAATATATCTCCCGTGGGGAGTACAAGAAGTCTTTCGTAAGAGTGTGGGCCAATGAATACTGATCAGTGACGGCCGAGAGAATGCCGATCGCATACATGTTCATGTGTGACTGATCATGTGCTGAACACAATACGATGTGAATCAAAGAAATCGTATCCTGACGTCGGGGTTTAAAGTGAAGTGACAACTATGATATTATGACCTACCGCTTGTAGCTGCCCATGTCAGTAGTGTTTATGTGAGGTCACGGTACTTGTGCGATCTGTCATGGAGTTGTTCATCGTGTGAGTGTGTACTTTTGTTAATCGTGGACATCTACGATGCTTCATCGTGTTTGACCATGTCATTCCTGTTTACAGCTCCATGCGGGGAAAGCAGCAACGGTTGAAGTTGAACATGCCGTCCCAGCACTGCGTGTTTCCGTTGGGACCGAATTTCGGGTCGCAGCAGGTGTCGTAGTCAAAACCATCCATCCAACATTCGGTATTGCCTAAAATGAGTCTCTCAGTGTCCGGTGGCTGGCACGTTTTCGATCCGGAAGTCCAGCCTTCAGCCTCTTCCCTACCATCGTCTGCAGCACGCAACCTAATTTTGCACACAACAAACATTAGTGACTTTGACGGCAATAAATAATGAGTTTTCGTGTCTGACTATGCTGTTAGGTACAACAGGCACTTTTCGTTTTTCCATGACTGTTGTACTATATTATACCTTTATTTGTTGAACGGAGCAGAGTCATTAGTCTACATTATCTGATCCATCTGAAATATGTACTTATCATAAGGACCGCTGTTACATAATATGTATATCGCACTACTAGTTGTGTGCAACAGTAATACCAGCACTTCTGCATGCCCTCTTCTTCCCCAAAGACCCACCAGTTACACTCAGGTACACTGTTGCAAACTGCAATACAATTTTCCAAAGTCGACACCGCAAACTTGTCCGTATTAATGCAATCGTCGATGAAGCACCCAGCCGCCGCTCCGTAACCTGGAATCGACAACAGCAGAGTACTATAGTAGTGCAAGACTGATGAAGATCAAGACCAAGTAGGACACGCGCCTCTCAACAAATGGATCATAAAAAGGAACGACGATTAGAATAATGACTGATTCTTTATACTGAAAAATCATTCAAAATACCAGCGACATTCGTGAAGAGCGCCTTGCCAGCATTGCGAATTACTGTGTTCTGCTCCATACATGCTGGCCATTCGGTCTGTGCAACGACAGAGGCAAGTGTAGAAACAAGAACCAAACTGCGCACCATTTTCGACGAGCAATCAGGGAAGAACAAGACTCCGAGTTCTTCTTGGAATGCTGATCCTTGGCGATGTCGTGCTAGGTACGAGTCGCGAAAGTCTGTCGTCTTGAAACAAATGAGTGATTACAACTCTAGTGCTTTGTTCGTTCTTTTGCCATTACCTCGAACATGTATTATGGATTGTACTTTTTTGTTGTACATGTGATCTTCGACACAAGCGTGTGCTTCACTCCCCACAAAGAGGCTGACTCGAACGTAGAACAGCGTCAAGACTTCCAGAAGTTGACATTGCGGAAATCATATATTTAATCAGACCGAGATCTTTAGAGTTAGAAGTTCTCTGGCTTGCGATCTTGCGGGGGCCATGGCTCCAGGAATGCTGGGCTTCGGAAGCAATGCATTTCACAGACAACAAATAAAAAAAAACGCGGGATACAACAGGCAGCCACAGCAAGCGCAGGATAAATACAAATAGGATACCGGAGGAAACTGATAGATACAACTAGATGTGGTTTAACAGGTGATGATCGTAGTCTAACCCTTGAACTTAGGCTTACTACGTGAGATCTCAGCACTTGTGTTCGACCATGCCGAACGCCAATCTTCAGGTCCAGACCAAAGCGGACATAATCACATGAGCAACGACCTCCGCAGCGAAAACGAGACAACAAAAGCGCCAACATATAGGTGAGGGAGAGACCGTAAGCTGATGGGTATGCGTAATTCTCTAATGGACTGATGAGCTGGATGTTTTCGCAAACAAGTAAGCTCCTCAATGTAATTAATTACGTGGGCAGCTCCTCATGCAAGTAATTCACTGTGAATTGCCAAGACGAGGAGCTAAAGGAAAAGTAGCTACACACTCGCCTTGCCTTTGCTTGTGAGATTTCAGACTTCATTCCACTAGAAGATACTTTTATATGCCAAGACTGCCGGAAGGGTGATCCCAGAGATACCGACTTGCCTGCAGGCGACGGGTGGAGTGCAGCTTACTTTAGGACGCAATAATTTCCTCCGAACCCGTCGATTATAATCTGAAGAAGGTTTCTGGCTTGACTTGCAGGGGCAACGGCGGAGCATCAGAATTAATGCGGAAACCGGAGAGAGAAAGAAGACGCACTTGCCCTCGGTCGAGGTTCCTCCCTTTCTTGTCCTCAGTCAGCGACTAGTAGGCTGTTGTAAAAGTAGTGCCAGTTATAATTAGAACAGTTAAATAAAAGGGTTCCCAACATGGCTGGGCTGGGCACGCTGGGCACACTGGGTCGCTGGGCGACTCAAATGTGCCAGATCTGCCGAATTCTGCGCCCAGCGTGACGCTGGGCGTCTCCAATTGCGGGGCGCCCTTCAGGCGCCCGCTTGAGAACCCCGCCAGCAACAGCAAGGCTAGTCTAGCGTAGGCCAAGGCCAACGACGCTGGCGAGTTCACCGTTGTGCACAGGAGCGGCGCAGCATTGCACGCATCGAGCAGCGCAGTGCAGCGCGACGCAGTGCAAGCCTGAACAGAGTAGGAGCCGCGCAGCCCGCTACTGCGCAAACTGGCGCAGCACTGCGCCGGAGCTGCCCTAAACCTTGAGGGCGGCGCGCCGCCTTTGTTTGTCCTCACGGGACGCGGTGCAGCGCGTCCCCGCGGCGCAGGTAAATCCATCGGCCGCGCAGGCTCGGCGTGCCCAATGTGTGGCCCTCAAGTTCGCTAAGCGCTATCCAAGCGCCCGCCCAGCGTGCCCAGCGTTGCCGCCCAGCGTGCCCCGCGGTGCCGCCCAGCGTGCCCAGCGAGGCCGCCCCGCCGCCCAGCGTCTATACTCTATAAACTACTCTATTATAAGTGTCCCCCTTTTGGTTTCTTAGAGAGGAAAGTCTATATTTGACCAGGTCATCAAATAAACTACGCTAAGTCAGGACGCAGAATAAAGGCGCACGCAGTTGATTGACCGTCACACATAGCACCAAAGAAACATCATCTATAACGCTGTGACATTAAGTCAGTCCTCAGTCTTTCAATGTCAATCAAATGGATTCAAGGCACGTCCTTAATCCACCACCTTGGTACCGATGACAATAAAGAAAGATGACAATCACAATCACGAACTAAATTCAATTACAGATGAGTATGCTAATCCTTTGGAGTTTCTCAGACGTGGATTGTTTGGCTGTATTGATGCGCTCGGGGCAACGCGTACGATCTCACCAGATTTCTTTATGCTTCGTGTGTTTTGTGCTATGCATGGTCGTCGTTGCGACGGACTAGGGCGTGTCTAGTTTTGCTGGTCGCACGGTGCCTTTACGTCGCCGCCAGTCAGGCTTAGGATGTGTCAGACTAACCACGCAGCTGGGGGCGGCGGCGTATGTGTTTGGCGGCGTCCGTGGGCAGCGGCGCAGCGCGGTCGGTCTACCTGGTGGCCGTTGCTTTCTCGAGGTGGCAGGTGACAGGCAGCAGCGGCTCCTCCTAAGCCCCAACCCCGGCGGGCTCGTTTTGGTTTGCTTTCCTTTCTTTCGACCCGAGACTTGCGGGGTCTGCTTGGCGTTCGTACGTGCGTGCGTCGGCGTTGCCTCTGCTTTTGTCTTGTCTGCGTTTCCCCCAGAAACAGATAACTCCGACGCACCAGACACGCCCTCTTGTTCTCCGCAGCGACGACAAAATGAAATGGAAGGTGCACCAACTACTTTCAATGTCATCCACAAATAAGACCTTATGCATGGTGTTCTAGGTATGATTTCGACGCAAGTAGAACTACGCTAGGCGATCCAAAAAAGTTGTATGCCTGGTTGGGATACCTTTCTGCACCTGCAAGTTCAGAATGGATACAAATAGTGTAGAGCACGACATTAAACAAAGTTAGATCCTCTGTATACAGGAGTTTCTCCCAGCTCAGAATTTCGTGGTGTCTGTAGTGCTACCAACCGATTCTTCTAACGCATGGCCTGGTGCGACTTTCTAGGACAGGAAGTTGAACTCCCATAGGATCACTTGCTGTGGGCGTCTTCGTCAAGTTACATCCAATCAGACCGATTCTAAGGTGCCATAGGCACACTCTGCGCCTCACATTGAACACAGGGAGAAATCGTGTTTGATCTTGAATGCATGTTGCGATAAACAACACCGGTTGCTCTGCGAACAATTGCTATGTGAGCCAAGCTATATTAAAGTTAGTGTGGTTCCATCAAACGAATAACCAGATCATGATGCATTATGAAATAATATTCATATCAACCCGCTCTACCTTGACCAATTCAGACGTGGAGATGATTCAAGGTGTTTTTTAACCCTTCATTCGGCGCATATATTTTTCTTCAAGATCATCTGTTTGACTATGCTTAATTCGCTCCTTCGCACGCTGTGCGCGAAGAAGTGCTTGCCGTTCCGCAAGTTTGCCCTCCTTCACAGTTTCCCGTCTAGGACCATTCTTGTCTGCGCCTTTGCGCACTAATTTGGCCGAGGAGCCCGGTGCCTGGTTCTTTCCGTTCTTTCGACCTGGTGCCGCGGGCCCTGTAGTTGTCGGAGTATTACCTTGCTGAGCCTCTCTACGTTCACGTTTTCTCTGCCTCTGTCTCGCGCCCCGATTGAGTTTCTTGCTTTCGTCTTTTTCAGCGCCATCTGTCTTCTGCTCTACCTTTCGTCGCTTAGACTTGCCCTTGCCTTTTTGTTCGTCACCCGTCTGCTCACCTTCGTATTGCTGCGTCGCAGCAGCACGCTTTTTACTCGCAGCTGCTGCTTCTTCCTTCCTTTTTTTCGCCTGTTCTTGCGCACGAAGCGCCCGCTTGTCGTCGAAGGAAAACTCCACAACGAGCCGTCGCTTTAGCGCCAACGCTGGACCGCTGTTGTTCATCCGCTGCAGCACGCGAAGGGCATCTTCGTGCTTGTCAAATTCAACGAAGGCGTAGCCCAACGACCGGCGCACACCATCCGCTGTCTTGCGATCGTCACTACGCATAACGCGGATGCCGCCTATTCTTTGCTCCACTTCCTTCCTTCTAGACTTCGGAATTGCAGATAGCGGTTGCAGCCTAAAAGCTGACGCGGCACTCGCCTTTTTATGATCTTTGTTTTTCTTCTTCTTCTTGCTTTCGCCGGTGGACGAGGATGGAAGGTCATCAACCTTATTTGATGCAGCACCTTCGTCCCCAGCTGCGGAAGATGCGGTGTCAATGGCGTCAATAACTTCTACCAGCTTGTTGCGCAGGGCTCCTGCATCCATGTTCAGTTCGAGATTCCGGACTAGCAACCTCTTTGGGTTGATAATGTAGTTGGGGTCCTTCGTCTTGAATTTTTTCTCGCTAAGCGATTGCTTTCGCAGGTTCTGCTCTTGTTTCGTCAAGGCTTTGAATTCAGGTGAGGTTTCATCGAGATCACCAACTTTGAGGAGATGGCTCCACTGATTCCTCGTCGCTTGTCGCTGTTCTTTCAACGATTTCTTCGACCTAAGATAAATGGGACCAATCAATGTTCATGCTTATGATAGATAAGGGGGACACTCGTCAGGAAGGACTTCTAGAAGACCAAGACTGATGAAATGATAATGCAACAAGTTGTTCGTCTTGCTGACCACATAGAAAATCTGAGACTTGACAATTGAAGATCATAAAAGTTAGTAAGAAGTACTTTCCAGCTACGTCCTCTCGTGTCTCCAGCCGCTTGACGATGAGGCGACGTCCTTTTACCACGAGGCCGAATCCCTCGAGCTTCGTTGCGGTAGCACCTTGGCCAATACCGACGGCTTGTTTACATCCGAACTCTCGTAGTTTCTCTTGCAACCGGCGTTCCTCTGCGAGAGTCTTTTCTACTGAGCTCTCCTGCACAAACTTGACAAAGCAGGAACCCCTGTGCGAGTTCGCACCGCTGTGATCTGGGGTGAGGTACACTCGCGCGACGGGGCCGTACTGGGCGAAAGCAGCCTCAATATCGGCTTTCGTGGCGTCGAAAGGGACGTTCAGCACGAAAACCTCGCGTCGCTTGTCTTCCTCGCTGTTCAGTACCGCTGCACCACCCTTCGAGGAAGATTCTGCCTCCTTCTTGCCGCCATTTCCATCCTTCTCTTCGTCATCTGACGAGTCGGAATCTTCTTCTTCCTCTGAGGAGTCCTGAGACATGTCCTCAACAACATCCTCTTTCTTCTTCTTCGCAGCTTTTGTCTTTGCTACCGGTTTTTCTTTCTGGTCTTTTTCGGCAGGAGCACCGTCTGCGCCTTTTTTGCCCTCACCATCCATCGTAGGTGATGAAGTTGATGCCTTCGCTGCTGCCCGTTTGCATGCTTCTACTTGCGTGTAAATGTCCTTCCCGACGCAGAAATCGACTGCAACGGCCCGCTTGCAGATTTGCTGGCCGTTCATCTCCGCTAGCGCGCGGTTGGCGTCGTTTCGCTCCAGAAATTCTACGAAAGCTATGCCACGAGTTTTGTTGGTATCCTTGTGCTTTAGCAGAGAGACCTCTTTGAGCTTTCCGAACTTTTGAAACGCCTTGCGAACGTGAATTTCTTCAGCCGCGAAGTTTAGGTTGCGCACAATCAGCCGTCCCGCACGATTGCTCTCCATCTGCGGCAAGACGCTCGCAAGCTGTACGCGCTGTGCACCGAACTCCTTCTGCAACTGAGCGAAACCCTGTTCGACCGCTCCACTGGCGAACGTTACACGCCACTTGCTCTGATCTTTTTTGTCAGCGGATGAACCTCCCAGCACCTTATTGCTGGCGTCCCGAATAGCGCACTTTTGCCTCAGATTTTCGGAGAGGCAAGCACGGATTTCATCCTCGGACGTGGGAGCATCGATGACCACCGAGGTCGACAGGTCTCCCTCATTTACGGGGCTGTGTGCACGTTCGCATCGCAGCGTGTAGCGCGTTCCAGCCGCATCGGCATAGACTTGCTGGTCCACATACGAAACGACCTAGCACGTTTTCAAATGATGATAACTCAATGTTAGTGAGAACTTATTTTAAACATTCACTTCACCCTTAGATGGAGATATCAAAGATATGTGAGGATTCTGTATGACATTCATAAAGATCAAGCCCTCAACATTATTCAATGTATATTTGCACTGTACCCGATCCACTTCATCTTCTGACTTAAGTTGCATGCCCATTTTTTTGCCCGTCCAGAAGACCGACTTCGGTCGAAATCCCAGGCCATCTCCCACAAAATTCTGCAACTCTGCTGCTGGCAGCGCCGTCTCATCGGGGAGGCCGGAGACGTAGACACGCAACTCTGCTTTGGAGGCTGCCATTTTACTTGTTCTTTAAGATGATGCTCAGAGAAACTATGCTAGTGTGCTGCATGGACAAGAGATCGCGATCGATTGTAAAAATATGCAAGTAACCCATGAGAGCACGGGAATGGCATACTTAGAAACACTCACTGAAAAAAGCGTTTCAAAACCAGTCCTACTTGGGGAAACTGCTCGGGGGCTATCTTATTTCTAGCGCACCTTTATTGAATCAATACCTTCCTTCCTTCTGGTGCAACCTCCCTAATTTTGTTATCCAAGTAGATGATTGTGGAGTTGTAGCTCGGATCGTCGAGGAAAAGTTATGGAGTACATACAAGACAACTATGGTCTTCCACCAAGGAAATATATTAAACATTTTGCGGGTGTTCCCCAGGATCCTTCCAGATTAGTGGCCCAGCACGGAAATACTTGAAGATCAAGGTCGACGATCTCTGTTGATCTTTAGATAGTACAACTATGAGCTTCATCGTGTTTTACGTTCTTTCGATTAGGCTGTCGATCTTTGAATCAGAACCGCAGCGATCTGTCAAGGTTCTGCGGAACTAATGTCATTAGGTTTAGGTCTATAGTTGCCTCTGATCAGTCGACATTCTCTTAGCGATCCAGCGGAGGATCTGTCTATTTGTGGATCTCTTCTTCACTTGGATCTCATGATCATGATGCCACTTTACCAGTTCGAGTTGTAGGCGGCTGCTTCTGTCGTGTGTTTAGCAAATTGCTAGGTGAACAAAATGGGGTCGGGCAAGCCGAACCTATATCACGCACGAACCCAAACTAGTTCCTGTCCGATGAAGTTGCACGACATCTCATTGCCTTTATTGGGTTCAGTTAAGAATACCAGAGTCAGGAGAAAGACTTTCCTTTTGAACAAGGCCAGTCAGGTGCCGACGGTTGTTCAACCTAGGTGGGTTGGCATGTATGGTAGGTGAGGAAAAGTTCAGGTCGTTTTTAGTGCGGTTATGTTAAGGAAATAGTAGTTGTTGTACGCGTTGTACAATAGACGAAACCAATGAAGATCTACTTATTCTACTCTACCTTTTCGGCACAATCACGACTTCTACCAAAAGATACAGATATTTTTGCACTTTTCCATTACAGTCTATTCATGTCCGTGCCCCTGTCCATGTGGTCCATATGTTCACTCGCGTATCTGCTCAATATTAAAGAGCTAAATTAACAAACAACAACGACCCCGCCAAGCTCTCACTCTTCCATTTCCGACCCCCAAACTCTCACTCTTCCACTTCTGACTCATGAACTCCTGAACTTAAGAACTTAGGGGCTTCCCTGGTTAGATTTCGCGCAGATGGGTACTAAGTTTAAAATTTACGCGATAAAGTCAAAACTTTTACAATTTGAGCTCAAACTTATGAACTTGGTTAGATTTCGCGCAGATGGGTAAGGGTATTAAGTTCAAAACTTACGCGATGAGGCCAAAACTTTTACAATTTGAACCCTAAAAGTTTCAATTTTTTGAAAATTCATGGCGATGCCATGAAGTTTATAAATTTTATCGCATTCTAACAGAAACCATAATACGAAGCAAAGAGATAGATATCCTCAACCTCAAGGCCGAAGGCATAAGCTTAGAAAGCTTAAAGTATTAAGCTGAAACAAAGCTCACACCTAAAAGCCCAAAGCTGAAGACGGACCCAAAGTCGAAAGGTCAAAGTTGAAAGTTCAAAGTTGAAAGCCCAAAACTGAAAGCGCAAAGTTGAAAACTCGAAGCAGAAGCTGAAAGCCCCAGGCCAAAAGCCCAAAGCTGAACGCTTAAGATTACAAGCAGCGCTGCAATGTCTCAAAGTTTCAAGTTTCTTGAGGCAGGAAATCCAAAGTTTTTGCTTATATCTAATAGATATATAAGAATGAAACTGAAAGGATTCCCATCCAAAGCATTTGATTGCATCGCAAGAAGCGGAATTTTTACAAGTTGCAAACTCGAGCGCTGCAACTTGCACGCAAAGAAGGCCAAACCTACCAAAAGAAGAGCAAACCGAGACCGACAAGCCAACGACTTCGATCTGTGCCGTTTTAATCAATGGCCGCACGCCGTCCCCCGCCCAACTTCTATTCCAACGATCAACGCCGCCGGACGGTTGCCGGGAGGGGGAGGAGCCGGGGAGGCGGAACCGCGCCGGGGTTGAGGAAGTGCGTGCCGGGGGTGGATGACCCTAGTGGGCGGAGTGCTCCTGCCAGGCGCTCGAGTCTAGTATAGAATCATTGTCCTTCTACTACGCTAATAATGTTCATCATTCATTGTATTTCGATGATGAAATAACATTCAGTATTCCTTTCTGGTCATCTTTTAGTCTTCAATCCAGCTCCATCTAGTAGAGGACGAGGATTTTTTCTGTGTGATATGCTAGAAACACGTTCAACAAAAAATCGTTTATGATCGCGGCCATGCAGTTTGGGCATCCGATGATGCCACAAAAGTTCTGGACAGTGGAAGGAAGACCAGTAAAGATATTATAACTTGCGATAACTTCTCTGCCAACTAACAAGTGAGAGGAAGCGCGGCGGTCGGCTGCAAGATACAGTCGTACTAGTAGTTGCTACGGCTGCTCCGTGTCTTCCTTTTCATTTTTCACGCCTCCACCGCGTACGACGGTGGAAGTTAGTACAATGAAGAAGAAGATATCGAGTACTCTACTAGATCTTCACTGCACCAACATCTTCATCAGGCTCAGAACAGTTTTTTCAGGCGCTTCCATTTCTTGCCTGCTGTAGAATTGATCGCCAGCTAGATGAGACAAGGCTACTGAACAGGCACCCAGTCATGCCTGGACGAGGACCACTGAGCAAAAAACCAGACCGCAGGGTAGTGCTGCCCATCTCTGTCGCTAAAGAAATGCTCGTGCGACAAAGAGCCCTTGTACAAAGGCGCATGCGTACACGATACAGACGAGGTAGATGGTGTTTTTGCTCCGAGCTTAGAAGAGCTAAGGTTAGGTTAATCAAGTAGTGCAAGAACATATTCTTTTTCATCATTAGAACAAATATATTCAATTTAGTATGCCCTAGCCCTGGTATTGAAATCATGAAGTAGTATGAATCCATCACTCATTGATCTTCTAATCTTCGTACATATACAGTTACTTTTTTGGGCAGATTGATTATAGAAAAAGTGTAGTCGTCTTTCGTAACAGTGAATTGGGCAGAGCGCCCATGCAAGCGAGCCTTCATTCGAAGGTTCCGCCGATGATTTGCTCAACAAGCTCTTCGACCCTGCGGCGAAAGGATCTGATTTTGCCTCTGCATCTGGCTTTGATGAGAGGAGGCCCGAAACTGTTGTTGATGATGATATACCCAGTTATCAATGTTGTTCAAATTTCAATGTGCAGGAAATCAAGACTCTCTGCAGAATCAATCACATTGTGAGTGGATGCATATGCCGTGTAAAAAGAGCCTCGCATAATTATGCATGGTTTTCAGACTCAAGAGTACCTGGGCACTGACCGTATTTTCCCGACATGGGACATGCCTTTTTTTTGTCCTCTTGTCCATCCCCCGCAACTGCATCCACGCGCTTCGACATTTTTCCTGCTTTCAAGCTATGCGTGATTCAAATATGAAAGAGCTAAAGTAAGAAACAACAACGACACCGCCAAACTCTCACTCTCCCACTTCCACGCCCCAAACTCTCACGCTTTCGCGTTTGAACTGCACATGAACTCGCGAACTTCTGAGCTTAGAACCAAATCCAAGAGATTGAATCTCGGCCAAGCTCGTTAAAATCAAAAATTTTGGGATTTGAGGAATTCAAATCCAAGAGAGTGAATCTCCGAAAAACTTGCTAAAGTCAAAACCTTTCGGAGTTTGGGAATTCAAAGCCAAGAGCTTGAATTTCAGAAAAGCTCGATAAAGTCGGAAATTTTTGGATTTGAGGAATTGAAATCCAAGAAATTGAATTTCTGCGAAGCTTGTGAAAGTCGCAAGCTTTTGGATTTGAGAAAGTGACACCCAAAAAATTGAATCGCGGAAAAGCTTGCCAAAGTCGCAAGTTTTTGACTTGAGGAATTCAAACCCAAGACATTGAATCTCGGCGAGACTCGTTAAAGTCGAAAACTTTTGGATTTAAGGAAAGAGATCGAGTTTCAGAAAAGCTCCGAAATGTTTTGCCAAAGTCGAAAGAGTTCGGGTCTGAGCAATCCAAACCCGAGAAGTTTCTGCGAAAAGCTTGCTAAAGTCGAAAATTTTTGGGCTTGAGTTCTCAAATCCAAGAAATTGCATGCCAGAGAAATTTGCTAAAGCCGTAAGTTTTTAGATTTGGGGGATTCCTTTCCAAAGAATTGAATTGCAGAAAAACTCGCGAAAGTCGAAAACTTTCGGATTTGAGCAATTCAAATCCAAGAGGTTGAATCTCGGGCAATCTTAGTGCTCCGTGGGTTACTTCGGGAGGGGGGGAATCCTAGCGCGAGGGGGTGTTGTCGGGCGCTCCAAGCTAGTACTTCTATCTCTTTCCTCCATGAACTACAACTTGCACTACAACTACGAAAAAACTACAGATGATGCGCTACACTTTCACTTTCCCCTAATCGGTCGTAGTGGTCGTTCAAGTAGTTCATGCTCTAAGTTCTTGATCATGTATACTCACTAGTACAAATTTGAAGGGACTCAGATTGAAGAATCACAAAGGGAATCTAATCGGGAATTTGTATTTTCCTCTAGTTCAGTCACATTTTGTCGAGCTCGTCAAAAAAACATATCGTGCGTGATAGGACATGAACACCTAAAAGCAGGAATAAATAGAAGCATCGGGCAGAAACACTTCTTGCAAAAACATTCGGCCTGTCTGTAGCTAACTATGACCAGGCGAATTTGTTCTAAAGTCTTTTTCCTCGTGTAACACATCATCATACTCGCATGACGAAATACTTCTTAAAGCAGTCGGCCGACATCCAAATAGTATTTTCTCTGTTTTTGAACACAGACACGCAGCAAAGATATAATCACCCCTACGGTTTCGGAAAGAACACAAATGAGGGAGAGTGGCCTCGCCCAATGAGTCATCTCTAGTTACGGGGTACGCATGATGAAATGAAAAATCGTCCTGACAATCTATCTGCCTCGATGCAGCAAATACTTTCTTGTGCTGATGCACGATTCCTTTCATCTAGTGCAAAACAGAAGTGCTTTACTAATATAGATACGTACGAGTCTCCCCATATGTGCAGCTACTAGCTGCAGATGAGACAATGACACTTACGAGAACTGACTTGCTCTCGTTGCAAATTTACATCACCACCCAGAAAATTATTGTATCAAATGAACAACTCGCATTCGCTAGGGCGAAATACTAAATCAAAGGTGCTTTGCATTACTCTTGTTTGTTATTCCTTGTACTCCCAACATTGAAATTGCTGTGATTGCAGAAAATAAAATAACCATCATCCTTTTTCTTGATATTCTTTCCGATGAAACACCCCTCATTTCATGCACAGAAATTGATGACGAGAAGCGGAGCACTTCTTCACTCGCTCCTCCAAAACCATACGCCAAGACAATGTCAACGTTCTTCGTCTTATGATTACTTTTCTATAAGCGACCCAGAAGAGGACATGGTTCTCGCGACGATTTCGATATCATGAACTCGACCCCCGACTAAACTCACTTGGAGGCAGGTCGCCTGCCGCCTTTCCTTGTTCAGTTCGCGCAGTCGAATCGGCAGTGGTGGTGGTAACAGGACTTGAGCTGCAGCCTTCTGAGACCCCACATTATCGGAGTCAGAATCTTCGTGGTTACTGCTGTGCGCCTTGTTTATTCCTAAGGGTTCTTGCAACTCTTGTACTTCTTGAAGATTCGGCTCGTGTTCAGCCTGATTTTGCAGTGGGTGAACACCTTGTTTACTTGTTTTGATTTCATCCTCCTGCTGAAGATGTTCGTTGTTGAAGATAAGGTGAGCAAGATTGGTGATTCTAGCGTGCATCGCATCCGATGCACTCGCCGAGCAGCGCGCGTTACGTAGCAATTGCAGCAAACCGCAACTAAGATGAGTCTCGCCAAACGCGATGAAAAGCTCACGCTGCGTTAGCGAGCAATACTTCGTCCTCCTTTTCGCCGGGTCGTGTGCCCGAAGGTGGTACAGGATACGACGCGGAGCACGAAAAAGTGAGCTTTCGTGTATGGAGATTTCGAGATATCGCAAATCTAAGGTATGAGAAAGAATTCCCGCTACTCCTTCTGCAGCGCCCGATGAAGAACGACGATGATCAAGTACAAGATGAGGATGTGCGTTTTTACCATTGTACAACGACCCATGCAACGGACCGGATGATGTTGCCATTGTGGCATTCTTTTGGGTTCTCGGATACAACAACATAGAAGTCTTCGAAGCCGCGCCGGCAGGCCCAAGCCCGGAAGCGATCGCGCTCGTACTGGCAGCCAGCGCGCCGACCACTTTACCATGTTCATTGAGGAACGCTGAGCCGCCTCGGCGTTGTTGCTGAATCGCTCTTCCTGTCCAACTTCCCGCAGACTTTCGGGCTAAGAGCATGTCTTCGCGCGAGCGGTAGAAGAATGTGTAGGATTGTTGCCGTCCCACACACGTCGAACTCATTCGCTCCTTCCGGAGATGCCGCGCAACGCACACCGATTCCCGATGCAGTTCTCGTGCGAGGTCACAAGGACACTGCCGGCTCGTTTTGTACGCGAAGCCAGGGGCAAATATTGAGGGCAAGCCCAGTTTTTGTTGATCGTGCGCGGTTTCTTGATGTGGATCTCCAGGTGAAGAGCAGGAGGTGGTTGCATAGACCTGATGCTCATGATCTTCAGGTTGTAAAGCCAGGTTTTGCCTGCTCAGTTGCACATGAGGTCTGTCAGGATTCGCGAGATCGAAATCCACGAGTTTCGCAATTGCGACACCTCGTTGCTGCCAAATCCGCTGCTCCTCGATTTCCATCCCACCATCATTAGCTACTACCTTTCCGCCTCTGGTGTGCGGCCAGTTTGTCTGAGTCTTTAGTTGCCTGAGCAAGTCTTGCTTCTCTTGTTCCAGTACAGCTTCCCTGTGCGAAGCTGATCCCCCTCTTTGCTCCGGCCCTACCTGAGTTGCTAAAGCCTCCTCATCACTTGCGAAAAAAATGCTGTCATATCGGCAGTAGTGGAAGAAGACAGGCATGTGTCGTAATTTTGAAGAGGCAGGAAGCATCGCCGCACTGCTACTGGTTGCTGCAGCGAGGTGCATACTGGCGCTTCCTGTTCCAATCGTATCGCCGTCAAGGTCCAGCGGGGTAACCCGGATACAAACATAGGTTCCCTCTATCAACGATATGCGCACTTCTGCGGCTGCTGTGTGGTCTAGAAAGAGGGACGCGGTTCCTGCAGCCTCCATTTCGTTCGCCGCACACCAAGGGCCAACCTCCCCCGTGTACATAAGTCTTGCTGGTAGAAAGCTCAGTCCCCCATCCGTCTGTACCGCGACCGGCGCTTTGCTCTCCCCTAAGCGGCGGTGGTAGGGAATACCGGTCGCAAGGGCTTGCTCCTTTTGCGTCGCGATCGTATCGCGCAGCGCTGTTGCACGGTCGTTTTCTGCCTGCGAGAGACTTGAAAACTGGTCCCACACTGGCGCAGTCGTGTTTGCGTGTTGTTCTAGTGCCTGCTTCAAGTGCGCTACCAGTGTCACGTTTTCCGTACTGTTCAGCTGCTAGATTAGATGATGAGATGACTCTTTCGAGAAACGCAGAGCGTCATTAGGATTGACAGGAGACATTACCTATTTGTTTTCGTCGGAATCAAGTATCAACTACAGTGAAATCTTCAGAATAGGTTTTTTACTAGAAAATAAACACCGCGCCATAATAAAATGTCTAACACGAAAGACGCGGGCTCGATGAAAACGGAGGAATCGCGGCGACTACGCGCAATCGCCCCACTCTGCGCATTTACAACTTTGACCGCTTTTCCACTTCGCGGAGTCTCTAGAAGAAAAGCATCATTTTCAACCATCAACTCGCTGCTGCGAGGGTCAGCCGGTGCTGAGCGGGAAAGAGCTAATTTCTCATTCTCAGTTTCCTGCTCAAGCTCAACGAAGCTACTATCTCTCATAAGCTGCATTGCGGTAACCAAACGGTTGATGTCAGCTTCTTCGCTATCTAAGGTCTTTTGCAACCGATTGATGCGGTCCACGAGGAACGCATGAATACTCCGGTAGTGTCTGCTTGCTTCAGTCCCGAGCGAAACACCTGATGCGGCAACAACAGCGTCAGCCAAAGTGCTTGGACCCTTAAGTCCTCCCGCCGAGGAGCTCCCGTTTGCTATTAGAGGAAACTTCGGCCAATAAAAGAAACATTTTCCGAGAATGTTAAATGGTGAAAGTGAATATGCAGATGCCAAAAGAGTTTGACTGTGGCAGAACGTAAAACCGATTTACGCGGTGAAGACGACCCTACGCGCGGCGTCGCTGACTGGCTGCGCGGTGCCGATTGTTCACCGCTTTCCTGCGGATTCCCTATGCCATCTTCGATTTCCTTCTTCGTGACAAGTGCTGATTTCATTTTCTCTACTAAACCCATGGGAAACGCCCCAGCCGAACTAGAACCTTTATTGCCACGATCACCAGTGCCTGCTGTTCCACGCCCGCCCGCCGGCGAAGTAGATGATATTGAACTAGTTGCACCTTCGTTCTTGTTGACGAGTTGTAGGGGTCGATTGCTGGTAGAGGTCAAAGTGGTACCAAAGGCGAAGTTCCCTCCTTGAAGGGCAAGGGACTGCTCTGCGGCTTGCAGTTTCGCGGAATATTCTGCATCCAAAACCCGCGTCTCCCAGTCGTGTTCTCGCTTTGAACGTGCCGTTGCTGCAAGAAGCGAGTCTACCCGAGCACGAAGAATTAGAAGCACGTTTATTTCATAGAATGTATCACGACCTCCTGTTAGAACAAAAATGGAGGTGATGAAATTCAAATTGTATTTACACAGGTGCGATGGGTCATAACACCGCCGCCTCTCGCCTTCGATTATTCCGTCGTGCACGCCGCGCACCAAATGCCATGGCGCAAGCACAACGAAACGTTTCCGTCGTCGTAGGTGTCGTGGAGCGAGCTGTTAAACGGCGCATGCTTTTGCTTGCTGCCGTAGCAGTGCGCGGCAGCGTTCTACTCCCTCCCAATGATGCACTGCTCAGTGGTGCGTATTCATTGATCACGGCAACCTGTAGATGCAGATCAGCTTTATTCTTGCTCCTTCTGTCTACATCGGGTTCTATCTCTTCTATCGTCCCTCGCGGATCAGAGACGAGGCCTTTGACTGCTTTTCCTCGGTGAACCACCTGCCCCACTGAGGTGGAATTACCGAGGCTCTGGTGCAAATCACTCTGGGTATCGCGTCCAGACACTGAAACAAGATTCGGCTTGGTGTAGATGCCAATTAAAGGTGCTAAGTGGTCGGCTAACTCCGCTAATTCTGCATTGCTCGCTGTGACAGGTAAACGGTCTCGCAACAACTCCCATCGACCCCGCCTGCGTGTATAGATATTGGAAATGGAAAAATGATCAGAACCAAGAGCGACACCAAAAAAAAAACCAGAGCTGTGGTCTGTGACGAAAATGGGTCGACGCAGAAGCAGATCGCCACGTTGTTATATATGACTCAGGGCCGGACGGCCCCCCCTGTGGTCTGGTCTGTGGTGGCGCGCGCGCGCTTTTCCGCGCGGATTTTTCGCGGATTCTAGTGGTGGAAGGCGTCAAAACTTGGCGCGGGCCTCCCCTTGGGCCTCTCAGCGTAGTCCTGAGGGGCCTCCTGGCCTCTGCTGACCCTCGCAGGCGGGAGGTCTCCGGGGTAAAAGGCCGCCGAAAGCGGCCACGGTCGCAAGCAAGCCGATGACCAAGGCCCCAGAGGGTACAGGCGGCACGGCTGCGGCGGCGAAGCCTAGCGGATGCACTTTGGGCACAAGCAAGCACCTGGACGGGGGCGCGGGCGATCCCTTGGGCCCCTTTTGAAGCCTCCCATCACCATGATCGGAGGCCCCGGGGGAACAGCCAGGCAGCTGGAAGGGAGCGGAGGGGGGAGGTCACTGGGCCCCCTTTTGAGGCCTTCCCCCCCGGCAGACGCCTTAAAAAGGGGTCCAGGGCGCCCGCCCCTCCCGAGGGGGCCGTCACCCCGCGCCCTGGGACACATAATGTTCCAAGGCTCCGGGCTGGAGCGAGCCCCCCCGATCTAACTTTTTGAGGGGGGGCCTCCCAGCGCCGGGCCCTCTTTTCGAGGGGCTGCCGGGCGGGAAGGCCTCAAAGCGCCCACCTCTGACCCCTTCCCGCTTCTTGCCTGTACCCTAGAGCGCCACCAAACCGGAGGGCTTTGAAGCTGGCAAAGGAGGCAAGGCAAGACCCCGCTGGCTTGTTGCATGTACCCGGCAGACCTGACAGGGCTGGGCCCTCTTGTCGTGTTGCAGGTACCCGACAGAGCTGACAGAGGAGGCAAGGCGGGGCCCACCCCCTTGGCGTGCTGCATGTACCCGACAGACCTGGCAAAGGTGGCAAGGCTGGACGCCTCTGGCGTGTTGCATGTACCCGAGAGACCTGGCAAAGGTGGCAAGGCTGGACCACTCTGGCGCGCGGCATGCACCCGACAGACCTGGGAAAGGTGGCAAGGCTGGACCCCTCTGGCGTGTTGCATGTGCCCAACCCTACAGACCAGGCAAAGGCGGCAAGGCTGGACCCCTCTGGCGTGGTCCGCCCCAGATCCATCCACAGGGGGGGGCCTCCCTCCCTGGTACATATATAATATATTCCAACATAAAACACGTACGCCTGGTTGTGCATAGTCTTTATCCTTATAGGACTATCATGGGGTCTTTCATTGAATCATTAGCACAACAGCGGAAAACGACCTCGCTTCAATTTCTCCTTCGCCGCCTGATTTCGCCGCGAATTGAAGTCGTGCCATATCCCGGAGTACCAGCGCAATACTCGAGGCTTTTTTCTGGACTGTGACTTCGTGTGGTGCAGCAGCCGCAAGTGCCGAAATCTCCTCATCACAGTGCCCCCTCACCTGTTCCAGTAACTTTTTTCGTTTTTCGAGGATGCGCAGTGGCTCCGCTTTAGCGTAGTGCTCTGCTTTTAATTTACAGTAAAGCGATTTTAGCGCGTCGACCTCAACCCTTGCCTTATCTAGAGGCGGAATTTGCTGGTGAAGAGATAAAATCGTCTTTTTCACTGTGCTATTCTTCTCTACCACCCCATCTGATCCAGACGATACATCGTGTCCGCCCTGTTTAACATCGTGACTCTCTTTGCTGTTGGGACCTCTGCGCAACGCACGCCGCTCGCCATCAATGGCAGAAAATTTCTGTTGCAATCGAGCCACCTCTGCAGAAAGACTCGCAAGTTCAGGATTCTCCTCAACTTCAGATTGGGCGTTGCGCAGTCTTCTTGCAGCCTTGTTCCGTACAACGTAAGCATCCTCGTCTGATGGTACTTTTACTTTCATATTAGCTTGAGCAGGGGACAATGATGTTGCCTGAAAACTCTGTCTTCTGCTTTCCCGATCTACGTCAAGTTCTAGCTGGACTTGCAGAAGCCTAACACGTTCTTGGGACGACCGCTCTTCTGCGCTTAGCCGCTCCAAATCGTCTGCCAATTCCTGTCTTTGCTCTCCCACACGCCTCGCTGCTGCCTGAAGCTGCGCGTGAGCTTTCGTCTCCTTTGCAACTAGTCCCTCGCATTCCCGCAAACGCTGTACCAAAAACTTCTTGTTAACTGCGCCCGCCTTGTTCCGTGCTGTAGCCGGATATGGTGATTGATATATTGACGGGTCCTCTGCATCCCTTGTAAAAGACGAAATACTCGTTTCATCTCCGTCTAAATTTTGTCTCAGCATGGTCGGACTTCTACTCCTCGACGTTGAGCATGTAGATCCCGGGCCTGCTTTTCTGCTACTTGCGCTCCTTATGGAGACTTTTGATGAGAAATTACGTCGTTCCGAACTCGACCGAGTGCGCGCCCCTCTTGCCTGGCGTTCTCCTTTGTACCGAGGAATACTAGGGCTACTTGATTCCAGCCTCGAGTAGAAGGTTGTCGGACTCGCCACACCAGTACTCTGCAGGTTCGTACTGGTCCCCATTGCGTATGCCTCAGGTGCTTGCAACGATGCAGAAGGACCCGCACGAATGCGTAATCCATGCGGCGCCGGCGGCCTGGTTCTCGCTGACGGTGGCTGCGTGGTCACATAGAACTCCTTCGCGCCGATGCTTCTGCTTCGCGAACGCGCTGGAGGGCGCTCGTCTTTCAGCATATCTACGGTATTATGCGGAAGCAGCGTAACAGCATAAGGTGCGTCACGGCTATTGAGCTTTGCCGTTAGTGAAAGTGTTGAGAAATTGGTTACACTCGCAGACGGAGGCTTCTTGCATCGACCATCCGGTGAGCGGTCAGCCTTCTTTTGCATCGAAGGATCAGTTGGTTGGGCCGTGTCACCCTCGACCTGCCCATCCGCTCTAATTCTCCCAGCACTCACATGCTTGTCGCCTCCCTTGACGACTTCGTCACCGGTCGCGTGCGACGATCCAGCATTCGCTTTAGGCGACGTGCTTGCATAGGTAAGCTCATCAACTTTCATCCGAAGCAGACGCCGCATCGGGTTCTCTCCAGTATGAAAGAATGGATTCCGCGTAGTATCTTCGGACGAAGTTTGCCCTTTACTGCGCTCCGCGTCGCGATTTTTCATAATGCTTTTTCCTGCTCCTCTGATAATGTTGCGACCTCGGCGCGGGCTCTTTTTTCCCACACATGACGCGGGCACTGCACTGCCTGACCTTGCGCCTCCTTGCGCGGCCGCTGCGCGCACTGGGGTGAGCAGACTAGCTGGGAGGAGAGGCTCCGCACTTGCTGCGCCAGCATGGTACGACGGCTTCGCGCTCCGCGGATCAAGAACCGAGTGTGCGAACGCCTGATTGCGTTTCTGAGCATTGTTGGCATCAGCAAGCAGCCCATAAAACTCCATTTTGTCCAGAAATCAATCAAGGAGCCAATTCTACTGTGCATATGCACAGACGTAAGACAGCGTCCAAAATAATCTTGAGTAAGAGTACCATTTTCTCAACATTTATATTTACACCGATGGTACGTCTGTGATCAACTTTTCTGATACCATTTCCCAGTATATACAAATAAATGACTTTATTCCGATATCTCTTCAAATCTTGAAGATAGTGAAGAAGCAAAGACCAGCACTTGTCCCTCTGTTTTTCTCTCTCTGTCCCTGTAGTTTCCTCGCGATTTCTCTCTCGCATTAGACAACTTCGTGAACGTGTCAGGCTCAGTCTTCCTGCTTGGAAGATATCAAATTCTCTCTTCACAACAACTTCATCGGGTGCGTTTGTAACCAGTTAGCAACACAGCTACGAGGCCGGGAGGAGAGCCCTCCGATCATACTTGGATATAATTGCTTATGTTCTTGTTTGAAATTGGAAGCAATGAAATAGAGGGTAAGACGAGCCCGGGGTTGTTTGGAATGGGGAGTTGAAGGATCGCTGTAAAAGTGTTGGCAGACACTTTGGCTGTTATGTTAATATCCACCCAAGCTTCAGGTTTTCGGGATTTAGAATCACAGTTGCTTTTGTCGCCTCTTCTTCAGCAAAACCTCGGAATTTCACCTCCCACGATGGAGCCACGCCCGGCGTATGCGCATTTGCTTCCCCTTCTTCATCAGCATTGCAGCTGCAGCTCTGACTTTCTTCGTGCTTAATAATGCGCTTCACAACTCCGCGCTTGCCATTAAGATACGAGAGACTTCCAGACAAACTATGCGCGGTAACACGATGCCAAATTGCGGCTAGTGACGCTCGGACTATCAAATCCACGATCTCCCGACCTGCCCCGTCCTCGCTGTCCCCTAGTGTTTCTGCCGACACTCCGCGCAGATTAAACATCACTTTTCCACCCGTTTGCTCTTTCCCACTGGTTGCTGAATCATGCAAGACCTTGAAGTGTGGCCAAGAAGCAGTACATTCGCGTAACGCACTGGGGTTCACACAGCCATACCCGCCCTGGAATTTGCGCGCTGCCGAAAGCGGGACTCTCCTAATCGAGACAGGAGCAGTCCAAGTCCCGAAAAATCTCATGTAGTCGAACACGCCGAAAGCTGGGCCGCTACAATCCACGTGTACGATCTCGTTCTCAACATCCTTGTCCATTGCGGCACCTTCGTTCGACACCTCGGGATCTCGCCTGTCAACAGAGGACATGTCCATGAAAACCCCTGCTCCTCCTCCTGCTCCGGTGTCAGCTGGATTATCTCTTTGCCCTTCAAGCTCGAGCGCGACCCAGGAATGCATGAGAAACGAGCTAGGATCACTACCAAGTCCAAGCCGCATTGCTTGCTCGCTGTGACCTTTTTCGAGCTCCGTATTTTTGGGGGGTCTTTCCGCGAAGAATACAGCACTTTCCGAGCTTAACTGCCGCCATTCATCATGGTGTTTATGTGTTGGTAGCATCCCGACACTGGAAAAACTTTGGTCTTCAATTTTTTCAAGATCATCTTCATGAACATGAGGCGCAAATATTCTCACATCCTTAGTCGTGCCGCAAGAAGAAACTGGTATTGCACCTGTACACAGACCCATACTTCCCACCAGGTCCCCATCGTGTAGTAACTCCACACCAAAGTCTGAGAGGGTTTTCAGAGCAGACAATAGGACACGGTTGACAATGCTTGGGCATGCTGATGTCTGTGTGCGGCACAAGGCGTGCATCGCGTCTCGCTCACACAAATCGTCATCAGTCGTCGTTGAGGGAAATGAGAACGATGACATCTTTGAGCTCTTCTTCTCGTGGTTCCGTGCTGCAGGCCTACTCTCATACTCCTTGTCCTTGGGTACGCTTGCATGATCGCTAGCACAGAAGACGGCTCCTGGCAACGTCGGTGCAGCAGGGTGGTATCCCACACATTCGAATCGTTTTGGCCCAAGTCGCTTGTATACAGAGAGCGGTGTCTTCAATGTAGCTGCGTGGGACACAGCTGCCGCAACTCTCAAGATTTGAACTTGCAAAGAACAGCCTGAAGAGGACGATGTATTGCGCAGTTCGAGACCACGGCGCCATCCCTCCTCGCTAAATGCATTCTGGAGTAGCGCTAAGCAAAACTGCTCCTTCGGTGGAAAATACCCAATTTCAGCAGCACACTCGTTATTATTCACGTTTTTGCCCTGCATCTTCTCGTCGTCGCTTCATAGAGATAGAGGACCAGTCTCTAGTACTACGCCAGAAACAAGTACTTACTACTGTACAAACATCGATGATCGGAGTGAAACATCTACTTAGGTCTTTAGTACACGCGCCTAGAAGATTATGGACGACGACGACTTATCAGACGAATAGGAAATTCAAAAGTCAAACAAATGATGGTGATAAACATAGCCTAGAATTGCGTATGCGCAACCTGCACGTCATTTACCGGGTGAGTCTTCTCTTTTCTCAGAAGAAGTATTTTTGCATTCTGCTAAGTAGTGCGCAAAACAGATGATCGCGGAGTATTTTGACGACAGGATCTTCTGCTTTTCGAACCTTGAAACAGCCGTGTTTGTGGCCGTCTCTCCGCCACTTTGATCAAGGTCATAGGATCTTCCCATCTTTACATCATGATCGAACTGCCCCTCAAATGCCACAGAAACGCAATACAACACGCACGCATACGCCCCTGTTGCCAACTTTCCTGATGACCGTAGAGAGGAGATCTGAAAGTGCTTCTAGACAAACTAAGCACAGGCAGAATATGGTCATATCTTTAGATAAGTTAGGGGTACAACATCAAAAGCACGAACACAAATCTAACGGTAACGACTGTATTAGAGTCCTATCCTCGTCCGTTGTAAGAAGCAGGAAAGATATTTTCTTGCATGTCTCCTTGCGTGAAGAGGTAAAACTTGTCCCTAGCTGGGTGTTTCCCAGATGCGTTTTAATCCTCCGGTCCTCTTCAACGTATGTCGAAGTCAAAGTCTCGACAGTTTAACTTTTCATAGGATTTGAGAGGGAAAAAGGCGATTCCGAAAAAAAATAAAAGTAACTCAGTATCATTATATATCTGTTGTAACCCGGCAAGCTATCAATCTTGCTTCGTGCTCGTTTGCGTCCCGATCTTACAAATCTCAATCTAAGTGGGTCATGAGCTCGGTTCACACCTCGCCGACCATTCTTGGAGGAACTTTTGCACTTTTGTCTTCTACTTCTTCAGCTATGTACTTTTAGATTCAACAGGGTAACAGGAGTAAGAAAATGATTTCATCGTTAGGTTTACCGCAATCCTGCTTCGGCTATAATCGCTAAGTTTTCGAGTTCACAATGCTAACCAACCAATGCTAAGTTCATGCTCTACCCTGTCTACTAGTAGTCGACCATGATAGACGGGAAAAGGATCAACAGGTATTCATTATATCATTCTATGTAGGAGGTTTCAAAACAACAATTGCGCGTCATTCAATGAATTTCAACGAGCAGTCACTCAATATTGTAAAAGATCACAGCTGTCAGCACACATCAGAACAACAACCACTTCTTCCCGCGTCTACAAGAAATATAGTATTTCCCGTCCCTAAAAAAAGGACGCATGGCCATCTTCCTATGCTCACCAAGCGGGATGCACGCCGTTACCTGCAGTCTGGTTCCACCAGTAGCCACCCTCAGGCTTAGCAGGTCCAGCAACCTTCGGCCGCTTATTTGCAGCAGCTTGTTCAGCTGTCTCTGCTTCCCTTGCGCGCTTCTTCTTGCCGAGAAGATGCTGTGGCTTTGCTTCCTTGGCGTGTGACATCAAAACTCGAATGTGTTGTCGGACAGACCGCGCGAAAGGCGAAAGATAACCTGAACGGGAAGACATTTTTGGCAGACTATACGAATTTCCGCTTAATATTGGAGTAAATGAATAAATATAATTCCTAGGAAGCGGAGTGTCGAGCCAGGAGCAGGACAAGGGCCGGCAAAAATCAAAAAAGTTGAGGCCGAAAATAAGGTTACATAAGTGCTGTTCTATCTGGTTCTTAGCGTACCTACTTTTTCCCTATAATGACTGGTGTGCGACAAAATAGGTTCAAAAAATACCAGCTCTCGTGTTGTATCCGCCTTCGAGCACTGACACGACCCTGCCTTCGCAACAGACGTTTGCGATGGACAGCAATTGTTGCGTGATCCACGTGAAGTCATCGTACTGGTAATTGCACTGGCCCAGGAAGTCTTCCTCGTGGCCATCAAAGCCTGCAGAGATGAAAAGCATGTCAGGTTTGAATTCCAGAAGACGCGGCAGCAGCTTTTCGCTGCAGGCCTTGCGGAAATCCTGGGAGTCGGCGCCAGGCACATCCCCCATGGCGGTTTGGAGTCCAATGTTGACGATTTCCGGACACGAGGCAGAGCTAGGCTGCAAAAGTGTACGCCCTGATCCCGGGTAGAAACCGCCACCATAGCCGTGAATGGACGCAAAGAAGACCTCCTGCACGTCGGACTGAGGGTCCTTCCAGGGTTTTTCATTGGTTGGGGGCTCATGTATGGTGGTCACTTTGCCGTACGCTTCTGATGATGTCTCGGTGCGCCAGCTGTTCTTCCATTTTCTTCGACCTTGCGCTGACACGTTTCGTACGATGGCTTCGGTACCGTTGCCGTGGTGCACATCGAAATCCACGATCGCCACTTTTTTGATTTGTTGTCGCCAGCAGGCCCGGGCATAAGCTGCGCCGATTGCAACGTTGTTTAGGAGGCAGAAGCCCTGCGAACCCTCTGGCTCGTCAGCTAGATCGGCTGCATCGACAGCGCCGGCGGGGCCCATGTGGTGTCCCGGAGGACGCACGGCGCAAAACGCGTTCTCAGCCTTTCCCGTCATAATCAGGTCTACGGCTTCGAGGACGCATCCTGCCGCACGTCGCGCAGCGCGATAGGAATACTGCGTCACCTTGGTGTCACCCTTGTCAAGAGTCACGCGCTTTCCGCATGTGGTCATTGGCATGCCGTTCTCGCCGAGTCTTGGCTGCTGGCACTTTTTCACTGTTGCTTCCAGCTTTTTTATGTAAGGCAGCTCATGACAACGGAGAATGTCATGTAGAGGGCAATCCGGAGAATCTATCTTGAGCACACATCTGCTCTGGTCCGCACCATGCCCGCTAAGCCCTCCCGTTCGTGGTGTTGCCGACGAAAGCTGCGCAGCTGCGGGTTCCATCGTTGTATCCGTCACGGAAGCTGTTGTTGATGACATTCCTGCGCATTGCTCCTTCATTTCTGTCACACTCGACGACGGCTCCCCTGAAAAAGTCGCACTTCTACCTGTTATATTTGTCAAGGAAACGTCAGCTTTTTCCCCTGATGATGCAGTCGGGTGTTCTCTTCCTGCTGCTGCCTCATCGGTGTCATCGCTTTCTCCCTTGGCGGTTGAAGAGCTGGCCGAAGAACTAGTTGCCCCACCGTTCGGAAGTCCTACGAACTCCCGCGTGCGCAAGCAACCAATGGGTGCTGGTGCAACCAAAGTTTCTAGGCGATGCGGATTCTCAAACGTATTCGTGATCACTCGGTACCTCAGCGCTGGGTCGTCGCAGTCGAAGTATCCATGTTCTGGAAAAGCTTCGTCTTCTCCTGGAATCTCCCCATGTCCGTAGCAGTCTTTATGCGTCACAATCCAAGTTTTGTTTCCGCTCTCCTCTAGTGCGCGAGTCGCCTGGTCCACAAATGGCGCGCCTCCTCTAGCTATAGTATCACTGCCTATTCGTGTCACATCTCCAGTTGAGGTTGCACTGGAGGTCGCGTTGCCACTTCTAGAAGTCGGTTCCGCTGCAGCACCATCTTGTTCCGAATTCGTGCGCTGTTTTGATGCGGATGTAGCTGCCGTTGAGCTAGTTTTGTCACTGGTCAATTTTCCATTCGAGGCTGGCGTGTCGCCACCGGTGGCAGAAGTGTTCATGGTCACATCTTCGTCCTTTCCCTCTCTCTCTGACAGCGTGGCTCCTGCCTCTTCGGCGGAATCTGTGGTTCGTTCAAAGCATTCGCATAAACAAAAAAACAAGACGCAAACGATCAGTAAAAGAAAAAGTTCCTACGAGATATAATGATTACGATGTCGATGTATTAGTCGCTAGGCCGGAATCTACTAAGGTCCTGCTTTCTCCTAAAAACGTCTCCTGGATACATGATCATGATTTGCGTGATAATAGAGTGCTTTTATCAATCAAGACGACAGCACTATCTATCAATACCAGCTGAGCCTCCTCGGTTTCTTGGTCCACCAAACTGGCTGCCGATGATGACACCTTCTTCTGTTTTCCAGACCAGACGATCCCAACCAGGAACGCGAGCTCTGAATATAGCGGCTACTTCTTCTGCGCTCTTCATGCAAACCGACGCTAAACTGTCACGCGCACGATCACCAAGCCCGAACTCCTCCTCTGCGTGCGCTATCAGTTTCTTTTCCAAACGCGGCGTGATGCCTCGCAACTGCTTCAGACGTTTCAGCAGGCCAAATGCACAACGATCAATGCATCGAAAAGCTGGATGTGGAGAACTTGGCCCTTCATTTTCTCCGGAGGAACTAGAGGAATCGGAATCGAACTCGTCGAAGTCTGAGCTATATTGGCCTCTGCCTGTCGAAGGCTCTGAGGCACTATCGTCGTCCCCGTCGGCGCCGTCACCTCGTGCAGCACGCTTTTCTCGTTTGTCAGATGCAAATCTTCCCAATCGATCCCTTTTACTACTTTTTTCCGCCTTTTTGGTGCCGTTGCCGGTGCCGGATAAGAACTTTCCTGCTCCGAGACTCTTATTTTCTGAGCCTACCAACGAGTTCGATGCTCCACTAGCAGGCTTGTCCTCTGATGCCGCGCTCGATGATGACTCGGCCGGCACGTTTATCTCGTTTGCGACGATTGTGTTCGGCCCAGTGCTTGCGGTGCTGCTCGAAGCTCCAGTGGTACCAGGAACTGTGCTTTTGGGTTTGCCACTACTAACGCCAGCGAGGGTTGACGCTGTACCGATTTTGCTTCCACTTCTCGAGCGTGGCCCTCCCAATTTTGAGGATCCTTCACTTGCTGCATTGAGACTGGCACTTCTTGGCACTTTCCCACCCTCAACAGCGTCTGGTTCGCCAGCTGGTGCTGCCTGGTGCGGCAATGACGGCACTTTCATGTTGCTGTTGTCTTCCTCTTCTTCGGAACTCGGCTTGTTGTGCTGGTGAGCACCAATTTTGTCCATGATTTCAGTACCGCCCGTCTCTGTGGCCGGCATAGCTTCAGGGGACTCGAGAAAATGGTCCGTTTCGAGCGGGCTGAAGGCTGCGATGGTTTCGAAAGTGGCCATGTCCTGCCGGTCCACAGCATAGTGGATTGGACAAAGGCCACAGCGGTCATGCCCGTTCGCGTCGAGGCCTTTCTCGATCAACAGCCGCACGATCGGACTGCAACCAATGTCACAGGCTATGTGCAATGCATTCTGACCATGACTATCCTCCGCATGCAGCACCTCATCGCGCAGAGGGCAGTCTCGCTCATCATCAATCATCTCCCCTACAACGTCTGGTACTTGTGGAGGCTGTCCGACGGACCCTCCAGTCGAAGACGTGGAAGCATTGTTCTCGAGTTGTTTCTTTTCTTTTGCACGTCCCTTTGCGAGAAAAGCATCCGTTTCTTCAGCGGCATCAAGGAGCATTTTCACGATTTCCAGTGCCTCTTCTTCGAATTCGTCGAATCCAGCGGATGACAGAGCGATGTGCAATAGCGGAACGCCGTTGCCGTCTGACGTCTTGGCCTTGAAACGCTGAGCCAGCATCTTGGCTCGAGTGGCCATATCAGTGCACAACTCCCAAAGAATGTATCTTACCTGTACACCAGCAGGAAAATGAATGCAGCTACCTCCGTACTTACGCTCAGTTTGTTCTAGTAAAGATTAACCAGCGAATCAATCATGCTAGTACAACTAGAATGACACCAGGTCATTCTACTTCTGATTCGATCAGTTAATATTGTATGTTTGCAAGTCTTGAAGAACACCGTCAGCAATGGTTACAAGAATGAATCATGTTCGGTAAAAGCTAATACGATTTCCTTCTTCGCATGCTGGCATGCGAGATGCAATGCGGTGCGTCCCAGTCCGTCACGGCATCCCAGATCCCTCTCGCTTTCTGGTTTTTGCAGGAGCAGCGCTGTTGCTTCTTTAAAGTCCTCGAGAGTTTTTGACTGGAACACGGCTCTATGCAGCATGGGAAGTGGTCCGATGCGCGTAGGCGCACCATCCTCCGATGAGGATCCCGCAGAACTACCACTAGAAGAGGCGCGCCCAGCGCGTCCTGGTAGCACTGTGCCACCGACATCCGGCAGATGAAAATATCCATTGTCGGCCAATTCTGTAAAATCGATTGAAATCGACATTATTAAGTTCAACGATTATTAGAATGACTGAACATGGCGATGACTGAAACTTACAAATGCATCACAAATGCATCATGTACTTACAACAAGTACGACCATCGTTCCTCATAAAACCACAGCAACTTAGTTCAAGTATAGACCGAGCCGACTAGACGATATTCTAGTTGAGAAATTGACACATAGATACCTCAACATACTTACTCATAACCTCCACCACAGAAACTTACGAAAGTACTTACCATTCATTTCCTCATCTGAGTCCTCCTCCTCATCTGGCACATATGAGTCATCCTCTTCACTATCGTAATCGTTCATCCATGCATCCACCGCTCTGGCAGTAAAACTTTTCTCTGCGTTTTTCGCTGCAGCGCCGTCTGAGGAAACCGACGAGGCGACTACATTCTCCTCGCCGAAGAGCTCGTTTTCGCTGGTGATATCAGCCATTTTGTCTACGGTTGAGGACATAGATATCGTTGCGTACTTGAAAGGGTTTGCTCGTCTTTGCAAAACGTTTGCGCTGCTATTATTTGCCGATGATGATGATCACGGTTCTTGCAAATTTCCGCATAGACTTGAAAACGCTTGACGGCACGTTGCAATCGCGGAGATATTGATCGTGGTTAGGTGGACGGAATATGCTTCCCGAGAAGCCACCCAAGCAGGAGCCACAACGCGTGAACGTTGTCAACTACGAAAATGAATTTTCTAAACGAAAATTGTCACTCAAAAAGAAGACAAGTGATTGCTTAAAAATTCGAAGGTTGCGGGCCTAGTTTGTGGATGCGAAGGCAGGGGAATTAATAAAAGAGACACGAGTGAGAAAGCGAAAACCTCAACAACGTAAGGAAGCAAACGGGTAGAACTAGAGGATATCACAAGCATAATTATTTAGTATGTCTGTCCCAACGGCATATTTTCTCAAATGTAGTTTCTTTACTCAACCATAAAAATTATCTATTATGAGCCTGAATATACATTCGTTTCTCTATTGCAAGTTGACAATTTTAGATGTTAGACTAATGCTTTGCCGACTAACTATCCAAGGAAGACGAAAAAGCAACTTCCTTCTCTAGTGCTGAGAGTCTCGAATCCTGAGGTTGGTGTATACTTGAGGGTCATAATGATTGAAAATCTACCTGTATGCCTAGCACCTCTACTCAATTCATTTTTGTATATCCTGCATGCACTACACCAGGCACGAATGGAAAGGTGATAATGATCTATGTCAACTTATGCCATTACTTCGATATCCTACTTCGGCATAATCATAACTCCTTACTTCAGCTCTGCAGCGCTACAAATTACTAGGAAGGGATCCTACCAAAATCCAGTTGTGTATTCCATCGACTAGGATCTTCTCCGTGTTGATCTTGTTTCATTTGGCCCAAGAAGCAAGGCGGGCACACCAGTGCACCGACAGCTTTCAGAAAATTACAACCAGGATCTAATATTTAATTTATATGAACAAGGTGAATCTGAATCTATGTACCCATCTACATACTTAGAATATATTTATTTCTTCTAATCAGAACAATGATTCGTTGATAACAGGTAAAAAACTCTATGTACGCTCATGCTCTTGGCGGATCCTGGGAACAATATCAAAGAAAGACAGATCTGAATCTTGCATTTTGTAAGATTTACGATGATCTTTCTGCTATGGTGCTCAAGCTCAAAATTTTTCACTTATAGACGAAGACGACATCACGAAGGAAATAAGTCCACGAACATGAAGATCTTCTGTTTCATCTTGTTACCTATTTTTCTAGGGATAAACGATCAAGAACATCAAGACAGCATCTACAGCTGGGCCTCATAATTTTGGCTGATTGATCTTCCAGACGAGCACATTTATTACGTTGTCTGAGTACTTTCTATTCACTCCAAATAATTAAAGTGTTTAGAAATACTAAATCTTCTAAAGAATGCTGAGGTGGAGCTTGAAGGAGATCTTACGCAGTACTGGTGCAAGAATGTGCCTGGCTATTTTCGAACACATGATCGTACTTTTTTGTGTTTTCGTCTCTCGTATGGTTTGTTGATTTTGCTGTCGACTTTGTATTTGAGCAACTCGTAAGCAGCTCCACCCGAACATCCAGGAACCTTTTTTTGTTTTGTTACCCTCGTGCTAATTGTAAATTCTTTTAAGAAAGAAAAAGCAGAATTATACATAGATACAAGAACGCACGAACATGAACAAGTGAAAACAAGACGACAAGCATCCGCAAGTAGGAGAGGAAATGAGGCGCACACATGAACTTGACAAGCAGAGTAACGACCGAGGGTAAAGGCAGAAAAGTTTGAGACGCTGCGTTAGTAGAAAGCGATGAGCCAACACAAAGCAACAAGCAGCAGTTCGACTTTGGTGACTCGGACCCTCCGCACGGTAGCACGGTCTGAATTTCTACCCGCGATGCTTGGAAAAAGCAACAAAGCAATTATCAAGAGTAGTAAAATCTTGGAAATGACCAAAAAACTCACCCACTCGACCATGTAAAGTGTCGCGCCCTCGAGAAAGAATGAATTGTTCGCTGCGAGAAAAATGAGAGTTGTGCGCCGTTGCCTGCTAGCTGCGGTCGATGGATTAGTTTTCTTGTCTGCAGTATTACCATGTAGCACTTGTTCTTTTTGATTGCTATCAGCAGCTCGAACCACGACGAGCTGTTGTTGTTGTTGTTGTACTTGGTCACCAAGATTGTTTGTAGCCGGACTGCTCTCTGCTTGAATGTCGCCTGCCTGGTCATGCAGATGTGTGAAAATAGAGTGTCCCTCGAGTGGCTGTGGCCTGGACGCGCCAGTTGAGGATGAAGGCAACACTACTTTTTCTTGCAACAGATCAAGATTTGTACGTGCGACTGGAATGGGTCCTCCTCTACCTTGCTGATGCCCGCGTCGCGCTTGCTGTGCTGCATATGATGCGCGTTCTAGGGAATGAAGCTGCCGACTCCGTGTAAGCCAAATCACTACAAAGCTACAGAATCCGACAACTAGTAGTGCGACCACACCCATCAGCTTGTAAATAATCCCGTTCTTCGCGAAGAGCTTCGGTCGCGGGTAGAAAAACTGTGTCACAAACGTGTCACGATTCATGTTCACAAGCGCTAACTTACGGCCTTTTGGATCTAAAGCAAGCCGTTGCTCCACGTCCTCCCGTAATTGTTCCTGATTAGGCTGCTCCGCCACTGATGCACCGAGCTCCATATCAAGTGCCTGCCGGGCCCCTCTGGTGCTGGTCGCTCCTGTTTGACCCAGACCACCTGCTCTGCCACCTCCTAGGGAGTTGCTCGCTTCGTGAGCAGTGTCGACTCCGAATGCACCAGCAACCGATGTTAGGAGCGGCGATTTATCCGTCGATAGCCCCGCATTGCGATCAGTAAATAGATCTTCAAATTGGGTGATTGATGTGCGGAAAGCTTGTCCTTTTCCGGGATTTGCCTTGCTTTGCGATGCCCTGGGGTTCTGTGGTGCTGAAAAAGGTGCTGATACACTTCCAGGACGAGACTGTTGAGGTGGTGTGTGAAGCGGTGCTGACGGCATTGGCGATGTGGAAACTTCCTGTCCCCCATCAGAGTTGGAGGACGCCTGTAAACTACCGTTGAGACCGCGCAATGAAAATTCAGGACGTTCTTCGCCTGAGGCTCCTGAGTTGCGACTCGCCACCATTCTCTTTTTCGCACTGGCCGAAAGAAAAACGCTATCAAAAGGATACACGGAGCCTTCTACCGCAGTATGCGGCGCTGTTGCTATTTCGGCAGCTCGCGATGCTTCATCTTCAGCTTGGGTAGCGTTCAGCTCTGACGAGTGCGGAACCCCTAGCTGTACTTGTCGTATGGCCTCCATCCTAAAGATAGCAGGCTGCTCGTCAGCAGCCAAGTATTTGCGCAAAGGATCCTCTTCTACGGTTTCTTCAGCCGGACTGTCACATAAGGGCCCGCTGGTAGCGTCGTCGCCTCGTCTATCTTTAGCAGTTCTCGAGGCGTGTGAAATCGTGCGAGGCGCCAAACTTCCGGCATAAGAACCGCCGAGGAAATAGCGGTAGTACGGAGCATCACGCGCACTGGTTTCACTTGCGCGTGTCGCGAGCACCACACTGCTTTCATCGCTGCCAGCGTAGCTGCTACGCTTCATCCTGTCTCGGGTGCTTCTTCCTCCTAGCAGCGTCCTCAAATTCATTCCCCGGTTGTTCGCTGGGGGTAGTAGAGTATTCGATGGGAGGACGCCCTCCCCGTTGAAGCCTAGCCCACCTCCCCTGGAAGACCCGGGGCCTCGGATGTAGTTACCCAATTCCCGAAGCTGCCGCGTTCGTTCCTCCTCACTCCCGCCACTTCCTCCTCGTGTGTTGAGGTCCGAACTACTGTCCGCAAATCGCGCGAACGCGCGACCTGACGTACGGCGAAATTGCATCACCGATGAATTCGGTGGTCCATTATCGCTTTCAGTCGTCACGGCGCCAAAGGGCATGAGACTGATGGGGGCGCCGCCGACATCCCGGGACCGACTCTTGCCATTGCTGTCTATTTGAGCGACCGCAGAGGAAGACGTGCCCGACGCAGAACTATTGGCACTGGACCCGCTGCCGCCGTCCTCTTGGGTTGCTGAGTTGCGAAGCCCGTTAGTTCGCGATCGTGCTGCTGCCTCAAAAGCACCCTTGAAATCGAAGAAAGGAGGAGGCCGAGTTTGTATTAGGCGCGGCGATATATTCAGACTGTCGTGTCCGCTCGTCGTTGTCTCAGAGCATTGGTACAAATCTTGCGCCTTTCTTTTCCCTGCAGGTCCCCGACCACGACGATTTCTTTTGCCATCCACCAGCCTCCGCTTCGTTGTCCTATCGTATTGGAAATATCGACTTCGGACATCTGCATTGCGGTTGCCACGAAAGTCTTTGTTTCTTCTACCGAAGCGACGCAGGTCTGCCGAAGCTGCAATGGCGGAAGAACTCACGGACGATGCGGAGGAGTCAAACATCCCATTTTCCCGGCGACGCGGTTGCGGACTCCCGGCAGATGAATAACGACCACCAAAGCGGCCTTTGCGCGCGGATTCCCCGCGTTCTAACTGGCCGACGGATGATTCCAGTAAGCGATACCGACGATCATAGGACACGTCCTCCAGGGTGGCGTACTGACGACGAGGTGCAATTCCTCCACTGCCGGAAACCTCTTTGCTATTGCTCATGCCAAGCAGGTGTCGCGATGACTGTTGCACCTCCAGGGGAAACCAGGACATCACTACACGCCAATTCACGATATCCTTTTTGCCGTGGACTTCAATCGACTGGGGGAAAAGAACGATGGTTTCGAGATCCTGTAAACTCATATTATTTTCGTCGTACGCCGGCACGCCGACCCGCGCCGTGGCTGTGGAGGTGCGTGTCAATACAGAGGTCGCATCGGCTTCCTGCGTTCGAATATTGTCACCACCAGTTTGCGCGGACTGGCGCCAACTAGCGAGCATCTGGCTCGACCAAGACGCAATACCACTGCGCACAGCGTGAAAGCTCTGTCTCCATCGAGGGTCCTGCGCCGCCACCGGCAATTCCGTCTGCGCCTCCAGATCAACTGCTTCCTGACGGGGGCCTCGTGTTCGATCGTTTCGGCCTCGACCAGGCACTTTAAGATATTTACTTGCCATATCATTCGTCGACCTCATAGAACCGCTCTTTGCCAGTCTACCCTTGTCCGAAGGCGTATCTTCGTGAGAGGTGGGTGAAGAATCGTGTCGCTGGCTTGACAGTAAGAGAGGCGTTTTTCGTCCGTCTTCGGTCAGAGTGTCAGGCGACATCGATGCGGCGCGCTGGCGTTGGCCAGAAGTCGGAGCCACGAGTGAGGGCTCGGCTTCTCCTTCCCCTGGTCCCAAAGGTCTTCTAGGGCTCGGGCCTGCGCCAATTAGTCTTTTATCATCCGTCACCGTTTCCATTCTCTGTGCAGACGCCACATAATCTGACCTTGCGCCGTCTGAAGAACTTCGCTGACGGCCCTCGATTGTAATCGTTGAGTGCGATGGTGGTGGCCGCTGCGCTGTAGGCGGCTCGCTCGCTGCCTCGAGAAGAGTCGAAGGCATCAGCTGAAGCACGAGACCTGCCACTGCCACACCGCCCGAGGAATCCAAAAGAAAAGGACTCCTTTCGCCACTCCCCGGACCACAGCCAGCAGTGCTTTTGATATTCGCCTGCGAAGAGTCATTTGTAATATCTGCTCGTAATCCAAGCTGTTTCGAACTAGTTCTTGAGGGCAACGACGAGGGCACTTGGCTGAGAGCCTCAGTGAAAGAACTGCTTTGACCTTGCGAACTGCTTTCGGCAGCGTACGAACGCGGTGTTGCCCACGTTTGAGAATGCGAAGTAGAAGAGCGCGAAAGCAGATCTGGGAGCGAATCTATGTGTGATATTGAACCCCGAATGTCGATTGTGGGCGGCGTAGTACCCATGGGGGATTCTAGCCGAGTTAGTACGTGGTCGTCGCCTGGAGACTCGAGTCCAGTGGTGAGTGGCGATAAACGCAATGTCCCGAGTGTAGCCGACGCGAAGACGCTGTTGTTGCGACTCGTGGCTCCGCTATCTCGCTGTAGCAGATTGCGTGGTGCTAGCGAGCTCGAGCTACGACTTGTAATGGAGATCCCTGCAGATGGCGATGCACGTCGACGTCGTGGCTCTATATCATCCTCGGCGGGATATGAAGTCGTCCGGTAACGAGGTTGTCCGCCACTTCCTGGCTTCAGAGTCGTAACAGAAGAAGGCTGCCCTTGCCTCTCGGTGGTCCTATCAGATTCGTCGACAACGACCAGACTGTCAGCTCTCCCTACGTCAAGATACTTTCTATCGTCCTCATCTACGACAAGATCATCGTCGACCTCCACTGTTTGCATGATTTGCAGGTCTTGACCAACTTCGACACCGTTTTGTTCTTCAAATGTTAGGGTCGCACCTCTGGTCACAACGACTATGTCTCCGCTAGATCCTGTTGAGTGCTCTCCGTCTACTGAAATCTTTTCCCCAAGCGCATGTTCTATGTCCTTTGCCCCAACTGTCTGTATGTCTATCCTTCCGTGATTGATGATATCTTCATCTTCTGCTCCTCTAGCTTCATCTACATTTCCACTAGAGTTTTTGGAATTCGGCTCGAGCAAGCTTCCTTGTGAGTAAATTGTAGCTAGGGAAGTCTTCGGCGCGCCGCCCGATCGGGATCTTTGAGATCGAACCACACCAGCTGGTGGAGCACCCAAGAGCAAAGACTTTTGTTGCGATTGACCGCGGAGTGGAGACGCCTCTTTAGGAATCGTTCCTCCCGGATCCGCTGGTATGACTTGCGTAAGGCCTTCGCCGTCTGAACTCGCAACATCCATAATGTCCCCCTCAGGAGCTGCGCCTCCTCTGTACCATCCTTCCTTTGCCATCAAACCTACGCCACCCGGCAGCGAGCGACTGCGACTCAAGCAAGCCTGACTGCGATTCTCCCACGACGTGATTGGCCGCAGAGGACTAACTTTTCTACGCCGGCGTTGTGGACTTCGTCGCGCCACATTGCGACGAAGGGAAGCACTGCCGTCAAGCGCCTCGCCACCACTAGGACTCGCGCGTGCTTCACCTCCTGCTACTCCACCTCGGGAAGCACTACGACGAAGTGGTAGCTGCAGCGATAGAGTAGAGCGCGACCGGAAATTATCATCAAGGGACGGCGCACTACGTGCTGCTACTTCGTCATCCGAGTCGTACCCTAGCAACGCCTCCATGTCTGGTGGAAAGTTTTCTCGGCGTATGAACTTAAGATTCACGACGCGGGCGCCGGTCCTCTTCTCGTATTGCACAAGAAACCACTTCGAGAAGTTCGCAGCCGTCATGAAGATATAGATTTGCAGTCTCCGCAGATTGGTCCCTAATGCGAAGAAGAGGCTAAGGATCAGACATACGCGACACAGCACCCAAGAAGACGGCAACAATAAGCTGGCTTCCGTTTTAACGCGTGCCAGACCGATGCCAAGGCAAAGATTGAAGCATAGACCCAAAAGCTGCGTTGCCCGCAAAATATCGTCGCCACGCGGGTGGTGCCGCAAAATAAAAGGGTATTCTAGCTGGTTCAGAAAAAACGCGAAGTAGAGTAGCGCAATTCCAAGACAGTAGCCACGAAATCGTCGCAATTCACGCACGCAAGTTAAGTAGCTCTTTGTCGTTGACTGCTGCAATTGCGTCAAAGCCGTTTTGAGGGAGTGCCAATAAGAATGGAGCGATGAAAAAAAGCTGGCAAAAAATTCTCCAGACATTATCGTACTACTTGAAGGTTGTTGATCACCTTTCGCTTGCTCCAAGATTATAGTCTCCATTTGCGCACTGGAACCTTCAACATCAGGAGTGGTAGCATCAGCTGCAGGAAACTTCGAAACTTGGGCATCCTCCATGGGACCTGGGGACCAAACCCAGAAGATCCGACTTGTTTTCATCTTCTCAGATACCGACGGTGGCAAAAACTTCCTGTTTTCATTCGGTCTGCAATCACGATCACCTGAGCTTCCACTACGAACTATGTTGCCCTTCCCATGGCATCCGTCCCCTTCCGCCGTCACTCTATTTGTTGTTGTGGTTGACTTGTCACCTTCGTGATCAGAAACAACGCTAGTAGAGGCTCCTGATCTTATATTCTCAGGAGAAAAAGCTGCGGACGAAATTTCTCGCGGCCACGGATCGGCCGCCGATAACATCGATGGTGTGGTGGACGTTTGGCTGAGAATATTTGGATGATGTCCTTGCTCCGATGAAGCATGAGGAACGTCCAGGATACTGTAAACTGCACTCAAGCATAGATTCCCCACAAGAGTTAGCAGTGCTAGTATACCGAAGGCGGTCCCGACGCGCTCGCCCTTGCTATAGCTCATCCCTACTTCCAGCATGAGCCAGTTCTCCCGCGATTTCACAACGAACGGAAACAAAAGCATGAGACTGAACAGTACCCAGAGAAATACGAAACCTTCAAGCTTTGCCGCGTCATCCCGGAAGAAGTTATGAACATTCTCTGAAAAGCTCGACTTCAGTCCGTTAAAGGCGTCTTCGACCCGTTGCGTTGCCGCGTTAGCCGCGGACGACGCTTCAGAGAGATACGTTTTTGGAGACGTACTACGATCACTAAAACTAGCAACATCTGGTACGAATTCCGCTTGAATGTCTCGCACCTTCGCAAGCACCAGCTCTTTAACTAGACAGCAGTTCACCGTGTACTGGAGACACGCAATAGCGACGCAGTCGACGAAAAGCAAAAGCTGATACAGGGAGCCAAAAAAAGCGCGCAACTGGAAACTCCAAACTTCGCGAGTGGTCATGTCCCATGCTTGCGAGATGTTCGCAGATTCGGTCACACAGCTGCCCTGGTACAACCGTAGTGAGATTTTCACAGATAAGCAGGCCACGAGACAAGCGATGATGCAAAAAGCACCTAGTTGCACTATGCTATTCTCTTCCAACTCCGCGCGAAGACTGTGCCAATCGGCAGAGCTCCCATTTCCAAATATCGCTGCATAAAACGCGCCACTCAGTGACGAATCCGCCAAATCTTGTGGAGCTTGCGTTGTGCCGTTGCTCTGCCTTTTTGCGTCCCTGTCCACTGTCGTGCTCGGATGGGTTTTTCTCGCCTTGTTTGGCACCGCTCCAGCAGGAGGCTGATCATCCACGTCTTTGTCTTTGCCACCTTCGTCAAGTTCATTCTCATCTACACCTCCGTCGTTGACATCAACATTCTCAGACGAGTCGTTCCCGAAATCATCCGATGTCGGTGCTACGCGCCCTGTAATGACATCGACCAAATGCATAACACCGCCAGTGAAATTATCGTCATCGTCTCCGGCGATTTTGCCTATTCGGATCGCGGGTCTGCTTATCCGTGATCCTCCAACTCGAGAACCAGAAGAAGACGATCCCCCTCCAACGTCTGCATCTGAGGACAGTCCCGAATTAGCAGCTTGACCGTCGCCAGCCACACCCGCATTACTAGTTGCATTCGGAAAGCCAGCGGTCGCAATTTTGTGCTCTCGAAATTCTCGCTTGAAGTCAGCAGCGTATTTGGCATAGTCGATAGCATCCGTATCGTCGTCGGAAGTCACCGTAGCATACCACACATTCAGACTATCCACCGTGGTCCCGAACTGTCCATCATAGAAGCCGTTGAGACTGTCCAGCGTATAAGCGTAGGGTATAAACAAGACCCCCAGACCTACCTGTGGATACTTGTCCATCGAGGTCGAGGTGGTAGATCGCATATGAAACAATAATGGCTTAGTAGAGACGATAATCATGATCAAAGAAAAGGAATGCTCGTCTACACTACAAATACCGCAACGAATTCACACATGCAACACTGGTGCTTGTTCTAAACAAAAAATGCAAAGACGATGAAAAAAACCCCGACATTTTACCTGCTCCAGATTAATGCTGATGAGAAATGAGACGATGCCAAGCCTCCTGGGAATATACGAGTCGACTTTTGGGGCTATGCGCAGGACTGTGGACTTGTAGAAGCTCGCAGCAAAGTCGTAAACGGGATTGATGCACCATTTTTCGAGCGTTTCAAGTTGAAACAGGTTCTCCGCTACCCACTGAGACCAGCGGTAGATGTAGCCAATCGCAATGCGGCCCAACAGAAAAGTCCATTGTATGAACCTTTCCGCTGTCGTGCGCGCCCCCGCTCGGCAATCTGCCGTGCACTGCCGCATACGCCCTCTGAGACGCCCGCAGCAAGTTGTTGCTTCCGTGGTGACACCAGGGAGCTGGTGTGATTGCACATTATCATGGATGCCAGAAAGTGGATTGATGCCATCGCAATTTGGTCTGCGCCTGTCGTAGCCGTCGTTTCCTCCGAGATCCATCCACATTCCGTCCGAATCGAAACGCCGGTTGCCTGACAATACACGCTCGATCCCTTGCTGCTGCACCATGCCGCGTCCTGGAGACCGCGAACAAAGTCGCCGCGCGCCATCTCTTGGGCCCCCTCCTGGACGCCTCTCGCTCACACCGCGGCCATGATCGTCTTTTCCTGTTTCTCCGGTGCTATGGGTCTTCTCCCATCTTCGTCCATCTCGCCTACCAACGTCTTGCTTTTGCTCTCGCGTGACGCTTCGCCGTTGGTCGCCGGCTTGCTCGACCGCACGAGGCCCACGAAACTCAGCGTCACTCTGACTCCGAGACTCGCTGCCAGGAGTATCGACCAGAAGTGTATCACACCGATCGCTATCGTCCTCCTCGAAGGTATCTGGGTAACCCGAGTTACTCAACGACGTGCCACCGGGACCCTCCTCCGCGGCACCTCCTGTAGATGCTGCTGTCAACAGCGGCACGCGCTGGGCGGCGCGTTGTGAAACCACATGTTGAGGCGCTAGGTGTGCGCCGAAGCCAGACCACATATCTGTATTCTCTACTCAAATCGCTAAAAAAATATACTAAAGATCATGGTCTGGCTCTGGACCTGAATGTGTGAGGTGCCAACATTTGCGTGAAAACAGACGTTGTAGTTAGTTCTTCTCTCTGGTTCTCATGTGATTAGCAGTTTGTACTTCTAGGAATATGAAAGATTCAGAGAAAACTGATATCAACATAACAAGCCGGAGTATGAAAGATTGACCAAAACAAAGAAATTGTCGCGGATCAACTGCATCAAAGATTGTCTTTAGATATGATAAAGGTTGCCTTTCGCTTCCCTTGCAAGTAGGAGACTGATGAGAATTCCCAGTCCACCACGCTTCTTTAATCTATCTCGTTCTTTCTGCGGTATGTTTTTCATATTTCATTGTTTGAGGTTAAAAATTGACCGCATCTCTCGTTATTTTCTTCTGCAACGTGTTTCTTGACTGTAGTGAACTCATTCTATTAATTTCCTGGTGCGAAGTGACGGAAGTTCAAAATAAAGCCTTCTCCTCTAATATACGGCGCGTGATCTCTCATGTGCATGTCCTCCACTTCTAGTCTCGTAAATCAATTTCGATTCCATAAGAAAACTTCGCAAAGAATGCATCAGGCATGCTCTTTCCGATGCTTGGGCCAAACGATCGATGTTAGCCACTCTAGAGAAACGCAGCAGAAGCTCAGCTCTGAGTGTTAGGCCGAGCGTCACGCTGCGGAAACATTCGCATGAGTCCCGTGTGGTCGATTCGGCAGCAGCGAGAGCTCCTGGTGTCCTCAACGGAAGATGATTTTTCGCGAGGAATTGTCTTTATAATCTCGCTGGAAAATTATTGTCTTTCAGCGAATAAACCAACAAGTTACATTATTACAAAGGAACGTCGGTTTTCGTGTAGTTTTCTTTAACTTTATGCAGTATGATTTCCCCAGACAGAGGAGGACTTACTCGAAAAACTAAAATAACCGAGTAAGCGAAACAATAAGACTTCGAAGCGTTTTCTTGTTGTAGTAAAGGGGGGAAACTAGTGGGGAACAGGGTTGCAAGATCTTCTTTGATCGAATGTTTCTTGGCACTGCATGATTGACGAACGAGGATCTTCAGGATCTAGAGAATTTACCATGACTAGGATAGTATATACTGAGAGGACCTTGATGGAGGCCAGAAGAACAACAGGCCAAAGTTTGTCCTACAACGGTTGGCGTCCGTGGCGTCGATCGTCCTTCAACAGCAGCAGTTGGTTAAACGCCTGTACATGTAGGTGCTTACTCCCTAGAAGTGCTGAGCTGCGATTGTGTTCGACGCCACTCCTGACAGTTCTTTATGTTTATTACACGATTCTAACCCTGCTTGATGTCTTTCTCTGTAGTGAGTATAAGTTCAGCAATTTCGTGCCTGACTGATCGACCTCTGCACATGTCTTGCCTCACATGAGTGAGTGCTTACTTAGACGGTCGAAGAAGGCAATATCTGTGGAAGTGAAAGGAGACTCCTGAGGGTGATGTCTGTCTGTGCCGCACAGACGTCAATATAAGTATCCCCTAGCCGTATACGAGGGGCCTACGCATTGATTAATGTCAGAGGGACCCATTGGCCACCCCTTCTTCCCGCCCCGAGGCCGAGCTTCATCCCCCACAGTAATAACTTTTAAAAAAATGCTTAGAATGTTGAGTTGTCCCATCTTAAAGGCCTTATCCTATCGAGGACGCAGATAGTAGCAGGCAATCCCTTCATACTTCATCTATGATCTCAATGCTACAACGAGCGGCATGCATGCCGCTAATAGAATATCGAATCCGAAATAAGTCGCATGACATAAGTGTAGTCTCCGTATGCAGGGAGAGAATTCCCCCACTCATAGAAAACAAGATCTGCATGATGAGGCGCTGCGGCCTCCTCTTATCAACTGAGATTCTGAATAGTCGCATTTACTGCGTTGTTCGTCGTGGTTCGTTGTGCTTGTGTTAGTTTGCTTACCGTCACCATGAATACTTATGCAAAAAGACTCCCGCAAAAGCGAGCTGCTGAGTGGCCAACGCTACAACTACTTAATACTTCGCCATTGCTGTCGTTTCCTTAATATCCATACCAAATGTAACGCGAAACACTGGTGAAACAAGTTTCAAAACTGTGAGGCGAACTTACTTACTTACTCACTACTGTGAATGTCTCAAAACATGATGTAACCTTTGACATGCTCAAACTCACTCCGCCCTGAGTAGGCAAACGACTGAAGGTGCTCCCTTGCTATGTTGATCATTGTGTTGTCTAAACGACCTGATAACTACTAGCAAAATGAGGACACCCGACTCATCGGGCTCCTGCTGAAGACTGTACAAGAGTTCACCTATTTTCACCCCGCAAACTATTTACTTACTACTTAATAAATGTCTTGATTTCTGATTATATAACTCATTTCATCCATATTGTCATCATTCAAAACTGTGCATCGAGTATGACTTGACTGATTACAATGGTAGTAACAAGTAGCCTCTCGCAGGAACTTACTTCTTAGATGTAACACCTCAAATTGTAGACGTTGCCCAGTATGCACATGTGCTTCTTTCTCGTGGTCTTACACCAGAATCAGTTAGTAGTTCATTTTCAAAAATATATCTTTATTCCAAACGTTGAGCTTCAATTTGTATAAGTAAGTAAATACGATCAGACGTCGCAGAACCTTGCTCTTTTCATTTATCATCAGTCTAATCATATCATACATAGAAACTCACCGCTTACCAAGTTGATAACGTCCGAAGCTGAAAAAGGACTTTGCGAGCACTACTCAATTTGGCGATCACGTCCTCTAGTACTTATATCAACAATGAAGAGCAAGAACTTGGTGGGACACCATCTTGCCCTTAACCTTCTCCAACAGACAGTGCCTCTTTCACTAATCTATCGAAACCAACAACCACGGAGAACTTTATTACTTGAAAGAGCGAAGATGTGGATTGGTAGTCTAGAACTAGCAAATTCGCAAAAGAAATCGCACTGACTTTATCTTTCTTCAATCACAATCATGCTGCAGAGGTAAACTACAACTCTGCGAAAATCTTGTGGCTACTTCTAAGTAAGTAGATGAGTATATCACGTTTTTCAATCGTCTTCTACTTCGACAAGCATCTTTTTGAGCCGTCTTCTCCTGGCGCTTGCCTCACACACCGACTCTTCTATCCCCTCACCTCTCTCACTCCTGCTGGTTGCCGTCGTTGTTGTTCTTGTTCTGCTGCTGCATCTGTAGGAGCTCGTCCAAGAGGCTCTTGCTTTGACCATTTCCCTCGGCGGCCTTCTGCTCCTTGCTCATTTTGGGGCGCTTCATGTTGATCGCGGTTGCGGCATTTTTCGAGCGACTGTTTGGCTCAGCCGGTTTGTTCCACACGGAAAATTAGAGCAGGCGGGGTTCAGGATGCTATGCTTGAGAGGTTACACTACTCACAGGATGAAAGAGAGGTGCCAGCTATAACAAAAGACGCTACTTAGTTTGCCAACTTTACAATTACGAAGCACCACTCTCTTTCTCTTAAACAAAAATAGAAAAACTAGTAGAGACTTATACGCTCAGCCGAGCCATAAATGTTGTACTCGATGAAGTCCTCCATGACTCTTACCTGCATCGGCGTGATGTTGCGCTTCGTGTACTTAATGTAGTCCTCTGCGATACGATATTGCTCGCTGACATGGTCGAGGGGGCAAAGATGTTAGAGCTAGCTACGAGTAAGCGCGACTGAGAAGATGGGCAACACGCAAGGAAGAGCGTCAAGGCTTTGTTTAAGTAGATAAGTAAAGAGGCGCTTACTTCTTATCCTTAACTGAAGGTCTTCGCCCACCACCAAAGATGGCGCGCGGAGTTCTTCTTGACAGCCTCGTGGGCTGGCGTCATCGGCACTCCTGTAGAGCAGAAGAGGGGGCTAATAATACGTGAGTAAAAACTGAATAAGTAGAAAGATTGACTTTGACTGAGTAGAAAGCACTTGCACCAGAACTAAAACTCAAGAAATGAGAACCGCTGCAACTAAGAAGTTGCAGTACCAATGTAGTCCATCTTCATCAGGATACAAAACGCACAGAGCATCTCAGGCATTAGAAGTGACCAGTTTCTCTTTCTCACTTTCCTTGATGGCTGCTTTGGCATTCATCTCCCCCAAAATCAAATGTAGAAAGACATCAATAACCCCTATCCCCCATAGAGAACGCAAAGCCTGAAATCAATGGAGTGAGGCAGAGTGACTAAGTAGCCTTAAGTCGAACGACAAGTCGACCACAACGGGGACGGCTCCGTTCGTTTGCTTCAGCAGCTGCGTTCGCAGTGCCTGGTAGAACGTCCAGCTCTTCTGGCGCGTGAACCATGCAACATACTGCTCCAAAGATTTTCCCGTTGCGTCTGGAATCGATTGGTACGCGATGGGCATCTCCTCAATCTCCAGCGGACATCCGCTATCCTCGATCTAGAGCGTGCGTTGAGAATAGGAATAGGGGTGCGCCTTTAATTGAGTGAGTAAGTACTCAAATAAAGAGCCTCAAGTTGTTTCATAAGATTCAGAAAAGACCATGACCAAAAGCAAAACAACGACGAGCAAGTGCTTACTCTTAAGGGGATCAAAACAATACTGAAAAGTATACTTAAGTGCCTCTTTTAAGTCGATGCAGGAGCGTGTCAGGAGCTTGGTTCTCTGATCGGCCAATTCCGTCCAAAATGTGCGGGGAATTCCATCCATGTTTGTCAGGTACGGCTCTGTTTTTAGCGATTGCCCAAAGTCAATCTAAAAAATAAATCGCGGGAAGGGAATGCGTTGAAGTACAAATGTCTTCTACTGTTCCGAGAAAGGTGCGTGAATTGGAAACAAGATTATCTATTTCTCATACCAAGTTTCAGAAAAGCAAATGAGTACCAGTGAGATCTGCGTCATCCATCTTCTTGTGGCAGCTCTTTTCCCACGACTCCTTCGTCAGGACAATCGTGCCCCTCTTGCAGCCGGTCAGCTTCTTCGTTTCCTTGATCATCTTCTCCTCATGGTCGACATTCGTAGTGACGAAAAAGTAGAGTGGATTTGCACTCGCGTCGCGCATCGCTGCAATTCCATCGGCCATATGCGCCACCGCCTTCTTGCTCACCAGCGGCTTCTTAGGTTCGACCGTCTCTCGTTCGGTTAACGCGGTAACACGAGAGTAATCGCCGTAGTAAAACGCTCCGCGGCCCATGGTTTTTTGTTTGGCAACTGAAAGTGAAAGACGAGAGTGCACAATGGGAGGCGAGGCCTCGTCCTTGTGTGAAGTAGAGGTAGAAGAACTTACTTATCTAGAAAGAGGGTGAGAGAATCAGAATAGCTACTGAGTACTTATAAGTACTTAAGCAACTCGAACAACGAGACTTATTCGTTGAATCTGATCGCGACCGCATGCAAAAACCAAAAGAAAAATGTAAGTAAGCCGAAGTACTGCGCTCCAAATCGTCGACGGTGCAGATTATCACCTCCGGCGCCTTTGGGTCCTTCTTCTTAGGGTCCTTGCCGGTGAATTAGAGAAGGAACGGGTGTTAGTTTGTACTTCAGGCTTTTTAGCATACAGACTCACAACAAGACCACATCAAACATCCATACTCAGACAAGAGCTACGACCCAGTTAGTGTTTACTTTAGCCTTAACGGTAATGCTCCCCCATCGGCCACGGATGAATTGCATCAGAAAAGGCCCACTCGTAAGGCGTCAAAACGGCAGTCTGTGATACATTGGAGATGAGGTCTTCTTACGCATGTGGAGGCACCTGCTACTACGTAACTTCCAAGGACAAGGAGAGAGAAAGACTAACAGACGAGTTCTTCCAACGTGAGTGACCCATAGGTGGATAAGCATAACGTAGATTATTCTTTAAAATTCCGTCTCAATAGTCCGCACCTCGTCTTCCTCATCCTCTTCGGGGTCCTTGCGCTTTGCATTTGGGTCCTCCAATGGCTGTCCCAAACGCGGGGCTTCGAAGATCATGCGCACCTCGTCCTCCGTAAAGGTCTTCAATAGAATCTTGCGGAGCGTTCGGCTGTCAATTTCGCCATTCTTGTCGTCCAAGACCTGGCAGCATAGAAAATGGTTAGTGAGGTAAGATCAGTTATCAGTCACAGATCACAAAGTAGAGGGAAAAAGAGGATATCGCTATTATCAAAAATGAAAAGCCACTTTCTCACTCTCGGAGAGAACCTGCACCGATCACTTCAACCAGGATAAGCAAGTAAAAAAGTACCGCGAGGAACTGGGAACGCCGGATATCCCAGAAATTCTCCACGGAGGCCCTGTACACGAGGTACATGCGGTACTCACGTGGTTGGAGGTGGGCCATGCGCGCGTGATCCTCTGTATCGTTCTCACTCACGAGAACGAGATCAGCCGGATTATAAAGATCAGTGCATGCCCCCTGCAGCTTCGCGATCATATCGAGCCGCACTGTTTGGTCAAAGTTGAAAAGCTATTGATGCTGACTCCATAAAGTGGAGTGATGACCAATAGGAAAGAACAACTTAATTAAATCATCTCGACGGAGTCATATTAAAATTAAATCAGAAGGTTGACTATCGAAAGTCTACTAGCCAGCAAGTAGAATCACACACTTACACCCAAGAACAAGACGCGCTCAGAGTTAGACGAAGACAAAGACAGACGACGTAGATAAGCAAGTACAGCGAATCAGCTGGCACTCTTTCAAGAGCATCGCCGAGGTCCACTTGAAATCGGTCCTGCGCCTCTTCCCGTCACCTTGGCTCTGTTCGTGGAAGCGCTTGGCCTTCAAATCGATCTCCTCAAAAGTGTTGAAGAGCTCAATCAGAACTCTTGGCTCCACATTGGTGAGCAGATCATCGAGCACGGTGAGTCCGTCGAACGGACAGAGGATGCTGACCGCGTCATGGTTAGAGGGGTCAGGGGTGGAGCTGGAGGCTTCGGGGCTTACAGAATATAACAAATAGTTTTTAGCTACTTAAAAAAAAGTTTTTTAGCATTGGATTTAGATAAATAAGCAAGTCCTGGAGCTTGCTCACACGAGATGATTCAGTAAAATCAAAAACCCTGATCACAACAAGCAATGCGCAAAAGATAGAAAGATAAAAGAAAGAAACCCCCTGGCCTTAAATTTGGAGGCGATTCGATTGTACGCATCGTATAACGGGCGCAAGGCTCCGTTTCCATGGATATCGAACAAGTTCGCGTTAAGTCTGAAGTAAGTGATTGAGATTGAGGGTGGGAGTGAGTTCCTGCTTGGTTAGGGGAGTATGATATAAGGCAAGAAAGCTTATTATTGGATCAGAGTCATAAGTAAGGAATAAGGAAGCACTTCTACCAGTTGAGATCTGGGCGCAGTAAATGCTTAAGTACTTACATACTTACTTAAATCAAAAATGAGGAGCAGTACTTCTGCCAACGATGGCCGTTATTCTCATTGACCACACGGCCAGGCACTGCACATCTAAACTTCTTCTTCATCACTGCCCCCACGTCCCTGGAAGCCACAGTCGCCTGACCTTTCGCCGCGCACAGCTTCTTCTGTTCTTCCAGGAACACGCGGCAAATCACGCGAACTAAGTGTGGAGAAAGAATCAAAATGATTAAAGTCAAGATCAAGCTCTGTGAATCTACTTAAGCAGGAACGTAATTCAATACAGCTACTACTCACAAAAGCACCCAACGAGCATGAGACGAAGGCCGTTCTAGAAGATACGACTGAAGAAAGAGAAGTCTCAACCTTAAGGGAAACAGGCAAAAAGATAAATAAATACTTGGGGTGAAGAACATGCTGTAGTCTCCGACATTTTCCGTATCCTGTGCACGCTCCAGCAGACTGCCAGTCATATGGCGTCGCGCAACAAAAACTCCCGCCGGCAAAGTGTTCGGCGACGCCACCAAGTTTGCCACATATGCCCAGACAGCCGCCGAATTCGTCCAAGAGCAGTTCTCAGCGTCGAATCTGGAATAAGAAGATGATGGCGGGGAAGTAAGTGCAAGTGGAAGATGGATCTTTGGAAATATATCCTGGCTGAGGCTGTGGCCATGAGAGAGGAGGCATGGTTCTTTTTCTAAACTCAAAAAGTAGTAAACTGCGCATGCGAGTAGACATCTAAGCACTTTTCTACTCAGGTGTAAAACATAAGTAAAGAATAATAATATTACCGCAGCTGAAACATCAGCTCGTGGAGGCCTCCGGCGTCGCGGAGGGCATCCACCTTAGCCGCGAACGGAAGTGCACCAAGGTCGTCATATTCGCTGACGGTCGGAATGAATCTGCGGATTGCCTTCAACACGTTGACCTTCTGGGGAGGATCCTCCGCAACCTTGTATGCCTCGCCCATTTCCATCATCTTCTTGTCCAAGTCGCGGGCGATGGCCTCAAGGTGAGCCCACGGCGCCTCCTGTGGCGGCGGTTGTGCAATGGGCACTGGTTGCACAAACACCGGCGAGGACGGCAAAGCTCCGCCATTATTATGCACGGCCTGTTCCTGCGGGGCAGGAGCCATTTCTACGTCAGTACTAGAAGAAGACGCCATTCTCGTGGTCGGCCTACTACTAGGTCGGTGAAGGTCTGGCGATGTGCTGCACTTGTTCTTGATGTTTTACTCGGGGATGTAGGTGCGATGTTCTGCTATACAACTAGTTGGCTCCTGCTTCTAAACGCCGCGCGGGTCTTCTTGGTCCGAATAGGAGATGAGTGCAACTTTTTCTGTTCTGGTGTTTATCTATTATACACGCAGTTGTGAAATTTGAGTAAGTAGTTTATAAGTACTTGGCTGAAAAGTTCGGCAGGACTTCTTTTTGACTACTGTTGCCTGATGTTGGTACAGTCTAGCTTTACAACACTTCTTCTCGTGGAATAAAGGAAATAATTACTGTTAAACTTGATGTTGAGAATCCGGCATCGCAATTGAGTAGTTACTTACAAATAGGCGTGTTGATTAGACACGACCAAATTGGAAAGGCGAGGAGTGAAATTGAATACAGTTTGAAGCAATTCGGGTGCGCTATGAGCGACCTTGGTACTTTTCTCTGTTTCCTAAGGGTTTTTGGATGGCAGAGGTATTTTCGGGAAAATTCGTCAGATTGAAGGCTTTTCTTACTCAAAAAGTCGAAAAGATAAGCGGCACATATGCCACCGGCCAACTGTGAGTAAGAAGAAATCAGCACTACTCTAGAAACAAAAGAAGTCTCAGTCACGTGCGAGAAAAAAAGTAAGCACGTCGAAGTCGAATCATCTCCACTTGCCACAAGAAGATACAAGAAACGACACTACACGCAAAAAAAAGCAACGACTTGCTCTATCGCGAAACGACACCGAAGGGAATCTTGAAAAAAGTCAGCTCGTACTTCTGAAGCACATTTGATTGCCTGCTCTCGCAAGCGCCTTTTTACGTGAACGAAAAAACGACATCTCTCTTCTCTAGCAAAAAGCGGCCTACTTTAAAGACGTTTCTGACTCTCTCGCTGGTTTGCGCTCAAAGAAAGATCTGATCCACAAACCTCTCAAGCGTTCTTGCAATGTTCACACTCGTCGCTCAATCTCAATCGGGGGCACTAGATTTCCTGCTCCATCACCGTGTGTGATGTTGAACCTGAAGTACTTACTTACTTAGGTAGAGAGAGAAAGAGAAGAATAAAATACACTTACTAGTAGCTCAAGTCCTATGCTATTATAGCTCAGCGCGACCACCATCAGAAACTACGAATAGTTTGGGAAAATAAGTAAGCATCAGTGACGTTTGAGCACGCGCCTAAGGGGTCTGGTCAGGCTTCAGAAAGGCGCCATATCGTTCACAGCCATTCCCGGGAATACGCTAGGTTTTCCGCAAAGGTCTCCTAAACCCCGTGCGCGGCGGCGCGCACGGGGTTTAGGCTAGGTCTTCCGACCGGAACCTCCTAGGTCCCGCGCGGAGGACCTAGCCTAAACCCCGTGCGCGCCGCCGCGCACGGGGTTTAGGAGACCCTTGCGGAAAACCTAGCGCATTCCCGGAAATGGCTGTGAACCATATGACGCCTTTCTAGCACCAGACTCTTGACCTTAGGTGCGTACTCAATACATTTCAAGTGAAAAAGCTCAGCTTGGACTCATGCAACTGGGAGTGCAACATATCTAGTACCTACGAGGTGGAGACTTCTGACAACATAAGCACAGTTCTCAGCGTTAGTGGATATTTGGCCATAGAGCTAGACGAAATCGACATACGTCCTTACTATCGGTCTAGTTCTGCGAGGAGATGAAATACAGCAGGTCTCCTAAACCCCGTGCGCGGCGCCGCGCAAGGGGTTTAGGAGTAGCTCTTCTGGCCGGAGTCTAGAAAGGCGACTAATGTTCCACTCACAAAATCGACAAAGGTATTATTTTTTCTTGGTATGCTAGTGCAGGGTAAGCTAAAATCTAGCTAATTTGTCTACCCCCCTCTAGTATCTCTAAAAAAAATATCTCATGTTAGACAGAATAAGCAAGCCGGTGCTATTTTTAATGCAATGCGCGTCTACAAACATAGTACTTACTTCAAGAAGGCTGAACCAGCCACACCCCACAAATATCTGAAATTGAAGCTCAAGCGCCACTCCTTCCTTCCTTTACTTAGGGCTGATAGTAAATGCGGCATACTGTGCTACTACTAGTGCGAAGATGGAGACTTTTTCATGTCGGAGGAGCCAGCAATAGTCTAAGGACTTTCTGGCACTACTACATCCTGACAGTTGAAGTTTGTATTGAAAGTGCAAAACTACTTACTTACTCACGATCTGCGAAATTACTTAGAACTCCTTCGCAAAATCGGAAAGCTCTACTTCTGTTTTCAAACAAATACGTAGTTCCCAACTGTGTGGTAAACTTCTATAGTTGGGCACTACAGCGATCTTGATGGAAGTAAGACGGATCGAAAGAGAAAAGAACTAGGAAGAAGTCGCCTTGAGCTCGTCTTAAGTAATACTTAATACCCTACTGGCATAGTACATGCCTGATGCTGGAAAGATAGGCCCGAAATCGAGTTTAAGTTATTTGCCTATGCCTGTTCAAGTAAGTGCTTACTCTTAAATTGCTGATCTTGGTCGATGAAAAAGCTGCACGCACATATTGATTTTCGACTTCAGGGAGTGGCTCTGTAGAGCAGTGAAGTCAATCAGTTCCCAAATAATCAAACCGAAGTGCACGAACATGATAGCAAGTCTTAGAAATGTTACTACTCTCCTCTATATAACATGAGTTACCTACAATTACTTATGCACAGAGCGCCGTGCTGAAAGCCTTCATGGGCCCTCCTCGTCGTCCTCTACAGACCCATTGCGGCCCAGTCTTCCTCTGTTAGAGGTCTCCGCGAAGGCGCCCTCGGACCTGCAGCTGCTGAAGACGAGGATTGGTGGAGAACTTGAGGTGCTTCTGCTGGCCTAGACGATGAAGGTGCACTTGCTCCAGCTTTTCCCTTCGACTTGGAGTTCGACGCTTTCGCTTTACCACTACCACTGGTTTGAAGTTGTTGCACGGAAGTGCCGGCTCTGGAGCTCGTTGTCTGACGTTGGCCTGGTGCAGCTCCTTTCCCATTTCCCTTCCCCTTGTTGCCTTTTCCCTTGCTAAGACGAGAACTAGACGAGCTCGAGGAGCACCCACCTTTGCCTTGCTGCGGTGCCACGTTGGACTTGGAGGCACTATACGGCCCCTGCCGGCTATTGTCTGTTAGGGCAGGCTGCTGTCTTTGCGCCCCTGTTTGGCTCGGGTCATGTGATTTTAGCGGACTAAAGCTGCGAACGGCTTGTCTGCTGTCGGTCTGTGGGTTGATAAATCAGACATAATTCTTGATGTAGTAGCTGATAGATTAAAACTACCTTTACTATGTCTTCCGGAGTACTACATATAAGTAGATGTAGAAGTTTAGAAAAGATAAAGATGACCGGATACAGCCGACAGCTCAGATCTCAGTGCAAGTGCATCAAATAAGATATCAAATATTAATAGCACCTCCAACTCCACAACTGCGCTGGAAGTTGACATGTCATTGACGACACTCCGCGCCTCTTGCCGTTTCTTCGATTCCCAATGGATGAGGCCCTGCATGATCTCCTGGACATAAACGGAACGATCGCTTTTGCCCATCTTCCTGATCCTCCCGTGGATCACGTTTGCCACTGCCGCAAAATATGCACGCACGTCAGCAATCTCTATAGGCAAGAGCTGTCGGCGTAAGAGAAAACAGAATCCCGGAAGATCGTTTGCTCCATTCTTCAGATCCCGCCTATTCCTCTCAAGGCGATAACGCTCGCTGCAGTAAGATGCCACTTTTTGCGGTAGAAGAGTACCCGGCACGAGGTCTGCCCTGAGGAGTTGCAACACGGTATCGCGAAGATTGCCCATGTCCGCAAAATGATGGGGCTGGAACTCCATCTTCACCGCGCCCACTGACGCACTACCGCTCTCATCGATTTTCCTGTCTTTCTCCTGTAGCTTCTTGTAAAGCGACTCGAACTTGATTCGCTCCTCCCGCTCCTGCGCTCGCTTTACGGCTTCACCACGAAAGTCTTCCGATTTATGCTCCATATTCTGCATAAAAGACGCGTAAGCCTGCGAGACTGAACGGCTCTTGCGCTGTGTGCCACTAGTTTGACTCTGAGCGACCGCGCCAGCATCTCCTGCCTCTGGGCAGTCGTCGTCATCTCCCAACGCCAGTGCATTATCGGCCTCTTGCACTGTTTGCTGCTGATGAGCTTCCTTCGCACGCTTCACTTTCAAACGAAGGGCATCCGCCTGCCCATGCTCACCCAAAGCTTTCAAACCGTCCATCACATTTTGCAACTTCTCGTGCTTTTCCTCGCGTGTTAGCTCCTCCCTGGTAGTCGTCGCTCTAGACGCAGCTGCTAAATTCGAGGCGGAGCACGCATGCGAACTGGACCCACCAACAACTCCACCAAGGCCTCCTTGGGCGTCATCATCTGCACCGTCGCCGTCCGACTCTGAGGATGTTTCATCATTCGACTCGCTCGAAGAGCTCTCCGTATCATCCACGATGTCGCCCTCCATCGCAGCCTCTCTCCGCTCCAACCTGCGCTGCAGTTTTGCCGCCTTCAGAAGCTCTTTTTGCTTTTTGCGAGCTTGTCGCCACTCTTCGTGGTTGTCCTCCAAAATTCGGCCCAGCTCGGCGCCAGGCTCACCTGCTGGCTTATACTTATCCACAAAGTTCGTGACACAGTAGCGAATCGCATCCTGCTTAGTCGCTAAAGGGTTTTCATCTCGAAACTTGTCCGCAGCGACTGAGGCCTCTCCGACGAGATTACTACGCAAAGCCAGACTCGACATCCACCACGGCTGCAATGCGGAGCGGAGCTCTGCCGCGTTGGCGTCGGGCTCATATCCGTTACGCCGATGTTAGAAGATGACGATTAAACAATACATAGAGCAACTATCGGGCTGACGCCAAGCTCTGATAAGTCAAAGCCAAATAAAAGTAGCAGCATAATTATCGAAGAAAGCGAGCTCCCTCCATATTCATAAGTACTTACTTATTCAAATCTATAAAAATACGAGTGCCATAACGAAACCCCGAGGCGTACTTTCCATGGTTTAGGCGTCCCCAAACTCGTGCAGCCCTTCGTAGCGCATCCTCCCGCGTCGTAATCGGGACACACGTCTTTGCCCCTTGAGCTATAGCGGCAAGCATTTGCGCCCCATCCCCAGACCCTTCCTCGATGCGGTATTCGCGCTGCAGGTCTCCATGGCAATCCGTGTCGTTACTTATTAGAAAGTTCGCCGGGAGGAGTCGCTATCTCTATCTACTTTTATAATGCTTCACATTCCAAGGAAGACGGAGTAGTTGGCGTTGCGCAAAAACCTAAGTACTTGCACCTCCAGAGAAAATATTTCCGAGTTGTTAAACGACTTGGGAATGTAAGTATGCGCATGCACTTAGAAACATGATAGAAAGAACTTCTTTTTACTCAGCAGTTCAGTAGCTAAGTACTTACTTGACAGGTACAATCTGAACTCATCCACTTCGTAAAACCTGAATCCGGTCCGTCGTACCAGCGCCAACAAAACTGTACAGCCCTCCTTTCTCGACTAGTGGCTCTTGGTCGAGCATATGCCCACGGTAGTGGTCCCAAATAAAGTAGTCCACCTCAGAGGCTGCCGGTGGATCTCGGTCCAACATCTGGTCCACCGACGTCTGAAAGATTTCACGAGTATAGCTGCCCTTCGGGCCCGTCCTCACCACCAGCGCCCTGTCTGGCAGATCTCCGCCATTCACTGCGTTCTGCCTCGCAGCGTCTAATTTCGATTTTACATTGTCACCACCGCGGAACAAGACCTCGACAGTCGGAGGAGACGGCAGACCCGGTATGGATTAGAGGCACTCACTAATACTAACCTCCCATAAATATAAAATGAAACTGCGCTCGTCCTCAATCTCAAGTGGACACGCTGCTTCACTTCCTCGCTAGGAGTAAAGCGCAAATGAGGCGAGGGAGAGTAGCTAGTTGATATTAGATACTTTGAAAAAACTGCACTAGAAAATACTGCGACAAAAGACACGGAGCGTGTCCTTGCGCAACTCGTTCATCCACAACATAACGAATTCTATCCACGCACTGCGTCAGCATCGTGTATCTGCTCCTGGTCTGGCCATGTGCGCAGGTTAGATGAGGTCAATCAGTCTAATTACTTACCTGGATGCCTCTCCCCTACTGATCTGGAGATAACTCTACAGCCTAAAAACTCTAAGTAGTCGAATTTGGTGGAGAAGAAATAAATAACATGAAAAATTCCCTAGCGAATAAACCTCAACTACTTAAGTAAGTACTTACTAGAGGCACGCCTTAATTCGCAGACCGTTACCGTCCGGCTACCCGACTGCGCGAGGATCTTGCCTTCGCTCGTGCTGTTCATAAACAGAGGCTTCTCGTCGAGCGCTCTTATTGAGACTTAGAGAAACGCAGTGCTTTTCTGCATGAAGAAGAGAAGTCGCTAACTTATAAAGATGTAAAATGAGGCTGGGCAACGACGTCTCCATGTCGAAGGAATTCTAAGTACTTGGGACGCGCCCGGCCCTGATCCGCACAGACGAAGTTGTAGACAGAAACGCAGATAGATAGCAAGCTTAGTCAAGTAGTACTTAGCCGATTAAATTCCAATACACCATCATAACGGACCTCGTAGCCGAGTCGTCGCAAAAACGTAAGAACCGCCCAACTGGTCTTCCACGTTGGCAGGACGCTGTGAGTGTGACCACGGCGCAAATCGGAACCCAAGTCGGAAATGGATCCCAGTCAAGACAACTTAATCTATCAACGAAGTGGACTAAATACGACGACGCGCTGTTACTCGTCCATAATAATGATACGACTTTGAAAGCGTGCAGTCCTGAGTTGGAGATGGTTCGTCTTCATGTGCTTAGACTTAGGCTAGAGTTAGCAAAAAGCAAATGCTTAAGTAAATACCGCGAAGCGGCTTCCTCTTCCGTGAGTTTCGGCCGTGAATTTGGCATCCTCAACGCTAGCCCGTAAGATATTACGTTAGAGAGTAGAGAAATGAGCCGGCCCCAACATGGTATGGGGCGCACAACGATGAAGAAGCAGTAATTAATCAACTCCAATCGCCCACTCAACCCTATTAAACGCGACCACTTCGAGTGGGTAAAGATTCGCTGCGAGCAGAAATGCTCCAAAATATTACTTATAATTACTATTGCCCATCCATCGCCTTAAGAGCCCATCTTGTTACCCAGTCCCGAGTAATCACCGGCACACTTTCTCGCGCGTCCCGCTTTTGCTTCCCGAGCTCCATGGCGACCTGCATCATAAGCGTGCGCGCTGCAATGAAAGTTGCGCAAGCGGTTATCCTTGTTGTACTTGCTTGTAGATGTTTTTTACTGAAGTAGATTCAGTTTGCTTATCTAGGCTGGAAAGGTAAAACATGAACAAGCTATCTTAAGCAAGCGCCTGACGTTTGACGTTGAGTGATCCCCTCGAGGTCAGGCGCCCATCTCTCAGTCTAATCCATTCATACTCAGTTCCATAATTGTTTTCGTGCCAAGTGTTCGCATGTGCAAAAACAAATCAAAAAGGTCTTCGTGTAATCCTGCATTGATGACTTTCCGGCCACCTGGATTTTTGGAAGCGGAACGTACTGGAAGTCAGTGGATGAGGGCGTCATTGATTTTCATGAAAGTCACAGTCTGGATCTGAAGTTTGAAAAAGAACAAATATAGTACAACAAGCTATTATGGAGTAGTAAATAAATAGGGAGTAATAAATAAATATTGACATAATAAAAGTAGAAATAAGTTGTTGAACCTTAGATAGTCAATAATCTTTTTTGCATGAGATGAAAAGAAGAAATAATAAAAGTAGAAATAAAAATAAGTAAGTAGAACCCCCCGGCGCCCGCAGCCGTTCAATCTCAGCCTTCCCAAATTTTTCAGCAACGAGGCTTTTGATTGCCTCAGCTGTAAAGTTGCGAAACAAATCCTTGCGTTCAGAATGAGAGAACTCGCTCCTGCCCATTTCCATGCATCGCGACACCAAGTCTATATACTTCCGCCCTACTTGCGGGTTCTGGAATATAATCCGCGCCGCCGAAGGAACATGCAACCGCCCACGCCCCTGGATGTAAGTAGAATAATCAAGATAGGTTGATGCTTGCAGTGCCCGGTAGCGTAAGTAAGTGCTTTGTCGCTCGAGCTAGGTACTCCATATCGAATCAGTAAGCAGCCTAGGCCTGCACGTGGTGTTGTACTGAATCCACATCGACAAAACTAAGCCAGAAGCTACTTATTTACTTCGAGATGAAACATAGATAAAGTCTGGACCTTTCCGTCCGCCGCAAGCTTCAGCGCCAGTATGCCGATGTAGAGTCTTTCTCCGAACGGATAGGCCTGTTGCTTTTTTATCTTAAGCTTCACAGCAAGACTGGCGATAGTAGGCATTTCCCCCGCTACACCTGTATTATTCACAGCCTGCGCAACGGGTGGAATATACTGGGCCTTTCGCTTCCTCCGGCGGTTCCTGCGAGACGCGGGTGCCAGTTCGTCGCCTGCCTTCTCATCGTCGCCGTCATCCACACAATCGTCCCCATTCAAATTGGCAAGAGGATCACCACCAAGCGCCTTGATGATATCTTCAGCACTTCCACTTTCAGGAGCAGACTTTTTCAATGGTCCACAACTTCGAAACAGCTTCGAGGAAGATGAAGACGAGCTTGCAGAAATGTCAGGAACTCTGGCTACTTTCGGCCCACTGCGGGCACAGGAAGATGAAGAAGATGTGGCGCCCCGGAATGCATCTACATCTCCATCGAGGTCAGCAGAGCGCTTGTTGTTTCGGGTAAGGACGTTCTCGCTGTAGTTTCCGCCAAACAATTGCGAACCCAAACTACCATAGAAGTTTGACCCCATCGCTGAGCGACGTTGCCCAGGAGCCAGGCCCAGCGTGAACGTCCTTCGAAAGCGAACTGAAAGCAAAACGCACGACGGCAGACGACTCCAGCGTCAACCTCAAGGCGCCATGGACTTTCTTTTATCGAATACAAATAGTAGCGCACTTCCTAGTGCTCACTTGCATTTGTTCGAGTGTGGTTCTAATGTTCCTACTTTGCCGCTCTTGTCGTGTGTTGAAGACGAGATGAGAACAAGAATCACCTTGGTCAGAGCAACTTCCTCCTAGATAAGTAAGTACTTACTTAGCAGTTTGCGTTTTCGCTTGTGTAAAAAAGAACAAATGCACAGTCAGGATAAGTACTTACACAAGTCTTTAATAAGTACTTCACCAAAAGAAATTGGGTGAGCTGTTTTAGGGTCGGAATTCATGGGGGATAAAAAAAGACGCCATCGAGAAGTGAGCACTCCTTATAAAATACCGAGATACCGACACACAACGACACTGGCGCCACTATTCACCGATTGGACTCCGAGTTTGAGAGCGATAAATCGACAAGGAGAAGCACTTACGGACATACGCACACCGACTTCGATGACATGCACAAAGAACGACCTTGGTCCCATTTTAGACCCAATACTAGACATTCATCGACCTGCTTTTCACTTTCTAAGCGATTACTTGCTCGGGAGCTGCTCGATCTTCACTCGTGTCTTCTCTCAAAACCTACGGAACATAGACGAGGCCAGGCATAAGATTGGTAGTTGACAACAAGGACGGAACCTTGTCGGCAGAGGACATAGAAGGTCGCAAGTGCTTACTTATGCTCCCGTCTCTGTGTGTGCTCATCCGTTAGCCCTTCAGCGGTCTTCATGCTTGCATGCAGTTGCACAAGGAGAGAGTGAAGCATTCATCTTGTCACCTAGGCGATGTCAAGCACAACAATCCATCGTAGCGCCTCACTTCTTCTTCAGTGCCTCTTCTCCCCAGCCTGCGACACTGCTCCATATGCTGCGCTCCTGTATTCTTGACGTCGGACGGTTAGAGGGTGACTAGAAACAAGTGGAGCAAGGCTGTGGCCCGCATATGCACTTTGAGATTGAGGCGAGCTAGTTATACTTACTCTATATGATACTACTATACTACAGGCCCACAGCATCATATAATAAGTGCTTACTTAATAGTATGGTCCTTAACGTGCTTAAGATGACGCTGCTGCGAAGGTGCGCCCGTACTTCGTATGCCAGCGTCCAAGGATGCAAGGTCAGTCGCACCCGAAGTTTCTCATGTTGCAAGAACACACGTCATGACAGATTCATATTCAGGTTGCCGAACCTGAATTTTCCGCTTCAAGCTTGAAAGCTTGAACACTCCCAACACCAAACCAAAAAGGATGATTAAGGAACAAAAAGGGGATGCTTAAGAGGGAAATCTAAAACAAGAATACGCCTCGAAGTTTTATTTTTGAGTTTACTCGGTTATTTTGAGTTTACGAGTATGTGACCAATAAAGGACGATACAGTACCAGAACCAGTAGTGCTTACACCTGACATATTTATGTAACAAAGACCTTACAGCTTCTCAGCTTCATTTTATTTCATCTACGCCGCATGTATGCATAGAAGGGGACTCATCAACGCGCTGAGCCTTATGCGGCCGCTTGCTCTACTTGGCGCTGCCGGTGTTCAGTCTCCGGGGGAACTCGAGGCCAGGCCGAGGGCCTTGCCGTCAGGCTCGCGCGTGTTCCAAACTGGCGCGGGAATACTCCACCAGGGGAGTCGGTGGTAGGTGTTCGCCAGAGAAGCCCAACTTCAAGCGACCAGGTACGCCTTGGGAATCCTCAACCCAGCCTCCAGGCCAAGCGATCAGACCCCAAAAGAGTAGCACACTGAGCGCCAAGAAGTGCGAAGCCTACGCGTTGCCGTTGCACTTGCATGCTTGTCCAGTCCGCCCGCCTGGGACTAGGCACTGGCGACCGGCGCGCGGTTCCGTGGCTGGGGTCCACCTTCCACAACGACCGCAAGCGCAACCGAGGAGGGAAGAACGCACAAGGGAAGATGGTGGAGGGGTGCGGACAGATCCCGACGAGGGCGAGGCGAGCCACAAGGCCGCGCACACCACAAGAAACGGGTCGAGAAAGCAACCGCACGAAGGCAGCCAACCAGCCCGCCGAAGCTCCTCACGGCTTCGCAGCCATGGCCCTGCCCCTTTGCCTTTCTTTGGAAGAAAACGAGGCGGCACCGGCCTGCCGAGGCTGTGGGCCTCTCCTCACCATGGACGCCCAGAGTCAGACGACAATAAGAACGGAAGCCAACGCGCCCCCCGCTCCTGCTGTGCCATTGGCGGTTCATCTCATCACAAGAGCGAAGGCCCTGGCACGCAATGGAGGACAACGCTCCGGGCTGGCAGTCTCTCTTTTGTTCTCTTGCATCACCGGAGGAATAACCATCGCGCAGCCACGCCAGTATGCGCTTTCCCAGTATCCCCCCAGTAAGAACAAGAAGGGGCTCCACGCGTCCCAGCCTCCCCAATGCTGCGCACCAATCGCGACGCACATCTCGCGTTGCGGCGCCTCATCGTGTCCCACCGGGACGCTCAGCGCCTGACGCCCACGTTCCCTGTCAGAGGTGGCGGCACCTCGTCCCACCACGGGCGCGCGTTTGTCCTCTCAGAGGCACTCGTCTCCCTTCCAACCAGGGGCGAAGATCTACACAACATGAAGCCTATTGCTTGCTTGTTCTATCAACCATCCACCATAATCGTTGATGCAATTGCAAGCATGTTCACTTTATTATTAGGATCGTTGTATTTGATCGATATGTATGAAAATGCTGATAGATGATAGTTAGGAATGCGCAAGACTGTTCGTTGATCAATGCAATCGATTTGTGTCTTGAATTCGAAGATATCTTCTGGCACAGGATTTTTTTTTTCGCTATGGTCAACATGGAGACAAAGATAGTAATTCTGTTCATCCTAGTACCTACTTTCATGTGATAGTTTTTGCCATCTAGATGTTTGTGTTTTGCTCAAATGAAGACCGACTACTTTTGAAGAAGATAGTAATGAAGTGTTTTGTCGACTGCAACGAAATGTTAATGTATTTTTTTGCATCCCTTGTCACTTTTCGAATAATGCCAGCATGACATACGAGCACGTTAGCTCTTGGACATTGAGGATTATTATCTATGTATGTGTCAACTTGATTGAAAAATTGAAGGAACACGAACATCTCTTCAAGTACCTGTTTCGAACATCTAGATTAATTATAGGCAGAACTGTGGATAATGAGTATGAAATGTCATATTATTCTCCTCTCATTATGAGGCAACAAGCGTGTCTCAAATCTTCATTGAATAGCCGTAGCTTTGGCTCACCGTGCATGTTTTCTTAAGTATGTATGTTCTCACGTCGCACTGAGGAATTGCGAATACTCTTGGTCTTGCTTCGTCGCAATCATAATCTTTGCATTAATTTGACCTATTGTCATTCCCTTAGTCTGTCTCCATAAAGCCAACGTCTTTAAGCTACGAGTTGGACGAGCTCAGCGTCGCTGCCTGCGATTGGCCAATCGACCCGTCACAGTCGTGACACCATCTGGATTGAGCTTTGAGGCAGCCTTCGCATGTTTTGTCGCGTTGATGGTTCGCACGACGACTGAAAGCGCCTCTTGTTCTTGTGTCGTCTCTTTACTGCCAGTGTCTTCCTGCTTGGCCGCACGGGGTGGTGGCGGCGCAAACCGTGACTGCGTGTCGGGAGGCGTTGTTGGTGTGATTACCGGAAAATCCACCACGGGCTTGACATCTTCGACCGTCTCTGGCAGGTTCATGAAAGACACGGCACATGGATCTTCTACTTCCCCATTAGGCTGTCCGTTTTCTACCACAGTGCCTGCGGGCATGTCCTTCATCTCACTAATGAACAAGCCCCCCTGCTTTACCTCGGGCGAAAGCAAGTTTAGGTATCCTGTGCTCTTTTCTTGGTACTGATCTACGCTGCCATTGTTAGGTTGCAAAAACCTCCCAGCCCTGCCAGATCGCCTCCCTTCTGGAGTCCGGCTCCTATTTCGCAGAGTCGCACCCGACGACACTACACGTCTATTTCTATCTTTGTGGCTCACGATATTTGACATATCCGACTCGGCTTCTGATAGCAGGCTCAGTCGCCTAGTACTATCTTCACTACGCGAAACCCTCGGTGCTGGAACAAAAGACCGCCATGATGGATCAATCGCCAGAGATGGAGACGCAGAAGAAAAGGCCGTCGTGCTCGCAGAAGCTCCTGTACTACTACTAGTGTTTTCATGTTTCGTGGGAAGTGCTGATGATACTATGCGCTCGGAGTAGAAAAGCGCGGGCTGTTGCACGACTTGTTGCTGTCCCCGTTTGCTTCTGATCATTGCCGGATTCCGCCCGGCCGCGGGTCGGAGAATTCCACTTCCAGTTCGCGCAGGAGGATCATAAGCAGCTTCATCGGCAGGCATTGCTGCTTCACCCTCCGCTGCCTTGGTTGCTTTCGCGGTACGCTTTGGTGCGCCGGCTAGAGACGCTGGCTTTCCTTTGACTGGAGCATTCGCTCCGCTAACTCTTGCCGACCCAACAGGGAGCTGCGCCATCTTGACACCTCCGCTAGCCGCGCCTGCTGACTGACTTGACGCGGCTGTTGATGAGCGAATGGCCGCAGAGACTTTACGACTCGTCACCGACTGTGGCGTAGATGCACGTGCTCTCGCTTTTGCTTTTACCGTAGGCCGCCGGACTGATTTCGCCGCGCTGGCTCGCGCCTTCAAAGAAACAGGCAGCTGAGCTCGACTGCCAGACTCCTGTCCCGGCGCGAACGGTGCCATCGGACGACTTCGACCTGGCGTGCCAAGTGTGCGCGAGGTTGCTGGAGTGATCGCGCCTGGCCCTCCTGCATCAGCATCCATCGCTTGTAGAGCGTCCGTAGTTCCGCCCAACGAGGAAGACGTCAAAGCGCCAGCAAATGGATCAATCGTGATCCCCGCAGCACTGCTAAGCTCATTCGGAGTAGTCCCACTCTTTCCTGAGCTCGTCTGTGCTGCGTTGTAAGCTAGACCTGGAGACCCTCCCAGGATCGGCTGTTCGCTTCCAGACCGCCGTGGCGAAAGATTGCGAGGAGAGATTTGGGGCAAGGGCAGACCCTGTGGGAGGTTCAGTGAACCTCGACGAGCTCGTGCATGTTTCTCGATCTCACGCTGCGCTGCCGCAGGAACAATACCTTCTTTAGCGATGCGTGCTGGCGAAGCTGGCATAAGGAGTGTTGTAGAGATGAACGCCGTTTCTTGGACTGCGCCATTCGGACTCTGCACTGCGACGGGAACTTTTCCTTGCACTGGTAAGCCCAGCACGCGCCCGACGCGGCCTCTCCAAGCTACTGGTATTTCGTCCATCACGTACTCTGACTCCGTGTTCTTGCTCGTAGTGTTGTGCAGCGGGAATGGATCCGAAGTTCCTCCCGCTGCGACAATCGTGATCCCTGCCGGGCTAGTGGGGTCCACAAACGTGACATACTCGCCAGCACCCAGCGGTGGCAGTCCCCCGAGTGGGCGGCGAATATCCGTAATCGAGATCGCCTTCGAGCTGCGACCGCCTGGTGGTGACGACTCCGCGCGCCCGTCGCTCCCAGGAGAGGCGCTCGGTCGCCTCGCAGACGGATCCGCAGTCGCGCGCTTTATCGCCTCCTCCATTCGAAACTGCGACTCGCGACGGCGTCCATTCACCTCGTTCCGCATCCGGCTCAGAATGCTCCCTGATTGGCCGATAGATTGAGTCAGCGCCACGTTCGAAGTGTCCAGTAGCGGAATAGCAAGCTTCGGCCCTCCTTTGCCGTCACCAAGAGTTAAACCGCGTCGCTCGGCTGTAGCAAACACAGCGCGGTCCCGTCCAACGCGCGCCAATTCAACGTCCTGTGCGAACGCTTGGGAGATCAACGGGACGGCCGGAGGCTGAAGCGGCGCAGCCGGGCGAACCTGCGGACCCTCCAAAGTCGACGTCATTCCAAATTTACCGCGAACATTTTGCGGAGGCGGTGTTGTACTTCGAACTGCTGCGAGAGACCGCTCCACCGCTGGCAAAACCGAAAATGCGGGTGCAGTGAGGGTCGCGGTACTGTCGCCCGGCGAAGCCGTTCGCTTCGAGACCTGCTGCGTCCGCTTGAGATCCATTTCGGATATCTGTCCGAAAACCTTTTTGTTCAGGCCTTGCAAACGGGTGGACTCCAGGATTTGATTTCCGCTGTTTAGCCGTCTGTTTGTCGCTACCAGACCGCGGGCGTGTGGTGGCACAATCTTAAGTCCGCCGGGAGCATTGACGCCCGACGTCACACTCATACCCAGTTGCTGTTCCACCCGTCGTACGCCAGTCGGTGTAAGCACGTTGCTGGCTCTGGATGGTGCGGCCGCTATAGCGTCACCCTTCTTCCCGTTCCCGCTTTCCAGTCCGACACGAATGATACGCGAACCTCGGGCAACAGCTTTGGTTTCTTCTTCGCGTCCGCTGAGTACCTGGGCATTGTACTCCGGCACCAAAATCGTCCCGCCTTTCGGGCCTGGAGGTAACCCGGCGGTGGCTTTCGGTGGTCGTGCAAAAAATGGCGAACCGCCTTGGTGCGAAACCAACTCGCGTATTGCTAGGGCAAAGTGGCGGCGCGTCCCGAAATTTTCCAACCCAAGAGTCTCCAGTTTGCTCTCGTCAAACTGAGCTAGTGCGGCGCCTGTGATATCAAGCCCGGACAGCATCTCTAGAATGGTCTCCCTCTGTGGCAGTTCAGGAAGGCTGCGCACCCAGTTTTCGACCTGAGCAACAATTTTCGAGATGAGGAAAAATCACGCCGAAATATAAACTCAAACTAACTACTTACACCTTGAGCTTCCTTCTCCTGTCAACATACTTTTATCAAATCATTCGGATAGATATTAAGTGGTTTTGCTAAAACGGTCTACTTAGCAAACCACAAGGACAAAGATTTACATCTGCCTCCGTCCACTGGGCTAACGGCTTGGTTGCGTGCTCCATATCATGCACGTGCCCACCCTCCAGGGCGTTCACATCCAATCCCTCTTCCTCCTGCGAAGAGCTTAGCCCATCTGTCGCTAATGCGTGCACTTGCATTCCAATTTGTTCAAGCTGACGAATCTTTGCCACTAGGTCCTTGCGTACAGCTTCTAATGCGCTCTCTTCGTTGCGGTGGACGACGGCGTATATCTGCTTTTGGGCTGAGCGCACCATGAGGCCAACCACTCCTTGGATCACCGGGTCATCTGCGGTCTCGTCGTAGAGTTCGTACTCCTCATCTGCTAGTACGGTGGCTAAGGAGTCGCTAAGACGCTGCAATGTCTCCTTGTCCATCGCACAGCTCGCCAAAAGCCGCACGTGAGCGAGGAGTTCTATTTAAGTATGTAGTAGGCTTGAAACCATTGAAGTGGAAATCAGATTCTAGCGATCGCGTCAAATCATAAACATGTCGTGGCGTGATAGACGTGATCATGGCTGTAGGATTACGATTACGAATCTGCGAATACAAGAATCTGTAACCGAAACAAACTTTTGTACCAGATTGCTCCCGATCTGGATCGTCTACAAATACGCTTCCTAAGACGGTCCGGATTTCAGTCTTCGTCAAGGACTGGTAGTGAGATAAGACGTCAAAACTTGCATCTGCGAGTATGCCCCGGACCATTTTTTTCACTCGGTCGGTCTTGAATCGAAGCTCCGGGTAAGTGTTACGTAGTAGACCCTCCAGCCTGTCAGAAATTGTTGGATCCATAATTCTAACAAAAACAAGACAAAAAATATGAACATGTGAAGTTGAGGCGTCTATACAGATCGATGCTCAGTGACAGTTCATGCTGGTGTCGTCTTGTTTCAGTGGATGGTAGATGATATCGCAAAATCGAGGTAGCGACCCAGCCACAAAGACAAGTGATGAAGGGAAGGCGATTAGTACTGAAACTGGTTTAGTACCTTGCAAGAATCTCGCGGCAAATCACTGCACAAGCATAATTGGGATCTAGCGGCGCACCTGGCCGCACAGCGTTGAATCTCATGAGCGCTAGAATTGCTGCATGAACAGAAGGCGACATTTCGTCTGGTGGCATGGCCTCTCGAAGCATCATGGTAACTCGTTTAGGCGGCAACTGTCCTAGTATTTGCGAGTCACTCACTGGTATGCCCGAAATGAGTGAAGGTCCCTGACTCGGGCCTAAAGCGGCTTCCTCGCTGACCAGAGCTTGCGTCGCTGCAGTGGGAACAACGTGGTCCTTGGATGTGGGCATAAACGTTACTGCTGATTGCAAAATTAGTGGTGTCTCTTAAAAGTGAACGCGATTCATAATAATTGCCGGCTACTCTAATCTTTCTGAGGACCCAAAAGTGAAACAAAGCGAAAAAGGTATTTATCATTTACGATAGCAATATACTGTAACTAGTAAGCCTAAGATAAGTCGTGCCGAAAACTTACAGGCATTGCAAAATTGATGGCATTGAAGTTGAACATGAGCTATTAAGTCCAGCTTAACAACAGGTTCTCCTCCTGAGCTCCTGTGCCTCGTCCCGGGTTAAGCTGAGGGACCCCGTGCCTCGGAGAAAAGGCGCCCACACTATTCGCATTAGGCGACAAGGGTGCGGGCTCCACTGCGATTTTTCTGTGTGCGAAATTTGGTATTTGCAACGGGTGTTGCGTCCGCCAGACCTGCCTGCTGCCGTCCCGGAGTAAAGCGGGCTTCCCCGCAGCGACGACCACGGGAAGCTCTGATGACATTACCTGACTCAAAATGCTCTTCTTGCCTGGCGCTGGAGCGGCCGACGCGGACCGCAGAAGATTTGCCGGGGCGGTCAAAGCAAACGGGTTTTGTAATCTGCCTGAGCCTGGTGCGCCCCCCTGTGTAGTCGAACTAGGAGGTCGCGCCGCGAGACCCCCAAGGAGGGACGGTGCTCCTACGGACCGCGACAGTGGATCCATTTGTGGCACGGCTTGCAGCGCTCTGCCCCGATCCTGTGGCTGCGCTCGTGCAGAGGATGTCATCGCGCCTCCCAATTTCACACCGCTAAGGCTAGCCTGCATCCCAAGTTTCACGTCCTCTGGCGCAACCTTCACCTTCAATTCCTGACGCGCCACGTGCGTAATATGACCCAGGAATGCATCACTTAGCACTGGCATCTGCTTCAGCTCCGCCTCCCGCGCCAACGCCGCTTGCCGGATGTGCTCTTTCGCGGCCGCCTGAGCCTCTTGCAACTGATCATGGATGGGCCTCAGTCGCGGCAAGCTCAATGCCCTTCGAGAACCTTGCACGCGAGCTTCAAACGCTTCCCGAATGCGTGCAGTCGTCGGCATGTCGTCGTCAATCTCGATCAACGACTTCTTCTGCTCATTGCCTGCTTCCGCCTTGGCGCGAGCACTATTCTCGGACGAGTCGGGACTTCCTCCTCGCAAAATGAAAACAAAGAATTAAGCTAGCCTTGTTGTCGTATCAATGAATTAAGGTAAAGTCAGGCTCAAGGATAGAATCAAAATGCAAAATACACCCGAGTAGTTAGGTCTGTCCTCGAAGTGGATTGACAACGACTTGTGATCACGAGGAGGAGGAGGACCTTTTGCAAACTAGTTCAACATGATCCATAAGTGTATTCATCTCGTTCGCGGCTGCTTCCGATGCCGCTTTAGTGGAAGCAACGCCCTGCTCAGTGTCGGTGCTGCCTCCGCTACAACTGGCACTGACCACACGACCACCTTGCGCAGCCTCTCCCTCAGTCTCAATCCTCATCCTCTTTGCTACTTACACTTCAGGACGAGGAAACACATTAAAACGACATTTTTGGACAACAACTACATAAGGATTATCAGAGAATCATAAATCCGCATGCTGCATTCCGAGGCGTGGGTAGAGAAAGAATTGTTATTATAATTATAATGGCCACGAATAAAACAATCCTTCTACTGCCACTTATTGAATGTACACAAAATGAATTCAGATGGGCGAACCAGAGGCTGAGAACGGTGCTCCATAGCGCAAATTTAAAGGCGCATCGGTATCCTGCATGAATACAATTAGGTACCGATATTGGCGCTGAGGGCCTAAAGAACCGATTTTGCCAAAACCGAAACCGATGGATCAGATGACATTAAATTCAAGACCAACTACACCAAAGATACCGATATTAGCACCACCATAAAAGCCTCGTCGATGGATACTGGAGAATGAACCTAAACTCATGAATTGTGCGGGAAATCTGTTCAGGTATATACCTGAGTCCTGTTCTTCATAAATAAGCCTTCCTCATTACTAGGTTTGCTAATATGCTTCGCGCGCTCGTGACGCGTCTGTTCATTGCTTGAGCATCAACATGAGTTACGTATCTTTCTATGAATATCTTCGCGATTAATTCGCCCATGCGCCTTTCTTGGAAATTCAAACTTCTAAACAGCATCAATTGTTCTCATCTTATCCATCCGAGCATTATGATATTGATATGATAATAGTCATACGCAACTTGTCAGAATGAGGTAAAGTACAAAGTTCAAACATTATGGTAAAATCTGGTAAGTCTTTGATGTTATTCATATTACTTTATGCGATGAACTTGAATATGACGTATGCGTTTATACTTTACGCAGTCCCCTGATGTGCAGATAACCAACGATCTCTATTATACAATTACAGTTCTTTTACTCAATGAAAACTACATGTATGATGTGGCTCGAAGTTACAATCAAGAACTAGCTTTGTGATTATTTGAACCTATTCTAGAATCAGTGTCTCTACGCTGTGCATCTATTCGTTTTGGTTATAGCCATAGGCGTAAATACGAACAAAATCAATCGAAACCGTGTGAGGCGCGCCAAACTACATCATCGCCAACTCGTCTTCATTATAAAATACAGAACTTCAAGATTTCCCTTCACTCTATAGTATAATCATGCTTTTTGAGTTGTCCTAGATGTCCCGGCTTGATGTCCTCGGGCCCATTGGTCACCAATTCGGCATTAAAAGCCTTGGAGAGAAAAAACAACACTATTAAAATCAAAACGACAGTCACTACCTAGAACAAAATTGAAGTCGTTCCATCGCAGCTTCCTACTTAATTGCTTCCTCCGCATCCGTTCCCCACGGCGGCACTGACGCCCCTAGGCTGCCCTTATACGCCTTAGGGGGTAGTACTACTGCCACCTCTTTACTGCAGTCATTAGAGCCAATACATCGCACATGCTCTTCACAGCTGTGGGAACTCATTTCTGTTTCTAGACTAACCCGGAACGAATATAAGCAACCCTCATGAAGCAGCCACGAGGAAATAACCACTGCGAACTACAGTCATATCGTTACTTCCCTCATGACCCTCGAGTAGTTGTCCAACTTGATCATATAAACCGCCATAATCTTTGGAGTTGCGTGGCGACTATTGGACAGCGCCTTGCGGACTTCGTTCAAAGCACGCATCCCCTTTAAACTCTCCAACAGCTTCGCTCGTTGTTGCGTTGGTAATTCTGCAAGGTAGTTGCCACAGTCTTTCTCTGACAGGCTTTGCAACACTTTACCCGAAACATGCTGTTTTCGTAGCAACACTGAGCACTCTTCTCCGACTGTAGCCGCGGCATATGCACATACCTTATTGATGAACCGAGGGTGAGGATAACAGACTCCTCTAGTAACATCAGCATCATCACTAATCCAAGATCGAAATCTTGTTGGTTCGCTATAACTAGTTATAAATTCATTTCAATGGAGTGCATGCATTGGAATGCGACTATCCAGTTCATGTTCAGGTACATCTTCCACGCTCCATTTCCGCATTTCACGCGTATGCCAAGCCGGTACGAGATCGATGAAGCTCCCCGTCAATGATAGCATGTCGTCATCTGTATTCACGCCCACGTCGCGATGATTGTGCGGCTTCAAGTTCGGTCGTAAGATTCTTATCGGTGACCCGAGGCTTACGGGCGGGACATATTTCTCAGGACTGAGTGACTCCTCCACTATGCGAACCTCTGGGCTCGTGGAAGTCGCGGTCGCCCGATCCTGTACATCTCCTGGAAATGCACTTTATTTTAGAACTATATTTTCACTCGAAAAGCATCTAGCTTGTTTCATCAGCGAAGGGGAACACGTGCTGTACTAATTCGAATCTAAGTGGAAATCCTTCTTGCGGGTAAAACTAGAGATGTTGCCATTTTCATTCTACATAGCAGAATATTAAAGAGCAAAATAAAAAAGCAACAACGTCTCCTCCAATCTCTCAACCACACGCTCCCGAACCAAAAACACCTGAACCAAGACACCCACACAACAAAACCATGAACCTCTCTATGAACCTACGAACCTACCTAGAAACCTAGGAACTTACGGACTGGACTCGTGAACTTATGAGTATGAACTTACGAAGTTCCGCCTACGCCCTACGCATAACCAACCACGGCCGCAGGCGATTCGGATTAAATTCTGTAAGCGATATAGTCAAAAGCTTTGCTATTTTGGGCTAAAAAAGTATGAAGTTTTCCGATTTTATCAGCCAGAATCAAGCTCAAAACCTTTCAAATTCAAAAAGTCGACCCCGAAACCCCAAGACCAAGACCGCAAGCCCAAGGCCTCAGGTGTGGCATGTCATTGGACTACGGTCACGACCCTGGCCAACACGCTGCCCATGATTTGCAGCCAATCACAGCTACAGGCGACGCTTTTGAAATTCTAAGCCACAAGAAAATCAAAAATTTTACTATTTCTGGCTAAAATAGGAAAATTTTTGACTTTATCACCCGAAGCGACATGTCAAATTTTTCAAATTCGAGAACTCAACCCCAAAACCTCAAGAGTGGCTGTGGCATGTCATTCGCCTACGATTGCGACCGCGGCCAACACGCTGCCCATGATGTGCAGCCAATCGCGACCACAGGCGGCCCGGGTAAAACTCTAAGCGATAAAGGTCAAGAGTTTGCTATTTTGCGCATGGGCTAACGTTCCAAGTTTTTTCATTTTATCAGCCGCGATCAAGTTTCAAACTTTTCAAATTAATTCAAGAACTCGACGCCAAAACCACAAACCCAAGGCCTCAGGCGCAAGGCTTCAAGCCTAACACTTCGAGTCCAAGACTTCGAGCCCAAGACTTCAAGTCCAAACCTTCAAAGCCAAGACCTCAAGCCCAACACTTCAGCTCCAAGCCTTCAGGCCGAAGGCTTCAAGGCCAAAGCATAACATCCAAGATGTGAGGCCCAAGCCTTCAGACCCAAAGTCTCAAGTCCAAAACTTCAGACAAAACCCGCCAAATCCAGCCACGCTTTGAGCCCAAAGCTTCAGCTTGCAAACCCAAAGCCGCAAAACCCAAGCGCCGAGCCCGAAGCTTTACGCGGGCGTAGAGCTTCGCTGAAGCTCAAAGCTTCAAACTGAAAGCCACGAGACCCCGTTCAAGCTGCAAGCCAAAAGCTTCAAACTTCCCCAAGATAGAAGTGAAGTCTCCACCCCAAAAAGCTGAAGCGTAAAGGTATGACGCACACTTTGATAATGACCGCGCCGCTTCCAATAAATCCAAGAACTTGCACTATATTCAAAAGCAGGCAAACTCTGAAACATCTCAAAAACCTGAGAGAGGCGGCCTCCTGCCCCGACTCCTCTTCCGCGGATCAACTCCGCCCAGAAAGCGTCGCGCCCTGGCGGAAGAGGAGGGGGGGGCGCGTCTTGACGGAAGAAACGCCTGAAGGAGGTGGAGGGTTCTAGTGCTGGGAGAGCTATCGGGCGCTGGAGTCTACTAATATGTAAGGCCTGCCAGGTCGCACGGCATGGGGTGCATGGTTCGCATGGAGTTGCATGGAGCTAAAGGGGGCGCTTCTTGCGTCCCTTATGGGTCTGCGCTCCATGCACTCCATGCGCCACGCGTGGTATAAGCTATAGGTCAGTCTTAGACATAATTTAGGACTTTGCGGAGATGTCTGTTTCGGACTCGGCGGCAGGATCGGCCTTGGAATCGGACGCAAAGGTGATGCAAAGCGCAGTGGGCATTCGTAGATAAGCCGCTTCGTTGCAAGGCCGGATGGAGGAGACAGGGCACCTGGTGGAATGACCACAGAAGCTGGTGGGATGACCACAGGAGCGCCTTCATCTGGTATCTCATCTGGCGGGGTGACTTCGCCTTGTTTAGATGATGACGTCGTCGTTGCAACCACGCGAACATTCGAAATTGCAGTCAGCAACAATGTCTGCGATCCAGGAGGTGGCTTCGTTGCAGGCGAAGCAGGAGAAGTACTAAACGCTGCTGGACGTCCGACATTCCTCTGCACAAAGCTTCCTGCCAAATTCAAAATCCCAAGAACCGGATTCGGCGGGACTGCAGGCGAGACGAAGCCGCGTGCCTCCACAGGCGGTGTTTTGCTGGAAACTGCGCTTGAAAGAGCACGAGCAGGTCCTTTCGCCGCGCCACTACCGTCAAAATTCACGGTTGCTTCGCTCGCTTGATCCGGGTCAGCAGTCGCCCGACCGTCTTAGGTTAGCGGTACCCAGTGAGTTGGCACATCTATCTTCGCCCATATCCATGCCCTTCATCCGCCTTGACAAAGCAATACATAGATATGCGCATAGAAAAATATGCCATATTGAAACCCGTAATAGCACGTCGGACAAACTCAACGTCGGCACAACTACAATCTTTTGCTTCGTCGCATCTATCGTCCGCCGTGTGCCTCGTGTGGGGTCTTTAGAAAACTATAACTAACTATGCTAGCCGTGCCTATCAATACCTTCGCCTGAAGAACGTTCATGATCATCACATCTTCGGTAGTTCATCCTTCTCTAGATAGTACCGGTGAAATCTATTGGTAGGGTAATCGAAGGCTCGAAATCAGTCCTCTACTTGCAGTTGCAGGCCGATTGAATACGATGGACCACATGGATATCTTCACCTGATCCCTCATCAACCGTGCCTCTAGTTCAACTTCACCACATATGTGATTATGAAAGTTTCATCATCATAACCGCAGCGGCGCGGGCATCAGCTTCAGACAACGAGCTGTATGTTGGAGAGGTGCGCAAGACATTTCGTGGGCGAGCCGCGCGTATAGTGGAATTAGCTCTAGCTCTGGACCCAAGCCCACTCTCGCTTCGCTTCATGTTGCTCCTTGCCTTTACCGCCTCAGCAGCGGTAACAGGTACTACTTCCTCTTCGTCCCCCCCGTGGGCTGCTGATGTGCTCTCCTTATCTGTTGCTCTCGTCGCCCTTGTTGCTCTCGTCGCCCTTGTCTGTCTTGCCTCATTGAGGTGACGCGCAGTCACCCCAGTTCTTCTGGTATTTGGCGTAATTTTTCTGGTAGCCCCTCTATTTGCAATTTCAGTATTTGGCGAGGAAGTTGCTTTTTGTTTTTTTGCCGCACTGATATAATCAGACAGGCCTCGTTGTCCAACCGTCTGGTCGTGGTGTTTGCAGGCTTCGATATCAATTTCTTCCGCATCCGGATCCGGACCAGTTTCTCTACCGGCTTTCTCGGGTGCCCACCAACCAGTTCCTTTTCCTTTGCTAGAGTTTGATTCATGAAGATGATCATCAACCGCCATTGCAGCTCCTCCTGTTCCTGGACTTCTTGGTGTTTTTGGTGAGGCCGAGACGTTGTCGTTTGTTGACATTTGGCTTGGCGAGCCCTTCCTCGTTTTACTGTCCGATCTCGGCGATCTCGAGGGTGAAGCAGACACTGTCACCTTGAGTTAGGGCTAACGCAGTGATCGCATCCTTCTTCGGATCCCTGGCGCCTGTGCTTTTCCTTTGGGAAAAGGTCGGGAATCTCGTCCTTGAGGATGCGTCAGCGGATGTAGCCATAATTTAGAAGACCCTTTTTGTGCAGGTGCCTCCTCGCACGCGCAACGTGTATTTTCTCCTCCACCAGTGTCTCCATGTTACTTTTCATCTCTTTCTCGATCTTGGCCTGCTTTCGCTGGTGCACAATTGCTTCATGACTTAACCGGATTCCTCCTGAGGTCGGAGACGGAGGCCCAGGTTTCGCGAGACGCGAAAGGGATCGTGGGCTAGGCAAACTCGTTGAAGAAAGCTCCGGAGCGGCACCGCTCCTTGCTTCTTCACTCATTTGCTGAGCACGTGGAGACAAAGCGTTGGCCATCCAATCCCGCAACACTCTTGGCGAGGTTGGTGATGCACCGGGTCGTGATTCAGCTACATTCTCGACGCTAGGATCTGGCATTTCCTGCTGGCCTTGTTCTTTTATTGTGCCTCGTGGACTAGTGGAGACCTGGCGCTCGAGGGTTCCGTCCACTCCTCTCTTTCTAGGGACGTGCTTCACGGCTGCGCCTGGCCGTTCCGGCAGTGAGAAGTATTCTGATGTCGGAAGGTCCTCCTTTTCCGCCTCTAGTTTTCCTATTTCTGAAACAGTACTATTTTTACGAGCGTCCAACGAAGATGTCTTTGCAGCAAACCGCAGCGCAAAGAGAGCGCCAGACTTAGATATTGATCAGGAAATGCTTGTTTCATCTACATCAACAAATTGGTCTATTTTCTTACTCGCGTATGGGTTCCTGCGGCCGGAATCAAATACCGACTGATATGAGCAACTGTTCGATAGTCCAATGACTGAATCACATCCAATCAAGATTTTCAGCGAAGATGTTGTGGAAAGGAATTAGCGACGCATTTTTGGTGTACATATATTTTATAAGTACGGAACAAGCCACGAGCTAATGGAGAAGACGACCTTCATGTTTTCCCGATTCTCGTAAGTTCTGCGGCGGAGTTTTTGCGGTCGCTCTGCCGTCCAGCGGCTGTCGTGGTTCTTGGGAGGCCGGCAGAAGCCGGAATTGAAGTCCGGTTCGTCATTCTTCTCAACGAGTTGCGGATCTCGCGCATCGCGGCATGCGCGGTTGTAGTCTGCGACCCCGCATCCGGCTGCTCCTCCTTCCGCGCATCATAGGACTGCAATACTTCCATAGCCGCGCGCAACGTGTGTTCTGAGGAAACGTGCGGATTATCAAATGCACCTTGGTGCAAAAGCCGCGCGGCCGTTCCGCCGCGACCTGACAGCCGCTTCTGCGCCTTCTCCGGCGAATCATAGAGTGGCGAAACAGTTCGTTTTCCTTTTGGAGGTGATGGAGTCCGCGCGCGATTCTCCGCTAAGCTGCTCTTCTCGTCTCCTTTCCCTACAGAGACGGCCGGAGAGTCTTTAAAGCTCACCCGCATTGACGTCTTAGCCGGCGATGCTTTTGCCTTAGCGCCTACTTTACCCTTTCCTGGCGAGGATGAAGCACCTGGTAGATACCTTTTTGACGGTACATAGACTACGGGTTTTGCAACGCTCTTCTTGACGTGGCCTGGTGGCTTCTGCGGCGCCGAGGTGTCGCCCTCCGCGACTCTGCCACGGACGTCGGCCACTCCTTGTTTTCGCTCTGCTCGCACGCCGTGCCGTACTTGAGATACCCGCTCAGTCATTTCCTCCATGCGGTTGCGCAGTTTCGAAAGCTGTGGGGAAGAAAATCTCTTTTGTCCACTCGGATGTTGAAGTAACGTCGAAACCATGCGCCCATGACCTCGACGCACGTTTAGAGCTTTTCCTTTTTTTGTTGCCTACTTGTCTACAAACTCACAAACATTTACCTATGTGAACTTGAATCGGGGGCCTCTCCCGAACCTACGGACCCACGAGCTTCGGTAGAACCCTTGGTCTCTTTTGACGTACAGTCACACTCAATTCAGAGCTACCAACTGCAAGAAGCAACGTCAAGTAGATGAGTATTCTATCATCTGAAGCAAGGAAAATTGACCGCGAGTATTCTATCATCTGAAGCAAGGAAAAATGAGCGCATAACTCGTCGCTAGTGACGGATGACGAAACCGGTGACGGCGGCGTTGGTGGCGGTGTTGGCTCACGGCTATCCACGAATACAATCTCAGGATCGGATCGCAGGTCCTCGATTGTTGTCTCGTCGAAGTAGAGAAAACGCGGGTCCATAGAACGCTTGAAAACCACCGCGAAAATGACAAGGCCCTCACCTGGGGAGTTTGTCAAAGCATTTTGCGGCGAAGAAGGACTACGTCGACGATTTTTCAAAACGACAAAATCAATGAATAAGCTCTTCTAACGGCAATGCAATCATGAGGCTTATCATGCATCGCCAAAGTAAAAATGCTGTCCACCGCATTATGTGGAAAAGAGATCATACTCGTGAATAATGAAATGCTGCTAGTAAATCCAAGTAAGACACAGCACTGCATTACGATTCCAGGTCTGTTTCGGCTTCTTGATCATGTCGCCTAGGAGTTCTTTGAGATATACATCAAGCCCCGGATCGAGTGTGTCCAAGCCGTATTTGTCAGTAGTACCATCTTGTGTTGGATTATTTCCTGTAACCGTCTTCACCTGCTCTGCATCTGCCTCTTCGTCTTCAGCGAAGACGATGCGTTTCCCGCTTACTACCCGACGGATGCTTGCGATGCGCTTCTTGTGTGTGGCCTCGATGCTTGACCAGAACTCTCGCTCGTAGCAGAGACGAAAGGAGTAGCCATCGAACAACAGACATCCCCTCTTGCGCACGCCCTTGCAGAAGCCACGCATCGCAGGCATCAGTCCGAGTTTCTGTAAAGCTTCCAGGGAAAACACTGAACTTGCGGACACTCTATGATGGGGCAGCACATTTGCGCTGGGCCGTTGCGCTGAGTTGCGTGCCGTAATCGTGGTTTCCTGCATGAAGAAATGCGACGAGACAACTATAACAAGATGTACTTTTCCTTGAAGACTTACCTCATCTAGCTGAGAAGCTCATTTTTGATCGTGGGTCGCTCAACGACAACCCTAATATCCAATTGCAACAGCGCGTAGAAATAAGTTCAATTCTACCAGGTGATCTTTGAGCTCTCGACAGTGGATGAAGTCCCAAAGCTGCCGGCAAAGTTCCAGTATGCCTCTCTGTTCATCTGTGTCGACGCGCGGCGCAACATGCCTCGTAGGCGTCGCAGCTGCGGAACGGCGTACGCCATCTTTGTCCCCCGCAAATGTGTTCGCGGATTCGTTAGGATCTTTTGCATCTAGTAGCTCACGACCACCTGGACTGCCAACAACCGTGTCGTCGTCTCCTATGTTGTAATATAAGGTTCCCACGCCGGCTGCTCCTTCTCGTTGCTCACTAACCTCGTCCTCACCCATCGCACTCGCTTCCATAGATTTGATGCTTTCCAGCTGCACGGACTCGTCGCCTACTGTTTCTTCTCGCAGAATCTCAACGTCACCGGGTGGAAACTTACCTGTCGCCGCGTCCGAGGCGAAGAGCATCGGCCTCTTTGTGCCTCCAGGTGATGTCCAACCCTCTTCTTGGCTCACATTCGCAGTTTTGCTCTCCACCAATACGTCATTTTCTGACTCGACGACTATCGAAACTCCAGCCGGAGCAGGACACTCCTCGTCGGTCGAAGTTGCGTTGCTGCTGCTGGACGGAGCAGTTGCTGGCCGTCCCCCGCAAACAGCAACGACAAAACTCGCCATGATTGGTTGTATGACGGCAGCAAGAGCTGCATCAAGATTTCTAGGCCATCTTCGTTATGATCTTTTAGTAAGTTGCGGGGTTTGGATTGAAAGTCAGGTGGATCCAAAGAAAACTCGTAAGGTCTGACTCGATCCAGAGCGTGGTGGATCGCTAAATATCAATCTAACTACTTACTTATCAAGCTAGATAAGATCCAAGCCGTAGATATTAGTAACTGTCAAACTCATGATACTGGTGCTCACACAATCACCAAGAAAGGGTGTAGTATGGAAGTTACGAAGGCCTGATTAGTGACAAGGATGCTTCACTCGACGCTTTGACTTCAACTGCGCGAACCGATGTTACTTTTGAACCGATTTCTCAGGAGACATTTTTGAAGTAATTAGACCGATCCAGTGAGCTTCTCATCGCGGATCCACGAATGCTGCCGACAGACACAACAGATTCGGAGTGCAACAGAAGATGCCGGCAATGTGGTTATTGTAATGCTTTCTGAGCCAGTTCCAGAAGTTTAGGGTCACGAACCGTTCAGAGGACGCAAGATAAATGCCTCAAACCGAAACGAATCAACCGCGCTGACTTTGTTTGAAACATCATACGTAATGACCTCGATGTGAGCGAGGTTTAAATAACCCGCTAGAAAATGAACACTGACGGGGCGTCAAAACAGGAAATTGTTACTCCGTTCGATTGAACGTTATTGAAAGGGACCTCTCAGGGAAATCGAGTTCACGATACTTGGTAGTGTAGCTCTATAGTTGAAGAAAGACCGCAGGGACATGCGGCCCAGGCACGAGCAATGAATAGGTAATGCTGTTAACCTAGAAGCGGAGACTATCTTTTAAACCATGGTCTTCCCGGTTTCCCGGGCTGCAAGAACATCAATCATTTCACCCACTTGACCTGCGAAATTCACTACCTCCGCAAGCTCTTTCGATAAAGGACGCACGTGCGCGTCGCCGAGAGGAAAACCCATGGTCCACAACGACTTTCTGATCATGTCCTCTTGTAGTTGATCATCCGCATGTTTCCAGTGTGCGAACCAGTGTGTTTGCTGGGCAGGAGCATTTTTGTCAGCTTGTCCTTCCTGGTCACCATCGACAACTTGCCTGCGACGATAAACTTCAAGCATTTGCGCACAACTCGTTATAGTCGTAGTCCCGGCGTCGCGTCCGCTCCACGCGGACGCACCAGCATCTTCCAGAAGAGAACGCACATAGGGCGCAAGGTCGCGAAGCGAAAGCCTTATGGGCTTTACCCTACTCTGCGATGTGTCAGCGCTCGAGTCTCTTCCGGTCTCTTCGGCATCGACCGAGGGGCGTGAAGACCTGCTACTTCGACCAGTTGCTTTCACTGAAAACCCCGGCAAAGTCTCGTGAAGCGAGACTGCTGCGACGAAGATTCCGTCACTTACACTGTTGCGGCCCGAAGCGGGACCGTAGCTGTCGTCGTTGCGTCCAAAAGCGGTGACATATGATGTATGATCGTATCCTAGATGCGCATCCTCCCGCGAAAAGTGGATCTCCGCGATGGCGTCCTCCTGTCCCAATTTGGTCTGCTTATCCTCGATAGCACTTTTTTTCGATGACGTTGCATGTCGATCTTTGAGCACCGCGAAGACTTCAAGCATGTCGCGCGGCCCGCTCGTAAAGCGTCGCGTCCCGTGGCGGGTCGGTCGGAAACCCAGAGCGACCAACGCGCAAGAAATCTGATCTTGCATGACCTCCGCTCGGGAACAGCGAAGCTGCACACGCTCGCCGGAACTATCGAGCGAAGACATCAGTTCTACATCGATGTACGGCGACAATTTTCCCCTGGAAAGCAAGTGTTAGCGCGAAAAGCCAGATACTTGAAAAATCAGAATCATACTTAAGTACAACAACTGAACTGCCAACAAGAAGGAGAGAAGCAATTTCAGTACATCAATATGGCACACAATAATTTCTACCATGCTTGTAGTTCATCCAAGTGAAAATCTCAAGGCTAGTGAAGAGAGACGAGAAATCCGTGTCATATAATTTCTCCCAGTGCCGGTATGAGCGAACCGTCTCGTTGGTAAATTGCTCACAGTCGCGCGCTCGAGACGCACCGGCACTCTTCCGACTGAGATGCAGCACAGAGTAGCGCAATTCTGGTAGTATACGGTCCCAAAGTGGAGGCTCTGATTTTCGTTTTGGTCTTTTTCTACTGCTAAGTCGTTCATCTACCTCTGCTTCCGCATCGTCGGCCCCTGACATTATCGCTCCGGGGTCAGGGCCATTTTCGTCCTCTGGTAGCGCCTCGCCCTCTGCCATGGATGAGCGTGGTTGAGAGGAGGAGCTGCCAGGGGCGCCTCCGCTGCCAGGCGCATCCACGACGTAATCGCCCTCGTCTTTGCCCGTGCCGCCATGCAAAAATTTCGGCTTGTATCTGTGTCCTTCGGCGGGCGGCGCACCCTTGAGACGATGTGCACGGCGGGCTAACACTTTGACACGACTAGCGAGCATTTCCAGACGGTCCTCGCGTTTTGCATCTCCCGTTAAGCCGCAGTCCGCGTGCTGTAGAACCCAAATGATCTCTTGCAGTACACCTGACATTGTGAAGAAGCGTACTCCATCCTTGTAACCAGCTTGATCTCGCCCTTCCATAATCAAAAACTCGTCACATGCTTCCCGCAACCCGTCAATCTTCTTCAGTATTTCATGCTCGGATTTCTTTTTCGATGCATCCGAAGAATCAGCAGCGGGCTTGGTCATTATATCACAATACAAATTACCACGATTTCTTCGAAAGCATTGCGCCACCTCCTCCATCGCGTTTCCAACACGCTTTTCCACCTTGTTCTCTGTGGCGCCATCAGCTGGACTTCCACCGCTATCCGACATTTTGTCTTAGGCTTCTTTCTAACTGATTGATACGATATTTATAGCTAAACCTTAAACGTATCCGTCGTTCTTTCTCCATGCAGTCATCCTTCAAAAGTAAAATCTACGGGCTTATTGAAGGAGCTAGAGCCACTAAGAGAAAGAGGATCAGAATGGTCGACATGAACCAGAAGAAGCTACTGGTGAAAATAATTCTCAAGGGAAGGCATGCAGACAACTTGGAATAGCGAAACGATCCTAGTATCGCTTTCAATGCATACACAGAGTTATCAAAGGGGCGCCTCTTCCTGTCGGAGTTACTGCTGCATGATGAGCAAGAAGCGTCAAGTAGAAATTGAGCATCTGCCGATTGCGGAGCGCTGCACGACCGAGGGGTCTTTCAGATCGATAATTTGCCTCTCAGGACAACCAGACGCATCGGTGAAAGACTGATAGTTCTGCTCAGACGGAAATGCCTCAACTAGTATCTGACAGTCGCATGACAGATCATTGACGGGCGTCCTCCCTCTTTCTTTACAGATTCCAAGATGTGTAGATCGCTCAGCCTGACAGAAGACGAGAAACACTGCGGTCACAGAACGTCTCCTCCTCGCTGCACCGAATGATCGGAAGTCACTTCTTTGCTTAAATACTTACACAGACGCTAAATCACGAGCAGCGATATAATTCGCTCGTTCCACGGCTCTCTGATGGTCACGGATGGATGGAACACCAGATCTGTGGATTCCAAAAACGACCATGCTTGTCCTTGGCGCCTGGCATCGACAAGAGATACTTTTCTGCATGATCACAAGTACGTGCTGTAAAACGAAATCGTATTTTTTTATGCACAGTTTTTCCTTGCTCCCGAAACTGAAAAAAAATGCAAATGTTCCAATGGTAAGGATTAAAGACAGATCGCCAAAAAAGTTCTCTAAGTGTCAAGACTCCGTACTTCGGTGCATAAGTAACAAATTTTGTACACATTCTTTGTTTAATAGTCATCAAGTAAGTGGTTGCTCCTCCGTGGTTCAATATTGTAGGAGCCTTTTCTTACCGGATGCCAAGGAATCGTGACCACGACTGAGAGGCAATCGAGCCGCAATCTCGAACTTCTTTGGTTTTTGTGAGAGTGTCCGATATAGGCTTCCACCGCGGCTGCTTGCCGTTTCCTTGCTGTTACCTCTCGAAGAAGCTCCTGTTATGCTCCTTTGCTTGCTCACTGACCGCGACTCGGAGGGGCTGCGTGACTGTTGAATCTTCGACGTTACCGCGCCTCGGGATGAAGGTTGGTAACCGCCTGATGCCACCCCTCCCGCCGACAGCATGCTTTTGCGCTCTCGAGATTGGCCCCGCACTGCGTAAGTGGGCGACGCTGCACGCACCGGTGCATTCAGCGGATTCCGGACCGCCGGACTGAGCTCGCCATATCGTTCTGGATGCATCGCCATGTAGGATATTCGTTTCCCCTTGCTGGCCTGCGTCTGTGAAAGGTAATGCTTGACGTTACCTCCACCAGAACTCGCGAGGCTGCCTTTGCTCGCCTTACCACCTCGTCCTTCAACGGAATCGTGGCTATTATCCCGACTTTTACTGCCAGCGCGTCGGCCGACGTGGCTGCTACTCTCCGATGTTGCTCCTGCCTCTATGCGTTGCGCAACACTTCCTTCGGCGTTTCCTCGACGTCTGCGACCTGCACTTGGGGTGTCTGACGAACGCGAGGAGTCTCGAGAGCTATTCCGGTCTTCCTGTTCTTGCCTCCTGCGTTCCTCCTCTATCAGTTCCCGTTGTTCTGCCAGCTGCTGCTGCAGCGCTCGCAGCTTTTCGTCTTTCACCTCCTTCAATTTTCCGCGCCCCTGCTCAAGATCACGCTCCGCGGCATTCAACTCCGCACGCCCACGCTTCACATCTCGCTGCAGACGACTTTCCGCTTTCATCCTTCGAAAATCACTCTCAAGCTTCGCCTTCTTGACCTGGATCTCTTGCTGCAACCTCTGCTGCATCATGTTCAACTCCGCTCGGGCTTCCGCCTGCCACCGCACCTCTTCTTCGCGTCGCAATTGCTTCAGTGAAGGCGAATTGCCGTTGTCCTTAGAATGCTCTTCTTCATCGCTCCAATCAGATAAGAGATCGTCCTCGGTGGAACTCGTTGAACTAGTCCTAGTCGTAGTTTTCTTGTCTCCATTTCCAGCTGAAGGCGTAGGCTGTTTCGTCTCAGGAAAGGCCGTGAAGGTCTTAGTTTCTTCTGTAGTCCAACCAGCTGGTGGAGCGACGACATCCGCGGATGACGACAGAAGCTTTTTCACGATGTCCTCCTCGAACTCCTCCCTCGTAGGTTTCGCGTCCTCCTTGTTTTTGCGCGCAGCTCGTCGCGCACTGCGTTTCTTTTCCTCGCGACGTCGATCGCGCTGCTCGAGGCGGTGCCTCTCCCGCAACTGCTTTTCAAGGGCTTCCTGCCGCGAAGCGATCTGAGCTAAGTGGCGTTGCTCGTGCCCACGAAGTTCCTCCAGGGCTTTCTCGCGCTGCACCTCGATGTCCTCGAGCTCGACGAAGAGCTGCTCTCGCAACTGCGCCACCTCAGCACGCTCGATCCAAGCCTCACGCCGCCGCTCTATTGTTTCCAGCACCGGGTTGCGACCGCGACTATTTCGGGATGCCGGAGGCGACGCTGGCGAGCTTTGTTCGTCCTTGTCACTACGCAAATCCAGGTCATACCGCACATTCGCGGGAGAAGCCTTGCTTGGCGTAGTCTTAGGCCGCCAAGGCGACTGCGAACTTTCCCGCCGCTTGTAGTCATCGTCGTAAGCGGTCAGTCCACGTCGGAAGTAGCTGTCATATTCATTGTTCATGTAGTTGTCCTCTACGAGGGACCCGTCCGCATTCGGCGTAGCATTCCGAGCAGAACCCGCCATCAAGGCACGCAATGGGGAACGTTGGGACGAGGATCCGACGCGTGAAAACGGAGGCGAAGGGGACCGTGACCGCGCACGCAACAAGTCCATTGCCAAGTCCTCTTCGTCCGCGACGTCGTCCAGAACAGCCAAGACCTCGCGCTTCCAACTTTTGACCATTCTCCCCATCCGGTGCGCGTCGCGCAGCGTGAGCTCCGTTGCCACTGCGCCACCGCGGATGACAGTGGTCGCTGAAGGCCCTTGTCCAGGTGGAGAAGCAGGAGAAGCGACCATCGCACTAGGCGACGTGGGCGAGCCAGGATGAGTACGCAGATCCATCGAAGAGGTCCCGCCGTCTGCCGGTCCCACACGGCTCCACGCCGCAGTACGTACACTTGTCGTGCCTGCCGTGCTCCCCTTCGAACTAATGTAGCTGACAGCGCCAGACTGTCGCGACATCATGGCATTATCCGGATGCATGCCAGGTATCATTGGTCCCTGTAATGCTGGCGCCTGCGCCGCTGGCGAACTTCGATTTGCGACCCCGGTCGCTTCATCAATTTCCTCTGCTATCTGCTCCGGCATGCCTGCGGTGGAGGATTTTGAACCCCCCGGAGCCACACTGTGACTTCGGCTCCGCGGATAGTTGTTTGCGAACCCATCGCCGCGCTCCTGGAGCCTGGAAACGTCAGACCGAACATAACGATTGTGACTCTCGTTAGACGGTGCCCCCTGAAACGTAGAACGTGCGACCTCCGACGGCAAAGACTGGCCAAGGCCCGTGTTGACGTCATCTCCGCCCGAGAAAGTGAGCGCGTTATTTGCAGGAGTTGAAAGCGCTTGATTTGACTCTTCGACGGGAAAGGTCCCAGGAAGGGCTGGCTCACCCAAATCCTGTGCTGCAAAAACATTTTGACCGGCAACCCAACTTGGATTGCGGTTACCCAATCTTGATCCCACTTTCGAAACATCCACCTGGGGGGTTGTGCGCGTCATTTTTCTGGTTGTTCTGGTCGACGTGTGTAGCTTAGCATCGGCCAAACTTACACTTTTCTTGTTCTGAATGGTAGACTTGGATGTCTTTTGAATCGAAGAAGCACCGCTGAAGGCAGTTGTATTGCGGCTATATCCACGATCGGGCGAATCAGAGACGAGGTCAATGAAATTGTCATCCCGGCCTAACTTTGGTAAACTGTTGGAGCCGTTCCTAGATTGCGATGCAGGACCAGCGCTTGTTTCTCGCGAACGCTTTCTGCCAGCCACATTGCGTCCTCCCGTAGGTGCACCTGTTGTTGTTCGACGTACGCGTGAACCCTCTGGAGCCGTGGCGCGACTTGCGTTGGGCTCTTTACTTCCGCCAGCTACCAGTGAAACGGGCTTCGGTGCTGCTTCTCGGGCTACCGCAGTTTCTCGTTGCTGAAACCGCTCTGCAGCTTCGTGATGCCGCGATCGGGTAGTCGCGCGCTGCTCTTTATGCTTGACTTTGTCGCTACTTTTCAGATCACGAAGTTGCAGCTCGGGCACTGGATTTTCAACTTCTCGCTCCTCGCCCAACAGCCTCGACACTTGCTTCTGCAGCTGGTCATACTTAGACTCTAGAACTTTCATGCTCTGTGGCCGTTTCGTGCTCTTCTTCTGTGAGCCAGATTGTCCTTCATCCGCGGCTTCGTTAGCACGACCTTCGCGGCCCTGAGACTCGCTGTTGTTAGAGCTTTCAGCGGTGCGAGGTTGGTTCTTATCAATGTTGGAATCATCATCGGTGACTGTTCGACTTGCGCCGTCTTTAGTTCCCGCATTCTGTCGAGAGGAACCCGACTTCTTTGTGCTACTTGAAGAAGCTTGGTGTGCCGTGCTGGACGGGTCAACACTAGGATCTATTTCCACCTCGCGAGCGCGTGAGAGCCGCGTGTTCCATTGCTCCTTGAATTCCTGCTGCAGAGCCTCCGCATCCCGAGTCATGTCCTCTCGAAGGCGTGCCACCTCATGTTCCAGCCGTTTCGTCTCCTCGGCACGCCGCGCACGATTCGCGGCATTCTCGTCAACCAGTGGTGCTAGTTCCTCTGGTCCTTCCGCTGCGTGTTTGAACGCCAACTGTCTACTTTTATGGGGCCCCCTTCCGAGAGGTTCTTCTAGACTCCTGGACCTTCTTGCATCGGGTTCCTGGAACCTAATTTCCCTGGAGTCGGTTCTTCGCTCTACAGGAGCTGCATCTGCTCCTACAACCGATGATGGATGCGCAGAGGTCGTCTTCGTTGCTTGAGTTGTAGTTCCAGCATTGACGTCTTTTACTGTTTTGCTGTTTTGTGTCTCAGCCAGCAAGGCGCGTTCTTCTTGAAGGCGAGCTGCGGCTCGCGTCAACTCCGCGACGCTCTCCTTCGCGTTTAGCGCTTCTTGAAGCAGTGAAGCCTGGACTTCATCCAGGCGCGCCTTTTCCATCGTTTCTAGTTGACTGCGCCGCGTCTCCGCGTCTATCTCCAGCTGCCGTCGTGTTCTCTCTACCGCTTCCTGGAGTTCCTCGCGGCGCCGCGCCGCTGCAGCCTCGAACTCAGCGCGCTCCTTCTCCGTTTTCTCGCCAAACTCCAACATCAATTGAGACCGCCGCTCCTCCATCTCGCGCAAAAGATCTGCTCTCATGGCAGCGAGCTCCTTCGATGTACTTTTTGCATCCATGATTTGCATATTGTTTTCTGCAGGCGGGTCCCCACTATTTTGGTTTTGCTGCTCGCCTTTAGCCATCTCGAGATTCCTGCGGCCATCTGTAGGACCTCGCGCGGAGGTGTCCTCCATGAATCCTGAGTCCTGTAGCGATGTGTCAGGTGCCTTAGAACTATCAATTGATGTGGACTCGACTGAGGGCGCCTCTACGGCCACTCTCCTCGCACCCTCCGCAAGAGCAAAAGACGCCGTTAGCACATCACCCGCAACTACTTCTGTATATGAACTGCTGCCCTCCCCAATCCCCTCCACAACGACAGATGTATCAGCTCCATCCTCTAATGGAGTCGCGCGGTCTGCGGTCTCTTCTAGTGCAGTTTCCAATGCATCAGTCTGCTTCGACGCTGATGCTTGAACTGCGGCGTCGCTCGCCCGTTGTGTTGAGTCCCCAGCGTCTGCCACTACAACTTGTTTTGACGCCGATGCAGTATTGTCGTCCGTAGTTGTAGTTTTGCTCCCGGACGAAATCGCGCTTTTACTCCGCGCAACTGACTTTCTTGCATCAGTCTCAATCATTTCGTCGAGGACCTGAGCCATAAATTCGAAAGAGTCGCGCTCCCGCTCTGTAGCGTTTTCGAGTTTAGATGAACCGCGGGAAAACCCCGACGATCCGCCGCTCATGCGCAAGGCCCCACTCCCACCAGTAGCACGCTGCATAGCTGCAGAGGACCGGAGCGACATGGCTCTTTGAATTTCGTCGAGAGCGTCTGTCGCCTCCTGACACTTCGATGCAATGGTTTCACCCTTGACGCTGGCAACCGCATCATTTCTATTGCCGTCCTCGATCTCCGAAGAAGACGGCAGCGGGGCCTCCACCGCAACCTCTAGCTCCTGCAGCGTTCGACGGACTTCTTCCAGCTTGGAATTTTCTTCCTTCTCCTCGGTGCTGTCCGCTACGAGGCCGAGGACGCCGACGACGCGCCTCTGTGAGGACGTGTATACGAGCTTTTTCTTTGCTGCGTGCACGTCGGCGTGAAGCTTCGCACGCTCCTCCGCACGCAGATCCAGTTCACGCAGACGAGCATGCGAAGATTGCGTCTTCTGAAAAGCAGTTGTGACCACGGTGTAAAGTTTTTGTCGTAGTGCGTCATCTAATGTGTCCGCACGACTGTCCAACTCGTCGGATAGCGCGGTTACGCGCTCTGACAGCGCCACCAGGCGAGCCCGCACTGTTCGAAGCCGTTCCTCTTCTTGCGCTTGCGTCATCTTCATCTTGGAGGTGCTACAAGCACTCGCCAAGTCCTGCTGCTCAAATCTTGACAAGGCTTCGTTCGTCTCAATCACCGACCGCAAAAGTTTTACAGGACTTTGTGGTTTGACGGCTGAGGCTGGTACTTTCTCGTCCGGCTTAGCGGATGCTAGCGATTCAGCCAAGTCGTCCTCTTTTTCTTCTTCTGCATGCAATGGTGCAGAGTCACTGGAAGAGAGTCTACGTAGCCGGCTAGCATTCGCATTTGTAGGTCCATCGGCCGGAGCAGAGGAAGCCTGGTCTTCATATCGCGAAACTCGTCCACTCTCCCGAAGAGCTAGCGCCGCAGCACGTTCTGACTCCCGCTCTTGCTCGGGCGCATGAGCGTCTTGAGCTATCGCGGTGCTTACACGACCAGTTTGGCGAATTGACAGAGCCCCCCGTGTCGCTGCTCCAGGTCCAGTTGCGCTTCCAGCCCGCTCCGGCTCTTCCAGTCGGGATATGCGTCCGCTCTTACTCAAGTTCATTGGGCTCTTTACACTACCGGCCGCCCGCACGCTAGACTCCGTTGCCCTCGCAGAGGTCGACGACTGGGACTCTTCCGCAGCTCTCTGTTCTTCGGCTGCTTGGTCGTCTTGGGCGCGTTTGGCCCGCGCGGCTTCCATGCGCATAAGCGAAGCGCGTGTCATTCCGGGTTGCACGGAAGATAGAGTACCTCGAGCAGCACTCTGTCTACTCTTGGTTGCCGCGCTTGTCCTTTTCTCTCCCACCGCGGCAGACGACGTCGACGCGGATGACGAGACCCCCTGTTCGTAATCGCGCGATCGCTGTTTGGCTTGTGCTTGTCCCATTCCAGGAGAAGCAACATTGGTGTTGGCGCTTCTTTCTACCTCCACTTTACGACTTGGCCGAGCCTTCACACGTAAGGCTGGTGACTTACCGCTAACCCGGCTTTGTCGCAGAGCGGAAGCGCTATCACTTACCACAATCTCCACACTTTCTAGATCCGCTTGCAGGCGCTCTGCCACTGCTTGCGCTTGCGGTGCTGCCGCGTCCAGTGCTGGAGACGAAGCTCTTGCATACCTTCCGACCTGAAAAGAAGTAACGCAAGCGAGTAACAAGAAGGGAATTCAGATTCACTAGCGGTATGATATTAGGTTTTCAGATATAGGCGGACCAAATCGTCGGAGGACGACGCTTTTACTTACAGTAAGTATAGTACCAAACATCTCTCCAGGAACATTATCAAGTTTAAGAGGTGCAACTATTGCGCTTGCGCATCCACCGTTGCTAACTCTTTATGTTACATAACAAGAGACTGTGAGCCGAGTGTCAAATATTACCTCTTCGTGTGGCGGCGACTTAGCAGGTGGCGGAGCAGGTTTAACCTGCCGCAGGCGAACCTGAAGAGTTGAATACAGGGCACGAGTTCGTTCGATCTTCTCCGCTCGGCTCGAGTCACTGTTCTTGTCCACCTCCACGGACTTGTAAACACGTCGCAACCCCAGCATGATATTCTTGATCTCGTTTCTCTCCTCGAGGATGAGGGTTTCAACTTGAGGCTGCGGCTTGGCAGCAAGCGCTGAGCCCCTTCGAAAGAGAGCCTGTCCTTGACTGGAGTCGAATTCTATCAGACCAGCTTCCTCAACGCACTGGAGACTACCTGTTGCAGGCAATGCTGCGCTGACTGACTCTCTAGATGCTCGTGCCTGCTGGGCTTCACTACTCTCCTGCGCTGCGTCAAACCGAACCGCTATTTTCGCTGTCGCATCCTGTGGTGAAAACTTTCCAGCAGGACTACTCCCAGGGGTTTCGCCGCGCAGAATTGACTGTAATGAGGAGTACATCCCTCGTGTTTGTGTCATATTCTGCGTCCACGCACCATCTCGCTCCGCGGTCTGGACCTCCTCAAGTGACTTGAAAACGCGCCGGAGGCCCAACATTGCTCCCTTGATTTGCTGCCGGCGCTCATGCTGGTCCGGGTCTTGTTCGGAAGAAGCTTTACCGGAAGAAGACGCAGCTCCTGCTGCTGCACTTGACGAAAGTAGCTTCTCCCCCAGCGAAAATAAGCTCTGTGTTGTCGCAGAGCCCCACGCGTAAGTGTTGGATATCTCCATCCTGGCTGGTGGCGGTGAGCGCGAGGATGACGACGCTTTTGACCGCGCCCCTAGAGCCGCCGGTCGCATTAGCCGGTCAGCGGAGTGGTGCCGGATAGAGCGGCTGTGCGGAGTTTCAGGCGCAAACACGAAGAGCGGAGACGGCCCACTTTTTGTGGAGGGCGAGGAGAGTGGCAGCCGCCTGGGTAGAGTGGAAAAAGGCTCGGACTGAACAATTGTGGCCCATTCGTCTGCCACGTGCGCTTCATCTTCTCGCAACACAGCGTCGCCTTCGAAGTTCACGCAGGTATCGCTAGCGCTAGGGGCTTCATTAGTGCTGCCTAGACCGTTATTTGCGTCACTCGGGTCTGCATGTCTGTCGTCTCCAGCGCGAGAGTGATCCTCTGGCTCGCTGTATGCAAGAAACGCAAAAAACGGGCGCTCCTGAGGGGCCGGCGGTGGTGGTTTCGCAATCGCCGAATCAGGTAACGAAGCTCTACTTTCATCTCGAATCAGAATCTGGTCCGAGCTAAGCCTCTGGCGGAATTTCATTTCGTCCTGGTTCACAGAAGTTGTATCATGGTTGCTCAAAAATGAAAGACCGTGAACACAGTCTCCTTGCAACTCTTTTGCAGCACCGGAAGAAAATCCTGCACAAGCTCTGCTCCCTATCGTAGAACTACAATTGACAAAGTGCTGCTCGCCTAACGTTTGCGACCTGCTGGCATGACTGGTCGGGGCTACGTTTCTGGCTGCTCCGTCACCATTTTCCTCTATCGTGCTGCTAAAAATGCTTGATGATGAGTCAGAAGACTTCATGGAAGCGCCACCTGCCGAGGTGCTGCTGCTATCACTGCGTGCGGTCATCGCCGTATTTGCGGTGGTACTATCATCATGTTGACTTCTTAACGAGCAGACACGGTCTGTACTAGTCTTTGCATCAGGTCCTCCTCGACGACTGGTGACGAAAATCGGATTCACCAATGCCAGCGAGTCTGCTCTTTCGCGTCGGCTGAGATCAGGAAATTCGGACCCGCCAACGAAACTACCCCCACCGCGTCTCTGCTTAACGAGCTGGAGGACGTCATCGTCTTCGGACTCCGCGTCTGGCACGTTTAGGGAGTCGACTCCTTCACCACCCTCTTGCCCCAGGTCATTGAGATTAAAGAAGGGACCAAAAGGATCAGAGGCCTTTCCTCCCATCCCACTTTTTCGCTGCTCCTGTTGCTGCTGCTGGTCATCTTCGTTCTCTGAATCCGCTGGACATGCATCAGGGCCAGCTCCAGTCTCAATCAGTTCTGACACCTTCATAATCGAGCCTGCTCTTGAGGTTGCTTGTGCTCCCCTACTTGATGTTGATGCGGCGTCTTCTGATACTGCCCTACCGACATTCCCAACTTGGTCAGCTGCAGGTATAGGTAGAGGTGAGATCTGCGTGATCGGCTGAGGCGCAGCTTTCGCAACTGCTCCCACTATTTGGTCTTTAACCTGGTGCATGAATGGTATCCCTGTTGACTTGACCTCCACCGCATCCGCGTCAGAAGATTTCTTCTGATTTTCTTGTTTCACTTTAGTCGCCCTCTTGTCGCGTCGCGATGAGTGATAGTATTTTCGGCACTGCTCTGGACTGAGTAACCTTGGGGGTGAAAAGGCTGTCACATGATTCTTTGGTCCGGCTCCCGCTGCTACCGGTGTCCCTGATCTTGTTGATGGGACGGTTGTAGAATCGAAACGCGTCCCACTATCGTTGGAATCCTCTTGAGCAGACGAGCAGGGGCTACTTCGAGGCATAGGAAAAGACGCCGTCAGGTGCTCGGCGCCAAATGCTAGCCAATCTACCCGACACTCGCTAGTACTCGCCTGGTCATTCTCGCCCTCGTTGAAAAAGGCAGCCCCACCCATGTTCTGAGGAAATGGGGACGAGAAAAGCGACGACAAGGATGCCCGCTGACTTGCAACAGGTGCTCCAAACAAGTGGGATGATGCACCATTTACTTTTACAGTGGCGCTACTGGTTCTGCTCAGGCTTGTATCTGAGTCACTAAATTGTTGTGACCCCGAACGCTGAAAGACGCCACCCTTACAAAGGGATCCGGTACTGTTGCCGAGTCTCACTACGCGTGCGCTTTTCTTTTGGTCCCAAGTGGCGTGCCTTATTGGCCTTACGGAACTTGCCTTTGGTGGCGGTGGTGCTCTGGGTCTTACCGACGCGCCTCCTACAGTGCGTGACCTGGTCAAGTGCCGCGAGGGTGACAGCAAAGCTTGCACCACTCCAGTAGTACCGAAGGTAAACGTTTTGCCTGGTATCCTAGGGCTATCCTCATCAAAGGCAACTGCTTGGTCGTCAATGCCAAGACGCAGACGAGGACACTCATTGTAATTGTCAAGGCCCTCATTCCTCCCGGTTATCCTTGACGATGCCTTCTTGCAAACGATCGCTTCTTCGTCTGAGAAGCTTATCCTTCTACCGACCACGTCCTTTAACAAGTTTCGAGCCTTCAAACTATCAATGAGGCCGTCGACGCCAGGCTCAGGATGATCCTCCTTGCTTGCCTTTCTCCTAGGACTATTCGGTGGCACCCCCGGCCTCAGTTGCGGAGTAAAGCCGTTTTCTGACGAAAAAAAGCCTGCGACTGATTTTCTACGCTTCAGCTCCAATATACCGGACCCATTCTCCTGACTATCTTCCTCCTCGCCATCGCCCTCTCCTTCCCCACTGCGTCTATTTGCAACATTGTCATACTGCTCGAAATCTTCATGGAGGTTGTCCACGCACAGATCGATTCTGTCGCAAACTTGAATGGTGAGTCCCGCGCCTCGCTTGCGCGAGGTTGTCGAACTGAAAGAAGTCAGAGCCATGTTCGAGTTTGACTATAATATATGGAGTTGCTCGTCAATCGTAGATCAGGAACTATTTTGTGTTTTCTTCACTTGCTTCCAAGGAACTAACACACAAGTAGAGTTAAACAAGTATTCATAAGGAAGAACCTACTTAAATTAAACATTGCGGAATATCCTACTACGTACAGCACAGAGTCGTTGCCCCGCAAGATCTGCTCGGCCATCCACATAATCAATTACAAATATTTTACAGACAATGGTTAAGAGAAAGACTAACTTCCTCCAATGAACAATCGAAGGAATAATCTCAACCTCAAAGATAGAGTAAAGATCTTTATGTAAACCAAATTCCAAAGCATTTATTGTACAATGGGGACCAAGAAGCAAGAGCAAGAGGGTAAACTTATTGTATCTCATTCTTCGACTATCGCAAACAAAGTCCAACACTTGCAGAGGACCACGCAGGTCCAGATATAAAAAATACGGATTCATAGTTCATTGTGGCAAATACAAATTCAAATTCATGAAAGGCCATTATACTAGCCGTTGATGGGAAAGGAAATATTCATTCATGGAAAACGTGGATAGGGTCCTGTGAAGTGACGCAAAAAGTGTTAGTAAATCCTAAATGAGCATATAGACGAAGCAACTTGAACTTGTAATGACACAGTATACAAATTCCAGCCTACATATCCGTTGCATATTTAGTGATCAACATCGTTCCGAAATACAACTCGCGCTTTACTCACTTTTCTGTCGCGTTTACAGACCTGAAGCATCCCTCATGACAGAAAGACTCCTATAAACTTGTTGGATTTTGCCACTCACTCTCACTCCGTGACACACCTCTCAACACAGATGCTTATCTCAGACAGATTGATGAATCGGAATCTTCTTCCTCCTCTTAGAATTATTTAATGACCATATTTCTGGGAGGAGCATTCGTATTGCTGCGACAAGTATTTCAACTTAAGGCTCGCTTCTTGCTTAAAATCTAAGCCGCATGCGCATTATTGAAAATCATCATACATCATGTTATTTGGATCCATATTTATATTATAATTGGTTTTGTATGTCAGCATGCCATTATTGGTACTTCGGAGGTCCAGCAATAATGCCCAACTCCTCTTTGAGACTTCCAGATATTTTCCTAACGTCCTGAAGGAAGTCCTGTACTATTTCAGAGTCGCGCCTTCGCGGACCTCTGCTGTAATTGTACTCGGCAATAACGCGATTTGGCACTGTTGACCCTGCAACATTACTAGGATTTTCGGTTGGTGGGACAAGAGCCTCTTCGGAAACGATCCCCTCTTGCTTTTCGAGTCTCTGTTCTTCACTTGTAGTTTTTGCTATCCCGTCTGGAACGTTGTCAAACTCAAATGGTGAAGTGCCTTCTACCGCGCCCTCTATGGCCTGCTGCAGCATAAAATTCTCATTGAAAGGCTGCTCACCAAACGCAAGCATCTGTCCAGGCTCTCTGAAGATTCCACCACGTGTGGCCATAACACGGCTTCTGCCTGCAAGCATAGGACTTGCAAAAGGGCTAAGGCTCGAACTCGATGACTGTGTCGCACCTCGCAGCTTGTTAAGCGTACTGTTTCCGAGAACAGGATAATTTTTCGCCCATTGATTCCCTCCTCCAATAGAGGACAATTTCTCTGTGCTTTCCCGCAAAATGTGAACTACCAAGCGCTCGTGCTCGTAGAACAGATCGCGTCCAGTTGCACGGGATATCTTGAGGTCGCGTTCCAGATTATCCAATATGTGGTGCGCCATCTCCACACGGCCGCCGGCCAATTCCACTAATCGGCTCAAGACACCTGGACGCTGTGTCGATACATCTTGATCCGGAGACTTCGCCCCTTCAAAACGGTTTAGATTCTTCATCAACCCAGACGTGGAATCCTTTGACGGTGGCATGCTAATGGTCGGAAAGAATAGCACAGCTGGAGGATCGAGTGTACGAAGACCCATTGTTGGAGAGTTGCTGCTGCTTTTTCCCCTCTTTTCCCTGCCTCCTCGCGCAGACGCAGAAGCAGCGCCCTTGCTCCCATCGCGGCTCAGCAGTGGTTGAGCACACTGTGACGCTGTTGCCGCGATACCCATACCCTCCCTCAAGCGAGCGACTCTTCGTTGTAGCTCTTGATAATCGGCAGCATCACCGCTCCCGGGATCGACATAACTTGCGCCCTGGTCCTCTTTCGCTTTGATTTCCGCCAGTGATGCTGGGCTGGCTGCTCCATCGAATTCCAGTGGTACCCTGTCATTGAAAGACGAATTTCAGTCTGACTTTGGCTTGCCACGAAATCATTGTCATAGTCACAGTGAGGTACTCATGATGAAATGCGGAACGAAAAGTGAAAGAGAAGAGCAAACCATTCAATCGGAACTATTCAATTACCGGATAGCAGTGGTTGTACTACACATGATCAATCTGTCTGTGTTTGTGAAAATATACCTCAATGTTCCACAAATCGCGAGTCCATTGAAAAAAGACGCCGGCTTCTCAAGCTTGTTTTGTGGGGGGCCTGCCTCATCCGTATTATTTTTCGCCTTCGCATGCCTTACAAGGATCCTGGATATGCTTACGGCCGCCTTCACTTTGCGCACGAAGGCCCAGCCTCTTTCACGGTCTATTCCATGGGATTCCAAATGTTCCGTAATTCTTTGTACTGCATCTGCGGTTGCTTCATTCGTATTCCTTTCACTTGGTTGCTGAGCTTCTCCTGGTATTGTAGGAGTTACAGAAGCTTCTTGTTCTTGGTTGCGCTCGTCGGTGACGGTGTTATTTTCTTGCTTTTTTATACCTCTCTCGTCCTCCGGATTTTCGTCCTTCTTTTGCCCTACCAAAGACTGCGCCTCGGCCTGATGCAACTTTTCCATAGCCGCTCCAGCTTCTTTCAGAAATTTCAATCCAGCATCCTGTGAAATTCCGTGCGAATCAAGGTGTGCAATGATTTCGGGTTCGAGTGCCGGATGTACAGCAATGGCATCGGCTTCTTGCTCGTCCGCAGCATCTTTCTTTACCGCAATGGTCTTTTCTTCTAAGTCGTCGACGACTGGACGGTCATGATGCATCGCCAGCCCATGTTTTTGTGCACCCTGATCTCGTTCATTTGTCTTCACTTCATCTCCTCTGTCTGCTTGGCGGATAGATGTGCTAGAGTCGTAGGAGATTGCCCTCTTGAATTCAGCGGGACGGTCTGAGATTGAGACGCGCCCTGCTGGGGCTTCACGTTCCGGCGCCTCGATGAGCAATGCTGCATAGGACGGCCGTGGGACGCGATAGAGGGCATAGAGCACTGTCCGTGATTTTCGGAGAAAATGCCAGCCAGGTGTCCGGTCAATGCCTGCGGACCTGAGGGCTACCGTGATCTCCCTTGCAATATCCGAGCGAGTCGGCCGCTCCCCACCTTTCATCAGACGGGCTACTGCTGTTCTCGCCCGTCTCAAAAATCTCCACCCGCGGTCAATATCTATCCCATCTGCGAGCAACTCGGAAGAAATCTCTGCTTCTGTTTCAGCCGAAGGCCTCTTCAAATCGATCAGGTGGTCCTCGAAAAGCTGCTCTTGTGTAGCTTCTTTATCCTCCTCGTCACTGCTCCTGTTTGCGGAAGATTTGACGCGAAGTCGGCTCCTCTCTGTTTTCGCTTTCATGTTACTAGCTTTCTTAATGGGGGAGCTATCTTTCTTCGCAGATTCTTTGTCTTTTTGCACCTTCAGATTATCAGGGAGCTGCTTCATCGACTCCACTGTTTCGAGCATTGTAGCGAGCTTGTCTTGTAACTCCTCGTCGTGGAGAATCGTACCACGAGCTGTTGCGTCTTTCGCTGCGTTTTCTTTCTGCTCTCCAGCTCTTCCGTCGTCGTCTGCTCCAGTGTCGAGAGGCAGCATACTTTGGCCTGCTTCATTGTCGTCACACTCATCCACCCACGCCTCGTCTGAAGATGAAGATGGCTGCTGATCCTTGGCATTCCCATTCCCCTCTTCTGTGTTCTCTTCACTCATCGGTTCCTTGTCGTCGGGGTCCGTCCCCCGAATGTGCGCCCACGGTGTAGCAAGCGCCATGGAGCTCCGCCTTCTGGAAGAACCTCTCGTATTGGTTGCCGCGACATCGACTCCCGTTGGCACTTTGTCGAATGCCACCATAGAGTCTAGCAGCATAGCTGAAACCCGAGTTCGGCTTATGTCTTTTTGCGAAGCTTGAGTTGCCTGGCTTGCGCGCTGTGTCGCCAAAGACAGGTCGTCTTGGGAGGCGTCTTCAACTTCAGGCTGTTTTAATACAGCTGAGACTGATTTTTGTCTACCACGAGTATTTGGCGGAGTAAAGACCTCATTCACAGGTGTGTCCGCGACCACCACATTTGTATCAACATCTTCTTCCTCGCTCTGTGGCTTCGGCTCTTCTAGTGGGCCTGTGATTGACGGCATATGGATATCTGGCGTAAAGAGTGGCGGACCTGCTCGAATGACGCTAGGTCGCGTAGGGGAACCATCCACTTCGCGTGATTTCTGCATTGCTTCCGGCGTTGGAACAGCGTTTTGACTTGTTGTTCTACTAACTCTTCTAGAAATGTTACCACTACCTCCCATAGTGACCGACTTCCGTTCGCTTGCACTTGCTGTTGCCATGCCCGCAAGATCGACTGGCGAGCCAAACATGGCGTACGAAACGCGCAAAGTAGCCATTCGTTCAAGATCTGCTTTCGTGGTAAAATCTTTCTCAGCCTCGTTTGCCTCGGTGTTCTGCTTTGCCGACAACCTGCTTGTTGATTTTCTTGTTTTATTGCCGTCAGTTGTGGACGACGTCGGAGTAGCAAACGCTGTGTTTCCTTCGTTCGTGTTTTCCTTATCTCTTCCAGGAATAGGAAACTCTTGCACTTGTGGTTGATCGTTTAATCGCACCCGCGTCAAACGAGTGCGCTGACTACCCACGGATTTGCGCATTTCTTCAGCAGCGCCTCCGCCAAACGAAACCCTAGTCGCGTCCGCCTGGTTTACCCGTTTGGGTTCTCTGAACTCCTCAAAATCGTCAAAGATGTAGTGCTTCGCAGGAACCAAGTCCTCACGCTGAACGCTCAGGGTCTCTCGCGTCACTTCCGCTCGCTCATTCTCGAGGCGTACCCGCGTGGCGCGTATGGTAGCTGCGAGTCCGCCTTTTGTTGATTGACGCTGTGCAGACTTCCAGTCCGCGACTTGGGTGCGATCTACGGCAACCGCGACGCTATACCGCCTCGACTGTCGTTGTTGTGCTTGTACGACCATATTCGAGCTAGTCTCTTCAGAGTCCTCTCTAGCGTCAGACGCGTCGACGTCCACTTTGCGTGGTTCGTCAGTCACATCGAGCTCTACCTTGCGCGCCGCATGTGCTTCTGCAACAGTAAAGACTCCGGCCTCAGGACCGACAGGAACTGGTTGTAAACATTCTGCAGGCCCGACTGTCGATGATTTTGTGGCATGCCCCGCATGGCCACCAGCAACGTGGTCTGCTCTTACTTTTGCGATAACTTCGTGCATCTTCTCCTCTGTTGTTTCCTCGCGAAATCTAGCTTTGACCGCCTCTTCGATTTCGTCTTGTGCCATGACCTCACTTCCACCAGCCTCCGTCGATTTCGCCTCAAAAACATCAGCATCATTCATCACGAGGTCGAGGACCCTATGATCCTTCGTTGTTTCATATTCATTCTTACTAGCTGTAGAAGACAGCGCGGCACCAGGCTCCGCAATCCTGCTCTGTCTCGGTACTTGCATTTTCTCCTCCTCATCCGTGGAAGAGATTCCTGCGATGACTTGAGACTCTGAAGAACGACGCTCGACGTCGTTATCTTTAAGTGAAGTAGCACGGCGTTCCCGATCGCTATCTTTACCTGGACGGTCATGGCGCTCGACATCGCTGGAAGAGCGATCTTCGTCGAGCCGTACTTTCAGACTTGGTAGGTTCTTATCCAATTCTTCTTCCGCGTCTGTAGGCGGGTCACCCATTGGCTGCGCGATATCACCGCTCTGGAACATCTCATCTGGTATTGCAGACAAGTCATCAGCGTCATCCCTGTCTATAATGTCCTCATTTTGGACACTTTCAGCAGGATTCTGGTTGTAAGGGCCGCCACCCACATCCGGAGCAACAACCACCTGATCTACATTATGCATTTCATCACCTCCATTTCTAGGAACAGATTGTGTCGGGGCCACTTCTCCCATATCACTCTCGGACGGTATGGTGTCGTCCTCGTGTGTTCCCAATTCGAGCTTTTTGACCACATGCTTAACAGAGCGTCGCAATTGCAACTTGTTGCCCAGTGTTTTCGTCTGTCGCGTAGTTGTGGATCTTTCAGCCTGATCTTCCTGGTCCTCACCAATCATGTCCTCTGTGAGCACTGGTGACGTCTCAAGATAGAGCATATCACTTTCGTAGTGCTCCACAACGGCAACGCTTTTGCGGATAGCGCGAAGACCTTGAATAGCAGGCTTCATCTTTTGTCTATTCATGAACCCCTACCGACTAACAAACTCAGCGCCACATTCCTCTTAAGCACATGTCGCTGCGATGGAGGGCACTTTGCTTCTGATTAAAAACAACTAAAAAACAAATAAAATCATGAATGCTCTAGTACAGCGAAGTTGTACGAGAACAATAAAATCAACGTAGACTCTTCTACTATACAACCATAACTCTCCTTCTGTTCTACATCTTCTAGAAGGAAGTAGATCGACATAACAGTGCAATCGAAATTCATTCATTGATTTAGATCTGCTAGCTTGGCCAAATAAAATATAGCAAGAGCAAAGGGCGGTAAGGGACTAGAAACGATGATTTATTTAGATAAAATTTATCGGGAAAAAAACTGATAACGTTACAAACTAAAACATCATGTGCCTGATTTGACTTCTAGTTCAAATAGCACAGATGTTTTGCTGACAATGTTGATGCAGGAGAGCAGAATCGGCTTCAATTTCGTGCACACAGAAAACGATAATGACAAGCTCTCAATACAGACAGATATCCAGCACCCGCGGGTCATTACCGACCGGTTCATTCTCTCTAAGCGATGCGCTCTTTACCAACTTGCGAAAATAACTTGAAGGACCGTATTTTTTTCGTCAGTCACAGCATATTTATATTTCAAGACTTGCAACGTCAATGAATTTCGCTACAACAGAGTTATCACTCAAGGACAGATGTGATTAAACAGACGTTGATCTCTAAGGGCCAGATTTGTGCATTTTTATGTCTATGACCACGTAGACTCCGCCGGCAAATTACGTCTAGAACAAGTGTGATCACAAGAGGGTAAGAATAGACAACACATGCGCACCGAACTAAATAGCTGGTGCGAGGGGCGCAGCGTCTTTCATTCATTCATTCACTCATCATGGTCAGCACTGCCGTTTTTTTTTTGGAACCTGGGTCCACAATTTCCCGCTATAGTTCCATTTAATTACCCCGCGGGAAGCCTGAAGCGAAACCGGCCGGGCGCTACAACTACGCAAACGAATAAGCCCCGCGGGCGTATTAGTCGACGGCCCTTAAGTAGAACAATGATGGGCCTTATCAGATGTACCCCGAGAAGCAAGAGCTAGACCCTTGGGGACCGAACACGGACAGATCTAGAGCTTTGACGTGGCCATTGGCTAGTTAGGGTCTGACGCTGCAGGCGGTGGACACACGGCACAAAGGGCGGCGCCACGACAAAGATCGAGCGTTTTTAGGGTGAGTCGGCCGACGTATAATCGCTAGGGTTTCTTCAGGTACGTCATCACACTGGTGAGACTACACTCAACTAGGGCCCATGTGCTCCTGCTGGTTTCTTGCGGCCAAGTTCTCGACTCCTTGCTTTTTGTCGCTCGCACTTTAGTCGTTCCCGAGGGGTTGCGTCTTCAATCCTCAATGCTACATCATCAGCCCCCCTCCAAGTTCTGCTCTTCAAGATGCCGCAGTCGCACTCGCCAAAAAAAGACGAAGATAAAAATAGCAAAGACAAAAAAGCAAAACCAAAAAACTGGAGGGCTAACGCCTACCAAAGGGGGTACATTGTGCCTGATTGCCACAACCGGGCGGGAGATAAAAGAATCGGTGAGGGAGAGCGATGGGACGCTCTCCCCCTCTTAATTCGGCCGCATAAGTCTGCTAATCTATGGAGTGAAATGCGCGGAATTCTCGGATCTCTCTCACGGACAGAAATCTTCACAGATAGCCCGCCGCATTCTATCGCAAGCGATCAAACACTAGGCTCACTCCTCGTCTCAACAGATTTTCTAATAGCCGCTATACCGGTAGCACCAGTAATCTAGTGGCTTCTTTTCCTAGAAAATCATCGACATCAAATAGAAGTTTAAGAGCGCGCGTGCTGTTCTTCAAAGAAAGAAAAAGAGAGAAACTATGCTTGGATTATCTCGTCTCTCAAACAGAGGCTGCACCTAATCCTATGACTGCAATCCATGGCGAAACAAAATCATACGCTAGAACAGGTAGTCTCAGAGACAAACAACGCGCATGGCAATCACAAAAAGCCTAAGTGGCTGCGGTACATCAGAATAAAAGCAAAGTATTTTTGAATACTCACTCCATGATTTGGCTTTTGGTTTTTACCTTAGAAAAGGCATGCCTATTGCAATCACATTCGTGCGAAAAAAATTCGTCCTGTCGGCCTTGAGCACTAGCCTAAACCCCTCTCAAAAAATGGGGGAAGCCTATCGATATGCGGCCGAATTACTCCTGTGACAGTTTTTCATAATGGTGCGCTTTGGAGTAGTTTTGAGCAAACTAGTAGTTTTTGGATCCAGGTCCACTACTATAGATATTAATAGTTGATGATTTCTTGTTGTGGTAAATTACAGTAAGTTGAAGACGCTTGAGCTGGCTGCATATCATGAAGAAAAGCGCGACCACGTGCGGTAGTTGGTATCTCGCTGTCATTTATAGGGTTAGGTTTAGATGGCTGTCCTCTCAAATATTAGCACGAAATGGAGCAGACACGGCTGCTAATCCATCTGTTTCTTTTTTCAGGTGTCCTAGACATCATGAAACCTCAACTCACCTTTCCTAGAATGTATTAATTTGAGGTGCAAGGGCACTCGTCCACATCTGGAAAAGCATATTTTGACAGGACTGCTGTGGATTTCATTTGGTAAGTTGTAGTTAAAATGTAACCTTGCTGAAATGCATGAAAGAAGACTCCTCTAGCAAGCAAGAAAACTACAGCTACTTTTAGCGAAAGTAAACAACGCATAGTCCTCGTCAAATGACAGCAAGACTTTCGTTAACTTAAACTCTCTCCTTCTACAACTCCCGACATGTCATTCAAACAAGTGTGCCGTAAAGACAAAATGGCAGCCGATTTCGAGATCGACTCCCATTAAGTGTCTACTCACGAGTAGGTTTAGAGGCATCCGCCTTGTTCTTTCTAATTTTTTTTGAATTCAAAACTCCATGAAGTGAGCGATCTGAACTGGCCCAGGAGGGTTTAGAACTGGCGTCTCCCCGTCTACTTGAATATCGTGCGGCTCGATTTGGTATACCAACTGAGCAGTAATGGGATGGTCCCCGCCAGAGAAAGTGGCCAACACGTCATAGTTAAAACCGTCGCGCGGAAACGGAGGTTGCCGTCTACTGAAATACCGCTGTCGAATGCGTACTATGTTCTCTCCCCACTGAGCGCGATGCCTCGCGGCGTCGAGAGTGGTAACTTAGAAGACGTTCGCGCGACTCCGCATCCTCAACAACGATAAAGATAAACCCAACACAAGTAGCGTCCTTGACTCTATTCTTTAAACTCATCGTGCCTACCGACGAACATGGAAAAAGCGTAAGAACTCAAGGAGCACTTCGCATGATTCAATATAAAAGATAGCAAAGCACGGGGTAGCTGTTCTTGAGGATGTTTTTGTCGTTCAATAATCTGCCCTTAAGAGTTTTGGTCCTGCGTGTCGGCTGGATCTTCGTGTCGGTCCCCGGCACCATCTCCACTCACATTGTGCTCTCGTCCCATTAGTAGGTCACTCTCACTTTCGACGTCCACCCCTTCGCGAAAAGGGGAACCAGGCATCTCCTTAACGTCATCCTCGACGACGTCCTCTAAATCACCCCCATCACCTGCGTTCGTGCTAGCGGACGAGCTGCCGTCATCGCGATCTTCCTCATCTCTAGGCGGCGGTCGATGACCACAAACATACCCGACGCTGGCCGTCTTCCCGTCCCTTGCGAAGACGACTTGCATTGCTGACATATGATCCTGAAAATTCAAAGGCACACCCCTGGTTTCGTGCCCACGCGAATCTAGGTACCGCGTCGGGTGTTGCTCCGTAACGGCACGAAGCACCCACCAACTATCATCTTCTTCATCTTCGAATTTTCTCTTTGTCCCGGTTGTGGTATCTTCAAAATGTTTTGGTTCCTCTGTTGATCGGTCATCTACTCTCTCGAGAGGAGGACCTTCTTTTTCAGTGCGAGTCGTGGCACCTCGTCTAGGTAGCTTTTCCCATTTCAGGAAGTAGTGGTCAAGAAAGTCTTTGTCTTGATCGTTATGCTTGTCGCTCAGATGCAAGAACTGCACTCGGTCCGGAGGAGCACTACCCCTGTATGGCCAGTAGAGCCTGTAAGGTATATTCGATCCATAGGCCTGTTCCACAACACGAGGGATGGTATATACTCTGGGTCGGAGGCCTTCGTCTCCTCGTGACGTATTACTGCCCGAATCTGCATTGTGATTCGAGCTCGCGTCTACTTGTGAAGCCGGAGCAGCTTTTCTTGCGGGATGCGGCTCTTCTTGAGTAAGTAGGGAGGCACTTCTCTTGAGCCGTCCTTGCTTACGCAGAGAGTCACTAACCGTGCGAGTCAGGATCTTCGCCTCCTCTAGAAAAACGTTCACCGCGCGCTCAACCATCTGGAATGCCCCTGGGGTCCTGGTGACATCGCGAGGTCTTGTATCAGCAAAGAAACTTATCTTCAGAGACAAATACACATGGGATGCGTCTGCTGAAGGACTCAAAAAGGCTTCCGAGAAAACCCCTTCATGAGCCTTTATCATCTCGCGAACATCTGCGTTAGCGAGCGTCATTACCAGCTCGTCTGGAGGCCCCGTGGGACGCAAATGCTCCCCACTTTGTTCTTGATATCGAATTAGTAGATCATTCTTATCTTCTCGAATTCTTGTAAATGAATCTTGTGAAAGTACAGATGGTGAAGTCTGTTTGTTCATTATTTTGACACCATCTTGTCGTGGTTGGAGAGACTGATCGAGGATTTATGTGGGAAAATTAAACGGTCTTCTCATCTTGAGAAGTATCATCTTTATGAACGTAAATGTATTTACTTTCTTGAACGGTAACCTACCAAGACCCTTGTGTCATCAGTGATGCGAGCTACTTGTTGACTACGGCCTCTGGAGGATCTTAACAGTGGTATTGTCGACGCAGTTACCGGGGAGCCCAGAGGACCAGTCGACAAGAGAAAGCGACTTCTGTGCGGTGGTGCCAACGTGCTAGCGTAGTTCCTCGCCCATGCAAATACATCGACTTCGAAACGCATTGCCCATACGGGTAGAGGCTCGGGCTCTAAGCTTTCCACGATACTGCTACTGACGCTCAAGACCGGCTGATACCCGAGAGGTGGCGTAGCTTCCCGCGTCCCAGAGCGATCGTCTGTGGCTTCAGAGAACGCGCCTGTGGCAGGCAAGAGGACGATGGCATTAGCAACTTCACCTGATGTCCATTCTTTGTGCTCCTGCTCCGCTTGGTCTCTGTAGATGGGATCATCGGCGGCTGCACCTGTGATCTCTTCGTTATCGATAACTTCCGCCGCTTCCGCCGAAGGACGCGGCACAGGCACTGCGTCTGCGTGCTGGTCTTTCGGGCGAACTTGAAATCCAGAGTAAGCCTCTACCAGCTGCCACGTGAGATCTGAGGAAGAGCTCAGCCGGCGCAGCAGAGGCGCAGTAGCCCAATCTAGGCGCATCAATTGCGATCTTGCATTTACTGCTGGAGTTCCTCGGCATATTTCGTTGGTCTCGTTAACGAAACCAACTTTCTCGCTCAACATCTTCTTTAGATGATCTTCCTCCTTCTCGAATCCTTGCGTGTTCTCAACGTCGACTAACATAATAAACCCATGATCAAGGTAACGCTTCCTTGATTCCAGTGCTGAGCAGAAAAAGAAGAATCAAAATTGCCTTAAAAACGACACCCGGTCAGCTACCGCTCCCGCACCCTCGAGCTTTGCCCACTGGCGGAGACGAGCGGTTTCGAGAGTGCTATCCAAAGACGGCGAGACGTGCCCGGATAACATCGAGGCTTTCTCCTCATCGTCCAATTCTTTGCTGAGACTACTTTTCAGGTTTTCACGAAAAGATCTTTTCTGTTGGTTGCTCCGTCTAAGCTTAAAGCTCAACACAGTACTCATTTCCGTCCTGAGGTACATCCACCTACTTAGGAACCTTTTCTCCTTGAAAAGCCCCGCCTGGATGCCTCCCCAAATGGGTCATTCTCATTGCGATTCGGGGAGCCTTAATAAACTCGTCTGCTTCGCGCTGCATGGCCCACAGTTGCGGGTCCAGCTCGAAGGTGCGAGCCAGACCAGGGCTTGTCTCCTGCAGAGGAACTTGGGGAACTGGTACAAGCTGGAAAATATAGACCTCACCGTGTTCAGCAATACCACTGACAGCAGAATCGCACGGCAGCGCGTCTCTCTGGTAGGCAAACCCTTCTCGTGTAAAGGTCGACCCATGCTCATTGTGACGATCATTCGAAGCACGACCGCTTTCCCCTGCCTCACCGATGTTGTGGCCGCAAGAAAACAGATTTCCTCTAGAAGAATAAGCCCGATCTGCCAGTCCTCTGACCCGGTCAGCCGAACTTCTCGCTGCGGCCGGTGGCCAGGGTCTTTCGAACCCTTCTGGCAGCCGTGTGGCATCATGATAAGCCAAGAAAGAGTCCTGTGGCAACAAAGAGTCGAGACCTTGTCGTACGACAACTTCCGCTGGGGGCGGTTCTTTGCTCCAGCCTTAGACGCACGATTATTTTAGGCAACATTCATCGTACTTACCTACGTGACGAAAATGTAAATACTTTTTTGCAACAGTTATTGAAGACCACTCTCACTCTGATATTCAACCAGCGGATTGTACAAAAAAGGAGAATCAAAGAATTTCGAATTGATTGGAAGTAGATGAAGACACCTGAAAGTATCTATACATAAGAAAATAATTTGAACACTGCGTAACATTTGACTTCAAGGCCCTCCCCAGTGCTCGGATCTCCGTCCCCGAGCAATGCTTCCACTCTTCCTCTTGGAACAGCATGCAGCTCCCACCACGACGGCAGATTCAGGTGCAATAATAGGTCCATTGTGGTGACGGCCTTGCGTTGTCCAGCACTCCCGTTGTCCAGCGACACCCAGCTCCGCACCTCGTCAAACATACTGTGGAGGAGAATAAACGACGCTGGTTGCAGTTCCGAGCAGTTCCGAGCGCCAGGCTGTGCACCTGCGGCAGCCCCAGTTGTACCAGAACCCGGGGTCGGAATCGACCACGTCGCTACCCCCGTCAGAACATGAAAGTAGCATAATATAGCTTGATAAATTAAATTCAGATGCACTAGTTGCCCGCGATCATGAAAAATAAAAATAAAGAGCTTCATGTCGTCGAGCGTAGTCGTATACCAGGAAAACAAAGAACATCCCAATTCAACCAAATCTAAACATTGCAGGAAACTTTCATTATTACTTTCTTTTCAAAAAAAGCAGCGACAGAAGGATCCGTAAGTGGGTGAAAATCTGAGTAGTTCTCATTTTCCCATACATTGGAGGCAGGCTGACAGCGCGGCGTCGGTGTTGAGGCGGGTCTCTGCTGGCGTGATCATGCACTTCGAGAAAAGTGTTGCGCACACGAAGTCGAAGAACCCGATTGTCGTCTCCTATTTCCTCACTCCGAGGGCGCGTTCTGGACGTTGAAGGAGGACCCGTTATGCCGTCTGCTGCTTCTCCTCCAGTGTGATGAGTGTTGTCTCGAGTCCCATCAAGATTGAGTGTTGCAGTAACAACAACATCATGAGAATTCTGACGACCCGAGCTGGACGGACGCGTCGCTTCCGTGCAAACAAGAAATCCTAAGACATGGAGAACCGTGCACACAAACAGCATTTGAGGCAGGACGCCTTTAGCTGAGCGGCCGTCTGATTGAACCGAATGGCGACGCAAAGACATCATCTCTAATAAATTGGACGTTCGCTATTGCTCTGTCAGTGCTGCAATTGCAATTCTGATGCTGCTGAATAGTCGACTCTTTGTACTTAATAAATTACATGTAAAGGACAACAAGTCAAGAAAAGGTTTTCATTTTCTCATTATCAAGACTATATTATACAATAGTACCTCGTCCTGCATCTTTCTTTGTTTTTTTATTTTGTTGTTCTCTATCTTGCACCGGAGGTCACTATCGGAAGATGAGGAACTTCGGCATATTCTATGAAATCATGATAACTGATCATGTGCTTGGCTTATAGTGACTGACAAGTTACAGCTGCAAGCTTTTCGATGGGGGTTATGGCGGGCGGTATAATGGAAGGCCATAACCCACGTTTTCTCCAGGACGCTACCCGGCGACGGCGGGAGTGCATTAACCTGCTATACTAAGTACTCTCTACTTTTTTGCACCATCGATAAGCAAAGAATGAAAAGCTACAAAGTCTCAGAACGTTGTCTGCCTCAGCCTACGCGCATTTTGCATCTTTGAGACCTCAGGAAGCTGCCTGTATTCGTTTACGTCCTCGCCTATCAATCCTCATGAGTTTCTGTACTTTATTCGTGCCTTCGCAAAGATTTCTCTGATTTTTCCCACCCATGTCGACCCATCCGCATCTTCGACTTATTCGACGCACCAGCAAGGGTGGGCGCAGAGAAAGCAGGCATTTCACAGAGATCCAACGTGCGTGGTGCACAGGCAGTCGAACGCTGCGAAAGCAAAAGCAACACAATACGATACAATTAATCTCGAACAAAGTTCAGTGCAGACTGCCTTAAGGGCGTCATAGATGGTCTTCACGATGGATCTCAAGAGGCAAGAGGCAAAAAACCGGGAATCTTTTTTACAACGCTCTCACTGAAAAAGGCCACACATGGACCGAAGGCTCTGGAAACGCTATTAGTGAAGCGGCAACGGACTAACATACCATGGAGAACACACGAATTACCGTTTTACTGAACAGCGTCTTCAAAGGCTAGAAAGCCTACGTATCTCTAAAAGCCTCCTCATGGAGATGAGTGACATTCGTTCGCATTTCCGAACTACCAACGCCAGCACATGTTCTTGTGTTTCTATGTCAATGGTCATGTGTTGATACATTTTTTGACACCAATCTATGGATGACTGCGGTCAACCGGCTTCCGTCCTCTTCATATGCTGAAATGCATGTTAGACTGTATCTACAAATGTTAGTCACTTCTTACGCTGAGAGTCGTGTAAGTACATTGAGTTTGTTGCGATTCTTTTTTCTGTACATATCCGTCCAAACCTCTGCTGACAAAGAACGTGAATATTCTGCGGCAACAAGGTGCTCGGTAACAAACTGCTCATCCCTGAACGACCAAAATACATAATCACAGACAAGATATGCTAAGAGAAAGTGGAGTCTGCGCGTGCATCTACCATGTTATGAAAGTATTTGCTGCATGGGATAAGCCTAAGTTTTAGCGGTAAAAACTAACCGGTTGTTTTTTTTAGTGCTTTGAGCGTCGCTGGACCTAAACCTTCGCCGTTTTACGGGCAAAAGCCAATCAAGATTTGCAGCACAGCCTCCTACTTATACTAAGGGGGAAAACGCAAATGCCTGCTATGGGAGGAGGTTACTTATTCATTTGCTCAGATGTTGAAAGTTTGCAAGTGTCTATTATATTAGAGCTCAAAACAATTCATTTCTTGCCTACATTTCTCCCAATCCTGAGAAGGTAATAGGGAGAAATGACTTGTAGAAATGAAATATATTGAGCCCTAATTATAGAAGTATCCACTTTTTTAAGCCACATCATCATGTTGGTCAAGCTTTGAAACACTCCCAGAGTTGGCACGACAGACAGCACTCACATACACTCAAACTAGTGCTTAAGCCTCAACACGATAACGCGCAAGCAAAGGAGGTAACACAGAGTTTCGAAGTCACAGACGAGATGAAGCATATAGGCGGCAGCCTAATTTAGTGTGAAAGTAAAACTATTTGCCTTATATTGAGACAGCTACACGGTGAGAAATCAAGACTTTATCATAGACATCGGACGGGAAAGGTAACTGATAAGTCAAAAAATAACGGAATAGGGAAGCGCAGTAATGGAACCACCGAACCGGACCAATGTGACACGTAATATTATCGTAGTTCAACTTCTTCAAATACGATGTTGTGGTAAAAAGAGGAGCAAATCTTTTTAATTTGCTGTTACACAGATGTGACAATCGATGAGTCGAGACGAGACGGCACAAATACAGAGAAGCACCGGAAAAATGATACGACGGCATCCCTGCGTGCCTCCGCAACAGCTAGAGCCAAAACACTAGGACGTCGAAGAAGATAAGTGCGCATGGGTGGTACCAGAGGCGGCGAGAAGAGGAGCTGGATGGCGGGGTCGAAAGCAAAAAGTCCGTAGAGGGCAAAAATGATTTTTTTCCATCTAAGGTCGAAAATATTTTCCATCACTAACTATGATGTTGTCGTAATACGTGTGGAATGTTCATTCTTACTGTACGCCTGCAACTGCATGATATTGGCATCTTAGCATGATGTATTTTTGAGTTTCACCTACACATTGACATTCGCACTGTTCAGAATCCTGCCAACATTGCATCATTGGCCAATGAATCAGTTTAGGGTTGCATCATTTGACATCATATCATAAAAATCGCAGTCTTTACAAGTTATACTTAAGCACGCTTTTGTTAGCGTATCGCCGTATGCACAATTAAATAATGATCTAGTCGCCATCGACAAGGCTGTAAACCTTTATTGAATTTCTTACGGTTCGGTGGTTGCACTCACCTTTTACTCAGACCACTGCAGACTCGGCGAGTATCACCTGCTGCAGCGGCATTTCTGGCAACAGCGACGCCTGTGCAGCAGATCCAGGTGCACCTGCCGCCATCTTTGCTGTTTCTATCGATACCACCGAGGTTTTCGCAGACTGCTCGCCTCGAATAAAGGCGCTCACACGCGCCTCCGGTAATGTCGTGTACAGACCGCTAGCTCTGTCAGCCTCGCTCTTTTCTGGGGAGCGCGGAGCTCCGCTGCCCGCTGTGCTTACTCGCACGCCGTAGTTGATGCTTCCGTCGCCTTGCTCGCTCGCGCTCTGTTGATTCTGAGCCTCGACTGAGACTTCTCCAATTGCCTCGCGGAGGCTGCCACCGCAACCGCTCTGGGCAATGGCGCTCATTTTTCTGGCGACAACATCATGGTGTTGAGCGCCAACAGGTGCAGCACGTGCAGCAGGCGCGAAACCTCCCTGGTTCTTAGGAACGATGTTCAATCGGTACTTGCGTTTCTGACCTCCGCTGTCTACGACTAACGTAAATTCGGTCGGCGCAGCCGGTGTAGGCGGTACGGTTACGTTTTCTGCAGCAGGTGCAACGGGAGCCGGCTTCGTATTCTCCCCGGGTGCCATCATGTCGAGGGCCTGATCAAAAGTCGTCAAGTCAGTCAATTGGATGAGGACGATGAAAATGGTTCCAACGTACGATGTCATGATACCAAGTTAGACTGGGGGTAACATTCTCCCTGCAAAACGGAAACGATATGGAGGCAAACGAAATAACTTCTCGTAGTAAAGAAAAAATTCTACATGACGATGACAAGCACATGAATACCTCACTCTTCCCGCCAAACAGGTTCCTTGCTCCTGCACGACGTGACTGGAAAACTGGGCCGACCTGCGAAACGCTCTCACTCGGATCCATGATGCTGCTAGAGCTACTCTCAAAATCACTTTCGTACTCCGTCGGAGCCTCGGCTGTTGTCAGGTACATTGACTCATCACCTTGTGCAGTGAGTACTATCGCGTTCGTCACTACCATTTTAACTAAGAATCATGTTGGAAGCACCACCTGCTTACTGGGATCAGATGAGGCTTGTCAACGTAACGAATGTTAGAGAAGTCGCTAGATGAAAGTAGTACCCAAAGTGTCGTCGTTCATACCCCGAGAGGACTTGCGGAGGAGGTTAGTAAATTTCCTAGTGGAGGCACAGGATTCTGGCGGTGGAGGTAAATTTGAGAGCTTCCGGTATTGCTGACTAATCGGAATTCTATCCGGATCGCGACGGATTATATTTTCCAAATTCGTCAATTGCTGACTACCGGCAAACATGCGCTTCACGCCTGCCGTCCTGTTATAGCTCGGCTTAGTCGAGACATCCTTTCCTTGTGCAGCTCCTGAATCGAGCGGAGACGCGGCTATTTGCTGGCTATCGTGGTCGACGAGCTCGTAGTCGATGATATCATACGGCATCAAATTTGTCCTGGCCGCTCCGGCCAATGGATTACTCGACGTTTCCTTTTCTGCCGGTGCGCGCCCAAGGGCAGACAGCGGATTGGTAAGAACCTGGTGCAGGATGAAACCTTAATTCTCGTATGCTAGAAGTACCATGCCTCCTCCCCCTCGGACGACTATGATGCCAAAGAGTTCCCTCCTTGCTACAACACAAACCGAGATCATACGACCTCCAAACATGTACTCCTGGTTAAAAAAATTCATTGTTCTGAAGTTCAAGATTTTGTAGTTATCAAAACGAAAGGAAGCTGGTACCTGCGGCGTTGGTGCTAAACTGCGAGGGGCCGAGGCTTCCAGCTGAGGCGCTTCTAGCGGTTCCACAAGGCTCTCTTCTTCCTGCTTTTCTTCGACCATGTCGGCGGGCGACACCTGAGCAGTACTCGGTGCTCGCGGAGTGACAAGCGTAGGAATAGCCGGCGTCATGGGTGACTGCTTCCTGAAATTGCAGGTTTGTTCGAACAAGTAGAGTCAAATATGATGTGAATACTATGCAGAAATTTGGTTTTCTTACATCAACAACATTGTCATAAAAAAACAGGACAGCGAACAGAATAGGGGTACTTTCCAACTTCCCGCTTCAAAAATCCCGTAATCTTTTGTGCCGCCAGTACGTTCTTTTGTGCTTTCTTGAACACGTACTTTGGCTTACACCGCTCTATTATTCCAACTTCTCCCTCAATTTGCATGTTCGGAATGAAGCTTTCCCCCTCGTCGAATTCGTACTCCGCGTTGTCGTTAAGGCCAGCTGCAAGTCTGCGCATCTGCACGGGAAACTGATCGGCGATCTCAATAAACTCTCCAGCGTCCAGCACGTCCGGGTTCGCAATTCGGTTTAGAAGAGTCAAAACACGAGAACAACATGTAAACAAACGGGGCATTGGTTTAAGGTTGACAATGTGAAGGTTTAGTACCTAGGAGAGCAACGGCACAGGCTTTCAAAAACGAGCCGTTCTTTGTCGTCCTTTTACTAAATCGCAAGTCGACGGAAAGAGTCTATCTTTGGCTACGGAATGAGAACGCCCGCCTTCATAAGTAGTTCATGTACCGCTCCGCGTAGTCCATCTGGCTGCTGAAGGCGTCCAGGATGCCTCGTTTGCTCTGCAGCGCACTCCTACCTTCGCGTGCTGCCTTGGCGATTTGGATCTCGATCTCTTTGTGCTGATCGCGTACCATTTTGAGCATCGTCTCGATGTTCTCCTCTACGCCTGCGATTCGTGCGCTGCACGTGTCGATGCTGCGCTGTAGCTGGTATTTCGCAAACTTAAAGTGCGTCTTCGATCGACGAATGTCCATCTGCACCTGAAAATGTGACGCAAAAATTGTTGGACCGAGTGAGAGGAATGATAAGGGTTTTGTATCATTTGCATGTTATCTCCGCTTAACTTTATCAAGCTGCAACTTCCCAGCTCATCAAAACGACCTCAAATTTAGTACCTGTGTGTGTTTCGCTGTTAATCCCGTGATGTGGTGACCGCGGAATTCCCCGGTGCTGTGATCTCCGATGACTTTGCAAAGCTGACATATGGGGCGAGCGCATTCGTCGCACCAGAGATCTAGGTTTTCACCCGGATGAGTAGGGCACTTCTTTGCCACTGGCTGCATGTCGCCGATCGGCACTACCTTCTTTTTTGTTTTGTAATCCGGAATGAATTTCTCGAATGACTCCAAGCAATCGTTGCAAAGTGTCCAACCCTCAAGCTCCACCGACGTCTTTTAGAGACAGCCGCATGAGAATCAAAAACCAGTACAGGAAAACTGAGTTTGAAACGCTGCTCCTCGTCTCATAAGAGAAAAAATAGAAAATGTACAAATTCAAATTGTACTAGTAGTGAGCGAAACACGTGGCATAACACTGCGAATCCGTGGTAACGCCACGCTCACGGCAATTGTGGCATTTCATGTGGGAGATTTCTTCTCTCTTCGAAACAGACTCTAGCTCAATGGCATAGAGAGGGAGCACCTGGCGTAGGCTTCGGACCCGGTATATGGCTCCATTTCCAGGGGATTTGATGGTCGATGCGGACATCATGCTCGATGAGCTGACAGTTTGCGACGCAGAAGCGGTGATTTGGTGAGATGCCGTAGTGCATGAAGTGGTTGTAGTTGACGTTGTCACTTGCTCCGTCGACGCTCCTCCCGCGATATTGAACTCACTGGAAGTAGTGCTTTCCTCTTCAAAGACAATCGCGTCGTAGTCTTCGGGTACACCGGAAATGCCTAGCTCCAGATATTTCTTTTCAGATGTCACAAAGGGCTGTTTTATGACAACTTTGCAAGCCAACAGCGCGATGCGCGGTCCCCCGTTTGCGCTCCCACGACCCGAAACGCGATTTGTCTTTGTCGTTGTGGTGGTCGTTGTAGTCATTGTGGTTACCTTCGTTAGAACTTTGGATTACTGCATCTCTTGTTGATATCTGCCTTTCGGTCTTCCTGTAGTAAGCTCCCTTCGTCTTCTTACTGCAACGGCGGGAGTGTGCACCTAGAGAATCTGAGTAAACTATTAAATCGCTACAAAGCCTTAAATTCGTGTGCAGGGACCCTACGTCGATGCCACCCCAACTAAAAGCCTCTTTTGGAGACGTCATGAAATTCTGCAGATCGGCGAGCAATGTAGTATCTTCCCCAGTTCCGCTCTCCGCAGAAATAGGACTCGCGCTTACCGACGACCCATCTCCACTTTTGTTGCCCTGATAATCATTTTTGGTTAAAGCTGGTTTCGAAACACGTTCATCTCAGGCCAAAGATTATTCTTGGCATCAATCTATTCCTGTCGTCTTGTTAGATTGCTTCTTCGTTATTGAAGATGTTACACATCATACACTCTGTCTTCATCTTCGAGTTTGGAGTGCCACATTATCAGAGATTCTTGTTCACATGCAACCACCGCAAAGTGATAATACCTGGACACCTGAGGACTCGCTGAGTTCCGCTGGAGACGAAGCAGCACTGCTTGATGAAGAGGAAGATGATGAGTCAATAGAGAGGAGTGAGGACGAATTTGAGCTGCTCGTTGGCGACTTTTTGTCCGCTGCTTCGGACCCAGTGGTTCCGCTTTTCGCTTTGTCCTCTGATCCTGTACTCGTGCTCGTGTCTCCACTGGGACGACTATTTTCTGTCGAAGAAGTTTGTTCTTGCGCCTTTCTCAGTGCTTGCTTTTTACGAAATCTGAGCTGAATACTCGTTGCGGCCTTAGTTTCTTCGGCACTGCCCGTAAGCCCCAATGTCTTCCGGATTTAGAGAGCTATTCAGAAAATAAGTCAGTGTGACCCGACGCATAATTTTCGCTTCCTAGACCTATAAGTCAGATAACTGATGAAGTACCAGATGAGTCAAGTCTCCGGCGCTGCAAGAGAACAATAAGCGCAGCCTTAAACGGGATTTTCCTCAGCTTTCTTTGTTTCTGCCTGAATAACTGGAACTGCAGCGTGTTTTTTGTTGCGAAAACGGCGCTGGATGCGGCTCGCAGCATTGTTGGCCTCCGGATCATCGCGTAGGTCTACGCCGTCAATAATCACGGCCTCTGTGTGTCGTCCCTTCGCTTCGTCTTCATCCTCTGCCACTGGAACTAAACCCGTCGCGCGCGCCTTCAGGCTTAGCGCGGTCCTCGTAGGTGGCGCAGAAATGCGCGGAGGCGGTCCCGGGTAGCCACGGAGACTACCCTCTGTTGCTGGACACGTGGCGCGGCCAGTAATGCCATACCCGGTGCGTCGATTGAAACGGGAGACGAGAGACTTCAAATGCGATCCAGCAGGTACACCGTCATCTTCCACCGACTCGTCACCAGCAACCACACCGTCGAGAATCACGGAAGGCCCCCTTTTGTCCGACAGCGATCCTTCTGACTTCCCACACTCCTCGAACAAGATCGACTCCAGACGACCTGCTCAGACAACATGGATTTCTGATCATGCTGATAGATCATATCGCGATAAGATCTTACCATTCATCATCAGAACAAAAGCCAAACAAGGTCAAAGGAATGGACTCGAAAAGAAACAGCAGCTTTTACATATGTATCATTTTTGTATCTTTGTTATTGTTCAACGTAACTATCTAAGAGACATTAGTTCACAGAAGTTATGGACGAGGCACCCTCTAAAGGAAGATGCTAGTCTCTATAGTATGAGCGATTTCCCTAAAATCCTTAAGCGCCTTCCTTAAGGAAATGGCATCCCTTAAGCAATTTCGATTATAAAAAGCTATCATGGGTCTTCCTTAAAGGCCAAAAATGTGCGCCAAGGAGGCCCCTTATTAAGGAGGCCTTGTTATAGACTTAGGCTAAGAATAGGCACTCCCCTAAGGGACGCCCGACCTCTTAAGGCGATGCCTCTATCTAAGGATTTCAAGAACCTGCCGCATCGGGGTCAGCCTGCCATGGCCAGCCTGCTAGCTTGGCAATAGCGTAGCCAGCTTGCTTTGCTAGCTCAAGCGTAGCCAGCTTGCTTTGCTAGCCTAGCTTAGCCATAGCCCTCTTGCCTTGCTAGATTGCCTTAGTTGGCGTTGCTTTGCTGTAGCTTAGCCATGGCCAGCTTACCTCGCTACCTTAGCCATAGCGATGCTATGGCCAGCCTCCCTCGCTAGCTTCGCCCTAGCTGGCTTGCTTGCTTAACCATAGCCAAAACCAGGCGGCTACCTTAGCCATAGCCAGCCCGCTGGCTTAGCCATCAGCATCACCAGCTTGCTAGCTTTGCCGTCGCCGGTCTGCTAGCCTAGCCAGGGCCACAGTGCTAGCTTAGCCACAGCCACCGCGCAAGCTTAGCCATAGCGCTAGCCAGCTTACTAGCCTCGCCACAGTGGCAGCCAGCTTGCCAGTCTTTCTTTCTAGCCCTGGCGAGCGGACTTAGCGAGTTTGTTCGTTCGTCTTACCTGTCTAGTTGCCAACCTACGCCCAGTGCAGCGAGCCCTTGATGGCGGGCCTGCTTTCTGGGCCTGTAAACATACTTTACAAGATGCATGGCACCGAAGTGCCATGAAACCTAAATTACAACGTATGTATTTTTACCTTCATAAAACTTGCACTTTTCGACGTCGAGTTTAGCGAGCGCTTGCTCTACGGTCGCAAACCGGGATGCATCGTAAGGCACAAAGCACTCGAAGACGCGAGGTGGTCGCTTTTTGCCGCTTTTCTTGGGTCCTGCGGCTACATCCTCGAGTGGGCTGCCACTGTCCTCTTGGCATAAGGAAACGAAGTCCCGCTCTTTCGCCTCACCGGGAGGGACCGCAAGCAGCACTCCAGGTTGCAGAGACGCATCTATCTCTGACTCCTGAATTTCCTTCTGCGTAACTCCCAAACGGAACTCTACCTGCTGCAAAAAAGCCCGCTCCGTGGCGGATAGGGCCAGACGGTCAACAAGCATACTTACTACACCTCGTCGGCTCGCAGGCCAGAACTGGTACTGGTCTTTGTCTTGTTTAGATAGTTCACGACCTGACTAAGTAGTACGCGAAGAAATGAAGATGATATAGTTTAGTGCGTTTGCTTCCTCGCTGTTTTTAGAGGTCACTGCGTTTTCGCACATCAATTTTGCAAGCCTGCCACGCTGATCAACTCAATAAGGTACAGTATTGTTGCTCATTTGCTAGTTGCCTGCTGAAGCTCACAACTTTTACCGACAGAGAAAATTCTGATGATCGTACATGCACCTTCACAAAACTGTCGGTTTTTATCCCATTTTGTTATGTCACAACAGGTATCCTTCAACCGTATTTCACCCTTTATCTTCATCCATAACCGACTAGTAAGGTTTGAGCTAGTTCACTTTCTTATCCTGTTTTTTGGGTGAGGGGATGGGTGATCAACATCATGACGAAGGTCTTTCCCTCAACCATTGCAAAAACGAGGATAAAACAGTGCTTACGGGCGACAACAGTCGTAATAATATAAATGTGGCATACAGTATCAAGTATGAGACCAACTTTCAGGCCATACACAATTACAATAGAAAACTTTTCGAAGTGTTCGACGCACCAGCTTAGGTGGGCGCAGAGAAAGCAAACACTTCACAGACCACGCAAAGATTTAAGGATAGAAAAGCGGTGAACAAGCAGAGGGCTCAATTAACCTTCAAAGCGCTAAAAACTTAAAACAAAAGAAACCAACTACAGACTCAGACAAGGGCAGATCGCAGACAGAAATGGACAACAGACAAAGCTTGAGCTTAGAGGTAGAGAGACGTGCTAAGAAAGACACTAGAAAGTTGCGAAAACAAGATGCGGCACCACAGCAAGGAGAGCACGATGACACACCTTTTTCGGCAGAGTCAACCGACCTGAAGATCTGTCATCCAAACATGCGACTCAAAATACGTAGAGCTCCAATGATGTGCACAGACTCTATGAGCTGCTGCCTTCCGTGCGGTATCATGTAGTTAGCTTCCCATGGCGGATGCACACGATCACGAGCAGAGATGTTCATTTCTTATTTGGAAAGTTTTCATGCCCTCCTTCCACTTTATGCGGGCACACATTTGCTTATAACACCTCTTCATAATAAAGAAAGTTTCACATGTAGTTCATCTTTCTGTCGTTTCCGTTAAATTCACTTCAGTGTGTTACCGTATCAATTCGACTCATATAACATCATTTATTTCATCTGTAATTACATCTGTACAAATATTTCTGACAGGACTCTTCACGTATCAGTGTTAGTAACTAATCAGACATTTTACCTCCGAAGAGTAGAACGCATGATAAATATTTTATAACACTTTTTCAATGCAATACAGCCCATTCATTTTTTTTTTTTGTATCGCGAGCGAGTTCCGTGAAGAACCTGCCTACATATTTTCCGCGTAGCATGACGAAGAGGAAGAGTTACTACATCATCAACCAAGATAACAACCCTGATCCTATGCTATCAAACAAAAGAGCATGGACTTCAACGCAGATGCTCCGACATACTATGCAGCAGAGAGCACCTCCTCGGAACAAAGGATATTACGAAAAACAAACATCAAGACCTTTTCTGTAGCAGTGTCGACAAAGTGATAAAAAGTGCCAGTCCTTCGATCATCTCTTTCCTTCAGCCATCTGGACGATTCTTGTCGTGATAACGACCGCGAAAGAAGACATCGGTATATAGTATGTCTCAAACCACAAACGCTGTATGACGTCGAGAAGACACAGAAGTCACAGTATATGCACAAAAGAGTCTACTATGCTGTGTCGTTTGATGTAGACCCTGCAGGATCGATCCCACATAGTTCTAACAAAGTCAATTGAATTTGACAGATGCGGTGAAGCACCACACCACAAGTTGACAAGTGCATTGAAACTAAGCAATGTTCCACAGAGAAATGTCCTAGAATTTATGATTGAGCCCAATATCCATCCGTTCAGATAACAGTCATTTTTGTAAGTAAATTTTGAGAATCAGTTATAGTCACAAGTTGTCCGTCCAATCAACAAGGACCTGTCGTTTTATACTGCCGACTTCTGCTTCTCCTGCTCCATACGCTCGTAGATGACATCAAGCATGTCATCGGTGAAGAGGTTATCTCCTCCGCAGCATCCCTTGGAGCCGTACAGGTTGCGTTCTTTCAGCCATTCAACAAGCTTCTCGCGCTCCATTGGGCGGTAAGCGATGGACTGGCCAGACGAAGGCGCGATATCAGCCTCCAAATCACGGAAGGCGATCATGTCCTTATTCTCTTCCCAGATATCATCCCACAATACAAACCTGAGGTGCAAATGAATTCAAATTTTTGTGCAAAAAAATATTTGATCTTTAAGATATTTTTCTGTGTGAAAAATACGACTCAGAGTTTCTCTGCCTTGCGAAGCAAGGCTCGAGATGCTAGGCAGGAGTATATCAAGCGTAGTCCCTTATATAAACAGACAAATCAACTTACTTGAACTTGATAGATTGAAGTTATTCAACCACAAAATTCTGAAACAAAGTACTTACTGCGAGAAAATGCCTTTCCACAAAACCCAGATCAACAACATGAATTCAAACATAGCAAGACATACCAGAGCGCCGACAACGGATGCGCGACACACTGCATACGCAAGTAAAGAAAGTTCAATCCCGCCTGGTGATCAGTGCCAAAACTTTTCAGCACCGGGTTGGTTTCAAACTCGTTCAAGTAGGTGAGCAGTTCTGGACGCGTGATTTTCTCATTGTTGTACACGTAGAACCAGAAGCCGTTGTGCAGGATGCCCTTCAGCGCTTCGAACCTCTCAATCGTTTCGGTGCGGTAAGTTGCGTAGCCATCCAGCAAAGGGTCCAGCTGGTCACGCCAGAGGTGGCCGGATGCAGCGAAGACCTCAGACATGCGGCCGTTGGTGTCGAATGAGTCGTCCACACCGAGATGATCCCGACCCTTAGTGCAGACGCGGTTCGAGAAGTGCACGGGCTCTCCCGTGCGCGGTTTGATCGCGTCACCGTAGCCGTCGCAGTAGGTCATGCTCAGCTTGAAACCCGCAGCCATAGCCTTGCTCGTGTTCGCGCCAAGTGCCACTTTTCCGTTCGTGTAGTAGCACGTAAACGTGACCGTGGAGAACACCACGCGCGTCTTGGTGTTACCCTCGCTGTCCTGGTACTCCTCAGTGCCATCCGGAACGGTCTCAGATTCGATCTGATCGAAGGGCAATTCGAATTCGGCGTCCGCCGCAGCAAGAGCACGGAAGCGTCGGCGGTTCCCGACCTTCTCAACAATGTCCGGCCGCTGATTCAACTCCAAGAACTGCTTCAGCTTTTCATTTCCCCAAATGAAGGAGACATCATCGCAGTCGTCGTACACCATGACCATGTGAAACGGGTAGGGCGTCACGTACATCTTACCGAAATTCGAAGCGCTATCCAGATTTTTGTCCAAAGTACCCGTCGCGTCGTCCCAGTACAAATCGACACCTAGTAGTAAGGAGTATGCACATTTGGTGAGATCCTCATTATACGTACTTAAAATTCATGCGCACTACGACCTAGAAGTATGTCTTCGTTGAACGTTCTTTGAGGTCAACGTGATCACAAATTCATGAGAGTTTTGTAAAAACTGCCTGTAGCGTTGAGCTCGTAAAACAAACAGAAACAAATAATACCTTCCCACTGCTGTCGCACTTCCATGCGCAGCGCCGCGATTTCCGCATCGTTGAAGCCTGCCCAATGCATCTTGATCTTTTCCAAACCGAAGGAACGCGTCTTCGCCTTCAGCTCCAGCATACGAGCTGCAACCTCTTCGCCGCAAGCGTTAAGCAGGACCGTGTTCCAGAAGGAGTGCCAAATTCGGTGCTTGATCTCGCGCGCAAGGTCCCAACCGGGAATGGCCTCTTTGCAGCTGAGGAAGCGCGTGTTTCTGCTGCCCGTATCAGCAAAGTCGATCCGTCCAGTTTTGTTCTTGTACCAAGAGCGCAAGCAGGGAAAGCCTACGAGCAGACAGCCAACCAGGAAGATGAAGTTCACGGCGTTCGCCGCGTTTAGTGTGATACCCAGAACAACGTCGAGTCCGCCACCGATCTTCGGCGTAGCGAGTGCATACACAAGTGCGATCGCGACGGTTACGGTCATGGCGACACGACCACTGATGTCCATGCGATCGCTGTTGGGATCCACGAAGGGAGCCGAGTAAGTCGAGAAACCGGCAAAGAGCGCGACAACGATGAGCGTCGCAAGACCCTGCATCGGATTCGGCTTCACTCCATGCACGTCCTTCATGTATTCCTCACATCCAGTTTTCTCCTTACCCGGAGCCACGCCGACCGCGGGTGGGCTCTTGGCAATAACAAATTAGAGGAAGATACGGACGACAGCATCAGGAAAAATAGTTCGATTACCATTGTAAGTAAGTGCTTAATTACTCTGTGCTGAACCAGCAACAGCTTCGAGCTCAGTTAAATGATGTTCAACTTCAAGCATTTCAGTTCAGTGTTCAACTTCAAGCATTTCTACACATGTCGCAATAATGCATGAGCATCTGCTGCTCTAGTATGCTATTGCTATGAACTCGAAGACGATATACTGAATAGTATATGTAAGTACTTAAACTTATCTTGACCGTAAAGTATGGATGTCTGCGAAATAGGTGGAAGCTAGTAAAAATCGCGTCTGATTATTTTGTGGTCTATGGCCATAATCACCGAAACCTTCGGGTTTATCGATGCACTGCTGATATGTCACGTACTCCGCCTCGGAATATTTCGTCGCCGCAAAGATGATGGGCATCACCAGGGCGAATTTGAAGAGCATCATTGCCACCTTGTAAAACGCCCACTTGCGCTCAAAACCCAAGTACAAGCTGCGGTACGGGCAAGCAAGCTGGTCTGGATCGGTCATTACGCGTTCATGATACAGCTTGTCCGTGAAGGGCACCTCAAAACCATCCTCATCGTACGTCACGTCCGGGTTCTCGGGACTTCCTTGGGGCTTGTTCTTCGACACCAGCCAGAATGCCAAAATCGGCAGCGGAATCACGAAAATAAGGAGAAAAAAGACCGCAATGCCGACCATAAGACCGGAATCACACAACAGAATGTCTTCCTTCAGATTGTCGGCCAAGAACCACTTGTACGCGACGTCGCAGTACCTATAATAAGCACACATCGCGATAAGATGATGGAAGAGCAAGCGAGAGAGAACTCGCGATAAACGTCAAGGCTGACTCTGTCTGGTTCGGAAAGGCTGGTTTGATATCGATGAACTATCTTCTGAAACTAGCACTTATTGGCAAAATAGGAAGTAATTATACTTAATACAAGATTTCGAAGGATGTTCTTGCAAGCGGCAAGTAGATCGAAAGGGCTGCGGTAAGAACCATGCCCATTTTCCAGACTTTGCCTTGTTGCTCCTTCTGCTTCTGGACCCAGTTCTCTGCCTCGTGTCCTTCGCGCAGTGCGTCTGTCTGCTCGGTAATTGCGATGTAGAGGAACCAGATGAAAAAGCCGACAAGAATGATTGCCACAATGACTAGTGCCACGATCGCAACGATGATCAAGACCTTCACCGGGATAATCTCACCCCAATCGATGGCAATCAAATTTCCGATAAAGCCCCAAATGGCGGTACCTGTGGCAGTGAGGCCTCCGCTGACGCCCGCGAACAGGCGCGCAAAGAAGACACCGAGGGCCTGGAAAACATCACGGAAAATTTCCAACTTCAGCAAGTCCATGCATGCAGCGCATCCGGTCACTGTTGCACCGACGAGAGCATTCATGGCGTCGGTCACTTCGCTTCGCGCCATCTTGTACAAGGGCTGCAAATCCTCAATGCCATCGGTGACCAATGCAGCGCCCTGTAGATAAAAAGTATGTGGAAAATGAAATACAAAAAATACCAGCCGAATCAGAAGAATTCCGTCCAGCTACCAGAACAATATCCATCCTAGATGCACGAACTCTTAAATCCAAAAAAATAATCATGCAAGTGTATATAACTGAAAACAACATGATCTCCAAAAATTGAAGAGACCGTTAGGACTTTTACCTGTCCGATCATGCCACCTGCTCCCGCGGCGATAGAGGCCCAATCGACCTTAGCCAGCTCGCGGCCAGCCTCAATCGCGGCATCAACTGCAACCTGGATTGCATCGAAGAGTTCCTTCATGCCCTCAACGCCAGCCTTTGCCGCGGCACCGACTGCTTTCTGCAGCTTCTCCACATCCTCATCGGATACTTTGTCCAAAAGGTTTTCACTGAGGAAGCCCCCGACAGCGGAAGACGCCTCCTTGGCCATCGGCACGCCCTCCTCCTTCATTTTTGTGAGCGCATCCAAAACGTCGTCCGCGACCTCGGCGCCGTCTTCTTTCAGCTTATTCAACGCATCCAGCATCACCTCGCCGGCCTTTTTGAGGTCCTCGACCTTGACCGCTTCCGCGGCCAGCGCAATGCCTGCGGCCATGCCGATGAGCGGCGCCACGCTCGCGAACGCGACAATTGCTGCACCCGCGATCAGCATTTCCTTCATCTCTCTCAACGGAGGCAAATCAATCTTTGGCAAGTCTGGGCGATTCGCAATAGCCCCGCTGACGAAGGAGCTGATGGCCTCGAACAAGTCGTGCATGCCTGCCATACCGCACTGCGCAGCGTACGCAACAGCCTTCTGCAATTTTTCCAGATCCACGTCCGGGACTTTGGACAGGGCGTCGTTCAAGGACGATTTCACCTGCGCCAACGCTCTGCCGACAAGGGGCGCCGCGTCCTCCTTCAGCTTCTTCAAGCTGGCGATCGCCTCCTCAGCTACGTCCGGAGCCGCAGCGAGCGCATTCAGCAAGATCGCGCCTGCGATTTTAGCGTTCTCGGCGGCCGCCTCTGCCGCTGCGCCGCTCATGAGATCAGCGCTGAACTCTTGGACGACGTCCATCGCCGGGCCAACGTTCTCGATGGCCACTGCAGCCACCTCGCGTCCGGCCTCAGAGAGTGCGGCAACCACCTCGCCCAGCTTGTCCCACAGCTCCCCGATCAGCGGGTCGTCGCCAGCGCGTTTTAGGACCGCAACGGCCTTCTGTAGAAGTTGCACTCCCTGGTCTTTCAGCTTATCGCAGATCGACGGTAATGCCTCGACGACGTCGGCAGCCAGACCGGCACCGGTCCTGAGTAAAAGGTAGTAAATTCGTTACACTCTTTTGAAATAATGAAAACTGGCCATTTGTTTTCATCATGTGCTAAACGTATACCGCATTGCTTGTTATTCAATGAACATGTTGCGTTCGCAGGATACAAAAGCTGATATCGACATGTAAAAATGTTTAGCATGATACTTAGACATCTCTTCAAGGGCCTTGCTGATCCCTGCCGCTTTGTCATCATCACCACCGGCAGCTGCGAATTGATCCTCAGCCGAAAGCTGCTCCCAGGCATCGGACATGAGTTTACCGGCGCACCGACCAGCCTCGGCAAAAGCGGCTGCGGCCGCTACGGCCATATCTCCGACGTTGTCGCCCAGCGCGTCCCACGGAATGTCGCCAACGGCGCTGCCGAGACCCGCGGCCGCATCGCTCAGGAACTTTCCCAGCACTTGGAACTGCTCCGCGCCCAAATCGGCCAGGTTCTTGCAGCCATTCAGCACCGCCTTGGTTTCCTCGCCGTCGAGACCCTTCATCACGGCGGAAGCATTGTCGCGCAGGAACTCGATCGCGCCTTTGCTCAACTCCAGGCCATCCTCCTTGAACTGCGACAGTTCAGCGACGATCGCCTCAGTGTCGACGCCGTCGAACGCACCGCGCTCGATCGCGGCTTGCAAGCCGACGTAGAGGATAGCAGCCGAGACCATCGCATTCTCACGGGCCACAGCTTGGGCTGCGGAGTCCAGCTCCTTCTCCTGCTGGTAGATTTCGCGCTTGAAATCCCCGATCTCCACATTGCCCAAATCCTTCTGCTTCGCCGCCTTCGGCATCTTGCTTAGTCGTAATTAGGATCACAGGCCAATATTAAACATCCGCTGTTGTAAAAACAGTCAACATAAAAAGAAAGGAATTTCAATTTTCTAGAATCAAAATCGAACGACGTGATTGAACACGGTCCATCGTCCTTGACTCCCTAAATGTTGATTTGAAAATGTGCTTGTTCTTACCTGTACGTGGCTTATATATATGAACAAACACAAACTTTTTTTGGACTGATCATTACGGTTGGTTACTGAGCAGTGTAACTTCTTATAATAAAATAACGGAGAGCTAGTATACTACACGAATCCGAGCGACACCAATGTTCAGCTAGTTGAAGATAATCGCCATATTATATCCACAACGCATTGATGCGCTTCCTTTGGGTACGAATTTTGTACGCTCGCCAAACAACGAATAAGGGAAGTGCCAATCTAAACCTTCACCTAGTAAAAGTAATGTTGAAGACTCCAGATTATAGTTTGGGGAAGAAATTGTAAGTACGGGAATAAACGGTTTGCAAATAATTCTCTATTTGAATGGGGATTGGAATGCTGAGGTCGTGCTGGAGAAGGCATCAGGGTTCAGCGACCCTAAGAGAATATCGACACACGAAGGTTACAAAAATTTGATACGACGATCGGTGAAAATTCAACTACATCTTTCTGGTAGCCCTCCATCACTCATGACAGATGCGCATGACTCAGTTCTAACAGAGGTGTACGCTTTTCATCAACATGGAGCTCAATCTCCTTTTTTGTTGGATAGAGCACAGACATGATTTCTCAAAGAAAGGTAAGTCGTACAGACGAGTTGGACTTTTATTGGCTCGCTAGACGTAACTGTATAAATATGTTCCAGGGCTCAGGGCTGAAGGCCCCCCCAATCGAACTTTTTGAGGGAGGAGGGCCGCAAGCCCCGGGCTCTTTTTTTCGAGAGACTGATGAGCGGGAAGGCCTCCAAAAGGCCGCCAAGCGCCCACCTCCGACCCCTTCCCGCTTCTTGCCTGGACCCTACGAAGGCCCCATCCCTGAGGCCGCTGAAGCACCGAAGGCCGGGGGTGGAAGGCCTCCGAAGGTGGGCAAGGTGGCAAGGCTGGACCCCCTTGCCGTGGTGCATGTACCAGACAAAACGGGCAAAGGTGGCAAGCCGGGACCCCCTTGCCGTGTTGCATTTTCCCGCACAGACCTGGCAAAGGGAGCAAGGCTGGACCTCCTTGCCCTGTCGCATGTACGCTACAGACCTGGCAAAGGTAGCAAGGACGGACCCCCTTTCTGTGTTGCATGTGTAGACCTCTCTTGGGAGGGCTCCTCACTCGAGGAGTTTGGCCCCTGCTGCCCCCCCTGAGGGCCAAAGGGGCCAGGCCTCGCGACCGTGACCGTGCCCGCCTTCTTCCTCCGGAGGCCGTCCCTCGGATAGGGTCCAAGAGTCGGGACGCCTTTGGGGTACACGCGAAGAGCCGCCAGGGGCCTCCAGCTCCGCCTTTTGAGGCTTTCCCCCCCGTGTGTCCTTGCATGTCACCACCGCGAAAAAAAGGGCGCGCGGACGCCGCCACCGCTCCATCCACAGGGGGGGCCTCCCTCCCTGGTACATATACAAATTAGCAGCATTTGGGGTAAGGTGTCGTCTCTCACATGATTTGACACCGCACCCTTGTCAGCTGCTTCCGTGGACCGATTAAACGACCAGATTGTGACGACTTCGACGCAGAGACTCAGATTCGAAAACAAATTTGCACTGGTCATCTTTTGGAACTTAATCTTAATCGCTTCTGAATAAAGGTAGCACCGTCGATAATTCTGTTTGCTTCGGATAGCAAACCACTGTGTCATATCTCAAGTCACTTGTTCTAGAAGATGCGCGTTGTGGTACTTGTATGCGCTATGCGTGATTCCGAGTTTGACTTGCTTAAAAAAGCAGTTATGCAGCGCGGGAAGGGATGAAAATTATGCGGGACAGATAGCAATAACGACTAAGCAATCCACAAATTCGCGGCTTCATCAAGGATCGATTGAATACCCCTGCAGACAACAAATAGCAAAATGACTTCTCTTGCTGGAAACTCTTGTTAAATGTCAGATCTCCACATCCTAAATCTGTAGTTACGAATATCTACATGGAACTGATGTATCTACTTTTCGTACCGGAGGCGCTTCCACACGAAGCTATTCTTCATGCCCTTGAATATTCTATTTGTTGGAGTCAGTTCTGACGAAATTGAATGCGAGTGGGGTCAAAACTCATTCATCCGAGATCAACAGTTACAGTGACAGTGCGCACGCACGAATATCACGGATGAAGTTTAAGTCAAGGAACGGCTTCACAGACGCCGTCGCGATAATCTGGCTCTTCGTGTTCAGCGTGTCTGGAGTTCCGATTCCCCAATCAGTGAAGTGTTGGCACATGTCGATGCACACTTGCCTTCCACGCGCACTGCGCAGAAAGATGTCGCAGAAAGTGTGCAAGGTCAAGATGTGATCAACATGCGAGTCGTCTGATTTTTCGTGCTTCTTTCGACGGTCAAAAGGCTCATAGACCATGCGCTTCGAGCCGCCACACAGTGTAAATGCTGTCGCTGAAGAAGGCGCCGATGTTGACGACATAGCAGACAACGTCGGTGAGGAATTCGGAGACGCCCGAGAAGCCTTCGCGCTCATCTGATTTGCGTCCGTACTCGCCATGCCGCCCTTGCTCTCGATAACATTTTTTACTATAGCGCGCCGCTCACTTGATGCCTCTACGGAAGAAACTTGTAAAATAGTCTTGGCCAGGACATTGTTGCAAATGTCGCGAAGCCGATTGAAATTCGTGGTGCTTGGGTACAATTTCGGCTTCGGCGCACCCTGCTTTTTCGCCTTTTTCTTCGTCGTTTTGGGAAGAAAAACACTCGGCGGATCGACATTGAAGGCGTTGCCATGTTTAAAGAGCCTTGGATCAAAGAAATGCAGCCCGTTCCGAAGATCTACCAAGATTTCTCGTCCTGCTGTGCGCTCCGCTGCACTCTCCTGTGGACCTCGCTCTCTGCGCATCTTTGCGAAAGCTTCGAGATCTTTATGACGCAAGTCTCCCAGCGGGGAGGCTGAAGATGCAGTTGTTGTTGCGCAGCCTCCGTCTTCTGAGGTCGCTCTATTTTCGCTTCCTTCATCAAATGCGGATATAATATACGACTCCGCTACAAAATCCATCATGTCGCGGAATGCTTTTGCAACCGAAGGGTTGTCACGAAGCTGCTGCATACCCTCCCCAAGCATGTTAAGCCCTGTACAACTATCTGCGCAGCCCCCGTCCTCGGCAGCCACGTTTCCGAGGACTGGCATAGAAGATGCACGATTGTTCGTGGTCGCGAATGGATTCGCATTATGCGATGGCCATGCATTAGAAGGCAGTGAGGATGCACCGTTCTCCTGCTGACGACGAGCCTCTGGCTGTTCGTGCCCATCATTAGACGCCTCGTCATGGGCATCACTTTCGCTGTCACTGAAAAAGCCATGCAGAGCTTTCTTCGGTTTACGCTTTCTCTTTTGTATTGGCAACTTCCTCTTGTTGCATGGAGAACCCTGAGGAGTCAAACCGCTTGCCGTTTGCTGCGCTGTCACGGTTATGACGGCAAGACCATTCACTTTCTCACCTCTTGAGCCGATGCTGTGGTTATCTTTAGAGGCAGATTCTTCTCGGCCTCGTTTCTCCTGCTCTTCCATTGCGTTTGTCACCTCTGCGTCGGTCGTTGCCTGGTCATGGGCCCGCGCAATCTCGCGTTTCAAAGCATTGACGCGATCGATATCGTCGAAGCAAAGCTGCAGCGTTTTCGTCTCGCCCGTTAGTGTGGTGTACGATCGCTTTACTGGCAACTGCAGGTAGCCGCCCACATGCACGCTGTCTAGCAGCTTCGAATCCAAGGACTTCACTCTGACAAGAATCGCGAGCTCCTCATCACAAAAAGCGAGTTGCAGCAAAGACTGAGCAAGTATGTTCTTTGCCTCGGCGTGCGAATTACACACGACAGACGTACTATAAACCGTGAGACCCGCCATTGTCCTGCTGATGTGAGCTCCGTTGATGATTACCGGCTTGTCTTTCTCCAGAAACGAAACATAGGTTGCAAACAGAGTATCCGGAACTGGTGGGTCCAAATCGTCGTCATCCTCCCCCTCATCCTGGGAAGATCCTTGATTTTTTGTTCCTTCCCCTGTTGGAGGGTCCCCTGCAACATCATTGCAGTGTTGATCGTCAAGCGGGAGAGGTGGCGGACAATCCCAGTCAGAGCACCAATTGCCATTTTCCGTTGGCGCCACAGCTGAGGACTGGCCGATGTTCTTCTTGGGAGACAGCGAGCTATAAATGCTATATTTTGCCTTGTTTTGAAGCTTCGGAAGGTCACAAACAGCGAGACACGAGCCAGCCGGTGTGCGTGCGTCCTTTACTAGGATTCGCTTCGCCACCTCGTTGAAGTCCGCGACAACCGGAGAACTCGATGGTACCTCAGGCACAGTTAAGCTTGTAATTACACCTAGGAGTTCGTCACTTTGATCGAGGATTCCACCCAAACCTCCCGAAGATTCAATATCATCGCCACGCGCCAGCGTGAGCACGAGGCTCATGCCGAAAGCAGCTTGCCTTGCCGCCATGCCACTCTGCCCAAACCCGCTGATCACTGTATTCAGTGCAGCCGCCTTCTTGTCGAGCTTACACAGCTCCGTCGCAGTTACTAGGCTTTCTGCAGGAATTTCCCGCCAAAGCACTTCGAGTGGAGAGCGCGCTCGATCAAATTTTATGCAGCGACTGGCATCGACCCCAGTTGCGCCGCCAGAATTCGCTTGCTCGCCTCCGACCTGTTCGGTTGAGGCAGCAGGAGTGGACAACGCCGCAGGAACTGGCAAAATCACGGAGGAGTTTCCTATCGCAGGTGTCATTACCCGCGAAAGGCCTACATACTGGGATGTACTACTACCTCCAGTTGACGTAGGCCCACCACCAGAAGAAGAACTAGACCATGCTTTCCCTCCGCCTTTAGTGACATTTCGACTTGTGTTTGCCTCTCCTAGATCGAATTCGTAGCCTTTATCGATACAATTTTTGAACACGATCGCAGCATCCGGCAGTGTCCGCGGAATCAGTTTGCTATCGCATACCACGGTCTGCATGCCCTCCATTCTTGTTGACGAAACTGCTCGCGAGGTACACCCAGCTCCCTCTTTTATGACTCGCTTGTTCTGCAGACGAAAGCGACGGTGCTCCCGATTCAAAATAGGATCTTTGAGCGGTTGTTGATACTCCTTCCCGTTACCCGCTTTCGTTACCGTGTAGTACCTTGCAACTGCTGCATCCTCTGAATCGTTGGTGCCGAAATCGACCGCCACGCGGTGACTGAAGTCTTCCTCACGTTCCGGAAGAGACTCGAAGAAAACCCGTCGCACCCCGGGCGCCGATCCCGCCAACTGCTTCACAAACTTCTGCAAGTCTGCCTGGTCGATTCGGCCGTCTGGAATGCGGGCGCGGAAATGCAACATGCTACGAGGGTCAAGCCGCGTGTCCTCGAGGATGCCTTTCTGCCCGGCGTCAGCTCTACTTGACGCGGCAAGGTCTAAAGAACTTCCCAACGCAGGCGCATCCCGAGTCGCTACAACAGCACCCCCGTGCGTCGTTCCGCGTAAAGTATTTTGCTCGGGTAAGCCATGGCTCGAATTCGCATCCATTGGTTCAACATCCTCAACACCATCTACGAGCCTTTGCTGTCTTGTACGAATCGCCGCAGTCTCTTCACGATAGGCATCCACCCACTTCACAAGAGTGTCGTAGTCCCGGTTATCCTCCTCACTGCTGATATTCGTCTCACCCCGAAGGATATTCGTAGGAAATGCACACAGTAGCAGATTCTTGAGGGCTTGTGGCGTGTTCTGCAGGCCGCCGAAGACTGCGACAAATTTTTCTCTCCAGTCGTGATGGTATTCGGGCGAAAACAAAAACTGGAAACTTTGAAGTTTGCGCCGCAAAGTCGCACTTGACGAAGGCGACAAAACGTGCGATTGACGGCACTTCTTAAGGAGTTCGTCTACTGCCATGATCATCGTCGAGAGGCGTTGATCTTTCATCGCGAATCTCCTAGCGAAGATCTTCACAAAGTCTCGCACTGTTCCACAGAACTTGCTACCCTGGTTTCTCTGGATCAAGGCGCTCCTGCCTTCCTGATCTTGTCCCTTGTGTTGACTTTCCTTGTGATACTGAAAGTCGTAAAGAAACTGCACTACCAGATTGCGCATCAAGATGGGGTCACTGAACTCGCCATCATCGAAAAAACGCCGGCAACGAACCGCTTCCCACTGCTTGTGACCTAAAACAGAGCGATCTTTTTCGAAAAGGCTCCACGGCTGTTGAAACGGGTCGCTGATGCCCTCTGTACACACGGTTGCCAGAATGATTGCATCAGCAAGTAGACAGCCCGCGTATTCCGTAACTGCACCTGCGCTAGGTCCAGAGCCACTTTCGGTCGCAAACTCACCGCGCGGCGCTTCGAGCGAAAACAGACTGGCATAGAATAGCAATCGAGCCAACGAGATGTCCATAGAGAGTGTCATCATCAGATGCCCGAGTGCGGTTACGCGCGCTTGCTCGCTTGTGTCGGTCAGTGCATGAGCGCGCACCAGGCTGTGAACTGCACCGTCCAATCGATCCATAGCCGGTGGTGACGGCACCTTTTGCAGGAGCTGTCGCGGTTGCAGCGCCAGCGAGGGATCGGTTCCGCCGGCTGCAGTGTCTCCTTGCACAGCGTCCTTGAAGTGCGGCTGTTCTTGCAGGCGCTGCGCGAGAAATTTTGCCTTGATGTAGAGCTGGTCTAAGGGCACCACGTTCATTTCCGGTTCGTCAAAATTCTTCATCACATTATCGTAAAAGTGCTTGGTAAACAGGCGAATACTGATGCCCGGTCCGGTACGCCCCGTGCGGCCCATGCGCTGCTTTACGCTGGCTTTAGAGCACCAGACTGTTTGGAGCATTTGCCCAGCGCCTCCGCTACGAGCAGCCGCGCGAGCAGGCGCATTTTCCACAGGCAAACTCGCAGCGGCGGCATTCGCGCCAGATGAAGTTGGCGGCTTCTCGCTGTTGGTGTTGTGGCTTCCGCCTGTGCTGAGGGTCTGCGCTCTCCGAAGGCCTGTGTCGACGACTACGTTGACACCGCAGATAGTCAACGAAGATTCGGCAATGTTCGACGAAATGATGATATGGCAGTAGCCTGTCTCTGGCGCTTTCTTTACCGCTGCGTCTTGGTCTTCTTGCGGCAAGTTCGAATGCAGTGGGTACACCCGAAACTTCAGCTGTTCGCGCCTCGGCAAGTGCTGGATTTGTTTGGTGTTGAAGTAAGATGAGGATCGATAATTGTAGTCGTTCCTACCACGCTGAAAATCTCCTCCTGAGGGCGCCTCATACTCGACATAGTAGTCATAGCTCCTTGGTTTTTCCTCCCAGTCGTGAGAGAGACGCTCGAATTCGGATAACTCTCCGTAAGCCTCCATAATTTCGGACATTCCTGGCACAAAGATGAGAATAGACCCCTGACTTTTTGCGAACTTCTGGACGATGGGCCGTAAAAAGCCGGCAACACCTTCATGCAACTTTGCTGGCAGGTTTGCGTTGCTATTGAAACTCCCCTGGAGTTTCTTGATTTTCTCCCGCTCGCGAAATTGCGCAATCTTATGCTGCTCCGCATTACTGCCGCTTTTACCACCTCCAGCGGCTGTGGAAGCGACGACTGCAGCGTTTTTGTTTTTGCCACCCTTGCCGCTTTTGGCCGCGGACGGCTGACCCATCAAGTCCTCGAGGTACACTTCCAGTACTGGAAACACGCGATCAACACCCACTTCAAGGACACTGCTCTGATCCACCACGCGACCTTTTACAGAGTAGTATCTCTGGAAAATGTCGTGCTCCAGGGTTGCACTCATCAATATAAGCCGAAAATCCTGTTTGTCGAAAAAAAGGCGCAGAATGAGATTTACCATGTCGGCGTCGAGGCTGCGCTCATGCACCTCATCGATTAGAATATGGGTGTAGCGTGCCATTTCCTCTGGACGATGGATCAACACTTCTAGGAAGTACCCTGTTGTTGAAAAAACGATTTCCCACGCATTCTTGTTGACCTTTTTACTAGTCTTTTTCGCGTTTTGTTGCTGTTGTTGTTGTGATTCTCCTTCTCTCTGCTGCGTGTCCTGTTGCGAGGTTGTCTCCTGCAGCGCAGCATTGTGTCCCCCCGTCGCGCGTTGGCTGATCTGAAAACCAACCGAAATTGCGGCAGTTTTGTGATTGAAATACAGCTTGTTCTCCGGGTTGCGCGTCTCGTTTGCCAAGGCTTCCTGCACACGGCGAGCAGCCCCTGTGCAGGCCAGTCGTCGCGGTTGCAGCACCAGGATTTTCGCCGGCTTGCCAGCTAGTTTTGCGCTGGCGTTAACGTCCTCTTTCTGCTGATTGGGTAAACGCGAAACTACCGCTACCCCTTCTTCCTTGCCGAGGAATTCCCAGGGATCTTTGAACACCTGCGAGTCGAACATCTCTTTGATGAACAAGGGCACTCTCGTACTTTTGCCACTGCCTGTGGTTCCCCGGATCAAGCAAACGCGGTGCTTCAACAGATGACACATCACCTTCTCTTTCTGGTCGTCGATCGGCAATTTAGGAAAGGGTTTGTACGGAAGCCAGGGAGCCGGCTTCGTGCCTTCCTCCTTCTTCTCCTGGTCCACTCGTCGGCGCTGCGCCGGCCTCTGGTCATCCATTTCGTCTCCGATTTCGCGTTGTCGTCTGACGTTGGGCGGACCGACACAGAAGTTGTGCCGCGTCGAAGTAATACGATCAGCTTGTGAAGCTCCTGTTTCAAGGACCCCCGATCGATACGACAATCCGGTTCCCCGTACAGCACCTATCTGAGCACTTTGGGCAAGTACGTTTCTCGCAGAGAAGTTGTAGTTGTAACTATTCGTGCTGTAGTTTTGTTGTCCTTGATTATAAGGACTGTATTTAGACCCCGACTGATGTGTGCCTCCATCGATTCTAGCAGAGCTCGTAGAGTAGTTGTTCTGCATCCCAGCCGTCTGCATAGTTCGATGTTCCGGCAAACTTGAAGCTGACGATTGGGCGTGATTCTGGTTCAACATTGAGCTCCCACCCGCTGCATCCCAGAGGCCCTCGTAGTTAGACCCAGTGGAAGACTGCGTTGCACTAACTTGGCTCTCACGAAGAGCACGCCTAGATGAGGCAGGACCTCCAGAAGATCCCGGAGCCAGAAAACCATCACGAAAGAACGGCAGTGCCGCATTATTTCTCGCATCATCCAGGTTAAGGCCCCTCGGTCCACGAATAGTGCGGAGTCGCAGCGAATCTCCACCGTCATGGGCACCGGTGTTCGACGCATAGGCAGATGCACTTGGAAAGTTAGAGCTAACCGATTGAAGTCGCAACATATCGGAAACCTTAGTCTGCGATCCAGTGCCTAGAAGATCGCCCATCGAAGTAATCTGAACTGCGGGCCATTGCTGTGGCATCTCACCGTTTTCTTTTTGGCGAGACGCCTGGTACAGCTCATCACGCCGAACACCTACATTTCCTTCACGCTGATGCAGTCCAGAAGGGCATGCGCCGCGTTGCTCTTGCTGCATGATATCAGTCGAAGTCCTCGCCCCCTGGTCGTGATGATTATCGGAATATCGTTCATATATGGCCGCCGCTGCCCGGGTAGCTTGGAGCAGGTCCGCCGCGACAACAAGATGTTTTTGCAGACTACCAGCAAAAAACTGCTCCTGTACCTCAACGTGCACTAGTCCCATTTCTTTTTTGAGCTGATCACACCTCCACCTATGTCGCTCGCCAATATCTCGGAGTGCGCATATCTGCGGGTCCTCGGAATTCTCGAACTTCTGCCAGTTATCGATGAAGAATCGAAGCTCACGCACACCAACTCCATAAGTCGACTGCGCTGTACTTTTCGCTCCTTTTGGCATTACCACAATACTCTTTCCCCGCACAGGCGTAGAAAACTTTTCGTTAAACTCACGCGCGCCCTGTTGTAGTTGTAGCGACCGGTGACATTCTGTGCCGCTAACATGTGGCATTCTTACGTAGAAAAAACATCCGAGGGTTGTTTCATTCTACGACACTGTGACATACAGGAACTCACTCATAATAAACTATGATTCGTGCTGATAGGTTATATCATCGAGAATAAAAAAATCACGAGAGATCGTCCCCGCAGACGGTCATAAATACGTTCTCTTCTTGCGCTATTTTGGTGACCCAGCACTTGAGGCGCTTCTCGTCGCCAAGCTTAGCATTTTTGAAACACCATAGCCGTCTGTTGTCTTTCGAGTAAAAAAGCCCAGCGTACTCCACAACATTCAGCCAGCATTTGTTAGCGTCGCAGAATCGCGTCGGGCTTTCCCCTCTGTCGCAAAACCTGTCGCGGAGGTTCGTGATACAACCGTAGCGGTTGTCATTGAACTTATCGCTTATGGTTGTCTGTGTGTAACGCAAGTCTCCCAAACGAATGCTTTTCCATTCTCCCGCCAAACCTTTTCCCGCCTCGCCACGTGGGCCTTTGGCCCCCTCCCCACGAGAGCCTCGATTCGAAAAAGATCTACTATTCCCGTTACGCCCATCGCCGCCAATACCCGTACCGCTTCTGCGACTTGTCTCGGGCTGACCCCCTTTCCTTCCATAAGAACGCTCCATCTCTTCGCGTCCGCTAGTCTCACGGGCTCTGTCACCACCTCGAGAACCGATGGGGGAGCGTGATCGGCTACGCTGAGGATCACCATAAGAGCCCGAAGCACCCGAACCCGAAGGACGAAAAGAGGACATATTTCTCTGTTTTATTTGCGATGGTTAGTACCGAAGTTAGTAGAAAAAATCTCGGATCAACTTTTTCGTTAGCAATGCTAGACTAACCTATTGATTCATGATCATCTTTATCCAAAGCAAATAATTCAATGAATAATACGCATAGACTCGCTATTTTGGCCTCCCTGTATGCATACTCCGTTTCATTGATTTCCACAAAAAGGGAAACAAATTGTTAGAAAAAAAAATGCATCAATTAGAACATGAATTTATGACCTGCCCCGATCCTGCAAAACTAAAAGACTTTTGATAATCAATGCACAATGAAGAAGGGGCTCAGAAATGTTAATCTTAGTCTATTTTCGACAACAGAAATTCGAAATTTTGATCATGGCGTTGTCGGCTTCAGAAGCCATGGCATATTCCATCATATTGTTTTCGTTCCACGTATTCATGTTGAGGACGAAGAGGCTATCTTTTTGAAAGTCTTTGTTTTTGCGCACCACCGACAACCGACTATTGCTCCTTCAAAGACAAAGGGTAATTGTGCCGCTTCACGAGGGTCTCCCCACTTTGACAATTTTGCGTCACAAATATATGAGAGATCGCCCAAACGTCAGACTGAGTGTGGTTCTCTGATCCTTTCATGGTTAATAGATGACTCTCCATGCTTGAATGAATCGTCCTAGCTCTTAAGTACTATCTCAATGGCAGCTCGCAGGTGACATCACGTTCCTTCGCATATGACATTAGTACGTTCCAGGGGTAAATACTGACTCGTGCGGTAACTATCGGCATACTTAGACATGCAGCCGAGCAATTGGAGGCTTCTGGTATCTCTTATCCCTCCTCTTAAAACGTGAGTTGAAGGTGTTCACTTCGCAACCTCGTCATGTAATGAAAATCATTTCGATGCTACAGACATCACAGATGACTTACTCACGTTCATGTCACCCTGATTACGCAAAGAAAGCGAGTCGACGATCTGCTTCTTGCGCTCACGATCACAGCGAGCTGCCTCTTGTAAACGTACGTGGTTTCGGCAACCACGCACTTGCACCTGGGAATGGAACTTCGGTGCTGGCGCAGCCTTGAATTTTTTCCGCATCTCTCTCTCATCGTCCGATGCCACTGCGGGTGGCGGCGCTGGTAGCCCCAGCCCAACCAAAATCCGCCTCTCCTCCTGTTCCAAGGCCTGCTATTGAGAAGGAGGATGTAGATTTCTAAATGTTTAAGACGAAGAACCCTACAACACGATCAAAAACCATCCTCTCATCTTTGCGAAGCAGTTTTGGAATAGATTTATTCTTGAGTACCTCCGTCACTACAATTCCAAATATTACCTCCGTCTGCAGGATATTGTGCATTCGAACGACATAATCGTCTGCTGACTGCAGGTAGCGTGGCTTTACTCTTTCGTAATTTTTTGGGATAACTCTGGGCGCAGGCTTGAAAGCTTCCACTTGCTCGAAAATTAGAGCCAGTTGCGAAAATGATCAAGACAAGAGGATGAGTGCTGAATATTCTCAAATGAATGTATTGAGAGATCTCTCCTTCCCTGATTCGAATCAAATGAATTGAGGGAACGGACACCGAGAACGCACCAAATCAGACTGCCCTATAATAGGCGGTAATTCATCGAATACAAAAAAATAAAACCCTTAACTCCTTCGTCCGTTGTGCGCGAGCATCACGGTCGCTTTGCCTCTCTGCCACTTGTTTACTTACTGGAGGCTCCGCCAAGCGGGACCACCGATTTGGGAAAAAAGGTCGTGACTTTGAAGGTAGCTCCGGCTCCTCATCAATCTTCCCTTCGTCGTACTGTGGCTGCGGAACGGTCTTCTCGCGTTGTGCCTTTTGTGCACATACTAGTTTTCTTGACGGAAGTGCCTGTGCTTCGCGAGCGTGCGGACGCGAAGCAGACCGAGTACGGTCGGCGACTTTATTCTTGGAATTTTGTGTTGCCGCAAGATGCCCATTAGTCCGTAGTACAGGCTTGGACTCCAGTTTCGTGCTCTGCTTTACTGGTACCACTCTTGTCTTCCTCTTGACATGATTACTGGGGATCGTCTGTTTATTTGGTGCTTGTTCACTGAACTCCTCGAGACTCGCAGAGCGTGACTTCTGGGCGATGGTCTGATGTGGATTAGACGTGGAATCGCTGCCAGCACGACGAGACTTCTGATCACTCACTGGTCCTCCAGTTGGGGACTCTACTACTCGCTGAGCAACACCACTGCGATCGTTTTGCTGCTCATCTTCAAGAGGAGAATCGAGTTGCTCGCTTCTCTTGCTGCTACGGCGAGAAAGGCTAGTCGTCGTGGAATGATTCGAACCGTCCTCCGAGGGTTCTTTCGCTGCGGACGATGACCGAAATTTCTGCAGAAGCCAGGCCACTTTTTCTCGCACATTTTGCAGCTCGAGTGCTTTCCTGTCTTCTCTAGTACCGGATGCCTGCTCTGTTTTGCTAGAGGCGGCTGCTTCTGGAGTCCTCGCTAGTTCTCGCTCTATTTTTGCCTTTCGCTCACGGAGTTTACTCTCTGAGCTCTTCGACGGCGCGCGCGAAGTAGGTCTTGTTCTTGACGATGATGCAGACTTGCAGGAATCATTCCTGTGAACTTTCTGATGCTCTCCTGGCATCTCTGCTGTTCGTGTTGATGAGGTCATGACATTCTTGCTGCTCCCAGTGCTGCTCTTACTGCTAGTGGGGTGCATCTGCATCGTCTGTGTGTTATGTTGGTTGCTGCTTCTCTTGCTGCTGTTACGATTGCGTGAGCTCGCCGTTGTGCTTCTTGCGGAACCGTGGGACTGAACCCTCGATGGAGCCCGCACGTCCTCCGCGTCACTGGATTCCGCAGTCGTGCCTCGAGAAGTCGAACGCATGATCTTATCGCCATCTATTTGCTGCTTCGGCGTGGTCGTACGCAAGGCACCTAACCGGCCCGTCTCCTCCTCGAGAATCCCGATGCTCTTGCCGTCCGGCGCAGGTGCGTCCGCTAAAGACGTTCCGCTGCCCTCAAGCGCAATTTCGCTTGGGAACATGAGTGTCCGCCAGACTGGATCACTGCTACCGCTACCTCCTTCGGCTTCTGGCTTACCTGCTTGTGCAGTGGAGCCAGCACTTCTGCTCATCCTAGTCGAAGTTGGCGCTTTATATCCTGCACCCGCTGCGCTGTTCGGATTTTCCATAAAAGCAGTGCTGTTAGTGTCCGCACTAACAGCGTTTGCGGCATCTGCGACCGGTTCCTTGCTTTCAGTTCTGTGTGCGACGTTGATTTTCGGAATTTTCGTTGGCAGGGACCGCAACTGCAGAGAATGCCGCGTCTCGGACGCAGTCATGTTCGATCCTGACTGGCTCAAATGATCACCTTGCGATTCTTCTGCGAGTCTTTCCCCTTCGATGTTCTTATTTTCGTTTTTACTACCACCGTTATCGGCGGCTTCGCGTGCGCCTGACTCTCGTTGTTGGTTCGAATCGACGCGCCCATCACTCTTGCAATTTCCCCCTGCGCGTGTCTTACTCTCTACTTCAATACTTTGCTCCGCGATATTGAGTCCTTTGTTTTTCTCCGGCGAGTTGAACACGAAGCTAGTCGTGTACGTCTCTGTAAAATTGCGCGTTGGTGCGCTGCTCCTCACGTCGTCTCCCTTTCCAGGAGGGCTTTTAGCGCAGTCAGGCGCAATTCTCGATGGTACATACTCAACCAGCGCCTTCTTCCGCCTACTGGCCTCCGTCGAATTCTTCCGAGACCGGTGCTCCTTGACGCTTTTTACTTTTGTCATCGCACTCGTAGCACCTGTCTGCTGCTCCGTAGGGCTATTCAGCTTCGTGTCCAGAGTTTCGCGAGGTGGAGACGCCGTGCTCCCACTCTCGAGCTTTCCTTCGTTCTGAGGAAGATGTTGGTGCGTGTTGCCAGAAGTTTCAGTTTGTAGAAGCTCCTTCCCCAACGCGAGCCGTAATAGACGTGCCAAAGTCTTTTCGGCATCGCCCGTAGACATGACAGCATCGAGCAATGACTCTGGCGATTCCTCATTCCCACTTCTAGGAGCGGTGGCCTGTGACAAAGGAGCGCAGCACGCTTCGCTTGCCTGGCTTGGAGCAGCAACACTCCTCTTGCCGCGTTTCTCATCAGCTTTTGGTCGTTTGTACTGTTTCGCGGCGCGCGCGGTGTGGCCTCGCGGTCCACACGCTACGATCCCTCCTTTAGGCGATGGCGCAGTCGACTCTGTCAGCGTGCGACGCGCTTGCTTGGCTTTGTTCACTGCGGGCCGCGCTGTCGTTGAGCACTTCTTAACTAGCACGGGAGCATCCGCTACGTTCAATCCAGTTCTAGGCTCTTGCTGTGGCTGGGAAGCCGAAGCTGATGAATTTGCATTTTCTGCAGCGCCAGCGTCGTCTGAATCTTTTACACGACAAGGATCAGGTATCTTGGACGAGTCATTGATCTGCACAACAAGGTTTTCACTCTTTCTATTCATGTTTTTTCGGTTTCTGCGTGCCGCAAACTCGCGGTACCGAGCCTGCAAGTCATCACTTTTCACGCTTCTCCTTTCGTGGAAGAAAAAATCAGCATTCAGTTCTTCACCCGAGGCTGCATTTTGCGACGCAGAAGGACCAACGCTGTTCTTTTCAGCATCTTCAAGATGTGATCCAGTCCGTAATTGACACCGCATTTGCCGCGTCACTTCTCGCATCTTCTCGATCCGCTTCTGCACAGCGTCCGTACTTGACCAGTCCTCTTTTTCTTCTGCATCGTCGTCTGCCAGAGCTGATCGAGTCCCTCGTGTTGGTGCTCCTGCTAGGCTCAATTTATAGTCAGACTTTGATGTCACACTGCGTTCTCGGTCCTGCGTGTTTCTAGACGGCCCCTTGTGGCCCGGCCGAGGCGGCGCGTGAGCGGGTCCCTCCAGCGTCACATCTTGGCGGCGGAACATTTTTGGCGCGGCAGTGATCGGCTCAGACTCCACCGGCGAGCGCCGCACGCCCCTTGAAGCAGGTTCGAACAACGTGCTGTCGTCGGCGTTTTCCGAAACACCAGGCGCTGCGTCGTTTTCAGCTTCTGCGATCTGTCCAATCACGGAAACTTCTTTGCGCGACTTTACTACACTCGGTGGCGAAGCCACGACAAAGTCCGCCTCTGCGACTTCACGCGACTGAGATTTGACACTCATGCGTTCTTCTTGTGCCAGTCCTTCTGAAGTTCTGGAGGCTAAAAAAGGCCGCGGCGGTGGTCCTTGAAAAGACGCCACACCCACACTTGCAGGCCTCGTGGGCGCAACGTGTTGCTGTTGTTCGATGACGTCTCCTGTGGTGCCAGCTGGATGACTAGTATTGTGGGATTCGGGATGAATATTGTCGGATGAAGGTGGCGTATGATGCCGCCTCCGTGCCATCTCGAACCTTCGCGGAACTAGATCGCGAAACGCTGTGCCCGACGCCACCCACTCTACAGCACCTTCGGCCGCCAGATCGGGTCTGAATAGGTCAACATCGCCTTCACCCTCACCCCCCTCGTCTTCTTGAGCAGCGGCTTCGTCCGCAAAGTCGCCAAGGCTCTCTACTTCCACCATCTCCTCGTAGTGCTCCACTACCTCATTCCCGCTTGCCACCCCATCCATCTCCTTCATGTTGTTGACCGCATGATCATGACATGTGTTCTCGTGAGTACGATCCGCATCAGAGACAGCCGTGGACTTCAGTCTGAAAACGGTCTCCACAGGAAAGTCACGCGTTCGACTCTTCACAGTCGCCCATTGCCCAGATGACGCGTTTCGAGTGTGTTCGCCCTCGAAGGCTGGCGCAGGCGACCTCCATTCCTGGAGCCGGATGTCCCGCCCTCGACCTCGATGAATCGTTCGCCTCATGTGCCCCGTCCGCTCTGGGTGTTCTAGGCACTCCGACGAATCAACTCTATAGCGACACTGCGACTCATTGGTTAGTTGTGGGCATCTGAAACTTGTGGATGCGGCCGACGGCTTCAGGACCATACAAGCAGTGAATTACGATTTGAATCTATCTGAAAGTTGAAGTTGTTCAGCCAGTGATGTGTCGTTGCCGAGATAACATATCATGCTTGTGCCCGAAAACTATACTTCATACTGATAATCTTCATCTACTAGCATGTGCTACATAGGAGGTCGTTGCCATAGGGAAATCAGACTAGAACTTGTGATAACACTAAAGAGTGCGATAAACGGGTGCGCACGATACAGCACAAGTACCGACGTGCAGTTGCATCGACTGCCAGACCGATGTTTTCATCTTCGGAAGGCCCATCGACGCTGTTTTATCTCGCTCTTTGTGAACCGAGAATTGGAATCACGCCTATTAGTTCCTCATCAGCGTTCTTGAGGACGAAACTTGATGTTGATTCTTCATACAGATCGATCGATACCATCTGCAAAAATCCAAAGGACACACGAACCACGTGCTTGCACGAAAAGTGGGGGCACATGCCTTCAGCCACAAACTGCATGTCCTAACCGATTCCACAAAGATGACAAGTCTCCACAGATAGTAGCTATTGAGTAAAAAACATTCTCATCAATCTGTATTATTTTTGCAGTTTTCAACTACACCTACACACGATGTTATTTATGATAATTATTATTGATTCATCTCCCTAGCCTGCGATGTCATGATCTATTGATTCTAGTACAATCTTCTTATGGATCCTAGTTTCGAAGCTGCTCTTTGGACTTTGCATGTTTGGCCATAGTGATGATCCACGTTTCATCTGCAGATCTTTCCGCCTAAGTACTTACGACGACGCGAAAGAAGTCGCGATTGAACTCGTTTTCATCCCTCTGAAACAGTGATCGTCGATGTTGACAAGCATCATTTGACTATTACCACGAACAGCAACACAGGCGGAGGACAGTTGAGCTGCATTAGGTAGCAAGACAAAAATTGCAATCGTAGACAAAGCTTTTCAATATCTCGTCCCAAATGGAGAAGCGTTGATGTAATTCTACGTGCAAAAACTTGTGTTTCCTACCCCCTCATGCTCATCACATTGCCCACTACTACAACCAGCGACCACGCGCTTCATCAAACAAGATGAGGATTGGGTCATCTCCAGTCGACCTCGCGTAATCGCTCCCTTTTGTAGTACGCCTAAGCGGTTGCGAAACCTACATGTAGCCAGAACCACGACTCCTGCCAAGTGAGCTGTGCCTTGATCCCAAAGTGGTTCCACCTGCGGCGCAGCTAATTCATGAATGCCGATCAGTTTCAAAAGGTCGTCGAGGACAAACGAGCACAAGCGTTACCAACATGTGAAGATACTGGAGGACTTGTTTTTACGTCAAATGTCGTCAACACAATGCTCATAAATCTCATGCCATGTCTCCCCTCTGATATGACCTGTACAGACTCCCCTTTATAACGCCAGAAGTACCTAAGTCGAAAAACGTCTTCCATTTATTTGACGATCCGAACATAACTTCACAAGTTCGCTTTTGAGGATCTTTTTTCGCAGCTGTACCAACTCCGTCTGAAGGCAGGACTCGGCAGAACGAAACATCAGATGATCGTCTTCAGCTTTGGCGAGTGCTTTCTGTAAATCAGAGCGTAGTTGTGCAACTTGCGTCTCGTAACGCTCGCATTCTACCTTAGATAAAATATACATTTGACGATGAGTCAGTATGTATTACTACATTGGTTTCTCGCATTGAAAAAAAAGAAATAGAGTGATTGTTATGTTTGCTAATTCTGCGACTATATATTCTTGCAACAACCGAAGGGCGTTGATGATACAGTCGTCGCATAGTCACCTTTTTGGTAGTTGTGACTGAATCTAACAACATATATTTATAAATATTACAATATAGGTATAGCAAAAAATTTATGTTGTTGATCATCAAGACCATTTTCATAATCAGATGTAGCTCCTCCCTCCGGTAGGCCTCTCTTTTCTGCACGGCTTCGACTTCCCACGATGCTTCTGACAGAGTGCGTAGCTGCGATTCCGCTAGCTGCAAACTTGCACGCATGTTCGTTGCCAGCTTTAGAGGTGGTAAATGTAACTAGTGACACTACAAAAGTACTGGATTGCGGACGACAATACTGGACTTCACACGATGGAATTGATATAAACCAAAAGAGGCCACCGAGGACGAGCCATGTCATCCTAACTCATCGCGAGCTTTCGCGGCGTCGATCTTTGCCCCAGCCAGCTGTTGTTCTAACTTACGGCTGTGGGCCTCGTGCTTGAGATTTAAGGTTCTCGCCTCTTCCTCCCAGTCGCTTTCGAATGTGCTCCGCAACTCACTGGTGAAGTCCCGCATTTCACGCCTAACCTGATTGTCATGTGAGTGCCCCGGATATGACCCTTCGTGGTCACCGTAGAGACAAAATGGCAGCCAACAACAAGGTCGATTCCCACAACAACTACGGTGAGAGCATGACACACATTCATTCCAGCAAGGTTGCATGTGCTCTCGACGAAAGTGTTGTATGCAGTTGTACGTCTAGTGTCGTATCACGCCTCTTTTTAAATTACTTCCTGTATGAGCACAGCACTCCGAACAAGAATGTATTGCGTTCAAGTTCTTTGTACAAGGCAACGTACCTGCGCCTTTGTTTCCTCTTTCGCTGCTTCCTCTCTGGCGGTAAGCTCGCGCCCCTTTTCAGCCTCTCGCTGCTTAAGATCGGCAATCTTCTGCGAGGATTCGTGCAACTCCTCCAATAAAACCTCCTCCATCTTCTTCTTCGCGTCGACCACGGCCTTTATTTTTCAGTATGACATGATAAGGGGTGGAATAGGGATAGGAAGTTTCAAAATCCTGCATACGGTAAAAGTGGATTACTAGGTGAAGAGGGCTAGCAGACAAAATAGTGAACAATGAATTCTATCATTCAAGAGCATTACCTGGAGTTCTCCTTTGTGAACTGCCAACTGCTCTCGGAGCGCTTTATCATATGATTTTGCTTCTTCAAGCTCCTCCCGCAGGGCTTGTGTGCGAACCTCTAATGCGTTTTCAGTGTCATTCAGCCTCTCTTCAAGCTTCTCCTTCGCTTCGGCAACTCGACGCTCGGCCTCTTCAGTTGGGACGTACTTGGTTATTATCTCGCACTCGAGACGCTGAATTTCGGTCCGCAGCTGCGCTTGACCGACAAGCAAGCGCAAGTTCTCTTGCTCCTTCTCTTCCAGGGTCTGAAAAAATAATCAAGTAATTTGCGGTTGTCGCTATAGAGTATAGAGTGTGTCTTCGTATTTACATCATTCGTCTTCTACTTAAATTGAAGTTGAAGTTGTGTAACGAAACTCACTAGGCATTAGAAAGACTTGTCGGTGCGATTTTTTGGGTAATATTGTCACTAGTACCTGTTCTCTTTCATCTGCTTCGTCCCGCAGTGTCTGCAATTCACTTTCTTTGCTCAATATTTGTGCTTCCAATTGCCGTGTCTTCTCATCGTTTACCCGTCGCAGTTCCGCCAACTCCTCCTGCATATCATTGCTCTCTAGGACGTTGTCAGCCTGAATTCGGGCGATCGAGTCCTTTTTCTTCTCGCATTCCTGTGTCTTGTCGTCTAAGGCTGTCTTTGCCCGTGCTAGCTCCTCCTCTAGTGTCTTTTCCCTCCGTAGAAAATGAGAAATCTCCGCTTTCATCAAGCTCAACTCCTCCTTTTGCCGACCCAGCTCTACTAGCAACGAGCTGTCATCGCTCTCGTTAGCACTCTGAGAAACACAAATACAAGAACTGCAACTTACTAGCGGAGTACTCCAGTTACTTTATACCAGAATCAAGAATCTTGAGTTTCAAAACTTTAATCTGAAATGGAAAGTACTGCCGCGAGCGCCTCATCGGTGGTTGCCTTCCAACATAGTCGATCGGCCTCGTGCATGACTTTTTCTGCCTCTAGTTCGCCTCGACACTCGCTTGCTTCATTGCTTACTTTTTTCAGCTCTCCACGCAGTCTAAGGTTCTCGGAGCGCGCAAAATCTGCGCTAGCGCGCGCAACGAAGAGTTCCTGCTTCAACTCTGCCTTGCTTTCGTCCATTTCTTCACTCTCGTCTGAGGTCCTAGTCTCATCTACACCAAGGCCGAGAAACCCCGCTTCAGCTGCGTACACTGCTGCCGCCTCTGCCCTCATTTTCTCCCTGTCTCGCTTTGCGTACAACTCGGCTGAAGATGAGCACGGAATACTTGTGGTCGAACCAGCGCCGATGGAACAGGTGGTTGCCATGCGAGGAGGACAATTGTTTGCATCACTCGTACTAGGTAGTGTTGATGTCCCATTCACGGCTATTGATGCTCCTCCATTACGCGGAGACGTGTGTTCCGCAACACGGAATGTGCTAGAGGACTCAGCCATCTTGTTCTCACAACTAGTAGCTCCATCTCCTGTCCCATTTTTCTTCTGTAATAGTCGCTTCAGCACGTCAACATCTTTGCCGGTACTACCGAAACGCTTACCCTCGTCTTTTCGCAGCAACGAGAGCGCCTTTCTTGCAGAATCCTGCTCTAAACCCGCACGTCTAGTGGAAACCGCACTGCGCATCTCTGCATCCTCTTCCGCGTCAAGAAACTTTTTAAATGAGTGGGAGAGACTCACGATCGCAGCATAGTTTAGATCTCTATTCATTCATTGTTCGTATTTACACGTAGTTGAAACAACTGATTCCTACTGTTCGTATTCGGAAGAGGATGTTATGTCGCTACCTGCTCTTCCTCCCCGTCGTCGGAGTACCGTGCCTGCAGCGCTTGGAGCTTGAGACGCCAACTTGGGGATGATTCCGACAAAGGCGTGGAGTCTGAAGCTGGTGGCAACCTCGGCGGTAAACCGCTACTGGGCGGCGCTCTCGTGTTTACCGCACTCTCCGCGCCATTGCGGACTAGTGACGAGGATACTCGCGGCGTCAGCATTTTCATTCCGTAGACGTCGGACTCTACCATGGTGGGCAAAGCTTGAGGAGACGTGCTATCAGTCTTCGTCGTGGAGGTCATGGAATGTAGTCGCTCGAAACTCTTCTTATATCCACAGAGAGTTAACTACAAGCGGATAAATTAGTCACGTTCAAAGCCACATGAAGTAAAAAAACAAAAATAGTCTTAATCAATGGATCTACTTTGATCCTTCGGGCTAATTCATAGTAGGCAACCTTTTGGAGATCATTGTATTTGCTGAGGGCTGGGAGGGACACAGTCACAACCTGGATAGCAATATCGAACTCTTGTCCTTTCCGGAAAGTGTTTTTTTGGTTATATCTATATATATCTTTATACGTTTTAGGGCTGCACGGTGCCCCCCCTGTGGTGTGGTCTGTGGTGGCGCGCGCGCGCTTTTCCGCGCTGATTTTTGCGGATTCTAGTGGTGGAAAGCGTCAAAACTTGGCGCAGGCGGCCCCTTGCGCCTCTCTGCGTGTTCCTCAGGGACCTCCTGACCTCTGCTGACCCTCGTAGGCGGGAGGTCTCCGGGGTAAAAGGCCGCCGAAGGCATCCACGGTCGCAAGGGCCAGCAAGTCGATGACCAAGGGCCCGGAGGGTACAGGCCGCACGGCTCAGGGGGTCCAGCCCCTCGCCTTTTGCCGCCTTCGGAGGCCTTCCACTACCGGCGCACTGCTGCGGCGGCGAAGCATATCGGAGGCACTTAGGGCACAGGCACGCACCTGGAAGGGGGCGCAGGCGGTCCCTTGGGCCCCTTTTGAAGCCTCCCACCTACATCGGAGGCCTGTAAGGAACAGCCAGGCAGCGGGAAGGGAGCGGGGGAGGCCACTTGGCCCCCTTTTGAGGCCTTCCACCCCCGGCAGACGCCTTAAAAAGGGGTCCGGGGCGGCACGGTACCCCCCCTAGATCATATATAATAACCATATCCGCAAGTCGGCAGTTTTCAGTTCACATTTTGCCAATGTTTCCTTTTTCCGCATTTTCAAAAAGCCAAGAAACACCCTTTGCACCGCAAGTCGTTCGTTCGCATGTGCCGCGTAGTATCTATTCATTGTCATTCTCATGAGATGTCACTAATCTTCATTTTGTTCAGGGCGAAAAACGTTCAATTGTTTTCTTTGACATTGCGCTTCGTTAAGTGTGTTTTAGGCATGCATGAAAAATTTTTCCGTGTCTAGAGCCCACCAGCTGCTACACCTCCATCTTCCCATAGGCATAACCATTACCCGACACTTCCAAAATGCCAATCATATTCCCATTTCCTCTGCAAGATTACGAGTATTTGGGGCCGATTTTTTGAGACTTACTACGGTACCGGCTGCGATATACTGTGCGCGCGACGCACGTGTGTTTGTCAGTTGGATACACATATCTACCCTTCTTCGCGCGTTTCAAACGGAATCTTTGCAACTTCACCTTCTTGATATTCCACTCCGCCTGGTCGTGTCGTCTTACGCCCAATGCAGGGGCAACCTTTGGCCCAGGCACACCAGGACGATGCGAATTTTTAGATGCCCTGGTTGGCGGCTGCGGGAGGCGGAGCAGAAAGCTACTTCTCTGCTGATATTGTTCACCATTTCCCGCCTCCTGCAAGAGGTTCTCTTCGTCAAGAAAAGCCTTCCCATTAGGTCTTTGAACATAAGGCGAAAAAGGTTCTTTCCCGAAATATTGGGAAATAATCGTTGGGCCACCGATACGAAAGCAGCCCTTTGCTACCACCTCACAGGACAGGTACCCAGGATTACGCAAAAGAAGCCTTTCTGGCTTCCTTTCACGACCTAGATCACCAGCATCTGCAGCGCGATCATGGTCTGCCTCGGCGTCATCAACTTGTGCTTCCACCCGCTTTTCTTCGCACGTGCTTCTATCGTCAAAAATCGATGAGCCTTCGGTGGCGGCGGCGGCTTTGCGAGTCCTTCGCACGAGTCTCTGCAAGTTACCAGTGCACAGCGTGCCTACTTCTGGCACGGCGAAGTACCTATGGAATGGGGCACGATACCGCGCACGGCGCAGTGCTGTGGCCGGACTGCTGCATTGTGACACACGTTCTAGCTCGTGCACCGCGATAGTGCGAACTTGCTCTTCGCCTGTAAGTAGTCCACCACCTGGTGAGGGAACATATTGACTTTCACCAGTTACACCCAGGAGACTATCGAGCGCAGAGCGAACACCCGCACTGCCAAGACTAGTGAAAAGCACAGATCCTGAAGAACTCGAGGCAGCTCGGTTTGTGGATTGAAGAAACAGAGGAATCCCGCTTGGAAGAATGCGCGCACCCGCGAGTAGCGGCACTATGCCGCCGTCGATTACAACTTCGGTATCGACACATCGAACGGCATCCTCAGGCCGAAATTGCCAGATACTCTGAGCTATACGAATGCGCTCTCTCAAGTTCGCAAATGTCAATGGACACGGCTTCGCACAGCCTGCACCATACAAATGTATCCTACTCAATGCGTCGCTAGTTGTCCTTTCACCGGTGTTGCCGTGTCCTGTATGTGTTGATGAGAAGCAAACCCGATGAACGAAAGAAGGACCGTTCAAATTGTTTGTCGGAGTACAGCAAGCAAGTGAGTCGGAACTCTGTGCTGGTGCTGTCAGTCATGTTTTTGCAGCTATACGTTCTGAACTGAACGCAGGGAAAAAAACTTTAAAATTACAATAACTTCGTAAAAGCCCCCTGGAATCCGATCAAAACTTTTTGTGAATCAACGTCTGTAGTTGCGTAAGCAGTCTATTAAAACGAGACAAATACTTACGGAGTATCCTCTGTAGCCTTGCAGACAGCGATGTACCGGGGTCCAAACCTAGACCAGCTGCACGCGTTAGATCCTCATGCGGAAGCGCGGTGCGATGCGCCAAAGCCGCAACTTTCTCTGAGTTTGAAAACACCTTTTGCACTCTCGAGAGTGCCAATCGATGCGCCACATCCTCCGCACTCAAAATCGACGTGTCTATCGGTACCGCGCAGTAACCTCGCTCCCACACAGACGCCAGTGCGAGCAACACGTCAGGCAATGAACCGCAGACAGCCACGCGCGGAACATTATTGGCTTCCACACAAGTTCTTGAGGTTCTTTGGCTTCCATGGTATTCGTGGGTTGCTTCTGGCGCACCCGACTCGTAATTGTTCCAGTCAATATTTATGCCACGTCGATGCTCTACTTCAGGGTCCTCGACGAACTGCCGCGCAGAGGCGCTACTCTGTGAACGAACGCTGCCCGACAAAAACATCTTCTGCCGCTGCTCCCTGTCTATGCATCGTCGCCCACACAAAAGGCCTAAGCCAGCAGCTGACGCAGTGACATTTGTTTTTGTCTCAAATCGGACAGTCGCTCGCCGCACTTCGCTCGTGGGCAACAGAAGCTTCATAACTGCATCTCCTTGCCACCAACAAAACTAGCTGCATTTCCTCATCCTCAAAACAACAACTTCTGGTGAAAACTCGAAGCGAACCGTCTAGATAAATTCAGATAAACGACATCCTCATGGTGCGAAGCAGCTCAAAAAAACAAGAGATTTGTGCACTTCGCACCACCGTCCGGTGTATTCGTTCATTGCACCAGGTGAAAGTAACGAACATCACCATTTCTACATCAAAAAGGCTGTAAAAGCCGCAGAATCAATTCACTTCCTCAGCGATCGTTCATGGCATAGATTGACAAATCAAAGACACACAGCAGCATGGTCGAAACCCGATCGAATCATACAGTTAGATTTTTATCACTAACTCTAGAAGCGACGTCGAGATGAAATATGCGAAGTGTATTTCCGGAAAATGTAAACGGAAACAAATCTATCATGATAAAGTGTGAGCGTGACAGTGTATCAAGCGTAGCTAATGGCTATGAATAATGTGCATAGTGATGGATATGACAAGGCGATTTATCGTATGGATTTCATAGTCATCGGTGTCGAGATGAGTTTGCGAAGTATTTTAATGTTTATGTGGTCGGCGCGTGTGTTTGTGTCTATTAAATGGTTTCATGGTGGGTACTAATGATGATGGTCTGCAATATCTTGATGTTCGTCTTTCCTTATCAGCCGGATTGAAAATTTCTCCACTCTATAATGAACATGAGCCGCTACCCAAAGCCAAAGGAGACTGCTCCTCCTGCAGGATGCTCGTCAAAAGGATCGGTGTCTGAGTAATCCGCATCTAAAAAGTTTGCCGCTAAGTCGATCGGCAGACCCCCAGTCTTTCCGCCACTCTTGAGCATGCCACCGCTGTTCAGCATTCGCAGCACGTCGCCAAGCTGCTCATCCGCTTTCGCGCCTTCTCTAGATCTGACCTGTTCGCACGGACGCACAGGGACATTGGAGAGCACAGGATCAAATCCTAGATCGTACACGGACTTGCGAATCATGTCCTCGTACAAAGGAAATCCCTCCCAGGGGTCAAACGTCATCGAGTCCTCAGTCGAAGCATTGGAGGCACGATCTGTTTCCGCGTCGAAAGCGTCTAGTACCGCTGGCGCAGGTGCTCTGTCTGATGTGGTTTCTGCAGTATTCTCCGCCAATGGACGAAATTCCAGTGCCCCTCGTTGTCTTTGCTCTGGACTCCGAGGTAGGGTAGTTGGCAAAGTAGATGATTCTGATGCGTCAGGAACAAGTCTTCCCTCCTCCAAACTTCCTCTAGCTACGAGCTTCTTCTTGCTGTTAACTCCGTCAGCGACAGATTCTAGTGATGTATCGTCTCGCTCTTGAGCATCACCCGGAACATGGGCCCTGGACGCAGAATTCTCGTCGCAAGAAAGATCTTGTATCTTCCCAACATTGATCTCACCGACAAAGGGTCCACGTTGACGTTCTGGCGAGAAAGACATTGAGGCTGCGTCAGCAGTTCGAGGAGACTCCGAGAGTCCGCGATGGGGATATTTTTCAAGAATCAGCTTCTGCGGTGTGCAACCGACCGAAACACCTCGCAAGGCCGATCTCACTTGCTCAACAGCCGCAGCAGCGTCATCACTACATTTTGAATTAATGGGGTGGAGGTAACAGAGGAGCGCAGAATGCATGTAAAAAACTACATCAACATCATCATACTTCTGCTTACTTTGCTTTCAATTAAGTGCTCGTATGCTTGCTCGTGTACTGGCGACCCAGCCTAAAGAAGATTCGAAGAAAATACCTCGCTGTCTTTTCGCGAGGTGAGCGTCCAGGTGTGGTTGCCTGAGAGGACTCTGAACTTGTCTCCGACGAATCGGATGACGATGACGCCGATGAACTGCTATCGTCTTCCTCCTTCAGGACTGGCGGTGAGCGTTCCCGCAACATTTTCGAAACCAGCGCTACTTCGTCGTCCTTCGAGGTGGAAAAATCCTCGGTACCACCGTAGCTTTCAGTGGGCGAGCTGAGAGTAATGCCAGGCTCTTCACTGATTCTGCCAATCGCTTCAGCAACGGAAAGGGGAGACGTTGAGTCTTGTGGAGACAAGTTGCGCTTGTCCGATGAAGATTGGGGGCGGTTCTCCTCACTAGAATCTACGGAAATCATATTTTCTGTGGGAGGAGGGGTGGAGGTGAGCTTCTCTCTAAACATCTCTTCTCCACAGGAGGAGTATTGATCGGAAAGCGGACTCGTCGTGTGCAGCATCTTATTGGCACCTATCATTTTGAAGTCTGATGCGCCGCTCACAAGATTTTCAGATGCCGAAACTTTGCTAGTCGAAGCGAAACTGGCATAGGCAGGTAGTCCCCACGTCGAGTTCGCCACAATCGAGTGCTTTCCGCACCCCACAATCAGTGAGCTGGTTCGTGCCTTTGCATCGTCGGTTGGAGACGCTGACGTTTGCGTTTGGTCACGAGAATCATCGACAGATTTCGTCCCGTGTAACAAGGAATCACGCACAGAACACGTCTCCTCCTCGCTCGGGGAGAGACTGGTTGCGACACGACAGCCTTCTTGATCTAGTTTCGGCATCCTGCTACTTGAGATTCCCAGCATAATGCATTCTTCCCTGTTCTTTTTAGCACTAGATGTTACTGCTTCGTTCTCTACCACGGTCGCGCTCTCATCCCGGTCGACACACGTCTGTCGTGCAGCTGCGGACGAACTGGAAACACGGCCGTCCGGTTCGAGCGAGTGACCTGAGTCCACAGGCTGCTCCGTCAGCCTCGATATTTCACGCAGGCTCGTGTCGCTCATGCGCATCGACGATGATGAAAACGCAGAACACGTCGATGGGGCCGCGGTGGATACCGTGGTGAAAGAAACGTCGGCTTTTATGCCCCCTTCTGCAGCAACGAAAGATAAAGACGGAGCCGCTGACGCTGAGCTCGGCCGGCTTTCCCCTTCGTCGGCATCTTCGGCAGACACTTCTGATGACATTCGCCTCGTCCCCGTCTCCATGGGAGTCGAACTCGCGAGCAAAGAAGGGGCTAGCACCGCAACGACAACTGAAGCGCGCCCCTTTTCATCGATGGGTGACGCATTTCCCTGGTCGTCCGGCAGCTCTCTATCACAGGCGCTCATCGTCCTTACTGATTCGCGCGACGTCTTTGCAGTCTTAGCTACTACCAGTGATGCTGAAAGAGTGCCAGTAGCGACAAGATCATCGTCCTGCTGCAAGGATATTCTTGATTCCGACTTTCTGTTCGTGGTTATTATGGTAGCAGGCTGTTGCTCATTCGCTTTGCTGACTGGACGAAGTTTTTTCAGTGCATCTAGGTATATCGAGCCCGTCGGCCCTTCCTCGGGGTCGTCTCGCGCAAAAGTTTTTCCCGGTGGCGTCGTCTTTCTCATAGCTATCGCTCTCTGCTCCTGATGCGGCACACTTGACGAAGATAAGTGTCCAGCACCTGTTACATCCGATGCTGGTGCAAGACCTTCTAGACATGATTTCGCTGGCATTGTGCTGCGACCCTGCAACTTGGTTTCGCTCTCATCGTCATAGTTTCTTCCACCACCTGCAGCACTGCCTAGTGTCGCTGAGGACGAAGAAGCAGGTTTCGCCAGTGAAACACCGCGTGAAAGACTTCGACCAGTAGAGGTTCCATGCCGCACTGACCGCACTGGTGAGAGCAACTGACTCTTCAATCCCCCGCTGACGGTGGTCTCGTGACCACCACCCACTCCTTCTCCACGCCTCGACAGGCGCTCCACTTGGCGGCGCACGAGCCCCGCACTGGGCGTACTCGGTGACTGCAATCGTTGTCTACCACTACCCAGTGACGACGTTGACGAAGCGATGCTCTTTATCCCGCCACTGGAGGACGTGGAACTGTTCATTCCATCCGTGCGCTTGCTCAAGACAGGTGAGAGCTGTGAGGAAGACACGCCTCGCTTTGCTCGCACCGACGACGACCTCGCATCGTGCTGTCGTGGTGCGTGCAGTGACCTAAAGCTAGAAGTTCCTCCACCACGCTGTTGTTGGCCGCCAGGATGAGTTGTAGATATTTTGTCTCCCAGACTAGAACATCCTGAGTAAGTGCTAGGTCCCGGTATGACCGTGGTGTGGGACGATGATGCGGTACTGGAGATTGCTCGATTTTGTGTGGCGCCATACGCTTTTATCGCCAAACTGGTACTTGGTAGGCACTTGCTCGCGGAACCTCGCGAACTATTTCGCGGGGGTGGCCTGAATGGTGGAGAGGCCGTTGCTGCAGGCCCTGGCGGGGCCAAGCGCGACCGCCCACTCAACAACCTTCCCCCATTGTTGCAGCTCGAGGAACGGCTGGCTGCCCTGCCTGGCCCACTGGCAGAAGACGCACTGCTCGCTGCCTCACTTCGTCGCGTGCTTCCGACAGAGGGAATCCGCTCTGCTCGGTCTGTTGCAGGCGGCCAGCGAGCACGAACTGGGCCAGCTGCTGGCGATGTGCTTCGGCCTTTAGTACCAACAATTCGGTCAGGTGGCTGCAGAAACGAGCTTAAAGTCATCATCCCATCACCACCTTGTAGGCGAAACCCTGTCGACCGACCAGCGCCTGCAGTTTGTCGCGCAGACCTCGCAAAGTCAGTGCTCGACGACGCAGGCGCGTTTTTCGACCATGGTGCCCCAACAGCGCTGGTCGGCATTACTGGAAGACCAATGGAAAAAGGGGTCGTTGTACTTTCTTTACATAGTGTGTCATTGAGAAACACTCAAGATTACATTGCCAATCTGAACTTGTCTTCTTCCTTGTCGGCTCTCAATTTCAGTCCTCCGCAAATACGAGATACTTCTTAGCAAAATACCTGGAACCGCTGGCGATGTGATCTTTGTTGATGAGTTCCATCTTGGCGACGCCTTCTTCTCGAATGCTTGAATTTTGTCCCTGACGGTTGTTCGTTCATGCGAGGAACCTCTTGAGGACGAATGGTCGTGTCCTTGCTTTGCAATTGCCGGTGGCTCGAGATAGCGTCCTGACAAGCTCGGCTGTCGGCTGCTAGCCGTGGATGATTGCACCGGTACGCCTGTGTTGTTCACACGCACAGTAAAACCTGGACTCTGACTGCGTCGGTCACGGGCCGCCGACAACTGCCGGGCGCGTCCACAGGGCGAACTCAGTAGCGACGCACCCCCCGACTGCGGTCCTTTCTTGATAGCGCTACACGACCCTCCCCCATAGCCACTTGGTTGGAGCGCTGGTGACTGCAGCGTACCACGACCACTAGATGAGCTACTGGATGGCGAGGCTATCGCGGAACCCTGGCCCTGCTGCTGCTGGGAATTGATAGTGCCATGATTCCCACTGCTGACCTTCACACCAGCATTGAGAATAATCGTACGAGGACCAAAGACGGTCGTCGTGTCTGCATTCGAAGGTCCTCCTGCAGTTTGTCCGCGAAACCTGCGTGGCGGTGCCCAGGCTCCTTCAGGCATGGTTTTGCTCAGGCTCCTTCATGCGAACAGGGTGAACATCAGACCCAAAGAATTTCTTTCCGCCATGAGATTGACTCGGATATTAATGAAGCTACATTCTTTGCAACTTACATGGCAAGAAAAGTAGGATCTTCATAGCACGAGGGCTCCTCCGTGTAAGTACACTATTGAACAATCTCCTAATCACAAGTCAATCAACCATGTATAACTCAGAAACGCAAGTCAATCCTCAGAAACAACGCGAGCTTTGGACTTTTGTTGTGATCTTTCGCTTAGCAGCCCCCAGCCGGTCACCGCGACTCGGAACAATCAAGATCATCATGTTGCTTTCAACATCCTTTAAGACTGCCCCTTATCCCGCAACAGCACATCTTCCACAAAAAATAGGCGGGAACACTTTCTAGCTATCGCCCAATTGCTGCTATTTTTTCACGCAGCTGCCAGTGGAGAGTAATTTATTATTTCCGCTTCTCATTTTCGAAAACTACACTGCATGTAATATGTCTTATAGCTATGTATTGCCGTTCTTTCGTACATATGCTGGACTATACTGTTACACAAAATCTGCTATGGAATAACTCATGCCGTCTATCAGTGTCAGCGACCATTGCGAAAGAGTACCCATGATTGCCCTCGCGTGCTGCAAGCAGTAGGCTGCATACGCATTAAGCTCAGTAAACGCAGTTGCTTGAAGACGCAGGACAATACGCATTCGAGAATCTCAACTTGAGGAGTCATTCACCAAAGAAGGACTCTGTTATGAATGCTGCGCGAAGGTTCATGGAAATTAACTAGTCTAAGTCTAGGTAATGCCAATAAGAAAAGTCGGGGAGTACCCGGTCTAGGATAAAATGAAATTCTTACAAAAAAACTGAGAGAGATATAAGTCATGAGTTTGACAGGACGGAGAAGGATTAAAAAAAAACGTACTTCGATGTCAGGCGAATACGCATCTGCTACAATTTACTCGATGACGCAAGACTACTGGATAGTGCGTGACGCTTTATTTCCATGCGACCGATGCTCATCAAATGTACTTCGTCAGGTCCGTCGACGATCCGCATCGTGCGAGCAATCGCGTACATCCGTGCTAGAGGCGTATCAGCGGACACGCCGGCGCCTCCGTGCAGTTGAATCGCAGCGTCCACTGCATCGCAGGTCATTCGCGGGACCAAAACTTTGATCATGGCGATCTCTTTGAAAGCAGATTTTGCTCCCTCCGCGTCGATGCGGGCAGCTGCTTGAAGGACGAGCAAACGCGCCGCCTCGATCTGAATACGCAGTTGGGCAATTGTGGCAACATTCAACTCGGCAAGACGCCTCCCGAAGGCTTGTCGTGACAGTCCCCGATCTAGCATAAGTGCGTAAGCCCGCTCTGCCATGCCGATGCAGCGCATACAATGGTGGATTCGTCCTGGCCCGAGTCGGCCTTGTGCTATCTCAAAACCTCGCCCCTCACCAAGCAGCAGCGCGTCCGCAATGCGCACGCGCGCATCTCGGAATTCCACCTCCCCATGACCATGCGGCGCGTCGTCATAGCCAAAGACGGTCAGGGGTCGTACCACGTGCACACCATTCGTGTTCATGGGCACGAGAATCATGGTTTGTTTTTTTTTAGGCCGGCCTGCAGAAGTCTTTTGTTCACTGGAAGTCATTTCTCGTTCCGTCATTTGTCCACTGCTTCCATCGTAGCTTTCATCCTCGATCTGTCCCATCAAAATTCCAACCTTGCAACGTGAAAGGTCGCAGACGCCTGACGACCACCATTTGCGACCATTCAAAACGTAATAGTCCCCTTCCCTACAAATTTTCAGTTGCACATTCCGCGCATCAGAGCAGGCTCGCTGCGGCTCGGTCATGAAAAAGACGCTGCGTATATCTCCGCTCAGCAAAGGCGCAAGCCATCTCTTTTTCTGCGCTTCGGAACTAGAGTTAGACATACTTTCTTAGTAAGATTTCACTATGCGAAGCACGAAACTAATCTTTATCGTCTGCGAATCAGGACTTTGACATGGACGACAACGATCGCTCCCTCATTGACTTAGCGCAGCGAAATCGAACTACTAGTCTTAACATACATGGCCAACACCTCCATGTTTCCAGTATCGGGTGCGGCGCAGTTGCAAGCTTCGCTTGCGCACATATAGCGACCGAGTAACTCAGCGCAGTGCGCATACTCGAGATTCGTCAATCGAGGACCCTCCGTCGGCGACCACAGATTCCACAGTCCAAGCTCCTTGCCGCGCTGCCTGAGGCGTTGCATTGTCGGGGAAAGAAATGTCCATCGAGACGCAGGCTTCGTCGAAAGTGTTGAACTTGTTGAAAACGAGTCTTCTACTGCTCCTACAACACGTTCTTGTGTTCTTGGAAACTCCGCTGGTAAAGCCGCAAACTCACTCGCGATTGCCACTTCGGCGATCGCGCACTCCGTCTCGACAAAAGTCTTCAACTTCCGGTAAATGTCGATGGCAAGCGGCCGATGAAGCCGTAAGTCTGCAGCTGAAGGAAGCTCCATGATGATCCTTAACAAACCTTCATAAAACACTCAAAAAAAAATAATTCAGGCTCCTAGTCCTCTCAAGGAAATTAGAAACAAAATCAAATAATACACGAGCGGGGAAATGAAAAACACAGATGTAACCAGTGGTCGCCTTGCTTTGCGAATTTTTCGTTCCTATAAAAAGTTTTTCTCTTCGTGTGTCCGCCGGTGACGACGTGCACATCTGCTCTCGTCCGCCACTAGACGATTTCCACTATCGAAAACTTCAAAGATCTTTAAGTGTAGAAAAGTAGTTCAACGCCACACCAGCTCTGATGATTTAATGAGAGGAGCAGTGGAGTCGAACACCATAGACGTTTCCCGCGTCAGCAAATCTCGGAAAATTACCAAGAAATCAATCAAGACGTCACGAAGAACTCTCCCAAGTATCGACTCTATCAATTTTCGTACAACAGGATAGGTACATCCTTTTGGTAGTTAACAAATTTATCTAGTAGATTCTCACGATCCGTTTCTCGCGTGATGCGTTTGCAGTCAGAAGCTACAACTTCTGGTTCTGCAGCACTAGACTATGTCGGTGGACTCACACGACTCGGGGAATTCATGAAAAAGAATGCGAAGAGTAGCAAGAAATGTCAGTAGTTCGAAAGTAAAAAAAGAATTGAAAAAATGTATCTGGAATCAACAAATTGAAATCATTTTGATGCTGCGGATCATTTAAGAACTGGCAGTTAAATTCTTGTCCCATTCACCAAGACGCGAATGAGACTTTTCATCCTGCCAGAGTTTTTTACATGCAGGTCGTCTGAAAGATGACAAGAGATCTGAGTTGTTTCCCCTGTGATCGCGTACTCTCCCCATGCCCACAATTTCTTTTGCAACCAGCGTCCTGCCACTTTAACGTTAGGCTCTTCGTAGAAAACGTACCGCATTTCAGCGGCAGAAAAACCGAAAGCGCCAAGAGGATAGGTCCAGTAAATCCAAAAAGGATTAAGAATCTTCGACGGCAAGGAAAGCGAAGTAGATGGTGTTGTAGCACGAGGTGCACTTCCAGTTCTGCTACTATGATCTTCGATATTGCGATTCGCCTCGTTTAAGGTGCTCATTGGAGTTGGAGTCCTCAACTCGAACACAGCGTCTCCATAGCGGAAAAAAACGAGGTCGTAGCTATAGCGACTGAACATCCTCACCATACTAGTCAGGGAGCAGCTGAAGAGCGGCACATTAGCAATGCTGCGCACGGGCGGAAGCAGGTGATCATAGTGTGCGGTTGGTGGAATAGAATCCTCGATTTCAACTAGACTCGGCGCGAGAAGTTCAGTGACTTTCAGCGAGGCCCAGAGTTCTGGGTCGTCTGGCATTACGAATTCAAATGGTGGCGGAATAGCGGCATTCACCTCCATCACAAGGAATCTCGGGCGGAAACCCAAAACAAGCATCTTCTCTGCCAGAACACAATCGAAACTATCGATGTCAATCTTCAAAATTGTGACGTCGATGAGATCTTCGGAGGACTGCTTTTCCTTATTCGGTTCCTGATCACGCGTAGATGAAGCGAGTAGTCCTGCCTTGTTCATCTCCTCTCGCAATGCCTGGGCCACTGTATGCTCAATCGTAGAGGGGTGCACTGCACCACAAAGTATTAGACAATGACCATGACGACTATTTACTTTAGCAATAATATTCGATGGATGGTCAATTCAGGTCTTGGGGGGTGATCTTGGTCAAAGTCATCCTTACAAAATTATATTTCAGGAGTCTGGAATCGGAAGGAGAATTTGAATTCTGTATCATGATGAAGGGCAGGGATATCAATTTGCAACCACAACCGCGGGCCTTAACAGCAATCTCGCGTTTGGAAAGCGCTTCTCATACTCCACACACAAATCTTTGTTTCGTTCGGCGCCAATAACGACGTGAGCACGGTCAGAGAGTTTCTCTAATGGGTCGTGCGATACGCCATCTGCCGTACCAATGTTCACAATAGACTCGACAATGCTAGTCCCTAAAGCCCTAGTTTTCTGACCGCGTGTTTGTGCTCTTGAACTTGATTTTGTAGTGGTTGGCTCTGAAGTAGCCTGCAAGCCAAATCTAGCTTCGAGGAACTCGTCTACCTCGGTTTGCTCGGCGCCCCACCTGATATGCTCCTCGCGAGACGCATAGTCTTTTCTTTCCGACGAATCCGACAATAAGGGCAAGGCCTCGCGTGAGGACTCTATCATGGTAGTGGCCCGTTGTTGTTGCATACCTGCCCGCGCCTCGGGTAATCGATAAAACAAGCTTCTGTGGAGCACTCTTACAAAGTAAGTTTTGTATTGCGCCACAAACTCGAACTGAGCGGCTGCCGCCTCGAGCGGAACCTCAGAGAAAATGTGAGGCTCAAGATCCTGAATATTCCACTGTACCATCTGGATTTTGAAAACTTCGTCTCTCATGTCTTGGCTCGCCCACCCGGACCGGCTGTAGGCGTCCTGGACAGGTGACACACTGACCCCGTCGACCCCTGTCGGCAGCTCCCAATTCAGATTTCCGTAGTGTGCACCATAGCGAAGAGGATCTAGATAACCACGGAAACCAAAGATGAGACCTTCGTCGGCCGGCTCGTATCTATCATGGTTGTGTTGATGGAAGTCTGCGATTTCAAACAAGCTATCGTCCTCATCCTTGGACGCGTTATCCTCTCTGGAAGGGCTGCATACTGTTCTTGGTCGCGCAGCACTTTCACGACCCCCCTTTGCAGAAATACCACTAGAGCTGCTCACCAGAGCCCCGAAACAGCACTTCACTTCGTTATAGTACGGATTGTCCTTCAGCCGAAAGCAGGGATTATCATGGTCGGCCGTTTTATTAGCGTCTGCCAATGATATGCGACGGACACTGCAACATTTCTCAAACGTCCTTCCAGCTGTCCAGCACCACGGGTTGCCTCCGCCTTTAAATACGTGACCATAGAAGACAAATCCAGAATTGTCGTGCTCACTTGAAGAGACAAGTCCAGTGTCCTCAACCTCTGGTTTATCAAGATTGATGTTGATCCCTGCAGCGGTAGCAGCATAATGTCGGTCGATCACTGGTTTAGCAGAAGACGGGTCGAGAACTATAACTCCGAGAATGAATAGAAGATCCATCCTCAGAAGACAAGCACGCATCCACCTCATTGTGCCGCTCGGAGCTCATGCGGCATTATCTCGCGGCTCGTGAAGCAGATAGCAAGGTATAGTTGCGCAATGCGGCGCTAACGCACGCGCATCGTCCGAAACCATCCACTTCGAGATCTACCTCAAGTACGCGAAGATTAGATTTTTCTGATTGAGACAAAAGTTTTCCTGTCAACATAAACCACGGGCAGAATTTCTTCACCAACCGGCTCTACTGCAGGAGTGTGTTTTTGGCACATCTCAAGAATCTCCCTCCTCTACTCTGCATCCCTCAAATCAGCTCATGCCCTCTCACCAGTATCAGCTGCGAGCCACTACAGAATACGCAGCAGCAATATTCATCTGCCGCTGCCATGATTCGAGATTGGAAGCTACAAAAGCATTTCCGAAGTTTTTTTCCAGAAGACGACTGAAAGGGAGGATTTTTCTGATCTCTTAGGGTAAAAAAGGAAGGGACACAAATTAGTGGATTGGAAGAGGAAGGGGTATGAGATTTCTCAAGAGGACGGTGAACAATGCGACCATCGTATCTGGAGGAGAATAGGGAGGCATACTCAGTATGATGCTGAACATGATACTCAATGTGTGACTTTCAAACGTTGGCTATCCAATCACCTTTTGCTGAAAATAATTGTTTGATGTTGTATAGTTTGCAAAACAGATCCTGGCTTCGTAAGATGATTATGCTGGATGAGAGTTCATTACTCAGTAAAGGAAAACTGTGGAAAGCGTTTTTATGGACATATGGATGAGAAGCAAAAGCGAATCGGTGTTGAAATGAGTTCTGAGGAAGATGTAACTTTTCCACCAGTTGGAACTACATTGTTCTTGTTATACTTCTGTACGTGGCCACTTTTCGACTCTGTCGATTTGCTACTGTCGGAATCGTTGCCAAAATTCCTATAACTTCAGGGCGTATAATAATTATTACACGCCGGCAAATTTGCTGCAGTAAAAAACCACAGACCAGCGGGGTGTAACAAATATTACGCCCCGAGCATCTAGGCTTTTCCATGCTCAGCATCAGAAAAGACCTGAGCCGACAAAAGCAAAAAATTGGAAGCACCGCAACACGAGTAGACCCCGCAAAAAATGGGGCCCCACTTTTCAGGTTCCTCCCGATGCTACTGTCGGAACATTGAAGCGATTTTTGACCAGCAAAGTGACGAGGTCCGACAGTATTGTATTTCAGGAGTCGAAAAATGGCCACATACAACTTCATGGGGTTCTCATTTCTCTACTTGTTGATTATTATCAGGAACGACAAAGAACCGAATCGAAGAAGGAGAAAAGTTGTGGCACCAGTATACGACGACTGTTGTGTCCCTGCTCTGAGTGCGGCTTCGCCTGCGGTGTTGTGACTCCATCATTCGTGACTCAGGGTCCCCCGCCGCGCCATGCTTTTTTTTGTAGGCGAAGATCGCCGGAAGGGTGACCCCAGTGATGTCCAATCTGCCTGCCGGCGACGGGTGGAGTCCATTAGCCTCCTTCTACTACGGTGCACTAATTGCCTACGAACCCGCCGACTTTAATCGGATCAAACCTAGGCCCAAAGGAGGGGGTTAGTTCTGACTTATGTTTTAGGGCTGCACGGCGCCCCCCACCGTGGTGTGGTCTGTGATGGCGCTCGCGCGCTCTTTTCCGCGCTGATTTTCGGGGATTCTAGTGGTGGAAGGCATCAAAACTGGGCGCGGGCGTCCCCTTCCGCCTCTCTGAATGTTCGTGGGGGACCTCCTGGCATCTGCTGGTCTCTGGGGTCCGGGACTACCGGCGCCCCCCCTGCGGTAGGAGGGGGGGCACCGTAGCCCTGAGCCCTGGGTCATATATAAACCTCCACCGGCCGCCAACCGGCCCACTCTTATGCGCCTGCCTACAAGGCACGAGGGCAAGGCCGCCAACCCTGCTTACTCTTGACTAATGCGCAAGCAACTGACAAGGGGGAAGCAACAAGATAGACAACTACTGGCTTAAAGCCTGAAGCACAGCACGGCGCCAACGCTGGTGATGTGAGCCCTAGCGTCATACTTTTCTCCTCGGTCTCTCGTCTACTCCTCCAGGTCGGCACGCCCATCCTGGACAGAGAAAGAGGAAGAGAGGAGCCATTCTGGCCGTCTCCGTGGCGCATGCTGTTGGCGATGCGTATCGGCCAGGTTTCTCGTCATAGTAAGAGTGTCGCAATGATAGGCACCGATAAGGGTCGGCGCGTTCTGTATGTTGTTCATGCGTCAGAGTCTCGCAAGCTGCTGCAAGGATCCAGGAGCATTATACGCATGCGCTGCCATTCATCATTTTATAGATCAAATTCCATGCGTAACAATTGGGAATCCGCGGAGAATCTTGAATGAAAAACAAACATAGTCCGTTCTTCGATAAGCACATCGCGCGCTTCATAGGATAGATATTTCAGTTTCACTACGTTATAAGCGTATCTTTTTCCTGATTCACGAAAAGTCGTCTCATGCACAAAATTGTTTGGATGTTAAGAAATAGCAGAAAGCACATCGATGCCGATATTCAAACTCTTGACGGATGCGATACGTCATTCATGTGAGTCAGTCAGTACTTATGAGCGACTGCTCAGCTAAAAGCATTCTAAATTAATAAAGGTGGCACTGTGTGGAGGTGGCCTAGAATCTAAATGAATCACGACAAGTCTACGAACGATAGCAATGAACTGCAAGGAAGGTAGGTCTAGTTCAAGACTGACGATATCAACCCCGCGTCGCCTTTCTATCTCCTAGGCCTTCGGTGTGGGTCTTGCTGCCCCGGTGACTGCATTCTTCGACAATTCTCCGACGACTACGCTAAGCTTCTGCTGTGCCTCCCGAAGCTGTTCGTCGCTGTTGCGTACGTGTCCCACTACCTCCCTCAAAATGGTGAGGCAGTCAAGGGAGGCCGCTTCTGACTCCGGATTTGCGTCGATCGCCTCTACCTCCTCGGCCACGTTTGCGGCCCTCTCTACCTGCTCCACGTATGCCGTGGCGTGCTGATTGGCAAGCTCGACGACGTTGCTGTTGGACTCCGGTGCCTTTTCCTCCAGCGAGTTAGCAAGTGGCGACGCCTGAGTGATGGAGATGCTTTGAATCAGATTGGTGAATGGTGATCATCTTGAAAGATAGAAAAGGAATGAAAACTACATCGAAAATAGGTTAGACTCACCGAGCGAATTTCTGCAGATGAGCCATTAATTCCATCGAGAAGTCATACTCACTTAGCATGAGAAAGGGGAACTTGATTAGAGAGATACAGTGGGTTACGACTAATGCAAAAAAATAGAGGAAGCAGATACAACCTCAACCATAGTGCACCAATACGAAAATGCACTGCGCGATAACTAAGATCTGCAAAGAAGAGCTGCAAAATAAATTCTCATGCTTATGGAGGTCCAGCGACAACAACTAAGTAGATTAGTGAAGTACTCGAGACGAGCACGCCCCCGGTGTATCTTCATTGATTCCGCTAGAGCTCGACGCGCTCTTGTCTGTTCTACTGGTTGCCATCTCGTGGCCGCTGCTGGACTGAGGAGGTAGCTCGATGCTCATCTTTCCCCTGTTCAAGTCTTCCATTAAGATATCACAGCCGGCGCAGTATTTTTCACCAACGTCTACCACCATGTTCAGACCTGGCAATTATGAATGATAGCAAAAGTAAAGCATTCATCAGAAACGTCGAAATTTGAATGGAAAAGAAACCGAAGGTCGCAAAGGAATTGTGAAAGAGCTTCGTTGTACGATAAAACGATGCTAGTTGAAATCATGAGGAGTAGACAAGCGTCATTCACTTTTCAGAGACCAGTCAGTGGCTATTGCTATTTGATAGATGCGTCTACTCAGAAGCATCAACAACTTCACTTGGTGGCGCTGACTTTTACAATAAAAGCACGAAAACGATCCAAATAAGACGCTTTCCCACAAAAAAGGCGTCAGGGAAAAATATTACCACACTTTTCGCACGCCGGCAAATCCAGCCTCACTGCATCACTCTCCATCTGCTGATCTTCTTCGGTCTCTTCAGCGGAGTCTTCATCTTCTTCTTCGTCCTCATCGCTCTCCTCTGACGAGGATTCCGGTGGCAGGGCGACAAGGATGTTGCTCGCTTTCTGCCTCTTCAACTCGACATCCACAAAGGCGCTCCCTTTAGTTTTCTTCCCTTGTTTCTTCACCTTCTTCATAGCCTTAGCTTTCTTCGCTCGCTTCATCGGAGGATTGGCGCGATGCTCGCCACAGTACATAGAAAGTTAGAGGTAGAAGGTGGTGACGACATAAGCCAGCAGCTGTGGCGTTGCTGGGTTTCAAGTTCATTTTTGGGGTTATTCACTGATTGATCGAGTCTATTTTTCGTTTGACCATTAGCAAACTTAACGCCCCCCGCATTGAGTTGATGTTGGTAATTACTCGTCAACATTTCTCGCAGTTCTATTTCCGCAGTGAGTCCCCCATATAAATTTGCGATGACGTAGAAGAATGAGATGAGTGAAAAGCTAGAAAAATGAATAAACTAAACGACACCAACGCCATAACTGTAGCGCTCGACCGGTCGTCCCTCGGTTAATGCGATCCCGCCGCGGCTGCATCCGATGACTTTGCATTTATACCTGGAATAGAATGCTTGAATTTATTAACAAAGACAGAAAGTTGATCAAAGATACCCTTATGCCATGCGTTTTTCGACCACAACATTGCGAAGCTCTAAAAGCCTACGACATGCATTGGCTTTTGAGTACCACTATGATCAGTTTGTAGCACCAACCCAACAGCATAAATCTTAAAAGTCAAAAAAACGCAAACCTGTGCGCGCCAGGGCAGCGATTCAGCCCAACGCCGCAGGGCTTACGGCATCCTTCCTGAGGACACTTAGCGCGAACGTAGTCGGCCATTATTTTCGTCTGGAAGTGTGACACAGTGTCAATGTCTTGGAGAAGAATACAAGTGAGAACCTAACGCAGCGTGCTGTAGAGCGTGGTTCAAAAGTGATTCAATACTTTTTCGATCATAATTGCCTCCATACAGAGCGATGTTTTGTCGTAACAAGGGAAGCGTGGTTCTCTACCATGCACCTAACTAATAAGATCCTCGACTCGATCACAAGCAGAAAATACAAAAGCAATTACGAGGGAGGATTTCGGCGTATCATCGAGTACTGCACGAGGGAGTCAGGACAACGACCACAGGTTTCAGACACAAAGAACGTGCGTGCGTAGCAACGTGTACCGATCAGCACCGATGGATGGGACTGAACATTCTAAGGGTAGAGACTCTTGTTCTTGAATGACCTTAGAAAGACCGAACAACCGACTCCGATCCTAACCTGGCAACTGATTGTCGATAACCGATACTAGATACTTGATCCTTCTTCACTGAGGTATCTAATTTGACTTGCATAAGAGAGATCCACCAGTAGCATTGGATTCACCGAAATCAGCATCGCTCTCTAAGCGATGAAACGAACACAAGAGCTGCTTCAGCGTGTTGAGAGAGCAGTTCGTTGCCCCATGCTTTAGTAGGTACAATGCGCACCATGTATCGGCGTAGGGAACTGCAAACAGCATGTTTTTATTCATCTTTCATTCTTTCCTGAGCCTGAAAAAGTGCGTCAAGCGACACATGCGGGATACACGAAAAGTTCATCAACGAAAAAACAACACAGTCTTCATCTTTCTAGCAGATTTCTCATTATATTTGTTGCAGCAGCTATAAACTTCTTCGAGTCAATGGATGCGCAGTCGTAGTCGTTATTTCTCCGATATGAAAACCCTCCGCAACCCTTAAAGATGACCTTGACCTTCATCATTTGGTTGCGACACCTCTTGGCAACCTTTATTTTGCACTTGGTGACTTCCCCAGTGTCGCGAAGAGCGTATCCAAAAACGGTCTTCCTGAGTAGTCGGCTTTGTGGCTCAACTTCGTCACTGCGCGTATCGGTAAACTCCAATCATCCGGATGTAATAGATCACGCCTAATGAAAAACGCGTGACTCCCCATTTCCAAGTTGTAGGCGTACTCGTATCCATGCTGCTGTGCCAGGAGGTCCATTATGAAGGACAGTATGGTGGGAGTATAACTTCTCATCACAAGCGAAAAATCATCATTGCTAACTTTCCTGGGAGGTAAATTTCCAACATCCAACTTTTGCAAACGAGAACTAGTGCCCGGTATTGAGCGTCAAACAAAATCCTTTATTCTCTGTCAATAGCAAAACTTGGTCGTGGACGTTTTGTTGATCAAACTGGTACAATAACAAACTGGGGAACTATGTACGACTCGCACAGCATTCGAACCATTTCGCATAAAATAGGCGTGCAGGGACGCGGTGGTGTACCTAGTGCCGTCCCATTCGTAGTTTGCGTCATAACGTACTGCCTTGGTCTCCTCCAAAGATAGGTCTGCGTTGTAGTCGACAGCGACAACACGAGGAAAAAATGCTTAGAATTACAAATTTGTGAGAATGCTGAGGTGCTTCTCTTTGAAAGAGCTCGTAATGTCAGCCGTAATATTCTTTGCGTTCCAGAACACTCTTCCAGACCCAATAATCGTTGAAGTCGATATCGATCGTCAGCAAATCCGGTTCCCTCGGAACGCCGTACTTCTGGAAGACTTCGTTCACATTTTCGGCAAAAAGTTAGACACTCCACTAGCTACTAGAAACACTGTCTAGAAAAAATAGTTGAATAATCGCCCACGATAGAAGAGGTAGTGAGCTAAGCCGCTTCTTCGTAAGTGATGAACTCGTTTTGTACGAGATCCTTCCCGACGCAGCCCTTTCCACAACCTCCATGCTTTGTTCCGCCAGGTTGGAAATCCATAATCAAACCGCGCCAGCCGCAATGCTCTCTGAGCCACGCGGAATTTAGCATGTGTGGTTTCCTCGCGCCGAATTCGACGAAAAAAGGCGGTGTGTAGTCAAATTCTTTTTCAGCAGCTACTGCTTGCTCAACAACTGCTTGCTTGGCAACTTCGCGAAGGAGTTGCTGTTCCTGCAATTTCGCCTCTTCCGCTGGGGCGCGTTTGACCTCCGTCCCTAGTGGCGGCACCGATCCACTCTCCAACTCGCGACTAAAAAGTCTACCTGCTTGCGGCGCCTCTAATGACGATAGCATTTTCCTGCCCATATTGACATCCACACGAGATGCTTGCAGTCCCTGACGATCAACGGCGGCTTGTTGTTCTATCTGAAGCTCACTACTCGAAGCCTCCGAGATATCGTTCGACTGCTCCTCTCCCTCGTTCCAAGTATGCGGCACTGATCCTGGTAAGAAAACATCCACGAGTCCGGTCCTGTTAGTAGCGTCGTGCTGCTCTCTTCGCTCAAAAACGACAACGGGTGTGTTGGCAAAGCGAATATTCCGGAATATTGTTCGCAAGACTCCATCTTGGCCGCATTGCGAACAGATTCGCTGTTCGTCATCGTGCGTCAGATGTCGTAAGAATGGTTTTGTAATTGCGGCCGACATCTCAGGACCATGCTCACGATCCGCTTCTAGCAGGACAGTCTTCGGCTGTTTCCAGTCTATGCACGGTATTGTTTCGTAATATGTAAAATTCAAGTTGTTTGTGCTGTTGAGCAGTGTGCAAGTGTCGTGCTCGCCGCAGAGCGCATAGCTTGGCTTCCAGCTTGGTCGCTTGTATATCGTGTGACAGTCCACGTAGGATCGTTGCGTCGGAGAGTAACACCGCACGCCACTGCGAACTACGCACGGCAAGGACGAGCTTTTGCAGGACAAACGGTCAAGCATCTTCCACAATGGCCACTTCGTCAACAGCAGGTCGAACCAAAGTGAGATATCATTGCGTTTCCTTGAGTAACTGATCACTGAATCTTGCGCGGCCGTGATTAGCACAAAGATGACGTTATGCAGCTCCTCCATGCTGCTCATGTAAATCTCGTGCCGCTCGATCAGTTCGGAAGCCACACCCAACAATGCCGTGGACAGTCCGACTTCACAATGCGGACGCTTCAGCACCAGGCCCATGTGATGACCAAGTTCTAGGTTTGCGCCACGGTCCAGTAAATTCCGCGACAACGACCAATACTCCTCTACAAACTGCTGTCCGGCATCCTGTGCATCGCACAACGACGTGTGCCACAATTTCGGGTATTCACTACCCCTGTCTTTGAGAAAAGCTCGCATCTTTCGGCTCACTTCGTCCATCAGCATGAAGATCGGCCACCCACCCTGCAGCAGTTGTGGCCACGCAGACTGGAGGAGGTCTAAAACTCCAGTGTGTGCGTTAAACTGAATCAGCCAATCCATCACATCATCATCAGCATCTGAGAACTGCGTCAGCGGCGTAAAGCGGAATATGAAACCAAGAAGGCGAGTCGAAAATTAGGTATTTCTCAGAATCTACCCGACGAGTGGCTTCCACTCGTGCACCTTACATTTGATCTGGGGCGTATCGAATTCAATTCCTCCAGTACCAATTTTTCATTAATGACGCCGAGTCATAACATATGATGCTAGCCGCAGATTGATGATCCCCGGAATGCACTCGAACTTATGGCGATCCCATGACCAATCCAAGAGCTCCTGGATCTCGAAATGCCAAGCTTGCGCTATAGTATAGTCATGCGCTAGCACAGCTCGGTCGTGTCTCTCTTTATACGTAGTCAAAATTTCCCGCACGCGTGCCCACCGGGAATGGGCGTGCGAATTGCTGCAATACATGCATTGTCCATCGCAAGCGTAGCGGTCTGCGCCGAACGAGTAGTACGATTGAAGGAGCTTATTCGAGGCAGTTTTGTTCAGCGGGTGTGAAGCGTCGAGCTCCTCTAACCTTTGCACGTCCACAGAGTCCTGTTCAGAAGAGACAGGCTCAGCTGCCACGAGCCCCAAACTACTTCTGCCTCTGAGAGTGCGGCTCTCCTTGTTATCAAATGAGAGGTACGACAACGGTCCAGCAGCAAGGAGAAGCAAGATGCTTCCAAGAACCTTCCCTCTCACATCCCAAGAAAACCACAATGATTTTAAAAGTATCATTGTGGTGTAACGGAGCCCTAATTGGCTTCCCGGCAATCTCACTTTTTTCTCTTCATTTCAGTCGTGCCAAGCACATGTTCCCTTCTATAGACCATCGTAAAACATCATCTGGATATTCTCGGACACTTCCTCGTAACTCGACTTCCAACAAGATCTAACGTCAGGATCGACGGGTCACCCACTAATCTCTGTCTACCTAATAGAGACCTACTTATTGCTATGCCAAGTGGTGCGTTCGGAGATCATTGATATCAGTGCAGGTCTGCAGAAACTACAGAAGAACCATCCTTCAACAGAGGATCCATGAAGACATGATCAAGGATCCGCTTCACAGAGAGCGTCTTTCCAGAAGCGGCAAATATGCCCAGATCGCGCGCTTTACTCACGAAAACACTGCGAACAGCACGAAAAAAGTGGTATCCCATGTTGAAGGTAAATGCCTCCTTTGTTGTTATACGCCACGCTCTAGCACCCTGGCGATATATGGACGTGACTCTTTTAAAAAAATTCATTTATTAAAGTCCGTAGTATATTCTGACCGCGCCTCTTTGGCCTTGTGTGTTAACACCAGCACCTTGGAGCGTGCAGCTAAAACTTTTATCATTATAGAAATTCCACAACCAGCGACACACCATAGGATTAATGCGACCTAGACCCTCCACGTAGATCTCCTCTTTTCCGGTAATACCAAAGACACCTCTGGGGTCGTCTGCAGCGAACTGGGGTATCTTCGCTATAGGGACCCAACGCGCGTCCTTGATTTCCTCTCCATCGACCGTGATTTCCTCACTTTCAGCCGTTAGGGCAAAGACGGAAAACTCATCATTAACATGCCTGTCCCACTGCCCGCCTGACTGCCACCCACCACAGAAAACAGGCGTTTTCATACTAGAAGAGCTCGACGATGATGTCGCGGCGCTGATCGCACTCGGGTGCATTTCGGCGTTAGTAGTTGAGCTAGCGCCCTTGCTTTTATCTTCGACAGCAGAAGGCGGAGACGAAGGATGATATTCTCCGCCCCAAGTCGAATTATTCTCGCCGGCGGAAAGTTGCGGCAAAGTCTTTACTCGTACACCGACCTCCTCAAAGCACTCGCGCGCGGCGGCCCCTAACTTATTCTCGTTGTGGCCAACCATTCCCGTTACTGGTTTCCACCAACCGTATTCGTGGACAAGCAGGAGCTTTTCCTGGGTCGGATTAAGGACCAAAGCGCCAATGCCGCCTTGAGTGGTCGCAAAGGGTGGCACGCGGTCCTTCTCGGTACCCATCCAGCGATAATAAAGGAGCTCGTGGTCTGACGGTGGCTCCGTCTCTGGTACGAAGGACAATGTGTTGAAAGTTCAAAATTCAAGCCACAACATCGTGATGGTGCTGCAGTTGCTGTTTTTAGCTCGTAGCCGAAACACAGTGGTGATGAAGACAAAGTAAACGAAGCCAAATCTAAACAAGAATACCCCGCTTATTCCACGCATGATGAAACTGGAAGCCAAATTGTGCTCGAACCGTTGGAATTAACTGCAAATCCTCCAGCGCATCTTCTAGAAGGCCAATGTACATGGCGTATGAAGGCAAGTCCGGTTTCTTGTCACCAAAGTCTGGAGAATTTTGCGTGTTTGCAGAACCAATAGCATCAAGGTCTACCAAACCGCCATCACAAATTTTCTTCAATCCTGCGCCACCGCCTAGTGTAACGACAGCTTTAATAACACGTTCCAAACCAGAAAGCTCCGGCACCTGCGGCACCATTTCTTCAGGCTGTTGCGCAGCAGCTATAGAAGTACCGTTGCTTGCAGTTGCTCCTCCTTCTGAAGATCTTTCAGTTGTAAGTGAAGCCGGCAAAGCGCCGCGAAATATCCTAAACCAGAGACTATCATATGGCCCTGGCTGCACGAGAAGCGAAAAAGTCCTTCTCGGTGACGAAGGAGGCCTGCCGGCGAGTGCAGCACCAGTAAATATCCACACAGGCCCAGTGACGGATTTTCCGGCAGCAATATCAGCAAGCGTCGGTCGTGGGACGGTCAGTTGGCCCCGAAACAATCCAGAAAAAAGCGGCGCTTTTTTCATTTCGGTATCCGGGTTTGCCACCATGTCTTTCTTTGTTATGCGTATTCAAAAATTCAATGTGATTCAAAATAGTGCGGAGTAGTCACAAATCCCAATCACCGACGCAAGCGACGAACGGCGACAAGGAGTTTCACATGGAAAGGAGAGCAGACCGCTTCGTCCATTGAATGAAAAGTGAACCTGAGAAATTACGCTCTTTTCAGACAAGAAATGCGTACAATGCTTCCCTATTCTCAAGCTTCTTACGCAAAGCGTTTGTCTTTCCAGCCATCTTTTCCAAGATCTTTTCTCGCCCCGCGCATCGACGGATATTCTTGAAATTTGTGAAATCCAACCTCGACCGGATCTTGCTGATGACTCCTGCTTATCATGCTCATATCACTCTGCGATACTCATCCCCAGCTCGTAAAGAGAACCTAAGCACCTAGGTGCGAACTTCTGAAGGCAATCAACCATCATCTCAAACACCCTGTAGTAATATTCGAATTGGCGTACGCCGCTGTCAGACAGAGACTGCAGATAAACATGGATTGCGCGCGCGGTGAGTCGGGAGAATGAGCAAAAAGGTCGTTGTAGGGTGAATCATATTTTTGTTCGTTGCGTGTGTTCTTGGGTCATATGATCAGAGCTCATAGTGTGCAATCTGGAAAAGGAAAGGGATCAAAAAGTCTTAATTTATCCGTCATCATCAGAACTGTCGCTATATCCCGCCAAAAGAGCCGCTGCTTTTGCGCTGTCCTCTCGTCTTGGACTTCGTTCTCTAGTGGTCTCCCCCGCTGGTGCAACTCGCTGCCCATTTTCTGTGCTTTTAATGTCCCCTCCTCCCCGTTGGTTCTTTGCGATCGTGTCACCTCTTCGAAAAATGGAAAGTGCTCCTTTCGGTCCAATAGGTTCATTCTTAGCTGCACTCTTTTCATCGACTTTGCGGAAAACAACACCCACCTTCTTTCGCACAACAGGTCCCGCCTCTAGCGTCTCTCCCTTATCTAATCCAGCGAGCCCTACCGAAGCGTTTTTTCTCCTGCTCTCCCGCTCGTCTTGTCGCATCTTTCGTCGTGCTACAGTGATTGAGAAAATCAATGTTGAGAAGGTGGATTGACGAGAATGTTCACTTCTGATATTTGAAGTCCAAATCAAACTAGAGCAAGAAAAGTATTGCAAATTAATCCAAAGACCTTAAAAACCTTGACGTCATCACAAACTCCTCATGCTCAAGCAAGTAGTACCTTCCTCAAATTCCTGTTCGTCCTGTTTCTGCTTCTCCGAAAGCCATATATTTGACCTTTCCTGCTTTTCTCGCATCTCCTTTAGGTGATTCTGGCTCTCCATATGAAAACGTTCTTCCTCCTGTTTCAGAAACCGGAACTGCTGTTGGAATTCATCTGTAGCGAGTTGAAGTGTACTGGCACGTGTTTGGTGGACTTTAGGCTTTAAATGATGACAGCACAAGGATGGCAACCAATCTATCTATCATGGAAACGCAAGAACATCCTTTATGTTGCCTATGGCCGGTCTGCATTTTCTTAGAGCAGACTGCGGCTGATAATTACCAGATCCTTGCACGGGTTTTTCTTCATCGCTATCGTCATCCTTTGCAGGTGCAGCGGCGCGTGCACGACTAAATTCTGGGAGCGCATTTACCCTGTCACGCATCTTGTCCGCTTCACTAAGCTCAAGCTTTTTCGTCTTTTCCACCACACCATTTTCGGTGATCTCGGTGGTTAGCGTCTCTCGCTTCACAAAATTCATCTTAGTCGCTTGGCTCCTGCCTGAACAAAACCAGGCAACAATGTGACAAGGCGGATTGTCGACTTTAACAGGAGGAGCTTTGTTTCATAAAAGACCACTTGAGAAGAGCGTCGTTACGTTTATAAGTAAAATAAATGAACTCTCCAGTGAGAATGGAAATTACATTACCCCTGAGAGCAGGTGACCCTGTTTTCATTATTCACACTATCCGAGCCAACATACCCACGCCCCAACTGCCTGGTTCAATGTGGATGCACACTGACTTACACGATGAAACTCAGAAAAAACTAATCGATAAACGATCCTTCAAGTAGGAGATCTTGCATGGTAGATTAAGATCAAGATCATAGGCGTCGTCGGAAAAGAAAAATAAAGTCACAGCTCGGACTCCGTCGATCATATTGGCTCCAAGGGAAATGATCACAGTGAAATTGACGACTCGGTATCGGCTCAAAACCTATCAAGACTTTGTTTCTTTCTGAACTCACCTTCGGCCCACATCTGACCACTAGATTTCTTGATCTCTGTCATCCCCAAAAAGCCGCAATGCAGTACCATGTTGTTGAACTTCATCTTGCACTAATCAAATGAATGTCGCTGGACTCACCACGGCAATACTTTTTGCTACGATACATTGACCTTCTCTTCCGATACGCCGCACTTCTTACTCCGTGATCGAACCTTCCTCGCACCTACGACGATGTTGCGAGCCCGTAGCCACTGCGTTAACACACCGCTGTAGAGTCCGCTCGCAGACGAGCTAGCATCGTCGGAAGCGTTGCAATAATTGAAAGCTCTGGATGCTGTGTCGGCTTCCCTATCTGCCGGTCCAGGACGTTCACAAGCATCCTTTTGTGCACTATTTTCTGCCTTAGGAGCAGATATCTTTCGTAACAAATGCGCACTTCCAGACACGCCATCGAAAATCCCACGTTGTGCAGCTTTTTTCTGCAGACACGTCTTTCGAGCGATTTTTATAGCCGCTTCCAAGATAGGAGTCGTGGCCAAGGGGGCACCGGCTTTTTCAACTTTTTTCGAAACCTTGCGGTTGTAGGCTTTGGCAGGTATAGTGCTTTCTTTCAGCGAAAGATTTCTGTCGCGGATCACTTGGGCGCCTACGGATGGAAGGGTAATATCTGCTACGGGGGGCTGCCCAAACTTGTGCCATGTTGGACCACGTACGAAACTGGGTATGTTTGTACTAGCGCCGGCCATCCGTTTCTGTATCGCGTTCAGCGACATTATAGGGTTTAAATAGAGTGCGATATCTGCGTCAGCCTGATCCTTCGATATCTCTATGTCACGTCGAAGCCTTTCTTCTGGAGTCAGCCGCGACTTGCCTGAGGACTTGCAATACTTTCGAGTTTTACGCGCAACTACGTTCTTCTTACTGAATCGCGCCAGGTGTTGATTTTTCTGATTTTTCTGATTCGAATCACCCGAGTGTGGTAGGATTTTTTTCAAATTTTGGTGCTGCTTTTGTAATTTCGCAACCCGCAGCGTCTCACCAACTACAAAAACGGTCCGAATTGATTTGCTCATTACACCTCGTTTTTCTGTTGCTGTTCTCCCGTCGTCGTTTCCTACCGTATCAAGAACTTCTTGTACAGGTGGCACGTTCGCGACGATGAACGTGCGGGATTGGCCCATACTGGTATCCTCATACTTTTTCACTGGTCGCATTCGAAAGGCAACCACCTCTTCTCTTTTATCTGAGGTGGGCACGGTAGTCAATTTTTGACCGACTGTTGCACTACAAAAGAAGGTAGAGCCACATCTCCGCTCGGCGATCTCGAGTTCTTGAGCTTGCTCTATCTGTGCCCGTTCGCCGTACATTTGAAACAGCCCTTCCTCATGTCGCAACTCAACGATCCCACGACCTAGAAGCCCTTTGTGCACCAGTTCTTCTATCTTCATCAGCAGTTGCCGCTCATACCTCATCGCCCGCTTTTCTATATCTGCATTGTTTTCACCCGTTAGATGCTGCTGCGCAGATTTAGTAGGGCTAGTGGAGGAAACTTTTCCAATTCCATGATTCTGCAGATTCGTAGGTGTGGCAGAAGCATCCTTGCTTTCAATCCCATTCTTAGTTTCACGCGCAAGCTGGCATACTATGCGATTCATTTGTGTGCAAGCACCCATCAATGCTGCTAAGTCTTTCCGAATGACTTCGTAAGCGTCGAGTCGCTGTGGACGTTGATCGCAACGTGTAGCAGTCGCAGACTCCATAAACTCTTCAAGATCATCTTCTTCTTTATTTTCGGCCTCATGTTCGTCGACGTTGGCGCTTTCCTCTGTCTTGAAGTCGCCGAGTACCCGGATCATCTTTTCACCAGTTCTGGAGTCATCGCGTGCAAAGATGTTGGAAGGCACCACGAATGGGAGCACGGGTTCTTGTGATTTGAAGGGACTGCCAGCTCTAGCGTCAGCTTTGACTTCAGTGTCTACGTCATCAAGCGGCTGAACTTCTTCGAGACGCTTCTTGCCTGGTATATCACTTCTGCGAAACGATCGTCTCTCCAGAGTGGGTTCATCTTGCTTACCGCAAACCCCAGCAGTTGCATCAGCGTTCTTCGACATTGAGTTCGTACAACTTTTTCTATCTACACCAGTTACTGCCACCGCGCACGCTTTCTTTTCCTCACTCTTCAGAGGACTGGTAGTTAAATTGAAACTAGATGAGTCCACAGTTATAGCAGCAGCAGCAGCAGTTGCGACACTGCAAGTCTTCCTCATTTTCTCCGCTTGTGACCTCACAAGTCGAAACTTCGGCTCTGGAGGTGGCGGCATTTGCTCGTCGAGCAGTCCTTTTTCTCGGATGGAGCAGAGCGATTTTTCCAGATTCTCACTGCTCCCTCCTTCAGCCTTAGGGCTTGTTTTGGTCTTATCAGCATCATTCATGCCAGCAGGTGGAAGCACTGGTACTATTGGGGCAGTATCCCGAGTAAGCTTGTCAGTCAAGCCTACTGTAGCTGCCTTGGCAACGACTACACGAGAGAGGTCAGTCGTCGTGCCATCTATGTTTCCTTTTTGAGAAGCCGCAAATGGAGTAGGCAATAGCATCTTCTTCTCATCGTCGTGCTCTTGCTTATCTGTAATGTTGCTCACGATGGATGAAGCGCACTTGGCAGTCGCTTGTTGCTCGATCGATGAACAACCGCCTCCAGCAAGTTTTCTTGATTTATAATCTTCACCACACGACCCATCGACATGAACTGGAGGTGGTGGCTTCTGTGCCTGATCATGATCCGGAACAACAACTTTAGGACAGAAAAAAGCGGGCGAAATGACATTTGCTTTAGTAGACTCGACATCCGTATCTTCACGAACAGAACAAGCCTCTACTTTGGCCTTCACCGTCACCCCCCGACCATGGTAACTAGCGCCGGGCTTTTTCGTTATGGCAGTATCCTCCTCAACACTTGTGTCCTTGGCCGCCCTATTCCTGTTCATAAGTTTTTGGGAATGCAGCATTCACTGTTGGACATTCCTATACATAGACAATGCTCCAGAGCGCGGCGACGCAGTGTAGTTTTGGTTTTCATTCTTCAACGATAATACAACGCAGATCTGTATTTTTAACATTGAGAAACTGAAACTGAAATACCCGTTATCTTTAACATGCGATTCCGTTTTCTGTCTTTTTGATAATGGTCGATCCTCAGATTCTTGCTCCTTCCGCTTCGAACCATCAGCCTTTGTTGTAACGACACGAATTTTAAACTCGTCCGCAGATGCAACACCAGTCGCTTTCGGAGTTGCTTGAGGAAGACCCTGCTGTTGTTGCTTCGGGAGGCCTAGGCCCAGATCCGCACGCGGGCGAAGCGGAAAAGGATCTTCCAGCATCATCTGCAGAGTGTTTGTCACCGGAAAGGGTGCGTGCGACGGATATGCCTGAGATGGGCCATAATCGTGAAACGGCGCAAGCTGATTGTTCGATGGCAACTTCGGCTGTGCAGGCCCGATTTGTCTGTTACTGACAGAACCACTAGCACAAAAACCGGCAGTACTGGCAGGCAGATTCGCAGGTGGCGCTTGTACTATTTAGAGGTTTTATCGTCTTCTTGTCAAGGGTGCCAACTATGATCAACCACATTTCTACGAAGATGCCCTGAAAAAAAGGAAAAAATATTATTACTATCTGCAAGAAAAATCCTTAAAACTCTGGTGCTGGTCCCATTCTTATGCCACCAAAAGGGACGCCACAGGGAGCTGTCTGTGTTCGGGCTGGAGTCGGAACCTGGCAACCCATTAGCGCACACGGCGCTATGATCGAGGGGCGCAGCGTATTTGCAGCGCGCAGAGAAGCGATAGGTAAAGCAGTCAGACTAGGAGCAATCCTTGCCAAGCGTGGATCCGCCGATTGGATGGGAACTGTGGCTGTAGGTGGAATACAAATGGGTCCTCGACGATGTGGTTGCGCTTTTGACGCGTGTATAACTGTCTCATCAGCAAAGCTTGGCGTCTGGTTTGGCTTAGAAGATTGCAACCTTACCGTCAGCACAGGCGGCGCCTTTTTGGTCTTTTCATTTTTCGAGGGCGCAGCAGGCTCTTTTACTCCAACATCTTTTTCTACACGGACTGTTTGCAACGCTGGAATTGGTTTATTCAGGTCTTTCTTGCCTGCAGTCACCGACAATGCTTTTGCTTGACCGGCATCTTTCTTTTCCGCATGCGCTGGCCTTGCCTCTGTTCTCGCAGGTCCTGACTTTGGATGAACCTCTTTTACGGCTGATGTTGACTTTGCCTTTTCTTGTACACGTGGTTTCTCGCCTGCCCTGGATTTCACATCGTGCTGTTTCTCAACTGCCTTGGATATTGCATCGTGTTGTGTCTCGTCTGCCTCGGGCATTGCACCTTGCTTCTTGGCAACAATTTTCGGTATATTTTCCTTCTGCTTTTCCGACACCTTCGGTCTTGCCTCATCTTCCGTCTTCACGCTACGTGTTTTCGTACCTTGTCTCGACTTTTCACCCGGAGCCACCGCTCTCGCACTACCTTGTCCTGCCGATGGGAGCTCCTGCTGCTTACCAGTGGTTGCTGCTCGTTGTAGCTGTACGGCGGGCATCTTCAGGAAGTCCGCCAGCTTCCCTGAAAGAGACGCCATTCTCTTTCTCGTTCTGCCCTAACAAAATGAAAACTCAGTGTCGAGACTTCCAAAATCTCAGTTCGTTAGTGTCTCAGAAACAAGGACCCAACATCAGCGCATATGTAGCTTTATTCTCTAGAAGATGACGAAGTGCGCAAGTCCCTTCCTCAACTGAGCTAGACTTTCTTTTCCTCGAATCCAAAGAGCGAACCTTTGAAAAATCAGACGAGTTAAACCAAAGATCATCATTTGGAACGCGTCAAGTAGCCCATCAAACTTCGTTTGTGACATGTTGACCAATGTCGGTCGCCTTTTGACCTTGCCAGGATCCCGTGGACGGCGAGTACCAGGATCCCATAGTGAGCTTCAGTTTAGGTTTACCGACTCTTCAAACATATTGGATCGTGCCGATCCTGCCTGAAGCTTGGAAGGTATCTACAATCCTAGAATCCGAATACCGATAAGGTGGAAGCTTCCGTATATTCCACAGTGAGTGGCAGTGGTTCTATGCCGTGGCCTTCTTCTACCGGTGCCTCGTGGACAACACTTATCTGCCTTCACGGACTCATTTTTACTACAGCGAGCTATGCAGCAACAGTGTTTCTATTCAATGCGTGCTTCGATTCGCACCTCCCTTTGTCCGCCAAAGAAGTCATTGTCATCAAAGCGCAGACAAAATCCAAAGCGCATTTTGAAAATTTCCTGTTCTTTTACAGTAAAGTGTGCTAGAAGGGTACTTCAAGAAGGCGATACCTCTGATGTGGGAGTGGGAGCCAAGAAAACGAAGGGTCGCCTCACCTTCTCGGGCTACACACGATTAGGATTCCTTGCTAAGCCGCCTCCTGCCGCTGCATCCTCTTCGTCGAGAGGCTTTCCCACATGCGCGCTGTTTAATTCTGCCTTGCCTGACCTCTCATCGCCACTTCCCTCCGCAGCTACACATGAGGTTGCAATATTGCAACCAGAAAGAACCCAGCTAATAACGCCAATACACCTGCCCATCGTCTTTTGGTCCTCTGACGTGTAGTTCTTTCCACCCATTATCAATGCACCAATCCAGAAATAGAACAAGGCAAGACCTGATTTGATCGTGTGTTTGCCACGAGAGAGCGGCGTGCTGCAATATAGAAAGAAAAACTTATACGTGGAGGCACATAGCGTAAGCACAGTGGCAATGATCACTAGCACCTATTATAAACCTTGGATCTCCTACCTAAACTTTGGCGTCACTTTAGCCCACAAACACCAAGCAAGACAAGGAAAGACCTATTTTGTTGAGCAGGAATCTTGAAAATCGTCGCATCCATCCTTGTGACTGGCCTGATTCTGATGGCCACACAACACGACCTTCGGCTACAAATACGTACAAACCCGCACCGAAAAACAAAACTGCTTGTGAAAGGCTGTAGCACACGCTGAAAAAATCTGTCATGTCTAGCTCGGTCAGCAGAAACACAGCCATTGCCATTATCCCGATGCTCGTCTGTATTGGAAGGAGTATCAAACAGCAAGAAAATCAATTTCAATCGTATTATTAGTATGATATTAGCTAGTAGAGCTTCATGGTCAATGTCAACTTTGACTTGCAGGGACGAGGACCACGACCGAAGACTATCACCGTTATGACACACTATCTAGTAGCACGTAAGCAGGTTTGCCACACATCATGTCTTTGAATTCACAAGATTACTACCAGCTAGAGAATTTTCTACCGCCACTCCGACTCCCGAACTAACGAGCTTAAACCTCTGCATCCGTGTCCGCTCCATTTTGCCTCTTGAAGTGGAGATCGGAGCTCGTGGTTTCCTGGCTGGTTTCTCGAAGCTTGTTATGCTCGGCAATTGAGGCACGACGCCGTGGTTTAGGTTGGCGGTAGATGAGTCGCCAACTGTAGGCTCACTCAGTTTTGAAGGCGTTGCTTGTGGAGTCTGGTCAAAGCGGTTCGGATTCGCTTCCGGATTCAACGAATCGTCATAAAGTCTAAACATCCCTCTTTCCTATACTTGCTTTCTTGATATGCTGTACGAGATGCGCTTACTTTCATCGTCCTTGTTCACTACATTCATAATTTGGACGAAACACCCATCTAAAAATGTTCGAGAATCTTGTTGACCTGACCTGAAAAATATTCTGTCTAGTATTGCCTCTTTCTGTTCTTCCCTGCACCTTAGACGTATTTTTCGAATTCCAGTGTTTTTCTATTTCACAATTACCTTTTTTGAAGTCCAAGCCTACTTCATCTGTGATAGAATGTTTCTAAGGTCACAGCATCATGTCTCCTCGCAGACAAATCGCTCCCACGTGTGCTTGTTTACGCTACGAACCGCAGCGAGTGCTGCAACGCTCACTCCGAGGATGTGTAACAATTACTATGTGGCGCTCTATTATGATGTCCACCATAGAGTTCATATTCGGTTTACTCTCCCCACAGTGAAGTCTCTCATCTTACGCAGTCTTCCTACCAGCCCCAGGCACGGACCATAAGCAAGCGACCAGCAACGCGTGCTGTCCTTCAAGCATATTCATGTCGTCGATGTTCCTTGCGCACGCCACAAAGTACGTTGAAGATCTCCTTCATGTGAATCAGTATCTACATTTTATGCTAGAAAATAGAAGCTGCATTATCCGCTGCCTGCTGATATCGCACGTTTTTCTTTCAGTTTGAATACATGTAAATGCTGTAGGCAACAAGTGAAAAACCAACCATGAAACTCGAACTGAGTTGAAAATCCGGAAAAAGCACCAGAGAAGCAAGCGAAGCAACTAAAATCGCAACTGCTGCTGCAAAGGCCTTGACAATAGTGTCCGTGTATTTGATCAGCAAGCTCACGAGCAGTCCACCGTAGCAGTGAAGTAGAATCACGTACCGAGATATGAAGGAGGCTGAGTGTTGTAAGGAGCATCAAAATGGTTGCTCAAGATTCAGGGCCCTTCTTGGGTAAATTCATTTCAATACACAAGAGAAAAAGTAGAGTGATTCTTTCATGTATTCGTCCTCGTGTAGTTAGCTTTGGTATAAAGACAATTTTTTCTGAGAAAATTCACAGTTGTTTCTCCATAAAAACAAGGGCGTCTGCGGAGGCCAGCCGAGCAAAAAAATCAGCTGCCTCGCTAATACCCTTGTCAACCAAGCTCATTCCGCTCAAATCTAGCGTGAGTCTCGGCGCTCGCTGTATCGATGTTGCAGCAGATGCACGACGGGGTGATATCATATCATGCACCGCATCACTTACCATCCCCACTCCGACGCTGACAAGCGCCAGGTGTACATTTCGCACCCAGAGATTTACCTGTCGAGCGTGTTCTTAGTGCTACAATTTTCAAAAAAGTAGTTTTTTAGGTGCTACGGAAATCTCATCATATCATCAATCTGGCATTGATTAAACTAAAGCTGAATTCCTTAAACTTCAGAAATGTATCGACCAACAACATGATAAAAATTTTCCTCCGCAAAGTAAATACCTGACTTCCTTTAAGCACCATCTCGAAGTAAACACCGCCAAGTCCCGAGCACATTACGGCAGCAAAAGCAGCGGCTAGCCCTAAGCCATAGTCTACGCTCGACCTGTCCTTCTCCGACAGGCTCTGAATAAAGGCATGGCCATCCACCTGCACTATCGTTATCCCTGTCATCAGGAGGACTAGTATTAGAGGGAGGAGGGAGGTACTTACTAGCAAACATGCATCTTTAGCACTTTGAGATGGTGACGCAATTCAATTCAATGGCGTGACTTTTGTTTTTTGCATTTTTTTGCGTTTTTTTCTCTTTGTAGTGCGAGCGAGTTCCGATAAGTCAAAACCTACCTGCGCACTTTCCGCGTGGATACCGGCATAGGGGGGAGTTCTTAATCTCCTTAACAACGACGCTAATGCCCCCACGATTTTAAAAGGGTCAAACCTAGGAGCAAAGGCAGGATAAATTACTTACCTGGTACCTGCCACCGCGAACGATGTCCGTCTCCCCATTACGCGCTAATTGTGAGTGCTTAACTTTGTGGGCCGCGGAACGATGTCCGCATAATCAAATTGCCATTAGTTATTTTTTGGGCCCTAGGTGGAACTTAAGGCCCCAGACTCATGACTTTTTCTTTTTGTAGTGCCATGCTTATCCGAAAGGGAAAACCTTGCATGTTTATCCGAGAAGCTGCCGGCGACGCACGGGGCTAACCCCCCATAGAGTACGCTAAAATTTTTGATCAGTCGATTCTATGATGGTCAAAGTTAGGAGCTGAGGCAGACTACTGCAATGCGGAAAACCGTCCGCCTCACTACATAGACTGCGTACCCTCCGTTCCGAGCATGGCCTACGACAGCCACTGATCACAGTCTACGATAGCCTACGACAAGTGATAGGTGTGCATGCTTGTAGTCTTCTAACCGCCTTAAGAGCGCGATCCACTTTCGCCTAGTCAGGATTTGCTTTAACAGTAGCCTCGCCATTAACGCCGCAGTGAGGATTTTACTTTGGTATGTGACCTGAAAAATAGGGGACGGAAGCTTGCCGTAGCTCAGAAAAATCAACTTGTTCTGAACCACATAGATAACAGCGGGCACAGCCATATGTGCAAACTCGCGCAAGTTGAAAAGCTCTCGTCCCACTAATCGATGATAGCGCCGTCTCCATCCTAGCCCTAAGCTTTCTCTTGAGGAGCTTTGTTCGGTACTAATTTCATTGACCACATCGCCGTCTGTTTTTTTCTCGGCGTTCGAAGAATCGCTGAGCCCATCTCCCAGTATGACCTGGGCCGCAACCACTGCTAAGCTCGTAGCGAATTTTACCAACTCACCACCCACCACAATCAAAGTATCTTCAGATGGTCCAACAAGATGCGGGCGATTGATTTTGAGCCACCTCGTGAGCAGTACTATGGACGCATTTTGAACTGAGAGGCACACAAAGCAAAGCAAGCTGAGCCATGGTGAAGTTGCTTTTTTCCCAGATGGTGACGCTTCAGTTTTGCGAACTGCTCCCACATCCAACATTTTACTCTGGCCTCCTCGTTCTGATGATAATCCTACTTCTCCAGCAACCGTGGTGGCCGAAATTTTCATTTTGGCTAAAGCGACCGTCCCAGAATCGCAATCTTCACTTCGGGTCACTTTCTCGCTGGCACCAACGGTGGAGCTTCCTTTTCTCGACAATGACGTCAGCAGGCACGGCTCCGGATTGCTGGCTCGTGGACTCGACATGGGCAGACCACTCAGCAATATCTCGAAGAGTTCTTGATCTCAGATGAACGTCCCAGTCATTTTGATATCGTTTGAGGAATAATACCAAATTGACAGATGGGCGGAGAAAGCGGATGACATACACCGATCAAACCATGAATTGAGAAACAACTAATCAAGCAAAACAAGACGTGTTATTCACTCAACAATGAAACAGTTTCAACTCACCCTCAGGGTGGCAATCCTAGTTATGCATTGCTTCTCCTATAATGTTAAGTATTAAAAAACAAACAGCTTCTCTGTCTTTCTGCAAAGACCCCACAAGCTTGACCAAGATCATCATGAACCAGTCAAATCTATCCGACAGGAACAGAGAATCGCATTCAAATCCGAGCATTTTTTCTAGTTCGCGACACCAGGGCAGGCACACTGTGACATCCACGACGGCCAGCCTTCCTAAACGATATACAACTTTTACTCAACTGCTTATGAAAGCCCAAAACCCGAAGACAGGTGTTGCACATCAGAAGTTTCGAGTCATATCTTAGAATAATTGGAAGAGCATCGCTATTTATCGTAAGGAAGCGTCGTAGTCATTAATGTCGTTGCGTGTCACTCTGTGCAAAAATTAACCCTCTCCCACCTCGTATGTCGTAAAGCTGCAGACATATCAACTTGAATTATTGTAACTCTCCCAGTACGCGGAAGAATTGAGCATCACCAAATAAGTCTGTTAAGTATGTGACATCTGTCAGGGACAGTTGTTCAAAAGGAACGAAGTATTTCATTGTTCAAAAGTATTCATTGTAGTTCGGCGTAATCGATAATGATGAAAAGAAAATTGATATCAATCAGTTGCAACTTCAAAGTATTTACAGCTTCTGACAAGTCTGCTGCAGCTAGAGAGCCACCCTAGTCGCCGAAGGCGCTCTACGAGCGGGATTCGACTGGAAAGGACTTTCTATTCTCCTCGGAGCGCTTATCAACCCCATCGACGGTGAAATACTACCTCCAGCGCCACTTGTCGGTGAGGACAGCATGCGTGTCGGATCAGGCGAAGCGGCCCCTGCCAGTACTGGGGGTGGTGGGCGACTCAAATTCCGAAGCTGCGCTACGCCGGTCAGCATCGGTGTCTGTAAGCGTGGTGGTAAGCGCAACTTCATGTTCGCAGGAATCGCTGGCTCGTTGTTTCGAGGTGGGTCCGGAGACAGATGAAAAACTGGTGAAGAAAGCGCACTACGTGAAGCAGTAGGAAGAAAGGAAGTCGTTCGACTACGTTCTCGCGCAAAAATATCACCAGTCGAAGACGGGAGGACTCCATCCCTAATAGTGGGAAAAGCATCGAAATTATTACTGTTCTTGTTCTCAGGGTCAGCACCTAAAGGATGTGAAAGCTGTCCAACACTCGCGGCCCCATTGGACGTTCCAGTCGCAAATATCGTCTTTGACTGCTGCCACATTGTATTAACGGACGACGACGAGCCTCCGGACTGTATGCTTCCAATGCTGGACGCTTTGGACCCCGCATGCGAGCCCACACCGCAACTGGGTCGGCTGCCGCCAGCGGGCAACGTTGTGCGTCGGATAGTTGGCTCTTGCTCCGACGGCGACGCAACGCACTCAGACGGTGATTGCAAGCTGTAGAGCAGGTGGTTTTTCGGCAGTCGCGACTTGCTTGCTTGACCCGTTGAACTTTGAGTCGCTAGCCCACCAGCTCCACCCCCTGATGAGGCTGGTAATGACGCTTGCTTCAGGGAGATACCAGATGCGATTCTGCCCGGCTGCGGCAATCCGCTCGTGGAACCTCCAAGGAGACCCGGTCTACTACTGCTATTCCGCAAGAGAAGACTGCCAGGTGGCACCGGAAAGTTCGGACGCGCTATGCTAGAGGATGCAGGTATATTCATACCTCCAATTGGCCCCGTGCGAGAAACTGCAGCGTTCGAAGGTTCTGCCCCAGCATTATTCACGAGATGCTGATCCCCTTTCTCGGGTGAAGAGGACGCCTCAGAGTCTTGCTGCTGTTCGCAGGCGTCAAATTCCACATCCTCATATCGCCGTATGAATTCGCCTATCGAGTACACGTCCCGCTGCGCACCTCCTTCACCAAGCACAGCTACAATCAATTCTAGCGCCGACGCCCGCGGGCCCTGTGCGAATCGGGACTGCGGTAGCGAGAGCTCTACTTCCAGCCTGCAAACGAAATGACAATAGTGTGAATTAACGTCCACCTCGATCCGAAGCCGCAGTGAGAAACTGATAAATCAGTAGTTGTACAACAAAACATCAAAATCAATCTCAAACGCAATAGTGAAGTACCTTCCATACAGATAGCGCCGTGGGGCTATTCGACTGAAGAGAATCTTGCAATGGTCGCGCCTATTCAGCACTTCAGCTAGCTGCTCGTCCACCGCATCGTTCTGGACTGGCTGATACATCGTCTGCCCATACACAGGAACTATGCGATAGTTTGTTTGTTGTGACGATGAGCGCACACGCGCCGCACTTTTTTCCGCCTTGCTGCTCGACAATGGCGACTGCTGTATTTTTTCAACACAAAAAAAAATCATACAAAAAATCATACAAATACATACATACATAATACATACATCATCATACCCAAAAGAATTAGAGTCTCTGCTGCCCTACTATTTCTTGCAACAATGGATGGAAGAGTTACATTTTTTTAGGTCCAACTCCAAACTCCAAATGTACGACAATAACACCTGTCTTCGAGACCCAACGCTCCCGACTGGTGGTGGGGAGCTTCGCTTTGATGAGCTAATGCCTCCCATGCGGTCCGGCGGACACGACTCCACTGGAGAAGCTGAGAAAATTGAGGAAAAGTTTCTGTCTCTCCATGAAAAACGGATTAGAGCTTGTTCTACAAGGACAAGGTCAAAACGATCAATAATATCGTCATGATATTACCTGATTGATTTACGCGCCGCGAATCGACAATCTTTCAAGACAAAAAATCGAGCGGCGTACGACACAAGTACCTTTCCTTGGATTGCTCTTTCAAGACAAAATGTCGAGCGGCGTACGACATAAGTGCCTTTCCTTGGATTGCTCTTTCAAGACAAATCGAGCGGCGTACGACATAAGTACCTTTCCTTGGATTGCTCTGACTCCGCTTCGCTGCTTCGGCTATTTCTGTTCGACACAGCAAGACCTGCGATACTCCAGGTGGCGCGTCCGCTGGGGAAACGCCACGACTGTAGTCGAGCGGACCTCCGGGTGGGTCATTTGGGCTTCGCGCGGCCGGGTAAAGTTCTTCAACTGATAATGCTCTTACAAAGTGGCAGCTAGGTTCTGGCGGTGTTCCTTCTCCGACAAGATGTCGCGACAGCTTTCTCGCAATCGAGACCCTTGAGTCAAGATTTCCCACATTGGCCTCCTGCGTTTCCGCCCCGAGCTTCTGTTCACGAGTCGACGTCGTGTCTTTACTTGATATCGAAGCTGGCCTTTGTCCTGCAGAGACTGCCGATCCTCCCGGTTGCTGTGCCTGCAAAGCCTCCTCAAGTTCAGCGATTCTCGAGTCGGCCGCCTGCAGTCGCCGGTAATAGTTTTCCTCTTCTGTTCGCAACTGGTCCACCAGACGATTACTGCCCTCAGCCTCAGCAGCAGCCGCGTCAGCACGCGCCTGAGTTTCCAGTAGTGCTACTTGCAGCCGTTCTGCGCGCGATGTGTGGTCCTGCAATGTCGTCAAAATCAAACGAAAAGCAAAATTTACAACACCATCTACTAGGCTAATTGGTCCTATATATGACACAAGGACGCACGCCCCCCCCCTGTGAATGGCCCTGTGGTGGCGCTTGCGCGCTCTTTTCCGCGCTGCTTTTCGCTGATTCTCGGGGCGGAAGGCGCCAAAACTAGGAGCGGGCGGCCCCTTGCGCCGCTCTGCCGGTCGCCGACAGACGCCCCGGCCCCTGCCGACCCTCGCAGGTTGGAGGTCTCCGGGGCAGAAGCCCGCCGAAGGCGGCCACGGTCTCGAGGCCTGGCCCCTTTTGCTGGGTTGCCCTCATCAAATGCGCAGCAAAAGCCGGCAGGCCAATGACCAAGGGCCCGGAGGGTACAGGCCACACGGCTCAGGGGGGCCAGCCTGGCGCCTTTTGCCGCCTTCGGAGGCCTCCCACACCCGCCACGCTGCTGCTGCGGCGAGGGGCCACCAAGTAGGAAGTCTGTAGGGTGCACGCAGGCTGCTGGAAGGGAGCGGGAGCGGAGGAGGCTCCTTGGACCCCTTTGGAAGCCTTCCACCCGCGGCAGACGCCTCCAAAAGGGGTCCGGGGATCCACGGCCCCCCCCCGCGCGGGGGGAGGGGGGCGCTACCCTGAACCCTGGAACATATATCTTTCCCCGGACAACTCAGATACCTTTGCATCGAAAGCTCGTCATTGTAATCGTCAAACTCCAAAGAAATGACTGCGCAGACGAATGATAAAATTTGTTTTAGGTGGTACCGCATATTCAGCATCGTGTCTTTCGCTGAGGGAGAGGACACGGCTCTCCAAACTGCTGATTCTGGATTTTTGTGCCTCCGATTCTGCTTGCGCAACTCGAAGTTGTGATGCCGCGTCCAATAACTCCCGTTCTTTTTCGCGTACAATCTCCTCGGCAGCTGTTGCTTTCTCGACATGACTCCTCAAAATGTCTTCTTTTCGAACACATTCAGACTCCTGTATTTTTGCGCGCTGGGTAGGTAGGCAACCAAGAATGGCCCAAATGAATATCATATGAAACGGTACGAACTCGTACATATCTTTGTTGGAGACATGGCCATGGGTCTGGGTGAGGAGCCCATGCCGAATAAAACGGAAGAAGCGGAAAATAGTCACAGCTTGATACCAGCTCGTCGCATCGCTCCTGAAGTTTTTGGCGCGCAAGGTATTCGCTTTCGTATTCCACCTGCCACTGCTGATCTTTTTCTCTTGCCTGCTCAAGCTCCTCCCGCCAGCGCTGCACTTCTTCCGCCTGCTCGTTTACTTGCTCTGCTTGTTCCTTCAATTGCTCAAACTGAGCCTGTAGTGCGGTACTGCGCTCCGCCAAGCTGCGATCGACCTCCGCCGCACGCTCTGCGAGGGCGGCATCACGTTCGGCGATATCTTGTTCGCGGCTTGCGAGATGGTTCGCCTGTTCCTCGAGTGCGGATCCACACTGTTTCATCTCCTCTTCGCGTTCTAGCACTGCACTCTGGCAGTCCTGAATGCCCTGCTCGCCCTGGGCAACGTTGACCTCTCGTTGCTGCAACTCGGCTTCTCTCTGCCCTACTTCACCTTCTCTTTGCTGCAACTCCGCCACTCGCTGTTGTAGCTGCGCCTCGAATCCCACTGCTGCATTAGACGAACCTATTCTCGCATCGCAGTCCGCTTGCATTTTGGTGAGTTCCCTCTCCAACTCTGCCTGCAAAGCCGCACTCTTCTGCGCGAATTCATCGCGCAAAGCATTTTCTCGGTCTCGTAAGCGGTGATCCGAGTCTCTCCGTAGCGCCCGCTCCCGGTGATCCGCGTCCTGGCGCAGCATAAGCTCCGTCTGCTCCAGCTGTACCTGAAGTCCCGCTCTCTCCTGCTCCAGCGCTGAGTGAAATTCCGCACATTTCTCCTGTACTGCTTGTGTCAAAGCCGCATGATCCTGCTCTCGCATCTGCTGCAATTCCTTGCTTCGTTAGAGGCTGCGCTTTCCGATTTAGTAATTCTAATTCATTACAGAGAGCATTTTTACTCGCTGTCTCAGTATCTCAGATGAAAAAAGAGCGACGACGACAGCAACAAGAACAATGTGATCTGTAGTGAAGATGAATTATTGACGAGAGGAGCCCTAATTCCACTTCTCACGCAAGTCCTGGCACTTCCGCTTCCAGTGCCATGCCTCGTCCTCCCACTTTTCTGCGTCTGATTTTGACTTGTCTTCCTGTTCCTCTCTTCGACTTCGAGCAGCGTCTTTGCTGTGGTCCTCGCCGCGTTCCGAGATTGAGCCGGCGTCAGGGGGTTCCAGCGGCGTGCCACTGACCTCCGCCTCAGATGGACTCGCTACCAAGCGGCCACCGACAAAAAGCACGTCGCCCCTTTGCTTATTGGTATTTTCAGATGCGGAAGACGCGGACGACGAGGAGGAGGACGAGGAGCCGCTAATCCCGCGAACTGCATGTGGATTTTTTGCAAGCAAAGCTTTTTGCAATTGTGCCTCTGCTGCGGCATTCTGTTGTGCGAGCTGTGCTTCGTACTCTTCGCGCTCTTGCTGTTGCGCAGTTTCGAGCCGCCGTATCTCGAGCAACTGCTTCTCCACGATAGCTCGCAGTCCCTGCAGCTCACCTTGCACTTCCTCCATATGCTGTTCGTGCGCCGAGGCCTGTTGTTCGTACTGCGCCAACTGCTCGCCCGCAGTCGTGAGGCAACTGCCCGGCGGCATATCGTCTGGCGGCTGGTCGCCCTGATGATAGTACAACTGGCTCGAAAACGCCGACGTAACAGTTGCCTTGCTCGCTACGGTACTAGCCGCTTCACCTCCTCGCGCGAACACTGACTCATCGCCGGACGAAGCTGCCGTCGAAGTTACTCCTCCCGCAGTGGTTTCTTGCTCGCTACCTGAGGCAGTATCTTGCCCCCTGCTGCTTGATGAGGACCGTTTTTTGATGTCTTCGACTGCAGTTACCGCACGTGCCTGTTCCTTGGACAGCTCCTCCGCCAAGTTTCGGATGATGCTATCCTTGACTGCAAGCTGCGCTCGCAGACCCTGGACAGCGATGGAACTCTCCGATAATGATTCCATCTTCGTGCTCTAAAATTCACCAGAGATGAAAGTACTAGCACTACTGTGATCTTACGTATTACATTGGGACTCCTGAACAGAAACTACCAGGGTCCGGCGGCCTGCTTCAAGCAGCCTCTTTGGGCGAGCTTCCTGAGCGAAGAAATTAGTTTTAGGGCCGTGATGAAATCAATGTAGAAGTCCTAGCTCTGAATAGGAGCTAGAAGTGCATCATCAAGACCACACAATGAAAAACTCAGTTACAGCACGGGCGCGTCACATCCATGGCGGCTTCCTCGTGGTGCGGCTCTCGCCTTTTTGTCCGACCAGTGATCTCTCTAGATGTTGACATAAAGTTGATACTTCTGGTACTTACCTACAACAGATGACGCTTCGCATTACAAACTGATGTTGATGTCTAGCAAGAGTACTCCCTTCGCTTCCGCTCGACCGTTCCTAGTTTGATGTCGCAAATCGCCTGCAACGTCTGCAAATCTTTTCTCTCAAAGATAGAACACAGGACACACAGAGAATAATTGGCACATGACATACAATGGCTCATATAAATGAATCAGTGAACGAATCCCACCGGAAGTGGGAGATGAAAAATACAGGTACTAGTACATCGAGAAAGCCGCGAACAAGAGCAAGCTGCTGTTCATAAGCATTTAGGCTTCTTTTTGTGCAGCAGCAACAGCATCTTCCTCCACCGATATACGATAGCGGTAAAAGGACGAATGCCTGCTACTGGTTCAAACAAATAATGGTTTACTCACTTTCACAATAAATCACATGATGAATTCAAGCTATAGCTATAAATGGAATCCCGGTTCTAATAACTCTCTCTTGCAACGCTTTTTGTATCAGTTTTAAGTGTTTTGATTTTGACCGCTCAAGATCTTTCTAACGACCACTCAGCTTAGACTTTAATATTCAATCTGATCCTAAGTACATCAGGATTTCGAGAACCGTACTCAGCCTTCCAAAAAAGTACCTCCTCCTTCGACTGAGCACTTCGAGGCATTCTCTGCACCCTCGCTTACATTACTGGGGGCACCACTCAAGAAGAAATCCATCAAGTTCAAGATGTGACTACGATAATCATGAATATCTTTGATTGTAACGAGGAGCCTCTTCTTCAAAAATAGGTTCGTCTACTAGGTGGTACCCCTGTATAGAAGTACTTGAACAAAAAAAAAGTTCAGTTACAAAGGACTGCAATTGATGTCAAAATAGACGACCTACCGGAAGCTCGAAGTCAGGCGCTGGGTGAGCATCATAATGCAGATCCAACAAGCTTGTTCCATTATGCCCAGGTGATAGAGCGCGATAACCCCGGATGATTGTACATATGTAAAGCCTGCACGTGTTCGCTAGAAGTTACAAGTTAAGTAGTCCGCTCAAAGACCACAACCTTAAGAATCCAAGCGACAAGGTTTTGCAGTCGCACAAAGAGAAGATGACCCCATCATCTTTGAGAGAAATGATAGATCTTTTCGTTTTCATGATCACCAGAATACATTGGACATTTATGTGGGCATGGACTAGTGTTACGTATCCTGGGTGCTATTTTGGTTTTGCTTCACTATATTGAACAAGAGTTATTAACAATCATGGGGAGAACTGCGTTGCTTTCACGCAGAAAGTAGGAAAATTCTTCTTCGAAGTCTATAATACCCATGATTACTAAAAAATACCAAGCCAGGCAGCGAATATCGAATCGGTGGAACCACTGTGACCGCTCGGATCTTTTTCGCACCTCTTCTTATTCATCCTATTTCAATAGTAGAGAGTAAGCCTTACGTCTCGTGCGATCCACACGAACGTCAGGAAGGATGGCTTTCTCATCCATCAATCACCCTCTATTTGGAACTCGTTACGCTTCCTTGTTCCTCATGAGGGTCTTCGAAATGAAAGACTCTCTAAGAAATTATAAGCTAAAGTCTGGTGATGGATGTATGAACTGCCGATACATACATTCAACCACAGTCTTCTCTAGGATTCTACAGAAGAACCTGATCAATAATATTCAACATTGCCGTGAAAATTGGAACAGGTGCAAATCTTATACTTTTTTAACTTCGAGACATAAAGTCCAAATGCAACTCATATTAGATATGCTCTTCGATTTTCTTTGTAATGTTTTCTTCTGAAAACAAACTTGCGTACTATAGGGGGGCGTCTCCTAAAACATCAGTGCTTCATGCAAATTGTTATGTCAAGTCATTTACGGAGTAACTAAGTGTAGAACAAGGTGAACGCATTGCATGTGGTAAAAATGATAAATACTTATTGCTGTGATGGTGGGTGGGGATCGAGACCTGCTTTATACAAATCTTCGGTTTTAGATATCTTCGCCAGTTGTATCAGCAGCTGCTGAACTTGCGAAAGTGCCATGGCTCCCAGGATCAGTCGTTTGCGAATCATGGTGCGACAGCGGCAGCGAGTTGGCGTGGGGAACTTGTGGGACTTGTTCGGCTGGTTCGTTGTTTTTTTTGTCTTGGATCATGTTGATTTTCCCGGCCAAGAGTTCAACTTGCTCCTGCGACAAGGACGTGTTCTTGGAGTTGGGCAAGCTTGCATTTTTCTTTACAGTTGCAATATCCTGGGACAAATCTGCGTGAGAAGGCGTTCTATTGCCAACAGATGAAGTTCTGCCGCTTTCCGGGGCGTCGATCCTCCTGCCCCGGTCCCAGGATGTTGCGGCTCCGTCGGTGGAAAGGCGCGATGCACGTGCCTCTTTGATGAGATCGGATATGCTATCTGCTGCGGCCCCTGGCCTTTTCAATCCGAGCCCCGGCTTTGGGCACACACCCACAAACTTGAACACGTTGACAAACTCCTCCCATTGCACGTAGAAAGAGCCGCATTGCTCGAATGGTGCCGGTTCGTCTAAATTCGCGAGGACCTTTGTCGCCATGGATAACCGATCCCAGTTCGCTTTGTCATCATTTGCCCAGCGTCCTCGCCACGGAAATTCCCTAAATCTCGACCGCATTTGCAGCAGCCTCAGCGTCTTCTTAGTACTTTGCCCAGATACCATGCTAGAAAAATTCATGCTTACGCCACCTGGTGCGCCGGCGGGGGTATTAGCGCCATTCGGCGCAGAGCCTGCAAATGGAAGGGCATCTCTATCCCCAGCCGGTGTTCGCACGTCAGGGCTTCGGTCTCCGTTTGACCTCTGACTGCCTCCTCCGGTGGAGCGTTCTTCAAGCGAGATCGCTGACCTTTTGCTGTCGTTCGCCACAATGGACGGCGGGAAGGCTATCGCCCGGCTTATTCCCGAAGGCACCAATTGCGTCCGGCTGTTGCCAGGACTATTGGGCATCGAAGGCGGTGAATCCTCGCACACGGGAACGCGTCCCTCCTGCGAATGTGGCGTGAAGTCTCCCCTTCGACCGTTCACCGCATGGGGTCGCATCGTACTCCCGCTAGACCAGAAGGCGTCTTCGATGGGAAGCTCAAAAGTGCGAAGTACCGTGTACGAGAATCCTGGTAGTAACCCTCTTGTGGCGGACCCAAACTTGTGGTGTCCCGGGATACTACCACTCATCACGTAATGCCGCATATCGCACTCTCGCAGATGGGTCCACAGTGCTTCCAGTTTTTTGCTCGCATCCAGTCGCTGCATATACACTTGTCGACTACCCTCGAAAACTGGCGTCGCCAGACTAGCTAGCCTCTCCGCGTCCACTAGAGGCAAAGGCGGAAACAAACGATCCCTTCGACCAGGACTATCCAATCCCGAACGTCCTCCACTAGTACCCGTGGAACCCGTACTCAATTCCGACATGGCACTAGCAGCAGAAAGGTTCTTTCCGAGAGACGCGGGAGGTGACTCACTGCCCGACCCGTTGCCGTTACCACTACCAGTTCCACCTCCGCTTGCTGATGCTCCATTCTTACTGGTGCCATAAGGAGAGACGCTGCGTCTCTTTGATGTTACTTGCTGCCTCTGCTCTGTGTACTGTACCTGTCCCGCTGCCGCACCACCTTCACTAGATCTTGGAGTGGCGCTGGAAACATCACTTGCGGTGCTACCAGTTGTCGTTCCCGCTCCATTCGAGGAAACGTCAATAGAACCAGGCACCTGCTGCAAAGTCCATCTTTCTACGCGATCTACACCTGTTAGCGCCATCCAAGCAAAACCTGTTTGCCCACCCTCCAGAGCCGCGTAGCTACCATACAACTTTGCAATCGCCTTCTCCAGCAAGCAAGCCAAAATTTGATTTCGAACCTGAATATCAATGCACATCAATGAATATGTTACCAAAATGATCAGGACGGGACCAATTATGTATATCTCTACTTGTTCCAGTGACATGCTAGAGAGAACAGAACAACAAAAGGAATTAGTGAATGAAGATGATACGGGTCGCGCGAAGAGCGGCTTCGCATAGCAAGGGCTCCATTTCCTTCCGTCACACGGGAGAAAATCGTCAACTGTTACCTTGGTCCACTCTCGCATCGCTACGTCGTATAAATTGAACGTGTACTTTCCGCTGTGTCGCACATCTGCTTTGGTTTGTTTCAACCTTCCCGACTTGTTGTTGCCTCCAGCACTTCTGCTGCTATGTACTACAAGCGCGTCTCCCGTTGTTCCAGTAGAGGCAGCATTATGTAGTTGATCATTAGTACTATGCTGTTGTGGAGGATCTTCCTCGTCGCAGAGTATATGACTTTCGATCCACGTAGGATATTCCGCGAGGCTTGCTAACGCAGACAGCACCCACTGGGAAGACAAAGCGCCTGGAAGACAGCTCACAAACGAAAACAAGCTGGGGTCCACGCGATCATATAGCACTGCACTACGACCACGAAAAAGCTGGCTCCCACGGATCCAAACCGGCTCGTATTTCGCCCATCGTTTTGCATCCGAGCCGAGCGACCGCGTCACCGGAGGAAATTCAGGATCAGTAAATAACTGGGTGCGGAGCTTAGAAAAGAAAAAGCGCAAAATAAACCCATCCTCTTCTTATGCTAGCTTAAACTTGATTTTGTCATCCTCCGAGCATCTTATAGTACTTACATACTTCTGCTCTAATAGCAGTTTCATTCGAAAAATAGATGCTCAAATTCTGAAAATCAACAGAGCACGTTCTTATGAGTTTATAATCATTTGTTCCGTAGTGCTTCTACCGACGGCAACCGGGTGGTAATCATATGACCTCAGGTCAGTCACGACAATGCCGCAACGGTCTTCCCAGTCATTGTAGATCAAAGGCGAAAACGGCCCTACGCTCGGCCCACAAGTCACAATTGCGCTCTCGAGCCCCGCACTATCAGGCGTCGTCGTCTTACTTAGCGCCCAGCAATCCCCAGTGTGCGCGAGAAAAGTTGATTCTGTATGCGGAAATCAAAGAGAAGAAATTCAGGTCTTTTAATCCTCGAAAAAGTGGGTTATATCTAGATAACTAAATCGTTACCCTTATAGACAAGCGCCACCTTAAGGCAGCTCAAAACACAAATCCAACATAAAATTACGGTCATCTAGAATGAAGTAGTACGCTTTCCTCCTTTCCGCTTCGGGTGACTCGGATTCGTTATCTCCCTTTTCCAGACCGGCAAATCATGATGAGTTACACCGTCCACGAGGGTGTAGCTACCCTGGATGAATTGATCGACACTCTCTATGAACAGCTGCTGCGACGGAATTCTCGAGACTTGCTCTTGTTCGAGGCGCGCCACACGGGCCGCTAAGATGTGGCTCTCTCGCTGCATATTGAAATCGAAATCGGCCTGCAGTGTGTCCCCGTCCGCCTCTTCGTGGTGGCCTTCGTCCATCGAGTCTGCAGCACTGGCTGTACCACTCACCGTCTCTTCGCTTTTTGAGTGTTGCCTTGTTATTCCAAAGTGGTGGACATGATGTTGGTCTGGAAGTCCCGCAGAAGCAAGATTATGGTTGCTCGACACTGTATTGGCATCACGTGGAACGTTGAACGTGACAACCGGGTGGGACCCATCACTCGAGAGTGCGGGGGTCGCCGGATGTACCACATGATGTGGCGGATCTCCCTCGGACGAAGAGCGGTGCTGATGGTGCGGAGCACTTGTTTTTGGTAAAAACGGCGTTTCAACACCTCCGTCTCCAACGACAGGACCGCCGGGCAGATATTCAGTGAGGCCTCCGCGTGGAGTAATATCCTCACCGGCTCCGCCATCAGGATCAAGCATCGAAGGGCCTTGCGAATTCACGGGAGAAGTAGCCGCCGGACTGCTGCTTATACCCAAGACCTTGCCTATAAGGGACGAGGCATCTGAAGACAACGACGGCAGCAGCAACTTCGAACTACTACGCACGAGCCCGCTACTTGACGCCTCCGAAGGCGCAGACTCTTTACTGCCGTCCCTTCTCGCATTCCTTGCCCTGCCGGTATCCTCCGCTTCTGCTCTCTTTGCGATTGCTTTGCCCCTTTTTTTCCGCAGAGAATTTCCTTCTCCAGCTGAAAATGCACCTTCCGACTCCGTTCTAGTGTGCTTTACCAGCAGCCTCTTCTCGTTTTCCTCTGGCCTGGGTACCCCTTTGAGCGCACAAACCCAACTTTTCATGCGAAAACTATCCTCCTGCTTTACATAATGTACTGGAAAATTAAGATCCTTATGCGCTATGTGCATCTTATCTGCACGCATATGGGACCCAAAACGAACCTCCCACGTATTCTCGCCCACCTGCGTCACGCCACCCGCAAACGGCAGTCGCATGCACATCATCTGTGCATCCTCCAGGGATTCTGATGTAGTTGAGCGATTCTTGATTTTAAGCTTTCTCTGAGGCGATATTCTCTGAGGTAGAGTAACTCTTTCAAGTCACTGGCTATTCTTACTTGAAGGGAGTTACGAGTCTGGTCCTGCTCATAGACATACAAAACAGAACATCGCAGTTGTGAAGGACAGCTAACCACTGTTTGAGAATCCAGTTACTCTGGTTTTGTAGTTTTTGCAAAAATTATAGATACCGAAGCACGGATTCCGATTCAGCGTTCGTGACGGAAAGGCGTCGAGAAAGGCACCCTCCCGGCATACCCAGAGGGAATCCACGTTTTTCAGGCCATCTGTTACCACCTCCAGCTCAGAAAGTGGGACACTTTCTAACTTCAAGATGGGATCCTCCAGCACCAGGGGGTCCTCTCCTGGAGCCACAGCTCGAACTTTGGAATTGCCACAACCCATCCTGCTGCCTGGCAAAAAATCGTCCTCCTTTTTGGCTTACAATCTGTTCAACTTCTCAAATACTCTTTCGACCCACTGAAAATGTAGAATCGTGCCCTGATCGATGAAGTCCGGGAGTCGCCAAAGGTGTAAATAATATCCAATCAGCCATAGTAACCACACACTTCTCGTTTCGTAACTTCGAGGCTTGCTGCGGATCGGAGACAAAAGCCCAATAAAATCGGTTAATTGTGCGCAGAACAGTAAACACCGCAACAGACTTGGCCCCCAGAAGATCCTCCAAATAACAATGACAACGAATCGTGGAAAGGAACAAGACGAGGAATAAGATGAGGGGTATAATTATCAATCTAAAAAAGTACTGGTAAAAAGTTCTCTATTCTCGATTCACTTTCGCCGAAGGGCGAAGGGGGCGAAGCCAAGCCAAGCAGTAAACTTGAAGAAAAAATCAATGCAATCAAGTAACTATGCTGATATAATGACTTACTCTTGGAGTACGAGTAGATGCATATTTACTTAAACACTCGTCCTACCAGTGGATACTACAGTACTACCAATAGTCGATCTGATCGGATAACGATTACAATCTTCATCCGTTTTATTTTGGAGAGCTCTATGGCATTGCTTCCTCTGATGCTTACACACAGTCACACGTATACTGGAAACATGCCTCGTCATCATCATCATCATCATACGCCTCTGGTGGTCATTCTCTACCACTGGCGAGACAAGATAGTTTCTCTTACGGTCTAAGGTCTGAATTACGAGTGAAATACATAATTGGTAAGAAGTGACGTACATATGTAGGTATTTCAAATATGAGCAAAGCGTCGTAAAGAAGCATACACATCATCCAACCACGATGATGATGACATACCCAGAGTTCACGGGTGTAGAGTACACCAGTAAACTACAAAGGAGGAATCAATATCACATTCTTTCTATGGATTGCGGGGGCAGTTTGGGGAGCGCCTGGAAATTTCAAAGTTCGGGAGAGAGAAAAGTATACAAAAATGCTCAGAAAAACTCAAGATGATAGATCATGTACGGCTACGGAGAGAATCCCCGCCATTATCTATTGACTCATTTACACAGCGTATGCTCGGATTGCTCTCAACACATGAGAGTCGCAGAACGACCAGGATACCCTTCAGACGCTCGAAGTATATATTATTACCGTTCTCGTTTGCTCTAGTCGTCTCAAATGAACAGACATATTTAAATACAGATTCCTCAACTCAATCTGCCTCGTTCTCGCCGTTGACAGAACCCAATATGCAAGGAATCTCCAAGTAACCATATTGATCTACTCACTGCAGACACGGCACCTCTTCGCTACAGCAGCTCGTGCAACGTTTCTTTCTAGCCCTGGAGACAGAGATCTGCGCAGCTGAAACTCAATAAACTCAACAACTCTCGTTAAGCGATTTGCTCCTGGTCTGAACTCGCGGTCCCTCTGTATGTCGATAGCCGCAACTCGCTGGTTGCGCGCGTCGTAGCGACGGATCCATGGTATGTTTTAAAAAGACCTACTAGCCTTTTGGGCAACGGGAGCATCAGATCAATTAATCTTAGGAAATTAGAACTGCATCGACTCCGATCAACTATCTAGTCGGATGCAACCGGTGGAACTGCAGTCCCGATTTTTTTTTACTCATGAAAGTAAAGAAATTTTGAAAATCAAGCACAATTAGGGTATTCGATGAGATGAAAAAGATTTTCCCTGGGGAGGAGCATACGACGAACATTAGTGAACTAATATTCAAGTCATTTATCCCCTTTCGCCCAGGAAAGATGCTTGGACGATTTGGTTATCAAAAGCTAAATCTGCAAAAAAAATTGCTCGAAATAAACTCCGGTCTACATAATTCACAACGATGTCTTTCTACCTTCGATCAGTCAATAAAGTCTGACTCTAAATCAAGCCGATAGAAGGGGAGGCATCACACTACATTTTGTCACAATTATACATAAGAACGAACTTCTCTCTCTTACAATTTTGGTCGCGGTGCAACAGCCTTCTTATACATCCTCTTCGCGCTGCACTACTTTGAGAAGTTGAGCGTCTGGTAGGTGCCAGCTTGCTCCCCACTGTCTTGGCACCGGCACGCCTTGCTCGGTGAGTCGCCTCTTAAACTCCATCTCTTTCTCCCGCTCCTGAATCCACAAAAGCGGTTCCGGTAGTCCTTGCTTGGTAATTCTTATGCGGTCCATCTTCAGATCCCCGAATTCTAGGTCGTAACCAGTAGTATAATCTTGCTCTTGGCCGCCCTCCATCATGGGATCATTATCATTTGGATCCGCTGCTTCCCCCTCCGCTCCTATCCTTCCGTTCCCCATGTTGGTCGGACTTGCGACATCGGCGAGCGGTGCGGTCCCATCGCCCTCGTCGGCCTTGGTCTCTATCTCTTCTGCCACATATTCTTCGCCACTGCTGCGCTCCACCTCCATTCTCTCTTCCTTCATCGGCCCACCGTCGACGTCTTGGAGCCAGCGCATAAAAACAACGAAGTCGTCGCGTGACAGCTCCGCCTTCACCGTACGAAAACAGTGATAGACCATCTCGCCGAGATCTGTAGATTTCAATTCATAACGCTAATACTGATTCAAATTCGAGTTCAAATATCTTTCGACCATGTGCAGTGCCGTGTTTCTAGCAGTAAAACTCTGGCGCATACGAAAAATTACAAAAATTATCGACTGCTGCGTTGATGATCTGACTACAGATTAACTCTAGGTGGAGCGCACTTTGAAATCAAGAGCTTCAACTTGTACAGTAACAGTAAGAAGGTTAGTATAGTTGAGGTGTACCAGAGGTTGAGAGCGGCAGGCCGAAGAAATCCTTGCAACACTGAGCGAGCTCCTGGTAAGAGAGGGAGTCGGACCCGTCCTCATCGATGAGGTCAAAGAATCGGTCGAAATCTTTCACTTCCTCCTTAGGGTCTCCTGGCTCGTAGGCTAAAACCATGAGGGCCTTGAACTCCTCGAAATTGATCTCGCCGTCGTTATCCAAATCAAACAGGTGGATCAGCTGCTCCGCGGACTGGTGCACGTCGGAGTTGGGAAGAATATTCATCTTGTTGAAGAGTTGCCTCAGCTCGGCCACACTGATCGCGCCAGTGTGGTGAATGTCCATGTGCGCGAAGGCGCGCTCGATGTGGCGTTGCTTTTCCTCCTTAAACTTCCGATACTTGTGCACCAACTGCTTGAAGTTCTTCTCCGAGATGCGCCCCTCGGCTTCGAGGACAATAGCGGCACTACCATGCCGTTTGTCGCTTTTCAGCAGCGTGATACCCGCAAAAGCGTTGTCGACGCGCGACGCGCAGCTTGAGGTTGTCGAAATGCGCATGCTCGTAGCTATCCGCGTTGGCGCAGCGGCAGAGGCTTCACCCTCTTTCTTCTGTGCAGGCTTCTCCTGGGCATTCAACTGATTCAAAGCATCTGCGTTCAACCCTTGACCCTTTTCTAAATCAATATGCTCATCCTGGTCTGCGAAAGAGACAAGTGGTGCCGATGTGCCCAGCATCAAAGCCTCCCACTCTGCCTGCTGGCGCGCTGTGATACCATCTCGAGGGCGTCCCGTGTTCATTTTCTCGTCGTCGTCGTCGTCGTCATCGCCTAGCCATTGCGAGTTCCGCATCATGCTCGGCGGCCCGTTCTCGCCTTCTCCGAGCATATCTTTCAGGTCATTAAGCATCCCGCTGTTCCTTCGTCCCAGCATATCTTCCTCCTCGACGGGATCGCCTAAGTTCTGCACGGTACTAACGCGCTGACTGCCACGCTTCTGTTCGACCAGGCGCGCAAGCCGACCGCGGAGTTTCACCATCTGCATCATCCCTACCGCTTCACGCAACCGTCGCACCCGCACCGACTGCATAACCTTGCGGATCAACCCGGCATCCTTGTAGCATTCAATGGAGGAGACGATCGTGAACTTCGTGATGATCTTAGGTAGGAGAAGGAAAAGCTGTACAGGCCACTGTACAACTGATAACCCGAAGAGCAACCATCCGACCGGCGTTTTGTCGAAGACGAAGAAAACTACGATCAAACTCGCGACCAGAATGGCTTCGAGAAACATCATCGTTCGCATTACCTGATGCAAAACCTCGATTCCCTTCTCATGAAAGGTGAACAGCTGATCATGCTCATGCGGAACGTAGTCCGGATCGCCGCCGAGCCAGAGCACATGCCACGGTCGTGTATATTGTTTCCATTCCTCCCGACTTTCGAGGATATACTCGTCGCGTGACGCGCAGCTTGCGCGCTTTTTCTCCTCCTGTAGCTTCTTCATACACCGCGTCTTGTGGATCGGTGCCAACCTAATGTTTTTCAATTTCAGAAAAAATACTTAAACATAGAATGTTGTATGGAAGTCTTGCCCCAGCATCCCTGGTAACAGGAGGCATTGCTTTTTTCTAGGCATCTTCTCAAAATCTGAATGACGTATGTAGTAACTCAAACATATACAATGCACGAAGGGCATCACACAAAAAAGGTACAGCATCCATCTATTAGTTTGCAAAGAGGTAGTTACATGGAGTTCTACCCAATAACCCAAAACCACGCATATCTAGAACAAAGAAAATAGACCAAAGTTTATAAGCCAATTATACAGAGCTTCATGCGTGCTGAAGCTTTGACCGAGCAACTTTGCGCGCAGTTCCGGGTCCAGGTCGTCGGACAATAGACCTCCCTTTACACGTCCAGAACCCTCAACGTCGAGCGTCATCATCTTGCGCCCTCCCCCGTTCTTGCTTCGCGTCTCCGCCCACGACTCAGCCATGTGTGAGAGCCAGTCCGCCGCGTCCTCACTCATTTGCGGCGAGAGAGAGTACTCGATTCTCGTCAGATCCCGCAACAGAAAAACGAAAACGCCCGAGAAGAGAATCCCCATCATCGTTTGCAGTGCCATGATAACCGTCGGGTCCACACTTGTCGCGATGGACACGAAGGGCACCACGACGAGCAGGGAAAAAAACCAGGTTTTGATGTCGACTTCGACTAGGTCAATCAAGAATTCTCCCATCTTGCTGTTCAGGTACATGCGAAAGTCAAAGCTGGCAGGATCCTTCACCTCGACTTCCGTGCTCCCCAGCTTTTTCCTTTCATCCTCAAGAGTGACCGGGTAAATGAAGATATGCCTTAGCGCGTGCCAAATGATCAACATCTTGTGCGAGTCAAGTTGCCACATTCTCTCTTGGAAAGACACCGTGGTAAAAGCGTCTTTCATCTTGCCGTCCTTGTCCAGGTAGCCGTGGTGTTGCAGGTGCGCCTCCAAACTGTTCGCGTGCCCTTTCGGAGTCATGTTCTCCCACCGATCCCAGATTCGATCCAGCTGTTCGGAGATGTGCATCAAGGTGGCCGCCTGCAGCATGAAAACCATCATCACGCAGAAGATACACATATGCACGTTTTCGAAACTTTCGGCGAGAGGATTTTCACCGCCTCCGTGGTAGCCATCAAAAATCTTCTTCGCCAAATCCTCCGCAGCTCCCGTTTTCGTGCTGATGAAGACCGCGAGACCGATGAACCCCAGAATCGTCAACTCGCCAAAACAGGAGTCCAGAATCTCTAGGGCCACCTCTTTTTCCTGCTCTTCCAGATTCTCACGCACATTGTTTTCGCCGGCCTCAAAGAGCAAGGAGAGCACTATCACAGTTGCGATTTCACAGACGTAAATCCAACCCTGAACCTCAATTTCCTCGCCCTCCTCTTCTTCGTGGACTTCCTGCTGTTTGGCCTTCTCCGCTTTGGCGGAGGAAGCCTCCTCATCCTCACGCTGCATGCGACGCAACTGCAGTTCTTCTTCATCGACCTTGTCGACAACGCGATCCTCAATCGCGCTGTTGCTAGGATCTTCTAGCACTTTATCCACATCTCCAACAAAAGTCGAAGCCGTCCTATCTTCACTCGGCCCGAGGATCCTTCTTTCAGAAGATTCGTGCTTCTTCCTGGCAATGTCGCCCCCCTCAACATCTGCATGTAGCCTGACTGCGGCGGGAGCCACGACTGTTTCTTCTTTGGAACTGCTTTTCGAAACTTCGTGTTGCCTGCTTTTCGGAACCACTTGTCCTTCATGCCTTGTCGCGTTTCTCGGCGCGTCAGCCGCTAAAGATATGTCGTCGGAAATCAGACTCTGAAGTTTGCTCTTGCTCGAACTTGTGCTGCGGTCGTTCATCTTCTTTAGCAGGCTGGCATTCTTGGAACCATGCAACCATGGTAGAAGCAAGGTATCGATCACCAAAAATGCGATAGCAGCAAAGAGCGCTACACTTGGTGATAGCCCTTTCTGGCCGCGCTTTTTTCTCCTCTCAGTTCGCGTCGGCAAAAGACGCACTGTTTGGGCTGCAACACTCATTTTTGCATTTTTTGAAACGAAAAAACTATCAGTCTATGCAGATGTTAAAATCAAGATATTGATTTGACGCCTGTGAAGTCTTCTGGATTTCGACTAAAAAACTAATCGTAGCATTATGCGTACTCTATAATCAGCAGTTTTACTCAATCACTGTTAACAGTCTGGTACTATTCCTATCAATATATCATAGGTATTTGAGTTTTATAAGCAAGGGATGGATTCCACTCAATACAGTATCCCAGTAACGAATACTATCAATCTACTCGAAAAGGTATGTGAAAAACATTCACACGGCTGAAGGAAATTTGTACACAAACAGGGCCGAATTCCTAAGCAATTATCATGCTACCAGTGATGTTCAGTGTTAGGGAAGCGAGTATGGACAATTACACTAGATATCTATTGCGCTAAAATAAACATCAATCTCTTTGTTAAATTACAGAAGAAATCATGGCTTTGAAAGATATTTCATCGCTCGAAGCTATTTGTTTCGATAACTAATTTTCACATTTCAGCTATTGCTACATGCGAACCCGGGTATTTATAATGGAGGGGAAAAGTCAATACGTTCACTGTAACTATCTTTACCACACATCAACAAGATAATGACTCGAAAGAAAATATTGTTTAGACACCAAGCTGAATGCATGACTCCCTCTTACCATACTACAGCTTTCTCGCGTGCGTTGACGTACACTCATTCGATATGGTTCTCTTCTAACGACAGACGCATAGTGACTATCGAGAAAACTACACAGAACTATTTTCTCGTCACAGGACAGACAGTGGCGCTTCGCTCCGTAAAGAGGCAACACTCTCTCTCTCATCATGACCGACTACCGCGACGCTGAGGAGTATCAAGAGGCTAACACATTTTCTCTACTTGGATTTCGAGATTTCAGAAAACGCTTCATTTCTTTTTTTGTAATACGAGGGAGATTGAAAAAATCTCCTGACCTTTATCCAGTTCGCAAGCCGGCGGCAGGCGGAGCTTAGTGCTCCTCTATCATTTTTTTTTTGTATAGTGACGGGGCGCAGTTCGTTTCACAAGAAGGGGCGCAGTTCGTTTCACAAGCAGCAGACAGGTGAAAGACAACATGAAGGACTAACTACAAGGAATTAGAAAGAGATACTTTAGAAACAGCTACCACTAACAACGATGGACAAACTCAAGCCAACTACAACAGCCTAACCCTACCTAGCCACTAAGACAACTACAGAAGACAAGAGGGCGCCATTTAGGAAGAAAGAGTAGACAAGACCAAAGCTAAAGTTTTAGACAAACACCCCAGCGGGGCGGAAGCTCAAGAAAGAGAAGGTTAGAAAAGAGTCCGCTCAAAGAGAAAGTAACACTAAAAAATGACTCTGATCAAATCTCTCCACGTGGTGATAATATTCAGATGTCTCTCTGTCACAGAAAGCTGCTCATTCATGATCCATTCTTTGAGTGTCCGCGTTGTTATAACATACACGTTGCCCTACAGTGCGGCCGTTATTTTTTTCTCTTTTCTGTGGCTGAAATATGTAAGAACACGCGACATCAAAGTAATTAGTTTTCACATGATTTGACCCGCAGAGGGCAATGGGTACAGCACTCTCTCGTGCGGACGTGTTTACGTCGATGGATAGGCGATCCATATTCATTTTTAAACCGACGTTATCTTCAAACACGACTACTCACTTAAATTTTCTATAGGTTCGCATAGAAGCATCTGTCATCGGCGCCAACAAACCATAAGTATGGATACAGTTTTTCCCTGTGTTGGCGGCTGCCCTATGATATTAATGGTGCGCAATTAGTATGTGTGAAGCTCTGCGATGTGTTGACCCAAAAATCTCTATGTACAAGAACCGGGATGTGCGGAAGACCCCCCTGCTTCCCCAAGATGCGCTGTTCTGCGATGTTTCTAAGCGATGATGTTTCTCAACGACGATGTTTCTGAAAAATGCAAATAGGCGATGCATGTAATCATTTGAGCTAGGTCAGTAGTTTGGAGAGTAGATATTATCCTCTATCTTCATATTTTAAGTAAGTAAGCGAATGTTATAAAAGGCAACCGATGTTAATCTGAGATGAGAACGAACGAGAGGGGCGTGATAGTTTTGAAATAGGTGGTTACTGATACTTGCTTTTTTGATATTTATTGACATATCCCGGTTTGTGAAAAATGGGATTGACCGATATCAAACCAAACTTCTCTATAAGTGGTTGTAGATGGCTAAAACTAGTTCTGGTATAGTAAATATCTTAGGTGGACAAGTTAGTACAGGAGCGAGGTTGAATGAAAAAACTTTTCTACTGCGCTTGCTGCTGCAACCGCTGCCGCAATTGTTGTAACGCTCCCGCCGGCTGCGCACGGACCACCAAACCGGACTCACCTCCTCTCACATATCCGTCAGCCGCATACATAGACTCCTGAGGTGCCACTTGTCCGATGCCGTCTGGGGGATGTGCTGTCGGCTCTGTACCTCCGTCTATCATCTGGCCTGCTCCCGGTATTTGCTGTCCTCTAGAAAACGCACCTGGACCGGCGGCACCAGGTTCGAGATTTGTAATCGGTGCGCCGCTTGCTGGGTCCGGCGCCGTAACTGCAGGAACGCTGGCACCCTGTTGCCCTGGTGGCACTTCTGTCGTAATCACAGCCGTATTGCTGCCGGGTGGGTACATCTCTCCACCTGAGGCCCCACCTCCAGGCGGCGCATTATTATAGGATGTTGGCGGGTGGGCAAAATGTTGTTGTCCTCCAGGGGGCGCATGATACTGAGTGCCATAGAAATAACCACCGCCCTGTGCTGCTCCTGTAGGAAGAAGATGCTGAGGAGGTGCGCCAGGAGCGGACGATCCATGCCCCAGTGGCGGAGCTTGCTGGACTAAAAGCGGAGCTGCTGGCATTATCCTGCCGTCCGCAAGTTGGACCCATTGTGGCAGCTGCGGAGCCGCAGCACCGAGGTGTTGTGGGACACTAGGGTTGACGCAGGCTTGCTGTGATGAAGGAGCGTTCCCGCGATTTATCGGTGCAAAGTTCCCTCCGAACTCCCTAGACTGAGGAGCAAAGCTGCTCCCTGTAATGCCTCCCAACATCGGATTAGTGCCCATTGGTTGATGCAACAGCGACGAACTTGGCTGCACTCCCGCTGCATACAAGGCGGCGTGCTGTGCTGCAGGGTGCGACATGCTCTGAGGAAGCACAGCTGGTTGAGGACCCAGCGCGCCGCTTTCGACCGGAGACACACCTCCACGCACTGAACCCTCCTGGTGTAGTCGAGCCCAATTCTCTCCCGGCGGTACGAAACTCGAACTAGTTGCAGGATGAGCCATTGGATCGTGCATTTTGCCTGCCGCTGGAACGATACTTCGAACACTCCCTTCCGCCACAGACCTTGGATCCATTCCGGGATGTTGTTGATATCTACCAGGGTCAACACCCTGGTGGTAATCGACGCCGAGGGGTGGGACCGACAACGACGGCGTCGCTGCCAAAAACTGACTTTGTCCAGGTGGCAAATGCGTTGCAACGGACGCGGCATGCGGATCGGCATAATACATCATCATCGGATCATTCGCAGAGGCCATCCTGCTTAGAGAGCGTCCACTTCTTGCAACTTTAACCTACAGCACTTTATTCGGTCTAGTGAAGGAATTGCTTGCGTCTACACTTTTTTTGAAACAACCTCAATTCTTGAAATCATTTTGTACAACACATGAAAGATGTCAATTGCACACTCCACCTCGTCAAATCATCCGAAAAATGAGAACAGACTAAAAAGCAGCAGCTAAACACCATTTCACATATTGACACTACTGCAGTCTTCAACATGAAATAGTACTCTGTCATAACAAGCTCTGACTGCGCATTTGCTGGATTGATCGTCGTTGGATCCACAAGTCTCTCCGATTTCGCGCGATTTCCTCAGAGCGCTGAACCATATAGTTATGACTCCGCTGTCCCAGCTTCTCGGGTGCAGTACTCTCCGGACTACAATAGCTCCCAGGACCAATATTTGCAGGCGTATTCATCGATTTGTAACAAAACCTAGATTCGTACATAAAACAAAATGCTGATCTTCTATCATGCCGACCACTCACAGGCCAGTACAAGCTGTTACGCGCCATAATTGCGATAGACGGATTTAGCACTCGATTCGCATGAATTAAGAGCAGAAGTGCGTGGAAGAGAAATTCACCTTCATCAAAACAAAAAGAAACTAGTACACGTCACCGGCAAGCTCCCCTGCAAGCCATGAATGCCTTTGAAATCCAGCATCGTTGGCACTTTCAAACTCACTCGCGGTATTCGCCATCACCTTGTTGTTCGGAGATGGTTGGTTTGAATAGATTTTAAAATCCGAAAAGAGTTTTTGCCGGTATTGCTTGCATATCGATCCGAGCATTATCTATTCGCTTAAAAGATGGAGAAACCTACTGAGCACTCTTTGTCCGTAACAAACTCACGAGGTAGAAACTTAGATTGGATACGCCTGAAGGCCCTCCTCCTCGCTTCCGTCCGGGGGCGCATGCTCCTGTCCTATTGCAGTTTAGTGACGTCTCTAACCTCGCAACTCGCGCTGCCAACTGATCATCGAAGTGCGTCGCTGTAGAGGGGTGACACGTGTAAATATGCACCTAACATCGATTTTCTTTTCAGAAGACAAAACCTACTTCCATGCTTTCGATAACTTCGTGCTGGTATGTATCTATTGAGTGTACCCTGTGGCCTGTCGAGAGCTCATGATCTACAAAAAAACCAGTAAAAATTTCAAGAATACATCTCGTTGACCGCACGCTGATGGACGTTAAATTCAACGGATCATTCGGCAGGTTGTACAGCTTTTGAACTAGTTGCGTTGTCAAATCACTACTGCCTTTGGTTCCGAAATCTGATTTTGCTTCGTAGTGGCCGGGTCCTGGTGTTACAATTAAAAAAGATATTTATAATCATATGGGAGGAGCAGCAGGGCTGCAGTCAACTGTAGTTAGAAAAAACTTCACACTTTGAAGCCGTGTTCTGCTTACTTACAGTAGTGAGAATATTACCTGGACTATACCCCGGGCCCTTGTTGAAGCGGTCTGCCAGTCCGAACATATTTTTTCTTTTGTTTTGCTACTCGTGATCGTTTTGTGCCTTTTGTACTGAACCACCAGCAGCGCGACGGTCGCCCCAGGATAGAGTAAAAAATAAGACTGAAAGACTCTCTCGTCGCACACCAAAAAAAAAGTATGTTAGATACATAAAAGAACTTCCACAAGGGGGACACCTACGTTTTTGTTTCAGTCAAAGGTATCATTTTCTTGCCCTTTTGAGTCTCAATTTTGTTTTTTCATCATGATTTCCTCTTCACGACGGAATTTCTATTATCCACTCAGTAATTTACAAATCTGCGGCTCGAAAAGATAATCGATTTTTCAACTTTCTTACCAGAATCGATTTCCCTTTTCTCGACACGGCCGAACAAAGCTCTCTCGAATAGAACAAGGGAGGCAATCGTAAGTACCTCTCAGGCAACAGCTGAACAAAGGCAACTCGGGAAGAATCGCGCGATTTCCATCGTCATGGTCCTCTTGCAACTGCTTACTTTTGAGTCCCTTTTCCACGAGCGTCGTCAAAAAATGTACTTATTTTCCCACCTGAAACAGCCATTACAACGAACGAACTTCACAACGAGCGACCTTCCTCGCGAGAACTTTGGCGTCCGCCATCGAAACGGAATCAGTGGGACAGAAAATTGAAATAATCATCTGGGGGCTTCGGGTTTTTTTCGAGCGAGGGGAGGGTGAGCGGTACTGACAAAAATGGCAAAAGGTAACAAGATCAGGGTGTTTCATGTGGTGACAAAAATCTAAGTGGGAGTGTGTCAGAGAGGATCAAGAAATTGCTTGCCTCTATATCGTTCGGGATTGTAGAAGATACAATTGACATAGCGGCCTCCAAAAAAGCGATTTTTGAACTTCATGCATGCAATCACGCCTGCATTTACATTTGCGTACTCAATGAATATCCGCACGCTCTCCTTATCGGTGACCCCCTGCACTTCTACTATCTCGCACGAGTTTACTTTTCCGTATTTTGCTGTGTCATAGGTTAATGCATTCGTGCCGTTTTTTGGGATAGACAAATCGTTCCTGCCTTTTGATTCACAAATCATTTACACCAAACAGCTACTTATTTACCGCGGGAAAGCATGGTGAATGGGAGCGGAGTATAGAATCAATAAAAATTAGAAGAATCAAGTTCCTCAACCTGATATCGAGCGAGAAGGAACCAGACAAAATAGAATGTAAAGAGTACATGCTTCCTCGGTCATTTCGTCCTTCAAGTCGTCGTCTACCTGGCCTCGGCCTACAGCATTCAGCAACACTATGACGTTACTCTTACCCTGCTGCGTCTTGGGCAGGGAAGTACCCTGCACTACTTGTCCTGAGCCAGCGTCTGTCTTTCGCATGATCAGGGGTGCCGTTATACCTATCGACAAAATTCATTGTGCAACGTCAGAAAAGAAGCTTTCCTCCAGACACACGCAACAAGCGCTCAAAAACGCGTGAAGAAAACAATAGTAATACCTACTAATAATTGCAACCACGCTCTCGTAGCAAGGCAAAGCCTTGTACGCAATGGAACGCCGAGTAAGAAGCAGTGATCGGTGTATTCGTAGGGGTGCACAAAATAATTTACCTTGTCCGTCTCGGCCTAAACCTTGGCCCTCCTGCCAACCGAACTTCTTCATGTAAGCAGTCGCTGCATCATCTTCCTCTGTTTCCTTTGCTTGCTTTGCTTCGTTCTGTTTTCTTTGTCTTTCTGCATTCTTTTCCCGAAGTCGCTGGACAGCCGCCTCCTCTTCCAGCCGCCTTCTTTTCTTTACTATTTCGTCGTAGTTGTTTGGCTCGCTAGGGTCGTACCTGCGTATTCGGAGGAAGTACAAGCTACAAGTAGGAATCAGCGATTCTAACAATCATGACATTGATACCGACAATTTTAAACAAATCATCGCCTGCCGTTAGTCATATCCGTACAACCACCACCTGAAAAATTAAACGCAGTCAAAGAGTCCTGAACGATTGCCTTTCTAAAGTGATATACTCTTGCTGGAGCAGCCTGTCTTCCTCTGATTGCGGGTTCAGGCTGAATTTCTCAGCATTCTGCGGAACAAAGCTGTATGCACTCGGGGCTGGCACTGTTGGAGCTGCTTCGGCTGCAGGCGCGGCCGGTCCACTGCTTCCACTACTCCCGCCTACCTGTGGCTGCGCCGCCTTGCCCTCTTGTGAGCTTGTGGTGGTTCCCGCCTGCAAACCGGCTTGCAACTTCGCTTTCTCGTTCTTCAAGGCAGCCAGCTTGCTGAGCAACGCTTGGGTATCTTTCGCTGGCTTTTTTGTCACAATCGGCGCCGGGACCGGAGCAAACATGTCATCCGACATGGTTGGTGACGTCAATGTTTAGACCACAATGAATCTCTGAAAAAAGAAATGAGGGTGCACGTCAATCCCGTGCCGTAAAAGTAAATACAACGAACTTAACGGGTAATCATGAGGCAGTGAAGATATCATAAATGGATTACATTAGACCTCACAAAATTACAAAGGCTAATGAGATACATTGTCGCTGGAGTCAAGGTTAAAATTTCATCTTTTCCCACCTTGGACAGAGATAACTTGTCTTCGTGTTCTAGCGAGTCCAGTTACTACCTACCACGACTAGAAAGACCTGCAACCATATGGAGGATATAAATAATATCAAGAAATAAAGGAAATGACAGCAGCTGTAGTGCCGATAAGATCTTTCTTCAAGAATATTTCAAACGAAGCGCCTTCTCGGGCCAACAAAAAATATCCATTCATAATTCTGGGGCCAGTTTAGGGAACGCGGGAACAAATGTTCTCCAAGCAGCCTGCACAAGATTCCACACCGGTCGTGTACTTATGATTTTTTTTGTTGCTGCCTACTTGTCTAGAATTCACTCACGTGAACCGAAATCGGGGACGTGGCCTCAAAATTAAGAGAAAACAGGGGCGTGCGAGAATAGCTGAAAGAAGGAAAGACCTTCTATTGACAGAAAAGAACAGTCTGTCGACTAAGTTATTCCAAAATTTGTCCGTCACTCCAGAAGTGGAACATTCATTACACATTCGAAGTCATTGATCACTTTCAGTCGGCCCAATGGTAATGCCATCATAAGTATCACAACCGACAAGATGACCCTGCATGATCTACTTTTCGCTGACGACTCGTTTTGTGCGCCTGGCTCAACCAGCTCTGCTTCTGCATAAAAACTGTTTGGTTCCTCCACGGTAGTAAAAATGTAACATCTAGAATAAATTTCGATTCCAACACAGCTAGTTGAAGATGATCAACCATCCATGCATAACGAATAAAAGACGGACTGACATCTGCAGACACGAGAAGAAGACATTGGAACACTACACACGCATCAACAGACGAGCAGATAAAGCTCGCGTGGTTTTCTGAGGTCAATCAATGAAGACTGATTCACAGATAAAACAAATATCGCGTATCATCGGGTCATTTCAAATTTGGGTTTCGGGATAACCATCTAAGATTAGTTCTGCAATTTGACGTAAATTCTGCAGTTCACAGACGACAAGACGCTGTCATCAGTCACGTCTGAGGGAATTCATTAGTTGTTCAGCTTCAAGCGCATTGAGCGAACGCACGAACGAGCTATTGCGTAGCCGTTCAGAGGCCAACAAGCCACAGCGGCAAAGGTAACACCAATTTAATCGTGCTAGGAGAAATCAAAGTTGGGAAAGTGATTCTTCGCCTCTACGAAAATTCGAAGGTTGTACATCTAGATAATGACTAGTAAGACCTAGGTTGTAGACCTAGGTGAACTGAAAATATCACGAGTGATGACTACCAAGACCACAAGTCCTTTAATCCGACCATTCTTCGTCTTCATCCTCCTCGTTATGGAGAATATCCAACAGATCTTGATTTCCACATTGGTCCCCGTCCTCTACACGCTTTCCACTTTTGAAAAACTCTAGCACTCTGCGCGCGTCGTCTAGATCTTTCCGTTTTGGCGGAGGCAAAAACTCTGCTTTAGCACCACCATTAGACGGAATTGTACTGGAATTCTTAGCTTCTGAGTCCGCAGCAGCTATTTGTCCAGCATCATTCGCGACATAGGGCTTCGTTGTTGCGAAAGCTTGGAGAAAATTTCGTCGTTTCAGGTTGATGTCACAAGCAGAACGAACGCCGCGTACCGGATCGGGTAAGCCGTAACTCTCGGTTACGTCCTCAATAAGGGCTGCCTTTCGCAAAATCTCACGCATCGCGTCCGGCACTTGCTCCTCCTCTTCATAGTCAGAAGCCTCAACAGCATTTGCTTCAGTGTCTCCTTCGCTCGTGTTTACAGAGGACCGCGTAGTGGAAAGCACGCGCATCTTCTTGGCAGCGCGCTCCTCTTTTGTACTAGCAGGGCGCTTCGCAGAGGCTGGCTGTTGTTCGCCACAGAGCATACCGAAAAGACCGTTGAATTTTTGATCTCGGACATTCGCCATCTCCAGCCTCCTCTTCTCCCATTCTTTGTCCTGCTTCGCGATGGCCCTCCATTTCGCCCGCTCAGCGTACACGATTGCCGGGGTATGAATATAAGGGCACGCGTCGCCTTTCATGCATTTCTTCTTATGAATCATGCTGTGGCAAACGTTGCGCTCAAACGACAAAGGTTTGTCCTTGTCATCCTCCAGCTGGACCGCCGCAGTTGCGCCTTCTTCCTTTTTTGCCGGGTCAGAGGTCTTAGAACCTGCCTCGCCCCTTGTCGATGTCGTTGTATCACCTGCGCCTCCCGTAATCTGTCCGGAACTACTCGACTCAGCTACAGCAGGTTCAACAATTTCTTCGCACAACATAGCGTTTTCTCCTGCCTCCGCTCCGTCTTCTTGCAGCATCCACCATGGCAGACGCTTCTTATGACGCCACGGACAACGTCTTCCGCGCATGCATCGGCGGTGAAAATACTCGTATTGCAAGCAAAGCTCAACAGACTCATCCTCATCTTGCGGCCGCAGACTCTTTCCTTTGTTAGGATCCATCTTGTCACGCAGAGCTTCCTCAATTTTACCTGTTGGAGTTTAACGTGGTAGTAGATACAACCATCCTCAGCGATCGTAGACCCACAATCACAGTTGTCCAAAACGAATACCCATTCGAGAATTCCTTTAGAAGCTATTGTGAAGGAAGGTACAGCTACAAGAGAAAAGTTCATTCAAAAGATTTTTTTAAATTACTCATTGGTGGCAGCTTAGATTCATCCACAGTGCCATCAGTTTTTTCTTGAATGCGTTTACGCGTAGGAAAGCGTGCTTTTCTTGAAGCGATCCACTTTTGAAGCTCGTCATCATTCTCTTCGGCATCCACTACGTGCGTGAGCATGTGTGCTTCCATAAAGTTCTCAGGCAGACTTTCTCCACATTCGATGCACTGCGTATGCCGTTCTTTGCAATGTTGCCGCCATTTCGCCTCGTTGCTTCCGCAGTCGTAGTCACAGTATCGGCAATAAAATTGACCACGCGGCTTGCCGCCTTTGCCTCCGTCGAGCGCTCCCTTCATGCCTCCGAACTGGCCTTTCTTGTTTCCTTTTTTACCCACGAATGCACCCTGAGGATCAAGTCCACAAGGTGCCCCCGCTGCGTTTCCCTTCATATTCATATTTGGGATTTTGCCGAAGGCCGGTTGCGTAGCAGGTTGTCCCAATTTGCCTCCCGAGTAGTCTGAGGGGCCGGTCGTAGACAAAGTCGGACAAGAACTTGGAGGTGCCGCGCCTTGTGGCGGCGACGCAGCAGACGCGCCGAGAACGGAGGCTGAGGGTGGCGGAGGCGGCGCAGAACGCTTACTAGCGGTTGTGTCCTTGACCACCAAACCTTCCATCTTCGCTGTTTCCAAATAGGATGATTGTGCCTTCACCTGATGAACTACTGCTGTTTTTACGGCCACAGGTGGATTAGACTTCGAAGACGTGGATGTGCCAAGTTGTTGTGCTGCTGCCTTCGCGAGCGCAGCGCCAGAAGGAGATGTTGGAAGTACCGGAGAAACTGCAGCTTGTTTGTGTATTTCTACACGAAGCGCAGTCGCTACTTCTCCGTCAACACCAGTGAAGTGTACTCCAGCTTCATTCTCTGGCGAAGTGTCGACACCCTCACTTTTGATCCCGACATCGCTACTTTTGACCTCAGGCGCATTTGTTTCTTGCGGCAGCTCTTCGTCGGACGAAGATCCTGGCAAAACGACACGCTTCGGGCGCTCGTTTGACTGCTGCAAAAGCGCGTTTTCTGGAACCAGCAAATCATCCTCACACAACGGGCTGGCAGTACCAGGCTCCGCTATCTGATCCTCGTGTTCCGATCCTACTATCACTGCCTCAGCCGACTCAACGTTGTTCTCCACCAACGACGCTGACTCCTCTACGACACTGCAGTTGTCCACGCTCACAGGCGGCACAGGTTCGCTAGGATCGTCAATCTTGTTCACAGATGGTACAACCGCAGAAGTTTTGAGGTCTTCACCATGAACCTGTCCTTGCCCTTCACGTGCGGCTGCTTTTGTCGTTTGTTCGCCTGTGCTCGGACCTTCGCTGGCTCGCGAAGCCGGAGTCGCCACATCAGTGGTGGCATCCGTCAGGGCACAATCGATTTGCATTTCTGGTCGCTCAGCAGCGTTTTCTGATGACGCTGTTCGCAAGCGCTTCGCGAGCGGCTCATGTTCGCACTCACTGACATCCGGCAAAACTGCATCTCCTTTTTCCAATGCCGCGTCGATGTCGTTAGACATGGCAGCAGCGTCTCCTTTTTCCAAAGTCGCGTCGATCTCGTTAGAGATGGCAGCAGCGTCTCCTTTTTCCAAAGCCGCGTCGATCTCGTTAGAGACGCCAACAGAAACGGAAGCAGACGGCTTAGTTTGCTCGTCCATCCTGTTGACTTCTGTCGGCGATGGTTCCTCGCTCGCGCGATCTGAGTCGATAAAAGGATTATTGACGGACTGTGGCGGCAGAGGAACGACGTCGCTCGCGTCACTGGTTTTTCTAACCGCTGTCGTACTGGAATCCGTAGTTTTTCGGACTGGAGCATTCAACTTGGGCTTTTCACCCTTTCCTTGTTGCAAAGCAGCAGCATCATTTTTCGGTCTAAGCTTCGCTGGCACAACCCCACGACCTAAGATGTCCTCAATGTTATTAGCGAAAGCCAACAGAAAGTCTGTCGCCGAGTCACCACTCGCGGAGACTTCCACTCCAGCCGGACCACTACCCGCTGCGCCTTTTGTCGTTGCACCCTTATTTTGGTCGCCAGACGTTGTACTTCCAGACTGCTCCACACCCTTGCGCGCTTGCGCTTCCTCACGCCGGGCTTGCTTTGCGCCTTTCCGTGCTTGACGCTCTTCTCTAATCGCCGCCGCATTGTGATTCCGCAGCAGCCCCTCACCACTGGCACCGGTGTTCTGCCCCTGCGCAGCTGCACTCAGAAGTTGTTCTGCGTCGATAACAAGTCCACTCTTGCTATTGCCCTTGTTGTTATTTCCTTTGTTATTTTTGCCTTTCCCGTCTTTGCCTTTTCCGTCCTTACCTTTTCCTTTGCCCTTATTGTCCTTCTTCGAGCCCTCCTTGCCGCCGTCGTTTTTGGAGGTTCCCGCTGCTGCTCTACCATTAAAGCCGCCTTGTTTTTTTCCGAACTTCCCACTCTGCTTCCCACTCTTCCCACTATTAGACGTGGCTGCTTCCGCATGAGTTCCTGTCGCTGCGTCAATGAAGCCCATCAGACTATCGTGAGAGGCCGAAAACGGACGACTTCCAGGCTGAAAGCTGAGCGAAGGCGATGATTCACTGCCACGTCCCGATTGGTCGCCACCTGTCGTGTTCACCGTACCAAGTGCTCCTCCTGCGTTCATTGGAGGTCCAAACTTGTTACTTCCTGAGGTTTGCCCGGCTCCTCGCCAAGAGTCTTGGTTTGCCCGTCCACCGGTATGAAAGCCTCCTCCCTGCTGTCGGCGCACGTTTCCACCGTCCCAGCTCGACTGTCGGTCAAATGCAGGAGTGTTGAAATCTGTTGAAGTTGCAGCTTTTGTGGTGGTGTCGCCGCCGAACGAGCCGGCGTCGAAGTGCTGTCCTTGCTGCCACCACGGTGTTGAAGGACTAGAGGACTTGCGCAGGTCGCCATCAGAAACGCCGCCCTGATGGAAGTGCCGCTCATTTCGAGATGAAGACGAGGAAGAAGAAGGCGACGCCTGTGGATGTTGCACAGGAGAGGACATATGCTGTTGATGCTGTTGCAAGTAACTGGCAGCCATCATGTTTGGCATTTGTCCCATCATTCCAGCGCTCATATCAAAACCGGTTGCAGCTCCAGCGCTTCCAAGCATGCCCAAGCTCATCGCGTTATTCATCATTGCCGGGTTCAGAATGTTTCCTCCGCCTAAGGAGCCGACATTCATGCCGAGCATTCCTGCCCCCGCGAGAGCAGCATTGGTACCCGCGCCCGCCGCTGCTAGCCCCATGTGGGGCGCAGATAACCCCGTTGCCATTGAAGCCATGCTCGCTGCACGTCCTCCCGTTCCTGCCACACTCGACGCTGCATAACTGTGATGATCGGACGATGCGCATGCGGCGGAACCGGCATGATCACTAATTGTTCCCATCGTTCCCATAGGCATATTATTAGACATCGCTGTTCCCATGGAGGACCCGGCGGAGCCTGCGGAGCCGTCCTGCGGACCCTGTGCTCCAAATTCTTGCATCTTTCTTTGCAGCATGTACTGGAACATATCGTCAATGTTCATTCCCATGGCCTCCATGGCCTTGGAGGCAGCTTCCATCTGACTCGTCTTGTTCATCTTTGTTTTGCTGCTTCAACGTCGATAACAAAGTACATAAAAGTACAAAACCTCTAAATAAAACACTTAGGCTGGTAGAAAAACAAGTATTTGATGAGTTGTTGTGTGACTTTTTTGCACGAGCCAACAGGCCACAATTTTTCAAGGGTGCTTCGAAGTGGACCTAGCTAAAAAGGTCGTTGCGCTCAGCGATGTCTAAAATTACCAAAAGAATACGGAGGGTTTGAAAAACTTTACCAGGTTATAGCTAGGACGGATTATCCCGACCGCAGAGCCCAAACTAATCAGGCATGCATCATCACGGTAATAGCTAAGAGGGGCGTCAGAGAAGGGTTATGATGGAGAAAAATGCTCTAAAATCAGTGCGTTAGGGATAAAAGTCGATTTTGAAATTCAAGACATGCAATCAATACTATGCCAAAGAAGTAGGACCGAATGGTGTCAATCGAATTACAATTACGTTACAGTCGATCGAATTACAAGTCTATTGTCTACTCAAACTCAACAATAGCCAATTCATACAATTAGTCGTGTCGCAGGTCGTTAAGATATGGAGAAAGAAAAAAGAGCCATTTAGCTTCAGCTGCCCTGTAAATCAGTTTCCAAATTTTAGTAAGCAGATCGACAAAATAACCGCTAGCAACGTAAACATTTCACATACTTCGAACGGGAACTCGCTCCCGCTTCCCATTTATGACAACAGGAACCATTTGGATTTGGATTTGGAGATTTCAGAAAAAAAATTTTCTTGATCTTCGCACAACATCATCTCATTTTTCGTGATCTTCGCACAAATCAGAAGCAGGATCAGGCGTCTGTCTCTGAACTTTAGAGATACACACGTTTCAAAATTTCTTTCGGATGCTTTAGCACGTCTCAACTTCTTCTCGTTCTTCCATAACTAATGCAGAGATCTTCATTAGATTTTTGTCGGAACTTTCTTTTTGAAACAATAGTGCTAGGCCTCCTAGGATCTCTTTGCATTTTTAACGTTCACATAAGCAACGAGCGACACCTCAAGAAAAAGGAACTGAGTGGGGATCACGGTATCGGAGTTTGGTGAAAAGTTTTTCTCGTGCCACTTTAGGAAGTTGTTGTTGTACATGGATAACCTTCATCTAACTCAGAGAAAATACTCGAACGTTCACGTAAATTTTGGTCTTCAGAATGAACTTTGACATTGTCTTGTAGAAGCAGTGGAGCTTCACGGCACACGATCTAATCGTGTTTTGATGTGACTTCACGTTTTGTGATCGCCATGGCCTCTTAGGTCCTGTAGGGAAAACACGATAGAGAGGCTGATGTTCTCGCTCGATTGTGATCATTGCACGTGACTGTATAGCTTGATGAGTGAAATCAACGCAGTTGTAACTAAACTAAGACTATCTGTTCTTCATTTTGTGATGATACAACATCATACTAGTGTTTTGAACATATAATTGTTACCTGTTGCCTTGTCTCGCAGCCCGTTTAGCTGGTGCAGGTCGTGATAGGAAATGACCTTATACCAGGTTAAAAAGACCCCTTTGTACCAATACAAGTTCTTTTCCCCACGACCTTAATTTCTCCGTGCCTAGATTTGCTATGTTTTGGCAGCAGCTCGGTTTTTCGATGTTGCTTTACACAAATGGAGAAATGGGGTTGATGATGGACTTGTTACTAGTCAGACATCAATCTGATCTGCAGCTTCTCCTTCCATTTTTTAGTATTTCGTATTTCGTCGTAGATAATTGTACTTGCATTATTCGGGATTGATCAAGTGTAAAGCATTAGAAAAAGATGTCATCTTCAAACATCTGAGAAAGAGAGCGAATATTGATGCTACGACAAAAAAAAGCTGGTGCTTGAGTACCAATGAATGTGCTACGAATGTTGACCAAAGTTGATCGCGCCACATGAAACTTTGTCTAAGGGAAGGGTCTGCTTGCTCGTTGTTAATTTGTTCTTCACCCAAAACCGCTAGTTCTCGTCGCTCGCTGTTTCTCCCTCCGACAACTCGAACAACAACAAGAACAACAACAACAACATGTTGCACCAGAGAGCGCAGAACCAGATGTAAGTGTTCCTGCGAAGTGGTTTATTTGCTATTCATGTGTCCCACAAGCCATTCCATCCCCTCCTGCAGTCCCTCACCTGCCTTAGCACTGCAGGCCTGAATTGTCCATGTTCGATCGCGAATGTTATGCAAACTAAGCTCCTCCGCAATCTCGTTCGCTGGCAGCGCCTGCAGCAAGTCCTGCCAACATTAGCGCTATGACTTCTCACTGTATACAATCTCGAACGGAAGGGATCAATGAGCGGGCATCATGGAGGAGCTCCGTATCGAATATTTAAGTGGTCGACTACTTCTAGGAGGACGGCGGAGCAGGTGTACGAACTCCATGGAAAAGGAATGTAATCCCAGTGCAGAACGACGAATCGATGTCAACATCAAAGTAGTAACCACATTTGATGGACACAGCAAAAAATGAATCTTGCCATAATTGTTGGCGAAGATCAACAACGGAATCGATGATAGCTTGTCCTCCTGAAGCAACTCGTTCAACTCGGAGCCACTCTCCTCCAGCCTCCGCCTATCCGAGGAGTCAATCACATATACCTGTTTGTTGTCAAAAAGTTGAATCGATACTTCCTGAACTCATCGCCACATTCCATCTTTTCCTTTTGCACCAAATAAACCACCAGCATCAAAAGTCGTAGCATTCCATTACTAGAGGTGGCCAACGAACAGAATAGAAGAAGAAGTTCTTTACCAAGCAGTCTGATGACTCGAAATAATTGCTCCAGTATGGCCGGATCGTCTTCTGACCTCCAATATCCCATACATTAAGCTTGAAACCGTCATGCACCAAAGACTTGATGTTAAAACCTGGTATTTTCAAGAGTCCGTGCAGCAATAGACGACTTTGGGAGCCAGCAAGATAATATGTAATTGAGTACACCCGTTTTACACGTCAGGGATCAAAAAGGTCCTACGATTCAAATTAAAACGTATCGAGAGGGTTCTCCCGGGAAGCGGCACGCCGGAAGAAGCGGCTACAATTAGTGTGGATGCTCGATGAAGTGAGTACCTTGTGTCGGCATAATGTGAGAGATGTCCTCTTCGGAGAGCTTCTTCAATATCGTGGTCTTTCCGGCGTTATCGAGACCGAGTACCAATATTCTCGCCTCCTTTTCATTCTTTTTCAGCTTTTTGAGGATGTTAAGCAGCCCCATCTTCGTATGACGTTCTTGTTTCTTGAGCGCACCCAAGGAAAGGAAAACTACCAGAAACAACTAGTGACGTAGTACCTTGACTGTACGATGTCTGTATTCTGAACTCTAGAGGCTATATTTTTGCTGTGAGGTCGAGGTTGAAGAATACCCAATATGAATAAACCTTTTTGGGCAAAGTTATCTAATCAGTCAATGTGAAACAAAAAAGAAACGACTCCCCGCGCGATGAAGCTTGCAGGCATGTGATATATGTACCAGGGAGGGGGGCCCCGTGGGACTTACGGAACGCCGCGGAGCTGTTCGTGACGCGTGACGCCCACCGCGTGACGCGGAGAGCTTCGGGGGTGGACGCGATTTCTGTGCTCAATTTCAAGCGTGACGCAGCGCGCAAAAGTGTGCGCTTCCTTGGTCGATCCGTGGCCCCTTGATCGATCCGGGAATACTTGAGCGGTCCGCGAATCCTTGATCGATCCGTGGATAATTAACTGGTCGATCCGCGAGTCCTTGATGATTGACCCCCGGAGCAGTGATCGACCCACGGGCCGCTGATCGATCCACGGGCCACAGATCGACATCGATCCCCGGACCCTTGATCGATCCGCGGATCACTGATCGAAACACGGATCACTGGTCGAACCATGGGCCACTGATCGACATCGATCCACGGGCCTCTGATCGAGCCGCGGATCACTGATCCATCCGCGGGCCAATGATCGCGCCGCGGATCCCTGATCGATTCACGGATCACTGATCGATCCACGGATCGCCGAGTGATCCACCGGCCAGCGGCCACTGATCGGCTTGCGGGTCGCTGATCGGTCCGCGGGTCACTGATCGGCCCGCGGGTCACTGATCGACACACGGATCACTGATCGCGCCACGGGTCACTGATCCATCGATCCACGGGTCACCGATCGACCCACTTCCACGGATCACTGATCGATCCACTTCCACGGGTCACTGATCGACCCACTTCCATGGATCACTGATCGATCCACGGATCACTGAGCAATCCGCGAAGACATGACCGATCCGCGCGCCCTTGATCGATCCGCGACTCCTTGACCGATCCGCGCCGCCTTGACCGATCCGCGAATCTTTGATCGATCCGGGATTCCTTGATCGATCCAGGGGTCACTGATCGAGCCGTGGGCCACAGGTCGATCCGTGGATCACTGATCGACCCGTGGGCCACTGATCGACGACCCGCGGGCCACTGATCGGTCCGTGGTCACTAATTGGGCCACGGATCACTGATCGACCCGATCCATGGATCCCCGGTCGGCCCATGGATCCCTGATCGGTCCGGAGGTCGCGCGTGACGCGTGACGCATCAAAGAAGAGCAAGAAGGCCAGCCTTATAATAGGGGGGCTACGCGGGGGGACTAATTTGGACAGCTCTGCCCCGGGCGTTTGCACCACCTCACGGGAGGCCCCCCTGTGGATGGAGCGGCGGCGGCGTCCGCGCGCCCTTTTTTCGCGGTGCTGACATGTAAGGACTCACGGGGGAGGAGGCCTAAAAAGGCGGGGCCGGAGGCTCTCCGCGCGTACCCCACAGGCGTCCCAACTCTTGGACCGTATCAGAGGGACGGCTCCCGGGAGAAGAAGGCCGCTGAAGGCGGCCACGGTCGCGAGGCCTGGCCCCTTTTGCCCTCATGGGGGGCAGCAGGGGCTACACTCCTCCAGTGAGGAGCCCGCAGACGGGAGGTCTGTAGGGCACATGCCACGCGGCGAGGGGGCCAACCTTGCCATCTGCTGCCCTCGGAGGCCCTCCACCCCCCGAGGAGGTCCCCCAGTGAGGAGTAGGGCACACGCAACACGGCAAGGGGGGCGCAAGCCTTGCCACCTTTGCCGCCTTCCACCCCCGGCCGTCGGTGTTTGAACGGCCTCAGGGGTTTGGGTTCTGTCGGGTACCTGCAAGAAGCCGCGAGGGCTCGAAGGTGGGCGGTTGGAGGCCTTCCCGCTTGGCAGTCCCTCAAGAAAACGGACCCGGGGCTGGAGCCCCCCCTCAAGAAGTTAGATTGGGGTGGGCCTTCAGCCCTGAGCCCTGGGACATATATTCGATAATTGACAATCAGTGCAGGCTTTACACATACAACTAGGGAAGGAGGGGAAGTGTCTGTTGACAATGAGTGAGTTCAACCCAACGGGAAAAAACGTAAGTTTTGTTTCTTTTCTATCACACAGGTCACTGCAAGGAATGCTGAATACTAGCCTCAAAAGTTTGGAAAAAGTGACCCCATCGCTTTTCACAACACATCATTCCCTTGCATAGCCCGTTTTACCCTCTTTGTTGTGTTGTGGGCACTCAACGCGGTGTGGAGGGGGCACGTGCGTGCAGGCTGAGAACACTCTGACTCGCCTTTGCAACTCACGGCTTCTCTCTGTCTCTCTGCCGCTTGTGCTCAAACGCCTTTCAACTCTCCAATATTGAACACACTCAGTCACCAGGAAACGACAATCATCCACGAGATTGAGTTCTGTTCAATCTAGTTGCCGGGCGCTAAACTCTGGTCAAAACATTTTTGTAGTACTCGTCGTATTCTCACCTTCTACTTTTGACAAGCAGGTCAGCTCGCGCGTCTAGCGATATTTTGTATTAATAGAGCTTGTTGCAACAAATTAAGTAATATTAGACACCCACTGTATCCATGCCGGCGCTACGTCTTCTATCATAACAACGAAAGGTCCCGCCATACCACATCCAGAATAAGGCCTCTTCGACTCTCGATGCCGTCGTAAGGTCCCTTCTATTCTTTCCACTGGGTTTCGAAGTCGCCAAAATCCCACTCGGCCAGGCCTTGGCGCGCATGATGTAAGGATAAAGAATTATCAATCCCTGTAGAGATCTTCGAAATTTGCCTTGAGGAAATGTATTTTTAGGTATATTACCAGCTGCAAGATTGATTGTATCATTTTCACGAATGCTACGATGGATGACAAGGCAGCAAGAATTCTTTGATTCTTCTATTCACCAGACTGGTGGCCAAGATTCTTGATGCATGTCTTCATTGAAGGTAGTAAATGTAGCACAGAGTACCTCTTGGAGAAAAGTCATCTTAGCGTTAGCGAGAGAGGCTACTACGACAAAAGTAGATGGCGTGCTGCTCCGAAAATGAAAAGTCTTTGTCATTCACTTGCACGGGGCTGAGGCTGTGGCTCTTCGCCATCACAAACCATGCGTTACTTCAACGACCAGAAGAGTCGAGCACGGTCCTGGTCTTTTTCTCCTGATTTTAGGACGATATTAGCTCCAGTCCTCTGCTAACCTAACGGAATTTCATGCGTCAATGAAGGTTTGGCTTCAATGGCTCCATGGAGGAGTTTCGGAGGTCATGCACACAAAGAAAGACGCCAAAGCTGCATGTAGTTCAGAAGAAGATGAAAAACCTTTATTACAACTGAATCACTTATTTATCCCACCACCAACCAAGTTAACAAATTACTTACCATCCACCACCCACAGGAAAGCAACAAGCGAACATCAATCAAGTGCAAGTGCAAGTGCAAGGGGCTTTCCCGTTTCTCGCCATGGACCGCAGTCCACAACAGCACTGAGGAAAGATAAACATAATAATCAACCCACTCATTATATATTTACACACCCACCTCCATCCAACAGAAAACAGGAAGGTGAGTCTTAGTTACAACAGAGCATATTTTGGTCCTTTTTGCACGGCACCAAACCACCACTCATTCATTCAGTGGACGACCTCGGCGGCCCTCTAGTGGGCTCTTGGTTTCGTTTTCCATAGGACTTTATGCTGCCTCCCATTTAATCAATTAAACACTTCTATCGAGCAATTAAATAATTACATACTGGGGCAGCAAGTTCAAGCTCAAGTGGGTTTTCCCGTTTCTCGCCATGGACCGCAGTCCACATTTTTCTTTCCATAGGACTACATGCTGCCTCCCATTCAACTACTTAAAAAAACCCCACTGAAGAACTTACATACCGGGAGAGCAAGAAAACCGTATCACAACGGCGAAAAAACTACTACTATCGGAGAGGACTAAGGCAGCATAGGGCCGGCCATTCGGCCAACAAGTCTACACCTATCGGAAGAGCCGCACACTCGCCCCTTGTCGAATAATTAAGGCGCAACCCGACGCAGCGGCGCCGCGTGAGCAAGTCAGCACACCTGCAGGGGTATGACACGCCGCAAACCTGATGATGGGTTTACTGACGAACCACCTACAGGAAGATATGCACACTTTACATAATCAACAACGACTAGACACCCGTCAATCAGAAAAGCTTGGTATTTTTTTTTTCCATAGGACTATATGCTGCCTCCCATTTAATCAATTAACCACTTCTATCGAGCAATTAAATAATTACATACTTGGGGAGCATAGGGCCGCACATTCGGCAAACAAGTCTACACCTATCGGAAGAGCCGCACTCTCGGCCCTTGTAGAACAACTAAGGCGCAACCCGTCGCAGCAGGGTTCTAAAAGCAAGTCGACACACCTCCAAGAATATGATACGCCGCAGAAACCAGGAATATTCCATTCTTATTCATGATTTCACAGCAGATTTGAAGAAAGTTCCGGACTTACTAAAAAGATGACCGCGGTCATTTAGGGATTTGCAGTAGATTCATAGTTTACAGCACGAAGAGATCATGATCATACCAGACGAACAGCAAGATTCGGGAGAGATTTAAGACAAGGGAACCTTTTCCAATCGCCAAGAAACTTAAGCTTTTCCAATCGCCAATGCGTTACTTAACTACTTTGCTTATTGTTGGAGTCAATTTCTAGGAAATAGAGAGTCAATTTCTAGGAAATAGGTGACAATAAAGAACTTGCGCCGCAAGATCCCCCTGCGTGGAGAATTATACTTGATTTTACAAATCCAAATCTTATAGGCACAAAGTAAGTTGTAAAATCTTTAAGTACGAAAATCTAGTCGAAAAATGTAGGTCGAGTACGACATAGCCAGTAATAAGGACTAAGAACTAACCAAATCCAGTGAAGATGCGACCACTGGGCTAAGAACTGAATGCATAAGAACGAGCTGAAGGTATTATTACATTGGTCTATTTCCTAGAACTGAAGGTTTATCATGATTCGTTGGTTTCTCGTCTACTAGTAGTTGTATCATTTCCCAGCAAGATTCTAGTTTTGGGTTTTCTGATTCTGATTCTTGTGTCCCAAGTTGGACGCTGACATACATATTTTTGTGATGGGTTGCTGAGTCTCAAGTCGGAAACGGAAAAATAGAAGTAATTAGTATCCAGACTGTCTTTACCATGATATGAAAGCCTAGGCTACATGAGTCGTGTCAAATCATATAGGCGACATGGATATTGAGATTCGAATATGACACGGGAACGGGCACTGCGTTTCCTAGAAGTGTCGACCTTATGATCATCGTGAAGCCAGTTGTGTACAGACGGATTCGACGTTACTAGGGCCAATAAGCTGTTTCTAATGTACAATACTGAACAGAATCGGCGTAAACCAAAAATAAAACGAATTTAGTTTACGAGGAGAAAGGGAATCACTAAGGGGCTAAATTTCGCTTGGCATCTTGTTTAGAAGGAAGGCATGCGATGACTGCTCGTGCTGCTCTTTTGGGGCTCGACGAGTCCAACGCGTATTCAGCAAAACCTGCCATGGTAGGGAGCTCAGTGACATGAATCCTGTAGCAGCATTGGGAGCTAACTCCGCGCATCGCGCAGGAGTTCTCTCAACAAGCCAATCCAACAGTATCTTACCTAGATGAAGAGGAGCTAATGGTGGAACACGGAATGAAAATAGTTAGTAGTTCGTATAGAGGCAGAAGAAACTTTTATATAAAAGGAAATACGAGGCGGTGTAGTAAAGAAGAAAAGCAAATTTAGGCGATAGTCAGTGCTAGCACCGCTGCACCCACATCATACTTCAACTGGCATTTTACAGGCTCAGACCTGCTCCGCCCTCTCGGTTGTCGCAGGATCAAACTGCGGCTATTCAAGAACGAGAAATAACGCTCATCCTAGCCGCATGGAAATGCCTAAAGAAACAACTGTTTCCGCTGCCTTTGCAGGGCAGCCATCTGGTGTCTCTGCAGATCTAATCGAAGATGCTTGTTCACTACTTGCGCAGCTGCTCCAGTTGCGTCGTGTGGGTAGACTCTGCACGACGGAGGCGCACCATCATTGGCGTCGTGCCGCGCACCATCGTAGAATTCTGGTGGTGGTGGTGGTGGTGGTGGTGCAAAAGGGCCGCTGTTCGTGTTCATTTGCTCTTTTCGCGTTTGCTGCTTCGCCACTGCCTGCATTACACAGTTGAACTTAGACACTTGCGGTCCATACATTACCGATTCACATTATTGTAATACTTCTAACCTCGGCGCCAGGGACCACAAAATTCTAGTAGAAAAGATTTCCTGTAGAAGTTCACTCATGTTTCAATTCGCATCTTCCTATGTGGACAAGATTGTAGCCTTAATCACCACGCCATTTTTCCAGAGGCATTTCAGCGACTCTCCCAAGCAGGTACGATCCTCATCCGCCTCTGAGCGTTTCTGTTTCTTTACGGCCCGCCGTCGTTCGAAGTCAGCGGGGAATTGAACCTGGCCACTCGTTTCGTTAGAGAAGCGCCTGCAGCCCTACATCTACTTTCTCAGCCTACATCAATTATATGTCGTCGGCATACTCAGAACTAGCGAAGCTCACTCTACTGTAATGCTGCACTTGGTAAATATCTTTAGTGTATTCGGTCTTAATTGCAGACGACAGCGACACACGTGAAGAGGGTCCACTATCCCCACGCGACAGTCTGCTCGATCCATTCTGGCTCCAACTCTCACGAATCTTCTTGTGCACTGAAGCTCCATGTTGTCTAGAATTTTGTTGCTTGCCTCTCCGGAGCATATGACCGTCTTTGTCCACCTTCTTCGCCTTACAGCTAGTTCGTAAGCGAGAAGAGGATCCTGGTCGATGAGGATCGTCTATTGCTGCTCCGCTATCACGCTCTTCACCTCTTGCTCCGGGTGCGACGCCCTTCTGCCATTGTTCGCTGCTATTTGTGGAATTCATTGCGATATCGCGCGTGCTTGTCTTGGAATTTCCGGAAGACGAGTGACGAAGGACTGATGCGGTGCCGGATAGCGAGAGCTCCAAAGCAACATCTCTACGATAGAGCGAACTAGAGTTTGAAGTCCTGCGCGACCTAGTCATGTCGTCACTTTCCACAATACTAAAAGCCGATAGAGCGGAGCTTTCCAAAGAAAAGCTTTCTCTGCCTGCTTTGCGATCTTGCCTACTCACGTCCTCGTGACTGGTTCTTGCAGACATGTGGCCGCGCGCTGTAATATGTTTGTGATCTTTGCAACGTCTGTCGATGCAAAAATTCTGCGAAGTGTCACGCTGGCTTGTTGAAAGGATCTTTTCTCGTTCATGACAGAGGCGATTATGCTGGGGCTGGTGTCGGTCTGTTGGCACAAACGGCCTGGCATCTTGTCGTCGTTGACTAGCAACAACATTGGCAATGGGGTCGATGCCTCGGTAACCTACATCACAGTCGGCACCTCTCGTGCCAGAGGCCAGGTCTAGTTTTGAGGCCGCTTCGAAAGCGCGGGGGCGGCTTTTCGTACTTGTTCTTGTCGAGTCTCTCCTCCGACGTCCAAGGCTAGGATGCTGCTCGGACTTGTTCCGACTATAGTTGCGTGCGGGGCAATGAAGGTGGCTGTGGTTAAAAATGCAATGCGCCGCCTCTTTTGCTTCGATGTGCCGCAGCAAGTCGCCCCTATCATCCGGCTGATCCGGTTGAAATTCTTGCCTTCCACGAAAAACTTGATCGTCTGCACAAGCCTGACCCGATATGCTGCCAGTGAGAAGAGCGCGCCCCTCACTTTGTAGCTCCGGAGGAATCGCATCTACACGGTCGCGACAGAGAGGCGCTGTGCCATCCGGATCCTGCGATACTGTTTCTCTAGCAGCCTGAGAGATATCCGAAAGACCTCCACTGCAGCCAGCAGTAGTGTTGAGCGGAGTTGGTGCTGCTCTCAGCCAGCTATCATCGGAGGACTCGTCACTAACCATAGCTCCTCCAATGATTTAGAGTGTGTTGTGCTCCATATTTCTATTGCATTTCCGAACTTCGTTGTTCTTTTGTCTGAGCAGCCGACGGCAGTGGCCTGTCGAGGTCTCTTTATTCTAACGAATCGTGGCAGCTACAAAGCGCGCCGCACTAAGCGGGCCTGTGCCTTAAACGCCTCGCGAGGCACTTGGCGGACATGTGCCTCAAGCGCCTCGCGAGGCACTTAGCGGACCTTTGCCTTAAGTGCCTAGAGGGGTACTTAACGGATCTGTTCCTTAAGCGCCTCGCGAGGCACTTGACGGACCTAAAATCCTGGAACTGAAAGTATTATGGTCAGCGAATACAAATGAAAAAGGGATGAAAAACAAACCTCAAATAAACTCCGGTTCCATAATAATGTGGCGAACAAGCAGTGCTGGCATTATACTCCGCAGCCGACCCACTTGGGCTTCGGTGGGATCCTGTAGTGGCCATGCCATCTGAACCAAACTGCCCACCTGCGCTTCCGGTTGTCGTTGTTCCACTACTGGTACCGAGCAATTTAGAATATGTTACGACTTTTGCCCGGCATTTTTGAGAACGTTTGCCGCACCCGTTTTATCAAACTACATCGAAGTAACAGCATAAAGGATGTGCCGCGAACTCCAAAATGCGTCAGAAAAGGTTCATAATGAAAGATCGGAGAAACACACCGAAGCCACCAGTTGGCGACGCAGTCGGTTTTTGCGTGCTATCAAAATCGTTGGAAGATCGGGCTCCGCATGCGTCATCCTCCCAGCTGCTTCGCTTTCTTGGCCCTGATGATGCGCTTGAGTGCGATCCTCCTGCAGACTCGCTACTGTTCTGCACCACAAATCGCTGCGAATGCCCGCCTGGGTCCCGCATCTCGTCGTCGTTGGCGACTGCAGTGAGCAAAGTAGGGAAGTCAGGGTACTCTGGAAGCCCCAAATTTGTCTTACTACTAAAAGCCCCGGCAATACTCTTGTTCCCTCGTGGCAGTGACGCAAGATCGCTCTGTGCTACCTTCCCTACCCTACCACCTCGCTTACGCGAGAGCAGCCAGCGCGGGTCTAGGGCATCTCCACCCATGCTTAGTCGGCTTACAGTAAAGTTATGTGCGCTCGGATGGCTGCTTGAAATATCATCGTCCTCACAAGAATCATCGTCCCCGCTGCTTTTGCTGCTGGCCACCTCGCACACACTAGCGGGAAGCCCGTCCTCCCCATGCGCAAAGAGCTTCTTCGGACGAAAGACTCCTGAGCCCTGCGGGAGCCGACTATCATTCTCACGTTGATGCTGATCGAAAATGACTTCGCCGACACGAGGGCTGCCCACGCCCCCTACGAAGCGCTCGTTATTGGTTGCACCACTACAAAGTGATAGACCTGCCCTGCTCCGGGTGGTGCTGCTACTTGACATCTTCTGAGGCGATGTGTTGTAATTCACATCTTCTTGCGGGATTTTTTCGACCCTACGGATCGGAATCCTGTCATTCGATGGATACGAATCCGCGTACATGGTCGTGCGGAGTAAGGGAACACTGTGGCCACTGTTCATCGATATAGAAAACGCGGTATTGTCGGCAGTAGTGCTGGAACAGCCTGCGCCTTGCTTGCACGACTTCCGCACTCGACGGCTCCCAGGTAGCCACTTATTACGATATTTCTTCATTCGCTGATCTAGCATTCTGGCGTAATCCAGTTCCGCTGCGATCATTTTCTGCTGTGGACCGACGCCTTCCGCGACAACATTTTGAGCATCTGTTTGCTGTTGGCGACACAAAACCCGCGGACCTGAAAAGTGCCGATCGCTTCTAGTACCGGGTCGAGGGGCTACTGCCTGCTGCTGCGCTTGAGCAGCATCGCAGTTGCGTTGCGTTTGGACAGTAGCTTCTCCAGATGCGATGCCGTTATTTGCACCTTCGCGAAGACGGTATCGTCGCTCTGCGCGTTCGTGGTCTCGCACAATTTGATGCACGAACCGGCTGAGCTTTTCCTTTCTGCCGCTGCCCTCGGCGCCCGGCGGCCCCAGCGTTGACACTTCGTAGGCATCTGACCTACTGGTGACCGCAGGACAATCTCGAAGATGATAATTTCTAGAAGTTGTTTTACTCGTCGTCCTATTTGATGATGCTGTCACATGCTCTTGCTCTGCAGGCTGTTGCAAAATCGCCGAGACCCCTCCCCACGCATCCTCGCTTGCTCTCGAAGCAAGGGAGCCAGCACTTGAGATGGAGCGCCGCGCCCTACAGCTGTCACCAAGCAATTCACGCGCGACAATGCGACTCCGTCGTTGTGTCTCTCGTACGTTCCGCTGCTGCTCCTCCAGGAAGACGCTCGGCCTCAGCGATTCGCAAGAAGAGCGTGGTGCGAAATGAACGCAACAAACACAACATGTTAACTCGAACAAGAACAACAAAAGTTATCGCCGATAATGAACTCCTCGATAAGAAATCAAGAAGCCGGAATTCTCTTACTCACTTATGAAACCAAAATTAAATCGGGAGAGGTCACTGCAAACAAAGGTGAACAAAATCTGTTCTAATCTTAGTGTGGCGACATAAGCTCCTTTCTCGTCTGTGCATTCTGTAACAGCGCGCTCGACTGCAGTGGACGCCGCAACCGAATTGGCAAATACATACAGTGTTCCTGACGCGATCTCCTGTGCTTGTGCGAAAAACTCCGTGTACAGAATTTCGAACCCAAAAGTAGACACCTTCATTGGAATTGCTGTCATCTTCGCGTCTAAGTTGTTACCTTTCGGTTGTACACTGAGTGTGGCGCTTTCTGTAAGCGTTGTCGTCGCGGAATCCCCAGGCGCGTTGCCGTTTGAAACCGCAGGTGGTAGGCCCTCTCTTTGTAAAGCCTGAACCGCTTCTGTTGAAGACATGGTCATCTGGGGCCCAGGACCGTCAACGCCTCCAATATTGTCCTCCTCAAGTGTCCCGAGCTCCTTTTGCGCAACAGCGTAGGCTTCTTTCAAGTCCTCGAAATTCAGCTGATCCTGCATCAGGTCCTGTCGATGCGATTGAATTTTCCCTAGAGTCAAAATATTCGGACTCGTGCGGGAACCAAGGTTCATCTGCGTGTCTTGCATGAAGGGAGAAGAATGACCAATCAACTGTTAAAAGGCAAACTACAAACAACGCAAGTGCAGTGAAAGTACCCGGCGTTTCCTTTCTAAAAAACACAAAAATGAGACCACCAACATGCGTCGACTCTAGTGTACTGATGATCTAGTTTCTTCACATCTCTTTTGTGCTGGAACGGGTTTGGGCCATAAAGTTTTCTGCCAATGGGATAGGCTTAGCCGTTGCCATCGAATCCAACGACTTTTCAAGAAGCTCGTCTTGAAAAGCGTGTGCTCGTGCTTCCAGGTGCTTCACCGTGGCTGCGATATTATCGTAGGACGCGTTTAACCGCCCGATCTCTTCAGCTAATGCATGCTGACCCGACATCGCGCTTACTTTTTTCAGCGCAAAAGAAGGATAGTACTTCAACCCTGCAAGCTCTCCGCTACTGCGCATGCCGGCATCGAAAAAGCCCTGGAATGAAATAATAACAAAACCCAGCAACATTTACTACTGATTCTCGTCACGAAGTATTTGAACATGTACGAGATAACTACACAACGCAGTAGACATCGCGTGGTCAACGACGACGACTCAGAGGTTTTTTATTTTTACAACCGCGGGACATGCAAATGCCATCACTTCTTAGCAACAGGAATAGACAGAAAGTACTAGTGTTACATTGTCAGTCGCAGAATGCTGGACTACTTCGGGTACAAGCTGACCCTCTTCGTAGAAATGCACTTCGCGAAGAGAGAGTGGAAACTCGGAGGCAATGGCTATGCTGTTGACGCGCTCACCGATATTTTCGACCACAAGATGGTTCCGCGTCACTTGATCGCTGGAAAAGAGCTCCTTCCAACCTGTGTAAGTAGTCAAGTGCGACATCATCGTTGATCACAATCAAAAACAAGAATTAGAACTGGAAGTATCATCTCTACTTATACTTCTTCAACAAACAACAGGGCATCGCTTTTACAGGGTTACCTTCTTCCGAGTCGAGCTTTCCCAGAACGTGGATTGTCTTTCCGAACACGTAGGGTCCAAAATCGAGGCGAATTTTTTCTAGCGGAATGCCTTCTTGTTGTTCGCTCAGGACGAATCCAACATGGCCGCCGTGCTTCATTTCCGTAGCCCAGTACAAACTTGGATCGTGAGCGCTTTGGAGATCTGCGCTTCGCAAATCGGATGATGACGAAGACGTCGCAGCACTTCCGTCATCGTGTGCGGAAACCCGCGTGACGCCATCATGCACTAGTTGCCCACTCTTCTCAGTGAGCCCGTCGTTAATCGGGATTCCGTCTGCGTCGAGGGTCGGCCCCGCGCTTTCGCGGTAGAAATGGGACGCAAGTATGTCTTGTTGCGTCGATGATCCATTGTCGTCACCGTAAAGAGCATTCATATTATTCATGTTTTCTGCGTTCCCATACAGATCTGCAAAACTATTCCCGCTGCCGAATGGGTTGTTCATCCCACTGTCTAAGTTCTGACGACCTGCCACGCCGTCGTCGGGGTATAAAAGACCTCCATCCTCGTCCTGCTGTGCAAGCCGTGCTTGAAGCTCAGGTATATTCACATTGTCATAGTATGAGGACGGTAATTTCGGAAGCTCATACGGTAGAGGTGGGACTGTCGATCCGTGAGCGGCGCTACTCGTACCGTCTTTATTGAGGATACCTGCATTAGCATTGGCCGCTGATGCAGATGACTCGGCCTGTCCACTTGGTAGTGGTTCCACCGATGCTTGAATTTGGCTCTCACCCCCGTCGACACCAACAAATGAAGAGAGCTTTATGCTGAAGAGGCCTTTAAGTTTTGAAACTGCACTAGTTGGACCTACTTTTCCTGTACCAGTGCCTGCTCCATCGTGGACTTTTCCGTTTTCGTGGCTGTGGTCATGTGTTGCGATGTCTGCTGTCGACTGGCTTGCCGAAGTCGAGTCTGCCATTACTCGCTCCGAAGAATTGCCGGACAAAGCAGTGGCAGGATCTGGTGTTCCTGACGTCGTAGTTGTCTCAATGTGCACTTTTTCTACACTCACGCGTATTTCATCTTCTGGCTTCGTACCATCCTCCGCAGCTGCCAACGCCGCGCCTGCTTTACCGAATGCCGTCGCAGCTTGTTGTAGCTGTGCCAATAAACCTGCGGAACCGGTGGCTTCTCCTTCTCCTGTTGTTGTCTCTTGTTGCGGCGCGAGTTGTACTTGTGCACCTCCAGTACTATTCCCTTCCATACCGACCATTCCAGATTGAGCTACACCAAATCCCGTTTCATCCGCCGAAGAAGGTACCACTCCATCAGGTGCTGAAGATGGATCCACTTGAGTTTTGTCCGCGGAGAGATCAGCAACGGCGCCGACTTCTTTCCCTGTCGATGCGTCCCCGTCTCCTTCTGGGTGCATCAAATCATTCAGCGCTTTTATTAGAAAAAGAAGACTAAACATTTCTCTCGCTAAAATGACTTGTCAAACAACTGTAAAAACACGCTATCGAAGTCTGTTACTTGATCGAAGAAGTTTCTATGTGCACCTTCTTCTCACAGTCAGCACCACTAAAACCCGTAACTTCAAAGCCAATTGTGTCGCAGACATGTCGTTGGTGTCTACGAAGGAACTTTGCATGAATGTCGGAGGTGCGCCTGCTTCCATCGCAGTTTCTCCACGCGAAGCAGAAAATGCGTCTAGTCCTTCCTGCAAGCCTGGAACAGACGATGCTGGCGGAAGTGGCGCGTCGGTCAAGTACGTACTATCGGTGACATGAAGGGGGAAGCGTTTCACAAGCTGGATGAGACTTTATACAGAATGATCACCGAGGACTGACCTGGATTATACTTAAATAGAGCGAAATCTTCATGAATCGAGCAGCTAAACTGATGGTAGAACTGGTAACTATACTTCTTGTCCTTCACCTTAATTATAAACTTCCGCGTAGAACCGCCGAAGCTCGCTCGGTACGATTTCGAAAAGTTTTTCCGGCTCTTTCGCTACCGGTTTGAATATTCCAATGTCAGCCACAGGATGCTGAGGCATGGATGGTATACCTCAGAGTATGATTAGTGTTTTGCGTTAGAAAGAAATCGAAGTTTGACAACATTTTTTCATACTGTCCAACTACAACTTCAATGCTCAATTATAGAATCATCACTATGCGAGGAATCATCACTATGCGAGGAAAACAACCCCGAAGGGCATCTGCAGCAGACACAATCACTTAAGTCTCAAAGAATCACGAGTCTCAAATACCACAGCTGTACCTCCGAAAGTGTCGAGCACTGGAACCTCTCGCGGCTGTGTTGAGCGGAAGACGAGGTGGTCCCCGCGTTCGTTGACTAGGTGGTGGTCGCCGTCGCGAATGTGCCATTGATGTTGGGCTAAAATTTTGGGCATCTGTCCTACTGCCGGAATAATACTGTGATCTAGGGGGTCCACTTCCCAGAGTGGTCTTTGCGTCTCATCGCTGTTGTTCGCCACAGAATCTATCGTGTACTCGGGAGAAGCAACTGACGCTATTTTTAGAAAAGCTACTACGTATCTTCGGAAGGAAGTGGTCTACACCTCAATAACCCAAGTTACCTACTCCACTGACACTCTCTATTGCTACTATGATCACAGCACCGTTCAGTCGATGTCGCAACAAATGAGTTAGTAATATAAATATTCTAGCGAGAACAGTTGCCAATGTAAGAAAATTCGAAACTAAAAGTAACTAACATAACTCTGCTTGTCCGGGCAAGGACGGAGACCATGCGACGATGCGTGACGTGGCAGGATCGATGGATATGTTCAGTTCTTCGTTTTCTGGGATCCCTTTTAGTTGCGCCAGGCCAGTGTCGGGACGAGCAACCAGTCGATATTTGTCTCGCAATTGCAGTGAAGGGCCAGCGGCGTCGTGGCGGAAGTCTGACGGAGACGAGGAAATAATTAACAAAAACAGGCTTGTACGTAACATTTTTTCAGACAAGTACTTTAGCTTACCCCATGTTTTTTGGCGTCGAAAAACTGAGTAGTCATCACTTAAAATCGGTTGAAACTAGGTGGTCTCTTTATGTTGAAGCAGTCTAAACACTACTTATATAGCATGAATGAGAAAAGTTGCGTAAGTATTACCATGACTTTCGTCGAGTACGGTGCTCAATTTCTGCTTCGCATGTTCTAGACTAGCGACGTTTAGATCGCGCACATCGCTGAGCACGTCTGCAGCGTGATCAACCGCCTGCCGCGTTCGTATCTTTTTTATGTAAAGAAAAAATGACAAGGCCTTATGGACTCATAGAAATTAGCCAAAGCCCAAGAGGGCCTGAACAAAAAAAATGATGAGCTAAATGTTGTCTTTGTCTTGCCTCCTCGTTCTACTTCTACTATCGTTTGTCACTTTGGAACGTGTCAGACAACCTTTACAGAGGGTTAACAGCTCGCTCTCTGCAACAAGCGTCGTATTACCAGTGCGCTAAAGTAGTCGCCCCCTGTTCCTGGCGGGAGGCTGGCAGTCCCGTGTTGGTGTGCGGAAATGGAAATCTTAGAGGCCAGAAAATACTTCTTCACGATGATAGGGGGCTCTTACCTCTGCAAGTATGGAAGAAGATAGTTTAGTCAGCTTCTATTTTTTCTCTTGGCAAATCCAAATTTGTTGACATCGTTGCCCATCATGGACCATCGTCAAAAGTTCAACCATAAAAGCATCATGGTGGTGTGCAGCAGTCACCGTGCCACCGTGGTCCCCTGCGTGACCGTCATCTGCACCACCCAGGCTCTTTGTTAAAGCTGCCGCCAACTTCAATAATATTTTTATGCATCATATTATCAACCATATCTTTTGATATCTTTTATTTTTCATTGCTGGTTACAATTGGTTACAACACAGTTGGTGTCAATTCATACAACAGGGGTTGGCCTAAAAGATCCGAGTCCTCCGACGTAGCTAACTCGGTGAAACGGCTAGGAAACTTCACCCGATAAAACTTCAGAATAGTGCATGCATGAAGACAAATGGCATAAATAGCTGCATATTAGATACTCTATAAAGCCACGCCTAGCTTCCGTGGCGTTACTCAAAAAAATGAAGAACGCTTAACTTGACGAGGTCTTGGAGATAGGAATACGCCCCGACGAGTTGGAGATTCGCATCAGAAATCGCGTGCGCGGTATCGGAGAGACCCAGGTCGAGCATTGTGCGGTAGACGCCACCTCAAAAAAGGTGTGCACCTTCTCTCATAGAGTACAGCGGGACGGGTCGTCTTCCATACATTTTGTACCTCAGCTGCCCTGGGCAACTTTCATCTTCTATTTATCAACCCAAGCAGCTTAATACAACAATATCATCTTGAGAAAAGATGGCTGGTCTTGTTCGTGCTCGTTCTACATTTCTGTTTTGGATGAGGCTAGTGCTGTATAATATTGGTTTAAATGATCTTGACGATAAAGGGCAAGCTGTGAAGATCTTCTTCCCTGTTTCAAGAGTACCAGTTGCCAGGCTCAACCTCCCTGTCGCGTGATCCCGTTTTTCTCACTCAGAATCAGTCTCTGGCTACAGTATGCAATGGTGCAAGAACAACAAAACGCACCTCATCACCAGTGGTCGGAGAGAAATCTGTATGATAGGTGACACGGTCGTGCGCAGAGCCAATGTCATAGACCTGGCTGTTACAAAAGGTCGGCTGAACACATCATCAAATGCTAGGCAACAGATACACTTTACCAGCACCAACAGTAGAACACGACAACACTCTCCACCCACTCGCTAAGCTGGGGTGGTAGTGGCTAGCGCCGCTAGTTCTGGCTTTGGTAAATTCAGTTCCATGAGACCAGATTCTTTTACCCCTGCACATGATACAAGCGGGGCCTCAGGGGGGCCAGGTGCGCCGAGGGCCTTCCCCGAGGCCGCGCTAGCTCTGTTGGGCTTGAAGCTTCCGACCAAGCCCACCTGCGACCGCCGGGCCAAGTCCCAACGGGCCCAGAGCCCTTGGCCCGTCCCAGCGGAAGAAACCAAGCCAAGGACGCCACGCAGAGGGAACCAAACCAGAAAAGCATCGGGGAGGAGGCCCACCCCGGAGGCCAGGCCCGGCGGCCCAGGCAAGAGGCCCACGGTCGTGGGGGTGAACTTGGACCGGACGGGGCCTGGCACAAATGAGCGGGCCAGCCCACTGCAGTTGCAGCCGAGACGCGCCCGCGAGGAGCTGGGCGGGCCGCGCCTGCACTGCTCGGCCCCTTGACGGCATCACACGCGGAGACGCCTCCCTCTTGTGGCGCGGGTGCGTGGGGGTCATAGATAAGGAAGCCGCGCGCGCTCTCACATGGGAGAAACAGCCGCGGCTGAAACGAACCGCCAAAACCCGCGCGGGGCGGAGTTTCGCCACCTTTCAGCCCAGAACTGCGAAAGGATTGCGTGCCAGTTTTTGCGCCGGAATTTTCACGAGCAGGCCCGGGGCAAATCTCTCACGAGTTTTCTCTTCAGCGTCAGAGTGGACTCAATGCGCCACGCCACGTCTATAGTGTAAGGCGGAAGCTGCTAGATTTCATATGGATTCTAATCTAGACAAGAGGGTTCGCATTTTATTGAGCTTCGAAAAGTCTACAAATTTCTTTCTCGGTGGGTCTTTCTCTTTTTCAGCTTGAGGCGCATGGCTGCGGCGGACAAGGGAAAAGCAAGGCGACGGAAAATCAGCCACCAAAAAATCAAAGAAAGACCCTGCTCGTTTTGGTGCAACTTTTCGCGGCTTTCTCTGCCTTGCCTGTCTGCTCCTAGGGCGGCCAAACGCGGCCCAGGCGCCCCCGCGCCCCTCCAGAATCCAGCACGCGACCACGAGCAGCGGCAGCACGCTTCGGGGGGTTCGGGAGGGAAGCAGGGACGCGGCGGCCGCTATTAGCAAGGCACAGGCTTACGCGGTAGCGCGGTCGCCCGCACCGGCACCCCACTGAAGCACCGGGCTGCGTACTGCTGTGGTGGCATGTGGTGCCTGTGCCCGGCGCTGGAATATTATGAAGTGACCAGGCACAGGCCCGCCAGGTTCTTCGTGGAATTGCCCACCGAGCTGTATGGATCTCTCTACTGTCCGGTGTGCCGCATTGATTCCCACCCGAAGTGGCTTCTTCCAAGACGCTGTCTCCCCTTTTTCCATCAAAGAGCGCGCTTCCTCTAAAACATCACGCGAAAAGCGTTGCGAACGTGCCCCTTTTACGCCTGTCCGAAGCCCTAACTTTCCCACGTTTTTCCCAAGTCATTTCGTGCGCGTTTCATCCCTCCAGGCGCTTCCCTTTCGGCGTTGTCAGCTGTCTCGGCTCGCTGCCCTCTCGAGCACCATCCGGGCAGCCTTGGCGGCCCCTTTGCGCTTGTCCCGTGCCCTCTCCTTTCTATGTGCAGCCCCTGCCCAATCTCGACACAAAAGCGCCGGCCTGGTGCCCTCTTGTCTTTCGCGCTCACCTCCGGCAGCGTGGGGCGCCGCCTAACCTGCGGGGAATTGTCAGGCATGACTATAGGCAAGAGCAAACGCGGGGGGTGAATTGCAGCGGAGGCGCCTCCTTTGTCAACTGCCTCCCAGAAGCTCCCTGCCTCCACCGCCTCTACTTGTTTCGCCTCTTGAGAATCAGAAGCGCGCCACCCCCTTGGAAATTCACAGCGACGGCGTGGCTTGGTGGTCTTTTCCCAAATATCTAACCCATCACCCCACACCTCGCCGGCGCTTGTTTGATCGGCCTCGCGAAGTCAACCCCGTCGCGCCTCGGGCGATGCGCTAGCCGGATGCCTTGTGCATCTAACCGCCGCCCCCTCTCGAATCTCGCAAGCCATTCCCGGACAGCGGCACCCCTTGGCCGGTCTCGTAGTGATGCACAAGGTTCGCGGGCTCTACATGCTCTCGCACCGGCAAAAAACCTAAGCTAAGAGATGGGCCCCTTCCCCTGCTAAGCCTGACTCTTGTACCGCGCTCGCCCCGCGCCCCTTGTGAGTCCCCTGAGGTGTGGCGAAGGGGGGGCATGCTCCTCAGGGTTGCAACAAGCAGGAGGGCCTCGCCCGGCTCCTCCCCCAATCATGCAGCCGACCCACAAGGGGCGCGGGGCAAGCCAAGGAGGCCCGAAGAGAGAAACGCCGTGGAACAGTCTGCGCAGTAGCGTCTGCGCCGTGTGATAGCCCCAGCATGCAGGGAAACGGCGCGCGCCTGTGCGTCCATCGCAGACGAAGCAACGCCGGACGGAGGTGAAGGAGCGGACGGCAGTGGTCTACAGCTGGCGCGCTTAGGCCTCGCCACCCAGCGTAGACGGAAGCGGGGAAAAACAGAAGCAAAGGCGGGGGCCTCGCGAGCGTCAGCAAGGTCTTAGCAGTGGCCCAGCAGAAGGCGTTCGCGCGCGAGCAATATCAGGAGGCCCCAAGCCAAGAGCACCCGCCCGCGCATCACGTCGTCGAGTGAGCCTTTAGCAGCACCCCGCAGCGAGGCCTACCGAGGGGACACGCGGCAAAAGATCCAATTGCCGGCGACATGCAAGGAAGTACATCTGCGGCAACGACCCCAGCGGCAAACCCTCAGGCCCAAGCAACGGGTGGGCGCGCCCCCTATGTAAGCCTCGCCCCTTCGCTGAGGGTGGACGCTTCTGGGGTTTTTCTGGCTAAGTGCTCGAATCCCCTTAAGAAACCGGACCCACACTAAGGCAATTTTTTTCCTGGTTCACCAAAAAACCATCCTAGTGGAGACTTGTTTTTTCAAGAAATTCCTTTGAAATTCTTAAAAAACCGAATCCCTAACAGATTAACTCTCTGCCCAATTTTGAAAAAATGGCCAAAGAATTACCATAGTAGGGGCCTGTATGGTTCCGGCCACCCTCTGCAGGGGCATGCAGGAAACTAAAGCGGGAAAGTGGTGCGCCACTTTTCCCGTTAGTTTCGCACGAAGTAGCGGCCTTCTCGCTTCTAATCAGCTTAAGCGGCGAGAAAGCCGGGGCTTTCCCACTGGTTGCGGGGCTTGCGCCTGGGTTCTTCTTGGCCAAGACTGCTCGCGATCTAATGGCGGAAGCGAGATTTTACGCATCAGCTTCGCAACCCGGAAACAGGCGCCCGCCCGATAGCGCGCAGCCAGGGCTTCGAAAGAAAGCGACTCTTTAAGAGCATTACCTTCCCCACTCGAAGAAGGTCGCACTTTTCAGGTAGTTCCCAGGACGCGCCCGCGACCAAATGGCGGACGCGAGGCGCTCCGCACCAGCCTCGCAACCCGGAAACAG